CCCCCCCGGTACCTAGGACCTATGCGATGGTCCATGGGGGTATGCCGTTCACGCATTCTGCACCTTGTCAAGTAATATTAAGTAATGAGAACTTGAACCATGGAACATATATACCAATGGGTGCAGAACAAGCCAATGCTGACCGAGTGACGAAAAGGTTTGAAAATCATATGTAGTCGCCTGTTGTCACGGTATGACAGCGTCGCAGTAGATGTAAGTAGGTAGGTACATAGGTAACTGTGGTACATGTGTTACTCTTATACTGCGGAGAGTCCGATCCGAAGGTTAGTCCATGATATACTCCGGGCGGATATAAGATACGGTCTAACAGTGTTCCTCTGTACGGGATTCAAGATACATAGTCTTTTTCATCGGAGTTATGAGTGGACGAAATATATTTATGAACTGGGGTGACCATCATCAGACGATCTGTGAAAATCATCTCTCTCTTTTTTTTTTTTCCTTTCTTTTCACCTTAACGTACCACCATGACAGAGTTATGATGTTAAGGTATTTTGGCTCCGGGATGAAAATGTGATCAGCATGCTGTGCTGTTGAACTGCCAGCAGAACTTGGCACTGTGACTGTCAAGAGAGAATCTAGCGGTGGCAAACAGGTATAAATGATTAGTGGATTTATGACAGATTGGATAATATTAGCCTATGGTTATGACAGGGATCATGCCCAGTTTCGAGGGATTAATGATGCTCTATTATTATTATAGCACGGAGGCTTATAGATCACAATGGTTCATCGAATCTAGATGCAACAGCTTGCTTAGTCGGGTCTCTCCGCCCGTACTAACCGCATTCATAGCATATATTAGCTAAGTTGGTTAGGTAGCGAGCTAGAGAAAAAAAGGAGAGAGCCTACAATCGAATTATTACCCACTCGGCGATCACCCGCCAATAGAGGGCTCCACGCAGCCTGTCCAATGGGAGCGTTTTAGGGTTTCTGAATGCATCAGGACAACGCCTGCAAAAAAAGGCAGCATAGCTAGCTAGCTGGACGGATTTGGAATGAGGATTATGAACACATACAGCAGCTCATATGCTCATATTTGTCCAATCAGAGCGGCGATACATCGAGGGACAGGTTCATAAGCATTAATGTAAGAATTTTATACAGAGAGTACGCACGCTGGGTGTATGCCAAAAGGGAAAGAGCCTTCCTTCCACGTCAGTAGCGGCCTGGACTGCTCCTTCCTCGGCTGCCACTTGCCCCTTCTGGCCTGACCTGACTTGGCCTGGCTATGGGGAAGGAACTCCCCGTGGCGTCCAAGGCAGTCAGCACCTCCGCCGTTCCTTGCTTTGCTTTACTCGGCCCTCTCTGTCTTCCTCACTCATTCACTCACTCTCACGCCGCTCGTTTGTGCATGCCTAGACCGGACGTCGATTTCTTCAGTGCTCCTTCCAGAGTCCAATGCTACGTAAGGGAACCGCCTATCCCTGTCGAACTGCTTCCGCTATTTTTATCAGCCCACGAGGGTGGTGGCCAAGACGTATGGTCTAGTGAGAAAGGCTCCTCGCGTCGTTTGCTCATTTTCTAATGCACATACATGCGTACACAGGACTCTGCTCAACCCACGCCGAGGTAAACGCCGTATATCTCGTCATTTTCCTTTTCTTCTTTTCGTATGCTCCTCGAGTTATACTCGTATACTCCGTACCTAGCCAAGGAGTAACGTCCCACTGTCCAGGCTCCGAGTTAAATTGATCGCCACTTCTGCAACTAATCTCCGATCCGCCTGTCCAACCCTTCTTTTGGGACGGAGTACGTACCACCCTTAGTACAGAGTACGTACTGTTGAGCCTTTTTTTTTTCCCCTTCCATTCATATAGAATTTTTTTTTTTCGCCTTGTGGATTCTCCCCTTCGGCCGTGCAGTATACGCATTAGTGAGTGATTTTCAGTGCAAGACATGCAGCCTGACCGCATCCAGGGCAGCCAGCTCATTAGCTGAATCCGATCCGTCAAAGGGGAACCCTGCCTGAGGATCTCTGACCTGTGCCTGGTATTGTCGAGATTGAGATCAGAGACAATAAAAAATAACACACGAGGCGAGGTCATATGACTTGGACGACGCGCATGCTGTAAAAGAAGCTTGAGCGGGCCCTCCCCCCTTCTGTTCTATCATTGCTTCTACTACATACTACCATTGCTGCGTATGTAAGTCCGAGTTTGCGTGTTCTTTGTAAATGTGTATATTTACTTTTTAGCAAGTTGAAACGTCGACCTGTGGTGAAAAACCCAGCCACTCTCATGTCTGGATATTGTTGGGCTATAGACAACCTCGCCCCGACATCATGGACTCAAACACGACAAATTGCTATGCCATAGACAACACATTCTCATACTATGCTGGGAGCTGTCGTGGTGGCTTCGACTTCACTCTTTTGTTCGAGCAGACCATCTTGACTGCTTTGCCGGTTGGACTTTTTATGCTGGTGGCCCCCGGGCGAATATGGTATCTTTTGAAGAGGTCGAAAAAGACAACCACTAGCTTGTTACTTCCGCTCAAAGTCGTACGTCTCATTTCTTTTTCTTTTTAACCGGTCTTCAACCCACATGACATTGCATGTACTAAGTAATGGCTTATCTATATAGGCATCATACGCCGGGTTAGCAGCTTCACAACTCGCTCTGTTGACGCTCTGGACGCTCCCATCTGCCAAAAGAACAAGCGCATCGATTCCAGTTCAGGGGGTGCTGTTGGCTTCCACAGCAGTCTTTTGTCTACTATCCTACTTCGAACACACCCGCACAGTCCATCCGTCGTTTCTCCTTGACATTTATTTGGGCGTGAGTCTGCTCCTTGATACTGCGCAATGCAGAACGCTATGGCTGCGAGGCCCAGCGTTTTATGGCAACACCATTGCCATTCTATTCAGTGTCTCCGTTTTGTTCAAGGCAATTCTCCTGGTACTGGAATCGCTAGAAAAGCGACGGTTTTTGCGTCCGGAGTATAAGGGTTGCCCACCCGAGGCGACAGCCAGCATATTTACTAAAAGTTTTTTCTCGTGGTTGAACCCGCTGTTCTTTAAGGGGTTCTCATCCCTCTTAGAGGTGGATGACTTGTTTATAGTTGATAAACAAATGCATTCGGAGAAAATCCATGAAAAGATGGAGACTACTTGGAACGAATGTAAGTCTTGAACCAAGATTACATGCATGCGGTGTTTGACATTGGAGAAAGCGCATCGTTATTGACTCTATTTAGCTGCAAAAACTTCCCCCCATTCATTGCTACTCGTTGCTCTATCGGTTCTAAAGTGGCCCATTCTGTCCGTCATTCCTGCGCGAGCGTGCCTTGTTGCCCTCAATTTCAGTCAGCCGTTGCTTATCAATCGAGCCGTATACCTGTCAGTGGATGCTGTTACGCCTTGGACAACGAATGTTGGCTATGGATTAATAGGCGCATATATTCTTGTCTATACAGGGTCGGCGGTGAGTCATTTCCCAACAAATTTTCTGTTTTACGCAAGCTCATGTGTATTAGGTGGCCATGGGTCTGTATCAACATCTATGTTATCGATCAATCACCATGGTTCGAGGGGGCTTAATCTCCATGCTCACGCGCAAGACGACAGACCTCAGCGTTCGAGACGTAGACCCCGCCTCTTCAATAACCCTTATGAGCGCAGACGTCGAGCGTATCGTCCAAGGCTGGCAGACAATGCATGAGATGTGGGCTAATTTGGCGGAGATTGCGGTTGCTATTGTACTTCTTGAAGGGCAGCTTGGAATATCATGCCTTGTTCCTGTGGGAGTCTCAATTGGTATCTCCCTGAACATAGCCTAAAATTTTGGTTATATGCAAAGACTGACTGTCCTATTAGCTTCCCTAGCGGCATCAATTCTCGCCTTGAACTTTGTGGTCGCAAAACAGGCGCTTTGGCTGGAGGCTATTGAGAAACGTATTTCTGCGACAACAACCATGCTTGGATCCATGAAGGGCATTAAGATGACTGGGTTGAAGAATGTGATGCACAACAGTATCCATGCGCTGCGTATTGCCGAGTTAAATATTTCGAAAGGCTTCCGGCGTCTCCTGATCTGGAACATGGGCGTAGGTATGTATTTAGATGCCGAGTACACGGAAGAAAAGAAAAAGTATGAGAGAACTAACAACTTCAAGCATATATATCTCAAATATTTGCCCCGATTATCACATTTGCTGTCTTCGTCACAGTCTCACACAACCAAGGCGACGATGTGGCACTCGACACGGCCCGAGTCTACACGGCATTGTCAATCTTCGCGTTAATGACGGATCCTATCACTACTCTCGTGATTTCGCTTTCCTCATTCGCGGGCTCCGTTGGATCCTTTACACGTATTCAAGAATTCCTGCAGAAAGATGCCTTGATCGACAAGCGCCAGGCTCCTTCCACGAACAGCTCATCGGACGAATTGATCAAAGAAGCTCTGCCAAATGTTTCAGAAAAATCAAGCATCGTAACTAGTGATGCGACGTCTTCTGACACAAAGTCCCCTCGATCTCAGACTCCCTCTTCGTCGGCAGACATAATCAGCCTTAACAGCTGTGATTTTGGTTGGGATGCGGAGAAAGAGCCATTGTTAAAATCCATTGCGATGTCTGTCGCGGAGAGCAAACTTTCCATGATCGTCGGGCCCGTGGGTTGTGGAAAATCAACATTGCTGAAAGCTATACTCGGTGAAATTTCGCCTTTGCATGGCTCTGTGTACATGGGAACAGATCAGATTGCATACTGCGACCAGACAGCATGGCATGTGAACGATACAATTAGAAATAGTATACTTGCGGCCAGTGAATTTGATGAGCAGTGGTACAGCACTGTCCTCCATGCTTGCGCTTTACATGAAGACCTGCGACAGTTGCCTCAGGGCGATCAAACGATGATTGGTAGCAAGGGAGTAGCCTTGAGTGGAGGCCAAGGCCAGCGTATAGTAAGTTGCATTGCCATGCTGTGCCCTATGAGCAAGGGGGAGGAAATTCTGACTGAGTATGAACAGGCATTAGCAAGAGCGGTGTATGCAAAGAGGCGGCTTGTGCTTCTCGACGATCCTTTTAGCGGGCTTGACACGTCAACTGAGAATCACATATTCCATAGCCTGATGGGAAGATCCGGTCTATGGAGAGAGATGCAGGTGACAGTCCTGTTGACTTCTTCGTCTGGTAGGCGTGCAAAGCATTTTGGCTTACGATTCCTTACTAATGGACTTACAGTTAAACGCCTTCCATATTCCGATCATATCTTCGTGCTAAATGAGAATGGTACAATCACAGAGCAAGGCCATTTTGACGTGCTCGCTTCAACTGGTGGTTACGTGTCGACCTTTAATCTCAGCCAGCCAGATTGGGATTTCACTCCGGAAGAGCGAAGCTATCACGTACCGACTGTTGTTGAAAAGGAGAAAGTTATTCAGACGGATGATGATTTGGAAGCCGAAGCCAATCGCGCAACAGGCGATTTCACCATTTACAGGTACTACTTTAACTCAGTAGGGTGGTTTGGAATTGTTGTGTTCTTGGTGTGCATTTCGGGATTTGTGTTCTGCATATCTTTTCCAAGTATGTATTTTCCCCAGTTGTCTAGCAGGCTTACAAAGGGACTGACAGTTTCGCGACAGGTATCTGGTTGAAGTGGTGGGCGGCCTCTAATGTGCAGTATCCGTATGAAAAGACTGGCTACTACATGGGAATATACGTGATGCTTGGCTTCCTGGCTTTGATTACATTGTGCATCAGCTGCTGGTAAGTAGCATGTTCACATTTTGTAGTCCCGCAAGACTAATCACGGACAGGCAACTCATTATTACCATGGTGCCAAAGTCTGGGGAGAGATTCCACTTGACGCTGCTTAATACTGTTCTCAGGTATGACGGATTCATTCCGGTCGATAATCTTATGATAGTGCTAATTCCTCTAGTGCGCCGACGTCTTTCTTTGCCTCGACAGATACTGGAGTCACGTTGAACAGATTCAGCCAGGACCTGCAATTGATTGACATGGAGCTGCCAGTGGCTGCGTTGAATACGTTCGCTAGTAAGTGCATGCCGTTTCTCCAGCAATTTGAATCTCGACTGACGGATCAGCACTCGTACTGTGTATTGCGCAGACAACTCTCATTGGAGTGGCGTCTCCATATACTGCCATCTCATTCCCTATTGTTCTTATTGCGTTATATTTCATTCAAAAGTTCTACCTCCGAACATCACGTCAACTCCGGTTCATGGATCTCGAAGCAAAGGCCCCATTGTATTCTCAGTTTACCGAATGCCTCAGCGGACTAGTTACCATCCGGGCATTTGGCTGGCAAAAGGAAATGGAGGATAAGAGTCGATACCTGCTTGAACGGTCACAGCGTCCGTTTTATCTTCTTTTTTCAATCCAGCGATGGCTGACGCTTGTCCTGGACCTTGTTGTTGCTGCAATTGCGACCATCTTGATCATTTGTGTTGTTGAGATGCGAGGGTCGATCAGCGCAGGCTATGTCGGTGTTGCGCTGTTCAACATTATCCAGTTCAGTCAAAGTATCAAACTGCTTATAACATTTTGGACGAATCTGGAGACTCATATTGGATCGATTGCAAGAGTCAAGATCTTCAACGAAACGGTCAAGCCTGAAGATCGGCCAGAGGAGAACAATCCGGTGCCGGCAGCCTGGCCTGCACAGGGGGCAATCGAATTCAAGTCTGTGTCTGCCAGTTATAGGTGTGTCTGCTATGGGAGAGAGTCTTGGAGGTATGAATGCTGACATGAATGTAGACCTGAAGAGCCTATACTGCAAAACATAGATCTGTCGATTCGCAGCGGTGAGAAGATAGGCATTTGTGGACGAACTGGAAGGTTTGTTCCTCGTCTTCATTGAATAGTAAGTAAAATACTAACACAATATAGTGGCAAGAGTTCTTTGGTGCTGGCTATCTTCCGTATGGTCGAATTGTCCGGGGGCAGTATTACCATTGACGGCGTCGATCTATCGACAATCCCACGACAGGAGATTCGAGCGCGAATTACGGGCGTTGCCCAAGATCCATTCCTGATCAAGGGTAGTGTAAGACTAAATGCCGATCCAAACAGTACGGCGACTGATGAAGCGATTGCGGACGCATTGCGGAGTGTTCATTTACTTTCTGTGGTCGAACAGAAGGGCGGTTTAGATGTGGATGTGGAAGAGCTTCATCTATCACAGGGACAAAAGCAGCTCTTCTGTCTAGCCCGAGCGATGCTGCGACATAGCAGTATTCTTATCCTTGATGAGGCTACTAGCAAGTGAGTTTTCTTTGTTTTTTGTTTTGTTTTTTTTTTTTTTTTTTTTTTTTTTTTTTTTTTTTTTTTTGGCAAGGTGGTGCAAATTTTCAATACACAGCTAACATGACATCAGCGTCGACGCCAAAACAGACGAAATCATGCAACGCGTCATCCGCGAAAAATTCAGCAATCACACCATCCTTGCCGTGGCGCACAAGCTTGACACAATCCTCGACTTTGATAAAGTCGCCATGCTCGAAGCGGGCGAGTTGATCGAATTCGAGGATCCATACACCTTGCTCTCCACAGACTCAGCCTTCAACCGACTATATACGTATAGTATGGCCGAAGAGAACGAGAAGGAGGGCGAGATGGATGTAGAAGTGATTGTGCGAGAGTCGGGGACACAATCGATTGTGTCGAGCGTTGAGTAGACATCAACCCAACCATTCTTATATATATACAACAACAACTAGTCAAGGGGAAGGGAGGGGAAAAGTCATTCATTCATCACTACCATTTTTTGCCCCAATTTTGTCCGCAATTCTTTTTCTGCATAAATCTTTCTTTCACACTGGCACATAGGATTTGGAGCATGACTATATATTTTTTTTGTCCTTTTTGTTTGAAATTATTTCATTAATTCTTGCCTGACCGTGGCTATTTCATATATGTTTATATTAGTGAATCGACTTATTACATTCGCAATCGAGTACCTAACATCAACGTCCATTTCAAGATGAAATCATTACAAAGAACCGACGAGGTAAGTATATCATGCGTAATAAACATTGATATTCAACATATCTAAGAATATGATGTAATAAAATATAATGATATATAATGTACATCAACAAGAATCAAATTAAACCAACCACAAACACACATCCGTCAAGTACTAAAAGGGGCACGGGGGGACTATTCAGTTTAAAACAACGCAAACACACCCAGCCCGACAACACCCAACATCATGGTAGGCGCCTTCAAAGCGCCAACACCGCTGTCAGGAACGGTCGTGGCGGACGCAGAAGCGGTAGCCGAAGAAGAAGAAGAAGAAGAAGACTTGGACGCTGTTGCGCTTGCGACGGCGGAGGTGGATGATGCCACTACCGCGCTGGAGCTGGAGCTGGAGCTGGAGCTAGAGCTAGAGGTGGCGAGGGTGGTAGAGCTAGCAGACGCAGAAGTAGAGGTTGTGTCTGAGGCGGTGCTGGTGCTGCTGGCAGAAGCAGCAGAAGTAGAAGTTGAAGAAGTAGTAGTAGTAGTGGTAGTAGTAGAGCCCGTAGCGCCGGAAATATTGAAACGAGCAGAATAGTCGACAATGCTGCTGTCGGCATCGTCGGCAATGCGAATGAAGTAGTCTGATTCAACGGGGATGGAGGCGGGGACGGACCAGACGTAGGAGCCCGTGTTGTTAATGGCGGCTATATATCATTTACATTCGTTCATGTTAGTCCAAAAAAAAAAAAAAAAAAATTCAAGACCCATTTGGAATTCTCCAGCGAGGACGGGGGGACCGACAAGCAATAGAAACGCCGTCAGTGGCAGTCGTGGTTGAGCCCCATTGCAATCGCAGCGATACCGTGCCGTTGGTCGTCGGGTCCCATTCCAGAGTGCTCGATTGACCGGCGGTGAACACGTCGCCTTCGGTTGGAGAAATGAAGGCGTTTTGGGAGGTGGTGGTGGCGGTGGTGAGAGCGGCGAAGAGGCCGGCGGTGAGGGCGAGGAAGTGCATTTTTTTTTTCTTTTTTTCTTTTCTTTTCTCGTCTGTTTTCTGTTCTATTTCGTTTGTTGGAAAACAAAAGAATGGAACGTGGTAGAGCTGAAAAAGGAGGTAAAGGAATGACTGGATCGATCTTGGTAACTGGTTCAAAGGAGTGTAGACCGCGTAGGGTATTGATTCGATGGGATCAAAGAATGAATTCGAAGGTATTCGCCTCTACATGAAAACCCCAAAAAAACGAGACAACGAGAGAGGAAGAAGAAGAGGGAAAGAAAGAGAGTTGAGAGGCGTGATCACGCATTTGATTAGTCAGGTCTGTATACATTAAACTAGATGCGATTTCCCCCCCCCCCGGCCCAATCACAGCGCCGCAGCTCCCCACACGCCGGCAGGAACAGGAATAGACTGATAGTTAGGTTCCGCTAGGCTGTTTTGGGCGACAGCCACGTTCTGAGGGGCACATGATCTGGTCTCGAAGGGCCAATCAGACTCGATTTGGTCTTGTTGGCTTTGTCGGACTATGAATAAATATTAGCCGAGTCTGGAGTACAACAAAACTCTAGAGTCTGTGGTATTTAGTGCCTGCTAAAAAGAAAAGGCTTACGTCGACATTGACGTGGACGCCGTCTACTAATCCACTCCCAGCAAGGCGCGCAGCCTGCTAACAAACTAAATTTGATGAGACTATGGAGCCAGCGCGCAGCTAAGATTATAGACCGACTACTCCTATTGGTCTACTTGAGCTGTGAGGAGATTAATCATTAAGCCGGGCATGAATTATAATTTGTCGATTGGAAGTCTCAGGGTTATTTTCAACTTTTGGCTGGGCAAGGCTGCTCGGAGCGGAGTTGCTAAGAATAGCTGCGCTAGTGGATGCCATTATTCGATAGTCGGTCGACTCGATGATTTTATGTCCCAGACTGTTTAGGCGAGATGTTATGATGATATAGAGTACTTAACTTAGTTGCGTTGGTAAATTATTACTAAGAAATTCTAGTAGCAGTATCACTATGTACTACAGTATCCAAGTTCATGCAGTGGATTTCCCGTCACCAGCGTCTGGCTCTTCAAGTAACCCCTGCGACCCAAGCCAGGAAATGGCCTGCATAACCTGGCGATTTTCTTCCTGAACTGACTGCGCGACGAGCTAGAGAATAAGTGTTTGTTAGAAGAGTTCAAGTCAGACATCACAAAAAAGATTAAGACATACCATCTGATAGAGTCCCCTCTTAGCGGGCTGCCGCTGCCGCGGCTGTTGCTGTTGCTGCTGCTTCGTGCGCGGTTCATGCGAAAACCGACATTGGGCCCCGCGTGGGCATTTGCCCTTGCGTTGAAAGTCACGACATGGTTTGCTGCTTTTTGTGCTCCCTTCTCGTGGAGGAGGCGGCACTCGCTGCGGGCCATCCCGGCGTGAGGAGATCTCTTCTGGTTCGTCGTCATCGTCACTGTCATCGTCGTCGTCTTCGGAGGATGTGTTTGAATCAGATATGCTTGATAAATTGCCATCGCCCATGTCCGCCTGCACCGGTATCGGCAGGGAGGGCTCTTCTTTCGCACTGACGGTGAAATTGGTTTGAGATGGAACGTCGTCTGCATCTTTCTCTACCGTAGCCTGATCGACAACACCCTGGTTTTCGCCTGTAGTTTGTGCCTCCGCACCAGATGGCTGCTGCGAAGCTTCCACTACCAGCCGTGCTCTTTCAGCATCAGCTTCCGCCTTTTGCAGCCGCCTCTCTTCTTTCAGAAGCTTCTTGCGCAATCTTTCGGCTTTCGCCTTGGCTTTGATGGCTACATCCACAGCGTTGGAGGGGGCATCTTTCTGCGTTGCTTTCGCCTGCTCCCTGAGTTCCATTTGTTTACGCCGCGCTTCCTCCCGCTGAAGCTCTCTTTGCTTCTTAGCTTCTTCCTGTGCCTTCTTCTTCTCCTCGACGCGCGCCTCTGTCGGAAACCGTTTCTTCCTCTCTGCAATCCATGCTTGAATATCTGCTGCTGTACTCAGCGTCGAGGTACGTCCACGGTAGGTGATTTGTATAGGCCCCGCTGCACTGCCCGCGGACGCCAATCGGCTTTCCTCATCCACGTCGTCGTCCTCTTCAGCACTAGACTCGTGCTCCTCGGCTTTGGGCGTGAGGCCGAGCTGGTTGAATTTGCGTTTCTTCTTCTTAAGCGCTTTGCGAGAAGTATCAGCAGCCGGCTGCGGAGGTTTCGCAGGCAGGGGAACTCCAAAACTGGGGACAGCAGGCGGTGCCGCCACTCGAGGTGCTTGCGACACTGGTTTTCCGAAAGCTGATGAGAATGCGCGCTTCTGACCGCCGCTTCCATAGTGTGTTCCGTGAGTGGAGCCTTGATACGGCCCTTGCTGAAAGGAAGTGCCATTCGTAGATCCAGCGTAGAAACCGCCTGATCCGGCATTCCAGTGCATCGGAGGGGCCACTACCGTAGAACCAAGCCCTGCTGAGCCCGCGGAGTAGGATGATGACGCAGGTACGTTGGCTGGTGCTTGCCCTGTATTCCCGTAACTTCCACTATAATTCGATTGCGGGTATGCCGCCGTCGTAGCTGTAGAGGGTGAGGCATACGTCTGAGCAGGATATCCCTGAGCAACAGAAGAGAACGACGAAGCGGAGTGAGAACTATTCTGATAGTAGCCTTGCGTATTCAGCGGAGACTGCACGGAAGCAGTCGAATATCCTCCGCCATGTATGCCTTGCGGGTTGCTATTCGAATAGCTATTGGGATAAGCTCCTCCGCCACCTCGACCGCCACGGTTCATACCACCACGTCCTCGACCCCTATAACCACCACCCGTGCCGCGGTAGTTACCGCGGTGAGCATAGGCATTCTGCGATGCGTAAGAGGGTGTATTTCCAAGCGCCGGTGGAGGAGGTGGCTGCTGCTGTGTACGTGGTGGTGGTGGTGGCGGCGGAGGAAATGTAAAGGGTGCCATCACAGGATGGACATGGAGATGCTTCAGTCAATCAGGAGCATGGCATGGTCAGTCAGAATATGAGTAGGTAATTCATATTCAGTACATGAAAATTCAAATACAATCAGAAAAAACCAAAAAAAAATATTTCCTGCAGATCTCTAACATGAAAAAGTTCCGCCAGTCACAGCCGCGAATTGCGGCCTCGACGGCGATCTGCGTCACGTGACAGCCCCACCGGCTGCGTCTGTGATTGGCGGAGCGCGGATATCTTTTTCCTTTCACCAGAAGAAAGAGTCTGCTTTTGCTCACAGCACAGCACCACTGAGAGCTCAGGATCAGGCCAGATAGTGCAGAGTATCTGGCATCGATATGGGCGGAAGATGATTGTTTGAAAAGAAAAATACCCCACTCGATATGTTTATTCTTGTAGGTATACATCATACATCAGAAAAGAAAAATATAAGAACCAAGTACATGCAAGCTAACAGCCCCAGTCAACCATCTCAGATCTTGTTCAGATCACGCCAGAGGACTTTTCCAAGTTCAGTGTAGTCGCTATTGAGGACAACATTAACGAGAAATACGCCAACAAGGTGAGGATGATCTCCAGCCCTTTTCAAAAAATCGGAATTGTACTGGGGCTGACAGTCTTTTCCAAGGTCATCCAAAAAATCGGATTATGTATTGGGTTTTATGATCTGCTTCAGTCCTCTGATGGCCTGATTGGCCATGGAACGGGGTTGGTTAATGTCAACGGTGCGTTGCTCTCAAACATGCCGTATTGACTCTTCTCTAATAGTTGTATGTATAGTTACGTTTCGACTGCTCGTATTCCGACCTTTCAAGGGCGAGGTCATTCTTGGCAAAATTTTGAGCCAGGATGAGGACGGTATCAAAAGTATGTCTCCATCATACGAATCCCCCCCCCTGTTTTTTTGGTTTGTTTGCTCTCTGACAATGTGATAGTTGGACTAGAGTTCTTCGAAGATATATTCGTCCCTAAAGAGCTGCTCTTTGAGCCGTCGCGCTAGTGAGTGCAGTCCTATTCAACTTTAATAAAAGCACTCCTGACTAACATACTTCCAGCGACATCGCGGAAAATATATGGGTGTGGGAGAATGACGGGCAGCCGTTCTTCTACGATGTCAATGAGATAGTGAGATTCCGAGTTGAGGCGGAAGAATGGCACGACCAGAGGCCTACGAAGCCCGAGCAAGCTGATGGGCAGACGCAGTCTGACTACAAGGCTCCATATACGATACAAGTAAGTCTCTTTGTTCTTTCTTCTGTTGAAAAGAAAAGACAGGCAAACTGACTGGCTAGGCTTCCATGGTTGATTCCGGCATGGGCCTTATTTCCTGGTGGACCTAGTTCAAACAAAACAAGACAAAACACGAAGGCAATTGCGACATCGTGGGACATGTTACGACATCAATCTGTTGTCTGAAGAATGAAGTGAATGAAGTGAATGAATGCTGTGTAATCTCTGGAACGAATGATTATTCTATCAGTTTGTTAACACTGCCCCTCGCGCTTAGCATCGGCGCGGACAGAACGGCCGCGTGACACGAATACGGCTATTTTTACATTCCTTGCCCGCGAGCACGTAATTTTGAGCGGAAATTACCGTGTAATCCTTAAAGTGGGTCGGCAATGACACTCTAGAAAAATGGAAGAAATTGAGCCCACGCAGCAGCAGCTTATAAATCCTTGATTCAAAAGGCAAACATTAATAGGTGTATATCCTATATTTATATACAATATAGCTATTATATATATAGATATATTTAAAGGGTAAGCACATTGCCTTGCATTCCCGCTGGTTCTCTCATGCTGATCTTCTATCAAGTCACACTTAGCGCTTCCGAACCCCGCCATCCTCAGTGATTGATTGATTCATCATGACCCTTTCGCTGGAAAACCCTCAATTAAAGCCCCTGGTGCATGCTGATGTTGTCGAGACACCTCCACGGCCTGCGTCGCCAGAGCATGGCTTTGCCACGAGAGCCGTTCACGCCGGAGCCCATCTCGATCCTCACACGGGCGCCGTGATTGCGCCGGTGAGTTCTGCCGATATATATATACATATATACATATCTATCTACTTAGGTACAATGGAAGACACTGACGCTGTATGCTCGTGCCAGATCTCGCTATCCACGACCTTTGCGCAGACAAGTGTGGGAAAGCCAGTGGGTGTGTATGAGTATACACGCAGCGCAAATCCCAACAGGCAAGTTCCCTCGTCCGTCTCCCAGTCTAATCTTTCCACTAACACGTTTCGGTAGAGACCACTTCGAAGAAGCCATCGCTGCTCTCGAGCATGCCCGATTCGCACTGGCCTTCTCTTCCGGCTCCGCCGCCACGGCCAACATCCTGCAATCCCTCGCAGCGGGATCGCACGTAATCTCCGTGTCTGATGTGTACGGCGGCACGCACCGCTACTTCACCAAGGTGGCGGCCGCGCACGGCGTGAACGTCACGTTTACGCCGACCCTCGAAATCAACAACGAGGCGCTTTTCCGGCCAGACACAAAGCTGATCTGGATCGAGAGTCCGACAAATCCTACCCTGAGTCTGGTCGATATTCGCGAAGTCGCGACTATCGCGCACCGACATGGCATTATGGTGGTGGTTGATAATACGTTTATGAGCCCGTATATCCAGAATCCGTTGGATCATGGGGCGGATTTGGTGGTGCATTCGGTGACGAAGTATATCAATGGGCATTCGGTATGTCTCTCTCTCTTTTTCTCAGTCGACTGTTGTGTGGAATTATGAGCTAATAGCGATGAAATGATAGGATGTTCTCATGGGCGTCGCAGCATTCAACTCCACCGAGCTCAAAGACCGTCTCACCTTCCTGCAAAACGCCATTGGCGCCGTCCCATCCGCATTCGACTGCTGGCTCGCCCACCGTGGCCTCAAAACACTGCACCTCCGCGCGCGCGAGGCCACCAGGAACGCAACCGCGGTGGCGAGCGTGCTGGAGGCGTCGCCATTCGTCAAATCCGTCAACTACCCGGGCGCCGACTCGCATCCGCAACGCGCCATCGCGCTGAAACAGCATCGCGACGGCATGGGCGGCGGGATGCTCAGTTTCCGCATCCAGGGCGGCCACGACGCGGCGGAACGTTTCTGCCAGAATGTGCGCGTCTTTGTGCTTGCGGAGAGTCTGGGCGGGATTGAGAGTTTGTGTGAGGTGCCGTCTAGCATGACGCATGCTGGTATTCCCAAGGAGCAGCGTGAGGCGGCCGGCGTGTTTGATGATTTGGTGCGTTTGAGTTGTGGAATTGAGGATGCGGAGGATCTCAAGGCGGATATTCTGCAGGCGTTGGCCAAGTCGGTGGCTCCGGCGAGTAATTAAAAGCATGCATATGACGAAATGATTATAGATAGACTTGTTTGGGTTTGGAATCGGATATATACAATCAGCCATCTTATAGATCTACTTAATGATATATGAAAATGTATGAGATGGGAAATGTGGGGGTGATTCCTCTAAATCCCATTGGCCACATTCTGCTAGCGAAAAACATCCATCATTTTTATCAACCTCATCACGATATAGAAGTATATATCTGCAACACTGCTGCAAGTTACTGCCCTGGCCATAATGGCATCCACATTCAGCTTTGGTTTCTCCGGCGACGACATCGACATCGACATTGACAACGACGTCGAGGGCAGCGATCATGGCGTCGCACGCATAGAGCAGAATAAACCATCTAATAATAATAAGCTGTTCCCTGCCAAGAGGCATATATTGAGTGAATGGGCAAGTCAAATAACCATTTTTCTGTTATTCAACAGAATAGATTCCTAATACATCACAGACATCCACACTCCCATCCCAGATATCATACAGCACACTGAATCTGGACATGCCATGCAGACAAAAAGAGAAAACCACCATCGCGCGCAGAGAACTCTTCGACGTGCGCACTCAACTCATGGCCGAGGACGACGATGACGACTCCGAGCTCATCGCTGGTCTGGAGCAAGGAGATCTGAAACCCAATTTCTATGAAGGCGGGTTCAAGACGTGGGAGTGTGCTCTGGACCTTGCGGACGTGTTGCTACTACCCTCAGAAAAGGGCGGTGAGCTGTCCCTGAGTAAGGACGGCGATGGGCTGCATGTAGTGGAATTGGGCTGTGGGACTGCGGTGCCTTCTCTAGCGGTATTTGCACGGTTGTTGTCACTACCATTACCGAATCCGGAGACGGAGAAAAAGCAGAGATTTAGATTTACATTGGCGGATTATAACTCGACGGTATTGAGGCTGGTGACGTTGAGTAATTTCTTATTGACGTGGTGGGTGAATTCGCCGAGAGGACAGACGCAGATAGAAGAAGAAGAAGAAGAAGAAGAAGAAGAAGAAGGAGAACTAGACATGATATTTCCGTCGAGCTTCAGAAGGAAGAAGAAGAAGAAGGAGAACTAGACATCGAGCCCGCGCTCCTAGACGCCTTTCAGACAGATTTATCCAACCGCGGAATCACTCTCGACTTTATATCTGGTGGCTGGTCGGCTGAATTCGTGCAGCTGGTTCTGGACCCGAACCTCTCTTCTACTGCATCTACTGCAACACTCATCCTCGCCAGCGAGACGATATATGCCCCTTCCTCGCTGGGGGTGTTCTCGAAGACATTGATAGAGCTCTTACGGCATTCGGGACAGAGGCATACGGCTACTGCCTTGATAGCGGCCAAAAAGGTATATTTTGGCGTTGGAGGAGGGGTTGATGAGTTTTTGCAGGTTCTGTATAAGCAGCCGCTGCGAGAAGGGGAGGGGTCTATTGAGGTGCAGGAACGGAAGGAGATTAATTCGGGGGGAGTGAAGCGTGTGGTTTTGGAGGTTCGTATTCGGTAGAGACAATACAAAAGAATAAATAGAACTTAGATGTGAATGTCTTGGAATATGGTTTGACTCTGTTTTCCTGTTCAGCTTTCTTTATGTACAATACCCGTAACAAAATAGATCAATGAAATAAAGGGATGGAAACGATAATAAGCTCTATCAGTCACAACATGGGTGGCCTAATCGTATACACCGACCACCTTTCCATCCTTCAGCCGAGCGAGCCGGTCCCGCTCGAGGTCTTGGTGTTGTTTCTTATAGTAAGCGGCCACGTTGGAGAGATCGGCCTGCGAGCCGGGAGAGACATTGAAGGGCGAGCCAGCGTTAAAGACCCTATTTACACAGTTAATCAATATACGCATGATTGGAAGGAGGAAAAGCTCCTATTTTGGCTATATCAAACAGAGGGAAAGCGTACTCGGAAGTCCTCAATTCGACATAATCCTGACGAGTCGCTCCGACAAACAGATGGCGGTCAGCAGCAGCCTTCTCTAAAGCGACGGTGCGGATAGCATTGCGCTCTTCAAAGACTTTCTGGTCAGGCGCATATTTGTTGATGAGGCGGGAAATCCACGACTCCTCGGAGGACTTGGTGACGTGGTAAAGGACGAAGCCGGCGGCGAACGTTGAGACGGCGACGTAGAAGCTGGGCTGTGGAATGAGTTAGCAGTGAAACACCTCAATAAATATAGACACGAAAGGGCAGTGCAATTGTAGCTTTTGGTTGCAGTTCCAATTGCAAGGACAATAACAACTCACTCCAAAGCTTTCGTTCACCGGCCCGTGATGATGGTGGTCATGTGCGGCATGGGACTCGAAGCGGCGAGGTTGCTGGCACAGCAGCTGCCTCATGGGCGCAGCTGAGCGTCTGGCAGCAAACATGGTGGGGAGGGGGGATGACAGAGCTCACTCGGCGTGGGAGACAAAGATTGAAGCTCCTCCCACTTGGAGTTGAGGTTTCCCGTTGGCGGCTCGCTCGCGATCCCCGGCTAGGTCACGTGAGCATCCGCATGGATTGCCCAATCAGCGTCTCGCGATTTGTCGCGCCTCGATTTATTAGAGTAAAGTGATTTTCTTTGTCTGACTATGTTCAATGCAGTTGATCTTGATTTAATTCATTTGTGTAGAGCCTCTTGCTTCAACCTTGTCAGCAGTATGACGGTTGCAGATAGTTTTCTTATACCTCAGTTACCTAGGCAGTGTTGGGAGACACTTGGGAGATGGCAGAGATTTTGGTATACTTGGGACTGGAGTATCACGCTATATCGAATTGTAGATGCCTACAACAAGTGTAGCATTGCTCATGTTAGGCTTGCATCCAATTACTGTGCCTGAAAAGCAAGGCACTCAAGGCACAAGTATCAAAAGGACAGTCGGTCAGATGATCAGTCTGTTCTTCTCCCTTTATGTCATCAGTCAGCTCGAAACGTCAACTACACTTAGTTACAACAAACAAATCACCGTTCACACCTGTTCCTGTGGGATTCGACCAGCCAAACTACAAATATGTAGTCGGCTTCCATTGGCTGTATGCACGCTCGAAAAAAAATAATCGCCCGCCGGCGGGTCTGCTTCGTTGGCTGCTGTCGTGAGACAACTCACGCACTGTACCTATATCGCCAGACAGGCAAAAAAAAAAAGGGGGCAGGAAAAAAGAAATCAATGCCATAGTATGCCCAGTTCTAGAATCAGCTTTGCGCTCCATAATCACTTTTTGACTCATGATTGCAGGCAAGTCGTGTGCCAGTCATGTCTGCGCCCCTTAGTACCCTCCTGCTGCCCAGCAGTGCAGTTGATACCCAATTCATCTCGCGATGCCTCACTTGTTGGCAGCCTAGCAACGAATGATGTTTCGCGCTTGCTCCTTTTCGCCATGGCTCCCCGATACTCGACTTGCTAAGCTTATTTGCTTCACTGGTGCTGCCCATCAACGAGGGTCTGCGACTCTGCGGTGTGCCGCCAAAAAGTGGGACGCTCCATGCACGATGCACTTTTTGCTGACAAGAGCACACAAACGGTCTCCTCTGGCATAGCTCTATCTTGCTGTTGCAACAAGTATATAATTGCTACCTACGTATAGTTTCTGGCTCTTCCCTGTTTCACATGGTTTAGCAGCCCAACATTCGACGCCGTCGACTTCCCGAATCGTCTACCTGCTTGTTGGTGTCTGATCGTCGCTATACACCTAATAAATCGTTTTGCTGTGTACTATATTCGTTTGGCAGAAAAAAAGTGGTGACTCCATTTCCTTTTCTTTTTCTTTCCATTAATATCCTCCACTCAATTTTCTACCCAGTCGCCTCGTTGCATTTTAATTCGAACCGACCAGACAAGCCTCACACTAGGCCACTTTACATCCATCATCCTATTATTTCTTCCAGCAACACACCATATCTGTATAAATGCCTGTGTCACTGACGCCGGACTTGGTCGTCTAGTCTTGTCTCTGCTTATCTCAACGTCTTTGCAATAAGCAACAGAAGCGAATAGCAGACAGTTAATCCACGATTGGAAACACGTTAGCATCAGCCCGCGTTCCTTTTTTCTTACTCTCACCCACCTCTTCATCGGTCAAAAGCCCGTAACGTGGTCACACTATGGGCAAGAAAAACAAGTCGAAGAAGGAGGGGAAGGGAGATAAAAAGAAAAACCAAAAGAATGACAACTCTCTACCTGAGAGCAAGAAAAATGTCATCGAGGACCCCTCGCCTGTTCTAAACGAACAAAAGGAGGAGGACACTCCTCCCCAAGATACAGAAACCCCTTCTACTCCTGAGGTAGTAGACTTACCACCATCAACAGAAACTGCCGACGCCAACCTTGAACAAGTCCAAGGCGACGCCGCGGATCAACTGCAGTCATCTGAAGATTGGAGCGTGGTTGCTCCCCATCAACCACACGTCGAGGACTACGAATCTACGTTGTTGATGCCAGATGAGAAGCATTCACCCGCCCAATCAGTGAGTGGGAAAGAACCACAGCCCTTGCTTGTGCCTAACTCCGAAGCGGCCGAAGATACCTTTGAAGACGCTCAAGCAGAACCGGCTCAGCCAGACATAGCTGGAGACTTTGATGACTCTTGGGAAAAGGATTTCCCCGAGGAGCCTGAACACGTTGTTCCGTCGGATGAAGTAGCAGAACAAATTCCAGAAACAACAGAAGCAGCACCAGAAGCAGCAGAACCAGCTCCCGAGCCAACAGAACCAGCACCTGAAGCAGCCAAACCAACATCTGAAGAAACAGAACAAACCCCGGAAACAACAGAACAAGCTTCCGAAGAACAGCCAGCACCAGAAGGAGCAGATAAAGCTTCAGAAGAAGCCGCAGAACCTGCGCCCGAAGCAGCAGAACCAACACCGGAAGCAACAGAAGAAGTAACAGAACCAGCACCGGAGCCAACGGAACCAACGGAACCAACACTGGAAGGAACGGAACAAGCTCCAGAAGAAGCAACAGAACAAGCTCCGGAAGCAACAGAACCTTCAGACGAAGCAGCAGAACAAAAACTGGAAACAACGGAACCATCTCCGGAGGCCACAGAACAAACGCCGGAGGAGGCACCGGAAAAAATCGACGAAGATATCCCAGCAGAGATCCCAGCAGAGGCTGCTGCAGAGCCAACGGAGCAAACTCCAGAAGAGACCCCGGAGCCTGAAACCAAAGTTTCTGCTGAAGAACCTGCAGAAGACGACTGGGGTCACGAAGCATTCGAAGAGCCGGCTGAAGTAGCCGATCCGACTGAATCAACAGAAAACAAAGGCATGCCCGAAGGTCAACAACAGGAGGAGAAAGAGGTGGATTCCTGGGAAGACCGTGAAGAGCCTGAGCAGTTTCAAGACCTTCCAGAAGAGACTGATAGAGAGCTCCCGGCAGAAACTACAGCAGAAACTACGGCAGAAATTCCAGCAGAGACTAGTCAAGAGCCCCCAGCATTGACTCCAGAAGATACTCCAGCGGATACTCAGACAGAGGCTGGTCAAGAACTTCCGGCAGAGGCAGCAGAGACAGCAGAAGTCAAGCACGACCACCCGGAGGACGATAAAGAGGCCCCAGCAGAAACAGAGCCGGAGCCAACGGAGGATAATCCCGTCACACACTCAATTGCGAGTCCGACACCCCGTGCGCCTGCGCCTGCACCCTTACCATCGCCCGTCCCGAGTCAGCCACGTTCAGTGCATTCTCCAGCACCAGCACCACCGGCTGATCATCCTCTCTCTCGCCGCGGCTCACCTCTTGCATATCACACCTCGCCATCCTACAAATACGCTAGCCCTCAGATGCAAGCATACAATCCTTACATGATTGGTATGCCTGGCCCTCCACCAATGCACCCCGGAAGTGTAGCATCACCCTCTGCCAGTTTCGCCACAGCCTATCACTCTCCGACAATGGAGCATACACCAATGGCATCTCCGCATATGTACCCCCGACGTGGAAGCGCATATCCAAACGGCGCAAGAGACTATTCCAACGGTTATTACAATGGCAGGATGGATCGCACCTTGTCTGGCGGCAGTGGCCATAGTTATCGGATGGACAGAACAAATAGTCAGCATGCAGAAGAGGACCCTGGTCATGAGCACCACCATCTCTTAGGTCGTATCGAAAAGGCCATGCCCGACATTACACGTTTGCTGGATAGCTTCAAAGAGACCCGAAACAAGCTCCAAGCCAGCGAGGCTGAGTCACGGCAGTTACAGGCTCAACACGAACAAGCCATCATGCACAAGGACTTCTACATCGAAGCACTCCAGGGCCAAATGAAGAAAGCTGCAACAGAGACTGCAGAAGAATACTCCAAGTTCAAGGATGTCATCAGTGGGCTCCGTATGGAGCTTGGAAATCAGCAGGAGAAAGCCAAGGATCTGAAAGAGTATCTCGACGCGTCTCGAAAGCAGAATGAGGAACTCGAAACCCTCAAGTCAGAGCTCGAGAGCGAAATCCAGACTCTTCAAAAAAAGATTGAGGAGCTGCAGATAGAGCATGAGAGAGCTTTGGAAGAGGCGAAAGAGCATGAAAGATCCGAGCTGGCCACGCAAAAAGAAGAACTGACAAATTTGTTTGAGGAGATCAGAGCTGAAGATGAGGCTGCCGCCAACGAGCGCTACAACGAGCGCGAAAAGGAGCTTCTCGATGAACAGGCAGCTCTGAAGTCTGAATGGGAGGAGAAACAGCGTGGAATGGAGGAGGCACATGACAACATGCGAGCGGAACACGAAACGGCAATCAACGACAAACATGCCGAGCTTCAGAAAACCCTCTCCGATTTGGAGACTGCAAAGAGCGATTTGCAAGCGGTCAGCGATTCCCTTGTGCACAAGTCCGAGGACTTGGAGAACAAGGAGAGGGAGCTAGATGCAACGAAGGAGGAGCTTGAAGCCAAGTTGATAGAGATCAAGCAAGCACAAGACGACCTCCACAACAAACAGGATGAACTACACGCTACTCAGGCCGAACTACAGACAACACTTGATGAATTGGAGTCTAGAAAATCCGAACTTGACAACAAGCATAAAGAGTTGGAGGAAGCCCATAAGCAGCATTCCGAGGAGAAGGAAGAACTTATAGGATCCCACTCTGCGGCCCTCGATACCATGCGCGATGGGCACTCAACAGAGCTCAACACGCTACGTGATACACATTCCAATGAGATCGATAACCTTCGCAGTACTCACGAGACAGCCTCGAAGGAAATGGAGGAGCGCTTCGACAAGCTTTCGAGGGACTACAATGAGAAGGAAAAGACATGGGCAGCCGAAAAGTCAACCCTCCAGAGACATCTCAACGAAAAGTTGGATGAAATAGCCAGCATGGAAAGGGAGAGAGAGTCCCTGGAGCGCGACGACATGATGCGTGAAAGGCAGCTCCAATCCGCCGTTGACGAAATGCGCCGAACCATCGACAACATGGAGAATGACCGCGAGAAACTGAGAAAGACGTTGACAAGCCTAGGCGAAGCAACAGACCTGAAAACTTCGAAGGGTGATCAATTTTTGTAAGTACTGAAGCAAAATTATTTGGCTTCATTTTGTTTTTCTTGTTCCTATTTCATGTATTACGATTTATGAGCTATGAATTACGAATTACGACTTTTTACGACTGCACATGAGAAAAACAAATGATACTTTTTGTGATCCCTTCTTTTTTTTCTCTTTTTTTTTTCTTTTTTTTTCCCCTCAGTTTCACGCGTTCACACATAACATCTAAGACAAATTCTAATACCATCTTGAACTATAGCGTGGACTCATTCAACCAACTTTGCCAACTGATTGTCGACTTATCCAAGGAACACTTCTCTTACCTCCCCATCGACCCGCCAAAGGACATTCTAGAGAAGATCCCTCCCGATATGCCGTCTTTTTTAGACAATACGACAGCTTCGCGTGAGCTCCGATCAGCCTACATCCAGCACGTCATCTCCAAAACATTGACCTACCGCATATTCCAACCCTTCCTATTCACGCTCGGACGCCGCTACGACAAAGCCGATACATTCTTCCAGGTCTTGTCCATGGACATCCGTCGCAAATCCGTTCGTCGGGAAGCGTTCTGGAGACAGCAAACTCTCAAAGCCGCATACACTACATCCGACGCGAAGCAGTCTATCAATGTAGTCGCAGCTGTGATCGTGGACGAAATCGTCGACCATATCAAGCATTTCGCAGATCCGAAACAGCTCGACGCTCTGCTCGGCGGTGTCAGACGCATTGTCAAGCTTGCCGCGGAGACCTGGCGTCATGCCCGCGTCGAGCGTGAGCTTGTGCTTGCCACTATGCCAGCGCCAGAGTCTGGAGGCGATGTCAATGACGGCTGGGACGAGTATACATGCGGCAGGGCCGTTGAAGGGGTCAATGGCAACAGCGGCAGCGGTAGCAGCAGCAATGAGTCCGGTCGCCATGTGCTTCTCCGAGTCTTCCCCCGGATTTACAGGGAGGCTGCCCATGAGGACTTTGCGGATGACAAAGAGAAGATGAATGCCTGCATTTACTACCCCGGCACCATCTTATACTCGAATTCTCCCTCCGTGATCGCTCGTAGAGAGGAGCAGGGCCAAAAGTCGAATGGTGAGACAGTCCGTTCGTCGACTCCTTGATTGATTGGCATCTCTCTTTTCTAAATCATTTCGAGAGACAAATCCTTACTTACCAACATGGCACAATTATTTCATTTGTTTTTCTTCTTCTTTTTTCTTTTCTGATCTTTTCTTTTAATCCAACGTTTGTACTCCATGAGAACATTACATTCAGCATCCCTGTATTTTCAAAGTTTCAAGTTTCAAATTTTTTCAAAGATTGGATTGACATGTACTACATGAAGATGTGACGACGCAATGACTGAACGACCACCTATTATTACATTATATGACATATATACTGTGCATGGAAAGGAGCCGGGGACATATGGATTTGGGAGATTTCTTTTCTTTTCAGCGGCATGATCTTGTTTTTGGTTTTGTTGCATTTTGATATATTCACACACACGCTCATTTATAACATATTTCATTTGTTTTGTCTCTTTTTTTTTAGGTCTTCTTCGTATTTTGGAAAATATTATTCGCGTTTATTTGATAACAATTCAGTTATTCATATGAATAACTCTTAAGAGGCTATGGTTTTCTTGCGTAGAAGCCAGGGATATATTGTGGCTATAGGAAAGATATGGAGATAAATCAGATGAATTATACTCGGAGTATATCTACGGACGCCAAAAGGTGGTCAGTTCAGGATGACTAGGAGGAAGAGCAACAAAGTCATATATCCCAACGGGCACCGCCTAAATGCCTATGAGCGAGACTAAGGAATATAATTACTCTCAAGCTGGAACATGTATCAAGCCTTTGGCGGCTGTCTCTATATAGTTTTTCTTTGTATACTTAGATTGGATATTCAATTGAAGAAGATAAGATGTTACAAATCCTCTGTACCAGGCAAACAACCCACCTCCAAAGCAATCTCCTCCGCAATCATATCAATGGCAGAAATATCCTCAAAGACATCAAAATACTCGCCATTCGTCCCCGAACAATCCATCAGGCACTCACTATCAGGCTCCAGAGCATAGAACTTGGCCAACATGCCAGCTATCGTGATAGCATACAAAGTCTTCCCCCTTACCACCACCACCTCCTCCTCTCCGTCCTGACGCACAATACGACCACGAAGTTTCAAAAGGTACTCAGAAACCTCATCCGTGAATTTCTTCCATACCACCATGTCAGATTCCTGAAAGGGTGGACGCGTGTTCTCGTCAACACACTCACAGCCCCCCTCCAACATGGCTATCACAACTCGAGTCGCGCCTTCAATAGAAGGCTCGGTCATGTTGACAACGTGTGCTACAAACACAGGACGCTCTGGAGCAGTGACATAGTTCTGGAAGTCGCACTGGAAACTGATGCCGCAGTTTTCTTCACTTCGAAAGTGACGCAGGAGAACGTTCAGCCACATGTCGCGCGCGCATCGGACGCCTTTGAAGATGCTGTACTCCTTGTAAAGGGCTTGCATGTACTCGCTTGACACGCACTACTCTTATGTTAATTTTTTATTCTTCTTCTTCTGTTCACCGCAAGAGTTTTAGGGAGGTAGGTAAGTATTGGATTGACGTACATTCTCCTCCTCGGCTTCGGCCTCACCATCAATATCTGTCTCCATTTCGCTTACATTCTCATTTTCGGTCTCGCTGTCAGTCTCAATCTCGGAGTCCCTCTCGCTCTCAATTTCGTCCATTTTGGTCTTTGCCTTTGATGAGATGGAGTTCTCTTTTCAATCTGGACCCTTTTTCTTCCCTCAAATCCGGACGAATGTAGACTCGCCAGAAACTGGATGAGGATCGAGCATGACTAGTGCCAGATGAGGCGTCTAAGTCTTATAGATACTAAACTTGTTTATTCCCTTTGTTCCAAAGCGGCAGTTTATCCTGTGACGTAGATGAGACAGGCGAACATAGGAAGACCCATTTTTGCCGTTGAGAGGGCTGTTTCGACTGTTATTTTTTGGTGGTCTTTGTGTGTGTGTGCCGTGTGCTTGATATGGATAGAGTGACTGTTGGCAGAATCCGTTTCAATTGTTCATGAATCCAAATATCATAACCGTAATTGGGTGAAACACCTGCTTTTAAACAAAGAAAGCTATGTCAGCTTCAAAGAGTGCGGGACGACTCTCTCTTCAAGAGTACTCGAAACAAACATGAAGTAAATCGAGGATGTTTAAGACTATGGTACATATGAACAGGTTTTGTTGACACCATTGATTCCGTAATAAGTACGCCGCAGAATAGAAGGCGAATATTAGATTAATGTATATGAATGAAAAGTAAAGTCCATTCGTCAGTCAAGCAGCCCAGAATACCCTAACTGACAGCGCATCAACATGATTCTGCCATGCAGAAAATCGTGCCCTTAGCCAAACAGAAACCTCATCGCCAACTTTCATGTCTCTTACCTCCCTCCCATCTAAAGTTGCGCGTCCACGACCCGTTTCTTGCTCAATACGCTCTGCTTCATCCGATTCCGGGTGGATATCATCTCGGTAATGCCAAACGATATGGTAATCCGAAGAGCTTCTAGTTGCAGTACGGTTACATTGCAATTTACCGGGCTCGGGGAGAAACGGTCTTGGATGAGACGAGACAGACCTTTTCTCGGAATTTGAGTCTGATTCTGATGATGCCGATTCGGAATTCGGGGATGATGTTGAGGAAATGCTTTCAATATGGGTGTATGGTCTATGCGGGCTTATATACGCACTGAACCACGTGTACGATCCTCGGAAAGTGCCTTGATCATTGCGTCCTCCGCCCCATCCTTGGTCATGAGAAGATATATCGAACACGATTTTCCGACATGGATGCATGCCTCTGTGTAGTAAGAGACGTGATGCATCATTATTCCCGGCTGAGTAATGGTTTCCATGTCCATCTGACCTCTCCATGGCATCAATATCATAACATAGCGGCGCAGTCCTCAGACATTCTCTATCGCCGTCCGTGGAAATCACAAACGGGGTTGTTCTGAGAGTTGTCACCACGCTCGGCCAATACTCAGCCTCATCGAGGATCATATCGATCACCTCATCGGGTAGCGTCACTTTTCTCGGCCTTGACGATGAAGGGCATGGCCATGATCGACGGAGTATGTCGCGCACCTCAGACACGTCATCCAGACTGGGATAATATTCTTCATGTCCGTTGCCATTCTCATGAGCAGAGACTCTTGACGCATCTTTCTTCCTCGCGTCAGAGTCAGAGCCGCTGATCCTGCTATCTGCCCTTGGTTCTTGGTGCTGTGGATAGGATGGTAGGACTGCTATACGAGCCCTGCCACGATGTCCAGCGCGGCCACGGGCCATGCTGCCGTTGTTAAAGTACCATGCAATTGAGTAGAGAAATAAGAGGAACAGAACTGTTCCTATAGAGAAACCCATTGGAACTTTGAAGGGAAATAGGCTGGAAATTAATAACCAAATGTTTTTGACTTGAAGTTCCGATGACGTCGCCGGAAGATCGCCGCGCCACCAGCCACTTCTGTGGCTGGGCATACGAGAGGGCCAATCAGATCAAGTTAACTATATCTACAATATGTTAACTCATTGCCATCATCACTTTATTTGCGGTATGCAGACTTGAAAGTGAAGCTAGGCCACGGAGTAAGTGAAGGCGCTCTGATTCGACAGTCCTGAGATGAGTAGAGTAATGTATAACAAGTGACTGATCTACTTCTGAGAGTACTCAACATAATGTCAAATATTGCTACTCACAGAATCCTTGTGTGCTGTCTTTTTGGTCTATCGGTGGCAGTGGGAATATGCCTGTAGCTTATATTTCCTTCCACCATACCTGGGTCGAATGCCCTACCTTTATAAGGCGATGATATCAAGCAACTAACAACTTATATGTGCGGGGTCAGTGGACTACCACAACTCTTGGCCCCCATGGCAATAGCAGAAGTATCTCAAGACAGTTCTTTTAACTACCGGATTATCATCACAATGTCCAAACTAGCCGTCATCATCGGCGTCACCGGCAACCAGGGCGGTTCTGTCGCCCGGCGCTTCCTCCAGGACCCCCGATACCGAGTGCGTGGTATCACTCGAGACCCCGCCTCAGCCAAGGCCCAGGAACTATCCTCACAGGGCATGGAGATTGTCAAAGCTGACCTCGAGGATGTCGACAGCCTCGTTGCAGCTTTCCGTGGCGCCAATGTCATCTTCAGCGTTACCAACTATTGGGAGCCCTTCTTCCGGCCGGACCATCGACAGGCAGCGGCTGATGCGGGAATTTCCATCCGCCAACATGCGTATAACGTGGAGTACCGCCAGGGCAAAAATATTGCCGATGCAGCTGCTGTGGTGGTCGACTCCCTGGACGACAATGGCTTCCTCGCTTCGACGTTGAGCCATGGCACCAAAAGTAGTAAGGGTCTGTATCAAGAACTGTACCACTTTGATGCCAAGGCAGACATATTCCCATATTATGTAGAGGAGAAATGGCCGCAACTCGCAGCTAAAACATCGTATATCCAGACTGGATTCTTCACCCGGAGCTACAATTTCGTACCCACGGCATACTTCCAAAAGGTATCTATCCTCTCTCAATACATCCTCCATTTATTCTCTCCGTTTCCAGACATGACATATTAATGGGCAGGGCCATGACAGCAACCGGATGGAACTCGCCACATGCTGTTCCCAACTGATCCTGACAGCCTCATCCCGCACCTCGACGTCAACCGCGACACCGGCAACTTCGTCTATGCCGTGTCCAAGATGCCGCCGGGGAATCACTACCTGGCCGAGGGCACCACCTGCAGCTGGTCCGAGTACATCCGCCTCTTCACTTCCATCACGGGAATCCCGGCTCAGTACAAGCAGACCACGTTGGCCGGTATGATGGAGGCCGTGCTAGACCGGGAATTCGGCCGCGAGGTCGGCGATATGCTGCTATACTCGACGGATCCTGGGTATGATGGCGGTGACAAGACGATTCTTAAGGCTACTGATATTCGAAGGGTGGGTTCTCTTTCCTCCGTGATTAAGAGAAGAGAGATTTCAACTGACTTCTCAGGCTGGGATCGAGTGCCCAATGACGAGCCTCGAGGAATGGATGAAATTGGAGGATTGGTCTGCTCTTAGGTCATAACACATGTAAAACAAGATCGTCCCTCGTGAACGAATGGCCATTATTCTCAGCCAGACTTTGCTCGCCGGTAATAGAGGAACCGATAGATAGTATAGAGGACTATTGCAAAACAAGCAATTTAGTCATGCTGTAGACAAGGTGAGTATAGATTTGATCGGTCTATTACTGACATCTCGGATGAAGTCGAGTAATCGTCTAATACCATCCAAGTTCGAGATTGGTCGCCGATGTGTGAGATTGGCTCGGATTCGGCTAATCTAGTCGGCGAGGGCCTTACACATAGTATGATAGATGGACAACTGTTTCATTTTTGCCATTGACCAGTAGATATATTCACAAATTCTATTCTATAAATGCATACTTTCCTACTCCGTCGAAGCCTTTCTGGCAGCCCTTTCCCCCGAAGCACGATATAATGCTGCACGCTTGGAACTTCGATTATTTGGTCTTCCTTTGCTTCCGCCACGAGACTTGCTCTTGGTCTTGGGCGTATCGGTCTTTTCTACTGCGCGCTGCCCTTCGAAGACGAACGGTTTGCCGTCGTGCACTTTAGCAGCCCCGGCGCGTCCCAGCAGCTTTTTGGCACGGCCGCGGAGAGTGTTGCGAGCACTGTCAGTAGTTGGCGCGCCTCTGGGCTGGCCGGTCTCGCGTTTTTTGCTCGCTTTCCTTGCACGGGTAACACGGAGTTTGCGCGGTAGTAAAGGAGGGAACTTCTTGCCATCGAGAAGTAATGCAGCTTCCACGCAATTGGAATCGTAGAATTGGACATAGGCGAACCCCTTGCCAATTCTGGTTGCTTGGTCGCGGATTACACGCACAGACTCGACGTTTCCACCACCGGCGTTTTTCTTTTCTGAATTACCTGTGTTGGAATTGAATGTTCGCCATAGACCTTCCTCGACATCAGCAGGAGCGCTGGGTTTCTTCTTCTTCCTTGTTCCTTCTTCGTCATCGTCAGGGACGGTTTCCTGACCAACGAAATCGAGATTGCCCACAAATACGCATCGTTTGTTATCTATGGCTGACGGGTGAGCGACATTGTCAACGCGCAGATGCCTGTCGAGCACAACAGTCCCATTCAACGCCCTGGGAGCCCTTTGAGCAGCAATAGGGGTAGAGTAAACAATATAAGCATTAGTGCTGGACGCTGTAGTATCCATAATCTCCTTATGCGCAAAAGCAGCCCGTCGAGGAACTCCTAGCTTTGTACCGTAGGCAGTTGAGCGAAAGCGGATTGATTCCACCTTGTGAGGAACATCGGATTTAGGAAGGGTAGATAAAAAGGACGAGACGTGCGTCAAAAGAGTTTTTCTATCGCTTTTGGATGTGATTGCAGAATTCGACACGTTTCCTAGGAAGACTGTGCGGTTTGATTTGTCCAATTCTGCGGCCTCTGCGGAACCGGAAACAGTTTCGTGTACTGGTGGAGGTTCATTGTCGTTTTCTTCGTCGTCATCCTCAGCGTCATCTTCACTTTCTCCTGACTTGTTGCTCTCATTGTCCTCTTCTGCTCCGTCGGTTTTTTCAGCCTCACGTCTCGCCTTTTCTTTCTGTTCTTCGCGAGCTAACTTTTGCATGTATGCATCTTCCAGGTTGTCTGTGTTCCCTCTCTTACGCTTTCTACTTGGTATGGCTTCTGCGGATTGTTTTGTTTCAGCAGATGATTGTTCGTCTTCATCACTTTGATTGACGTCTTGCATTTCTGTGTCCTCTTCTTGGCTATCCGCACTTTCTGATACGCCATCCTCTGCGCTGCTGTCGGGTCGCGTAGTTGTAGTTTCAGGCTTCGCCGGACGTGGCTTGGGTACAAATTCAGTATATTGGATTGTTGGCGCCTTCACTGGTCCAGCCTGCATAAGAACGTCAGCATGCCAGAAGCCAAGAATTACGAGATAAAAAAAAAAAGGACAAAACTTACACTTTTGTCAAAAAGGGACGCAAGTAATGGATCAATTGGCGCATCGCCAGTCAAAAGGGCCGGCCCAGACACTGCCTCTGTGCCATTGGAAGCACTAGAATTAGTTTTCCATTTCTTTCCCATTGTCATTTCGAACGTATCACTTCTCTAGCAGATGAAACGCTATGTAAACTTGATGTAAAGGCTTTAATACTGTGAAAAATGAGAAAAAAGAGACAAGAATTGCTGCCAAAACACTTTCATCCAGCAAGCGATTTTTTCGCCGGCAAAAAAAAAAATAATGTTGGAGGTCTTGGCGCTCTAAACTTTCTTATCTTCACGTGACTCTACGATAAGAATCACCCCATGAGCTCATCTTTTGCGCAAAATTCACTTCCTGTAGATGAATAAAATGTCTTACGACATAGTTGCTGGCAAGACGTAAACCCTGCCTGATAGATTCACTGAGACATGTATCAACAGCAGGTAAAGGGAAATGAGTGTATGAGCTGTAGTTGGTTCCGAGGTTTAACCAACATAGCTATCCATTTGCTCATCAACACAGCCGGATTAGAACAGATGAGCCCGCCCCATAATTGGCCAGGACTAGTATCTTACTACGAGTTTATGTACTTGCTGTTAGAGTATATGGTCACTATAAATATGAAATTATAAGACTGCTGAAGAAAGGGCTGCAATTTGGAGACGTCAGAGCAGATTGCAAAAATGCAAGACGCATCCGGGCTGAGGTCACGTGGCGAGCGAAAGCCGAATCCCGGGCGGTGAGAGGCCCTAGCGGCGGTGATTGGGCGACACGCGTCCGAGAAAAGCCTCCAGCCGCGTCGACGGCCAGCGATCACGAGCGGCAGAACCGCACCGCTCGCGGCAGAACGGCGGCCATTGGCTGGATGTCGTCAATGTACGCTTTTCCAGTTCCCCCAAAGGCCGCCCCGGCACAGGAACCAGGTCACTAACAGTGTCCACCTGCACACCTACTCGCTCCTCTTTTTCTCTGCGATGCATTCCACGCCGCGCTTCAGCTCGTAAAACAACCATCGCTCGCCAATCTCCTCCAGATAGCACATCTTCTCCGTCCGCTTCGCATCCCCTCGCTCCTCCGCTGTTTGGCTGCCCTCTCGCACTTGTTCTCCGCCTTCGGGAGCTTCCTCGATTTCCAATGCTGATCGTTTCGCTTCAACTTGGCCTGGTCAAACCACACACACCATAGGTCCCGCACGCTCTGTGCGCTATAAACTTATCGTCTTCTTGACGCCGAGGCCTTGCTTTGTCTGCGCAGCGAACTCTTCTTTGGGGAGGCATACCCGGTTTTTCTCTTCTGTGTCGGTGGGGGTTCTGGCTGTCGTCGGTCTACCGTGTGTCGACCTCCTCGAGTGACGTCGCCATACCGAAACTGAGGTCGTCGCTGAATGCGCTTTTACATAAGGTGAGAATCTCCGGAAATTGTGCTTTTGCGATGTGGGAATTCTGCTTGTTTTTGGACTTGCCTGAGGGAAACCTCCAGCGCGGGCCAATTTGCCCCGACAGCTAACCAGCCGCCGGTCACAAAAGTTCGTCAACATACTTGCACGAGAAGACGGCGTGATACTTCTGTTTTTGTGTTTCCTTACTTGTGTTATAGCTTGGAAATGCGTTGCATTACTATCTTTCTTTTCCATTAATCTTGCCTTCCTCTTCTTGGATTCGCCATCTTGCTACGTTGAGCCTTTGCTAACAAATTTTCTACCTAGTCAACTGTGACGATTTCGAGTGCCCAACTACCATTTTTTTTGTCTTTTTAAGTTTCTTTTGAACAAAATATCATCCCTGTCGATTGATCGGCTGCGCTTCCGCCATGGATGTCGCTGAGAGCACTGAGCCGATTGCCACAACCGTCGTGGAGCTGGCAGGAACCAACCGTGACCTAGACATCTCCATTGACCCACTTGGTGATGATGGTCGATCTAGCAGTCTGAGTGAAATAGACGACGTATCTGATAATGAACCATTGGACGATGAGCCGCCGCTACCGCAACCTACTACCGCAGAGGAGGCAGATTCTGAAGCGGAAACTGAACGCTTAGAGGATTCTCCCAGCAATCATCGTATTTCACGAAACATCAAATTGAGTGGAGGAAGCCGTTTCGAAAGCAGTCCTAGCAAACTTGCGCAATCCACAACGTATGATGAAATGGACGACAACGACGACGACCAGCACGAACTAAACGAAACTCCGACCAAAGCGCGCCGCGTATCCAAAAACAATGGTGTATCAGAAGATGTGGCAACAATAATCCCCCACGAAGCGGAAAACCCTCACTCGCCTCCAGATATAGCAGGAAAGAAACGCAAACGTCTACAAGCAGGCGAAGATTTTGAAGCAGATGTCGGTGACGATGAACCGTTGCGAAAACGCCGTGGCTCCCTCAAGGGTGAAGAGTTTGGTGAAGAGGTGGCTGCCGACACTTCGGCAATCCGAGAGGAAACTGAAGAGGCTACTAAGCCTGAAACTGAAGCCTCTCGCAAGGGAACCCCGGCAGATGACGCACAAGATTCTGCTGTTCCCATCATTTCGAGCCGAGGGAAGAGAGGTAAAAAGACCAAACGAAAAGGGCGCAAGGCTAGAGATGTAGAGGACGAATTGGAGAATGGAGACGTCGCGGTGGAAAGTACAGAGGACCCGTTACCAGAGGACGACGAAGCCGGTGACGCCGCCGAGGACGTTAACGACGCTGACGCTGCTGCAAAGTCTGAAGAAGAGTGTAAGTTGGTTGGTTCGATAGATTGCGCGGTGCCTTCTTACTAATAGTTTCATGCACAGTAGCTCGAAAGATTGCCGCAATCGATGCTCTGGCGGTTCTGGAAAAAGAATTTGCAACGCTGCGCGATAAGTGAGTCCATTTAATGCTGGATCAGTAGACGCAGAAACTAATTGCTGGTGTTTTCATAGAATATACGACGAGAAAATTGCGAAGATTGATCGCGAATTGGAACAACTTACCAGTCCCGAGCCAACGCACCCCGAGCTACTACGGCAACTCGAATGTCTGCAGCGTCACCGCGACAAAAAAGTACATTATGAGCACACACTTTTCCAATACCGTCTGCAATCTCTGATGAGTCGAAGTCTTTCCGATCGAGCTTCAATTCATAGCACTTACTTCCAGCGTATACGAGATACACGGGAGAGGCACTCTACTGCTGTTAGCAAACAATTCTATGCCATTCAGCATGACCGTTTCAAGACCGACGAGCTCGGTGCTCATCACTATATTCCCTTCCCCACCAGGAGATCACAGCAAATATCCCAGCAGGCTGCGTACAATCAGGAGGTGTCAGTTATGGCCGGAGTCGCAAAGTATGTGGGATTTCCCGCAGCACCATCCCTGTCTGCGGCTCGCGGCACTGAAATAGACGACGATTTCGATAAAATGGGAGTAAGTTGATTCCTTGTTTTTTGTTCTTTCTTTCTGGTTTACTGCGAACTTACACCATTGGCAAGATTTCCATCGAGCATCGACCAGCTGTGGTACCGCATTCAGGGGTCATCCGTGCCGATATGCCCCGCTTCACAACTGCGGAAGAAGGCTTTCAGGATCTCTCTGCATGGTACAATCCCCAATATCTACAAGCGAACCGGCCTATACATCTATCCAGCATGGCATCATTTACAACGCCAGCAGCTCAGAAGCGAGTTATCGATATCAATGCGCCGAATGGATCTGCCTCCACTATTGCCGATAATGCATCCGCAGCCAACTCTTCGACGGCTAATACCCCATATGGCATGGAGCAGGATCATAGACACCATGGGCTTGGTCAACCCAGCGGTGTTGATTATGATATTATGGAAAGCAGAAAGACTGGATTTCGATCTCAAAGCTCGTCTCCACTTGATGTCCGCAAAGGGCCGCCTTCTTCTTCAAATCCATCAAACCAGTATCTCGAGGCTAGACATCATGAGGCCGCGGCACGAAATCCAGGATATTCTCCTCCGCGATTCGGTTTGTTTGGTTCCTCAAAACGAGAGCAATCTCCCTCATTATCGACTTCTAACAAGGGCCTTGGAGGGATTCACTCGGGGCTAATGACAGGGTCGGGGCCGAGCCGGATGACTGCACGGTGAATATACATACGTACCACACGACTAATAACATTGTTCTATGTGCTTTTCCTCCATATAATCTCTGTTCTGTTTTATGTGTCATCAATAGATTATGCTGCCTCTTTTGTTTTTCGATACCTCTATTTCTTACGACCAAACATCTCCGCATACACACATACTCGCCGGGAGCCTCATGACCTTTTTTTCAAGCGCAGATCAATCAAGCTCTATTTTGTACATCAGTATTCGGATGAGCAGTTGGGATTACTGTTGTTGTTTTGATTTCATGTGATATATATTTAGGTGTTTTTTTAGGGGGGTTGTGTGCTTTTCAATATTGATTTGACATGGTTTTTCCAAGCAAAAAAAGTGATATGCATAGCATATAAAGGGTGTGAAGGGTTGGATTATCAGAATTAGGTAGCTATATTCTCCTGTTGGTGTTCTTTCCTGTCCTGTCTTGTGTATATAATGAGTGAATGATTACTTGGATAGATATCCGTCTCTTCTAATGCTCCGTGTTTAAACAGGTGCGAAGATATATCATGAACCTGTCTTACAGCTATAATACTCGCCGAAACCAAGCACAATCAATGCAGAAGAAATATTCCACAGATTGATTTGAATGGGTATGGACCTTACGGCCTAGTAAGATAGACACTAAAGAATAAAAAGGGTTGAATTCGTCGTCTCCTTTCGCCCATTCCCATAAAATGATATAACAATAACCTAACGCTCGAAAATAAAACAAACAGATATCCCCAAACGCCGTGTTATTCCGTTCGATTAAGTTTGAGAAGTCGAAGGGGAGTATTTGTACATTGTATAGAAAGGGAGATATTTATTGCTTGTTGTTGGCAGCAGCGACAGGAGGAGCGTCTGGAACAACGACATCGGAGAAATCTTCTTGGCCGACTGCGCGGATGGTGAAGGCGTCTGAATACATAACCGATTAATTCTTGTTTGGGGAAGATGATGGATGGATAGATAGATATAGATGGTGGACGTACAAACACCAACGACGAACCCGAACAGACCCAGACCGGTCAGCGAGTTCTTGACTAGATATGGCCGCCGAGCACGAAGCAGGGCTGCTCCGGCTCGGTAGTCCTTGCCGTAGTAACTTGAATTGAAGCTGGGGCATGTTAGCGGGTTTYTTTTTTTTTTTTTTTTTTTTTCTGTTCTTCTTTTGCTTGTTTTCCTTTTTCTTGGTTTGCTTTTTCAAGGGCCGGTGGGCGGAGGAGAGGCAGGCAGGTGAGGGACGTACATTCCGGATGGCATCTTGGAACCAGATCGTCGAAGATGTTTCGAGGGTTGCTGAGGGAGAGGGGAAGAAGACGAGATGATCTCGAACTCAGGAAATGTCGGAGATGATGGCCAGGCCGGGCTTGGCAACCACATGTGGTGTGGCTGTGCGCTTCAATGGTGATGGTACAGAGTACACGAGTGTCTCTCCTTGACAGGGCCGAAGTATGTATGTATTTATGGCCATAGGGCTATATCTATATAGAGCTCTATGATAGACAGCTTCAGTAGTTCAATAAACGTGAATAATTGTACACTTGGGAAGAAACATTGCTGTGGCGGTGCAGGTCCGCGCTGATTGGTCCATGCGGCCAAGCTGGGTTGCTCAAGCCAAGAAAAGACCTCAAGCACGACGACAGTCAACCATCCTCGCGACCTCGTACTTCGTAGCCCTGGATGTTTTTCTCCTTTTCATACGCCCCCAGCTCACCTCTGGAACTGCCCTCCGAATCCACCCATTGAACACGATTGTCCTGCACATTCATCCTTGCGTTGCAAACCGGCAAACATACACACGACAGAACGAAAAGCAAGCTCTAGTACGTCAGGCCAACCCCAAGTGCATAATCCCACGAGAACCACGCGTAAAACACCAATTTCTCCCCGGCCATAGCGGTGCTTGCCCCCCTGGCACCTGCTGCAAAGGGCGAAAACTGGTCCAAACCAACGATGGCTCAACCCGATTTGAAAGAGCAACTCACCCAGCTCGCGGCAGCTCGCAATCTCGTCCTGTCCGACGCCGCGCTCTATCCACAAGTGGTGCAGGGCATCCTACCTATTATCGGCGTCAATGCACGGCTAGAATTACGACGATGGGGGTCAGAATTCCTTGCAGAGACGTTCGCAAACCCGACGCTGCCTTCGGCCAGCAAAGAGCAGCTTGCTGGCACTGTGCTGCCCACACTACAGGGGCTGTTGGAGAATAAGGCGGAGGATGTCGCGGTGGTTAAGAGCGTTGTGCAGACTGCGTCCAGTCTGTACCCGTTTGTCTTCAGACAGATGTAGGTTTTATCTTTATCCAGCGGAATTTTCTTTTCGTAGAGCAGACAGACTGTAGCTTCATCCCGTCGAAACGTTATGGATCTCTAACTTGCTTTTGTTTCCTTTGCGCCTCAGAATTCACCGCCCAGACGACAAGGCTACCTGGGAGCAGATGACTGCGATAAAACTTAATATCCTCCAAAGAATGGACACCGCGCCGCACCCTGTCAGGGTATGCTGCATCAAATTCGTGCAGAAGGTCGTGCATGTTCAGACACCGGGTCCTATAGCCGATCCCAGAGTGCGTAACAAAACAACATCCTTCTTGTGCCAACTATCGACTGACCTCTATTCTTTAGCGGCCTGAGAAAAACGAGACTTCTATCGCCATTGTGCCGAGAACTCATGCATTGCTGTCAATACCTAATCTTGAAGCCGAAGCATCCGGTCTGCTGGATCGACTTCTGACCGTTCTCCAGGATAACTCGGAGTAAGAAACTACGTACTTGACACTTGATTGGGAGGTACTAATTGAATGACTCAAGTGATGCGATTCTCGTGAATGCAACAATAAACTGTCTCGGCATCCTGATCCGCACACGATCTACTATTGCCAATAAGATATTGGAGACACTGCTGAATTTCAACCCTGTGCAAGGAGTAATGGGGCCTTTGACTCCTACCATGCGTGTAAAGATCAAGTCGATGGAGCGGACGACTCGCGCCGTACTGATAAATCTGCTCAAAAGGTGAGTTCTATTGACGATTGATAATTTGACGGAAATGTGTGCTTAATATATTTATCGCTTACAGGAATCCAAACCATCCACTGGCTGGCAAAATGCAACAACACATGGAAAGGTTGGCGCAGAACTGTATAGAGGCGTTTGACGAATCATCCCGAAAACGTGCGCTGCCAAACGAACCGACAGACGGCCTAGATAATGCCAAAAGGGCACGGCTCGGTGTTGAGACTCCTCCTTTACTCAAAATCCCTCCTCTTCCCTCGGGACCAGTCAGCTATTCTCAGCTGTTCACTCTTACCGAAGACATTGGCTTGTCCTCATTTGACGTTAAGCAACTGCCCCCCGATCTCATCGTCAAGATTGCCGTAGCCGTTCTGGGACGTGTTGATGTCAACGCACTGAATCAAGCGACTGAGGTGAGTAGATAAGTAGCTGCAATCCTTAGACAAGTCGAGAAAAAGGGCATTTCACTGACATCCAACAGGGTATACGCGGCCGATACCAAACCCTTGTAGCACGCCAAGCAGCGCAGGCTCAAGCCCCAGCTGAAGATGAAGAAGATGACTACGAACCCGAGTACCAGCCAATGGACATTCCCGAAGAGGAAGCAGAAGACACCGGGGCGGCAATTCTCGAAGTCGAGCCTGAGCTTGGTCCATTCCAGCTCAGCAGACCTCCACCACTCACAGAAAGCGAAGCCAACGAAATCGGCCGCGCAGCAGCCGACCGCGTGTTTGAAATGGTGGTCGCGACTCCATTCAAATCAGCTGCCAAAGGCCCAGGTTCTGGTGCTGGTGGTAGTGCTGCTGCTACAGCAGCCTTGGACCGTAAGGGGTTTGCGCGTCTCGCCGGAGGCTCCCTCGACTCAAAGGAGGCATGGATAACCATGCTTGTGCGCATGGCCACCCGAGCACCCGCAAAACTCGAGGCCGCTGCGGGCGAAATCCGGACTTCAGACGGCCGACCTACCATATCAAACTACATCCGCCAACTGCTGTATCGTCATGTTCTCGAGGATTTCCGTTCCAGGATCAACATTGCCATCATGTGGCTCAATGAAGAATGGTACAATGACCGAATGCAAATGCAAGCAGTAGCAGCCTCTCGGCACAAGAAGGAAAATGGTGACGAAGTCTCTGTACCCTTGCACTATGACTCGTGGGTGTTGCAAGTTCTTGGTGGCATATTGCCGTATCTTGATGCGCGTGACATCAAGATTCTCATTAGGTTTCTCAGCGAGATTCCTGAAGTCACGCTGCCTATTATTGGGCGAGTGCAGACTCTGGCCCGGGATCCGGAGCGCATCAATCTCTGTGTCCAAGCATTACAGTGAGTCTACACACCCTTTATCTCTGTATATCTAGAGACAGACTGACCCTTTCCCGCTATCTAGTTATCTCATAATGTTCAGACCACCCTCCAGAGATATATGTCTAAACGCCCTAGAAGAGATATACAATACCTGTAAGCCTTCCCCCCTCCCCTCTTGTCTACCCACGCATCACCAACTAACGAACCCAATCCCAACAGACGAAGAAGCGCGCCCATCAGCCAGCAAAGTCCTCGCGAAATGGCGACCAAATGTCATCGCATCTAATCCTACTACCAACGGCGTATAATTTCCTCTCTTTTTTTTTTTGATTTATGAATTTATAAGATACCATTCATTCAATTTCTTCGTCAAGCTGGTGATAGAATTCGTTTCACAGCCCTATATTTGTCTCAAAAGAGAGAGATCCTAATACGAGAGGGAGGAGGAAGATGTATGTATGTATGTGTACAATATACAGAGTTTCTTTCCTTTATTATTATTATTATTATTATTATTATTATTATTTCGTTTTCACAGGCAGGTAACTACTTCTCTTCAGACTCTATGTATATCAGACATACAATCAATAAATCAGGTACTACGTACGACACAGAATCAGACAGGAACATATAAATCCTCTTGGTCAGCTCTAATACTTTAAACTTATATAAAACATATTATCATACAAAGAAAGATTTTATGCAAAAGATTTTCCATTTTCACCCAGAAAAGACACATAGCAGAATACAACAAGGCGGGAAAAAAAAAATTCTCCAGAATCGGGATTTCTTTCTCTTTTCGGAGATGTTCTATTCAACACGCAAAACAGGTGGACCCTTCCTCTTCGTGCTCTTCTTCTTCTTGTGGCCCTTTTCAAATGCAACGGCGCTTTGGTGGTCGCGGCCTATATTGTCTAGTGGCTTGACTTTGTAGATACGGATAATCCAGTTTTCGCTGGTGAATGCTTCCTCGATGGTGCTCAGTTGAGGACCCTCGGCGGGTAGCCTGGCGCCACGAACGCGGTCCTGGGCTTGTCCTCCAGGGAAGAGTTGGTTGAAGTTGTAGTAGGACATTTTGTACCTATTCATTTATTAGCTCGCAGGTTTCTATTTGATATATAGAAATATAAAGTGACGGTTGGGGAAAGCTTACATCAAACTGTTACGCATCGTGGGAGTGGCTCCATCATCAACACGATACTCGCCGCGAGCGGTGAAAAAGTCTCGCTCCTTCACCTGGTCCGGCCAGATGCCCTCGGCGATACGCACCATCCACAGGAACTTGTTAATGTCATCTCCAGAGTAGCCAAGTAATCCTCCAAAGACTACCAGAATGTAGTCAACATCATGCTCCCGGAGGATTGGGTAGCTGACTTCCTCGCGAGAGCTCATGGCCTTTCCGACGGTGGCAATGTGGGTGTTATTCCACGTATTGTTGTCAACTAGGGTCGGGCGATCAGCCATGCCACCGATCTGGTAGCCATAGTCCCACCATGACATGATCTTGGCGTTTTGCGCGGTGTTCTGACGCAGCCAGTAGTATGCCTCACGGTAGTCGTCAATGATGAACTGGCTGCCATCAGGCATGCGGCTGGCCAACACCACGGATGGCGAGGAGTAAGCGTTGGAAGTAACCCAGGTGCAGTGAGCGACAAAAAGCATGAGGTAGCCAGCAACTGCGGTAATTACAAACGCCTTAGAGGATGTTGCGCGGATACCGTAAACAGTGCCGCGATCGCTTCGAAGTCCGTCCGTATTCTTAGTCGAGGCAGCTTCTTTGCTGGCTGGTGGGTCCTTGGCAAGTAGGTAGGTGTCCAAGACGTTGGATAATGCCAAAGCAGCCGCGACACAGACAATAGGAGTCAGAGTGAGCATCAAACGGACCATCACACCGGCGAAGTAGCTGGCAAGAACGGAGTAGATGACAACAAAGACATGCTCATCGTGAAGCTCGCGGAAGCACATGTATACACCGGCAGGGAAAAGCCAGATCAAGAAGTTAAGGTCGAAGAAGAATGCTGGCCATGCCGTCGGTTGATGTTCAGACACCGATGCAATGATAGGAATGTGAATCTTGGCGTATCCCGTGTCCCAAAGGGAGTAGAAACGACCGCTCCATGGTGCAATGACACCCGACACGGTCAGACCGACCAGTCCGATGAATGAGACACCGAAAACCAGTAGGACCAGGGAAGTCAAGAGCGTCTGGAATTGCTTGCCAGGAACTTGAGCTCGGATGAAGTCAACGAAAGCAACCAGTTGGATCAAACCAAAAACACCTGAGACGGTAAGTAAGAAGTAAACATTTCTCTAGGTTCAGAGGATGATTCTCACCTAGAGCAGACATGTGGTCGCTGCTGCGGATTGGCAAGAACCCTACAAAAGGAATTTGCATGCTCGCCAAGGTTCCCAGAGCGTACCATGTGGTGTAGCTGATGTACAGACGCGAGCTGTATCGGCCCATGCAAATGAGAACGAAAATGTGCAAAGGAATCAAATTGGTGATGAAGACGTATCCACCCCAAGCAGAGACCATATACCCATAGAATAATGCAGTGAAAGCTCCCCACATAATTGAGCCGTTCTTGACAGCTTTGATCCACAGGAAAAAGGTAAAGACGAGAAGGAAAATAGCAATAGCCTCGTTATCGTAACTTCCGGCAACAGATCGCGAGATGTACCCCGGAGTAATGCCCATAAACGCCGCAGCGAGCAGGCCAGCAGAAGGAGACGTTGTCATTTCGTTGGTCAGAAGGTAAGTCGCCAGGGCAGTTAAGCCCGAGAACCCCGGTGCCAGCAACACACAAATGTTTCGAATGTCGACAGGAATGGTGAGGAACCGAAGGAAATGATAGATCACACCACTGGTAACCATCAGGCCGGGGTAGAGTGTACCGCCAGTGACACGCCCGAGAGGATGCCACGTTCCTATCAATCTGTCAGCTTCCCTTTGTTCGCCTTGGCATGTTGGTAGCAGCCATACGGTCATCAAACCAATCCCAAAAACTGTAGAATCCATGTTCAACCAAGTGCTTAGTTGCTCTGAAGTTGAACCAAGGATCGACTGCAAAACAATGGCCTTGTCAGTATTTCTTCCGGAACGGTTATAGGCGGCGGAAGCAATTGCTTTTCATCCGAAGGAGATTCGAGATACGCACATTCATGGATAATACTTTCAAAGCCTAGAAATGACACGTCAGTCGGCTTTACAAGAAACAAGCATCTCAATTGGACTCGCAACGCACGAATAACACTGAAAAGACGGCTGGCAATGGCGGCCGCAGCAATGGTGCACAGAATAACAATGCGGAGGAGGCCGCGGATGTTTCTCCCTGTGTTTCCCTTCAGAAAGGGATCAAGTGGTGTGGAGGCCATGACGGCCGGCGAACAGGAGAAATTCAGATCAAGCGAGAGAAAGACACCGTGGCGAGGTGTTTTTTGCGCTGATAAACCCTGGGTGGTGTTGAGTGTTTTAGTATATGAAAAGGACAGCTCCGCGCCGCCAGGTGGTCTCTTGGACGGCTTGGCGAATGACGGCAGGAGCGTACGCAAGCAAGCCTTAGTGCTCAGGGTGGAGGCTCTGCGGGCCCGTGTTTGCTCCCCGCAGATTCTCTTGTCCTCTCCTCAGGACCTCAGCTACCAAACTTCTCTTGATCCATACCAATATTCTATGCAACAGCAGAATGGCTCTTCCGCCGCTTTCTCTCGCGCAGCTGCAGAAAGTGCTTGCTGAGACTGCCGCGCCCGACGCTCTCTACGATATCCTTAGCTCGTACGAGGACGAGACCTGTCTGCAGTTCACACAAGCTGCAGTAACCGGCGACCGGGCTCTTTTGAGTGCCTTCTATGCCTCGTTCCTCTTTTCACATCTCCTCATAGACGATATGTGAGTTGCGTTTTATGGCTGCCGTGGAAAGCAAAAAGCAAACTAACGCTGCTGATGGGACGGATCTAGTCAAGAAGCTCGTGCTTTGACGCATCGCATGCCACCGACAATGGTAGAAGACGACCCCGTGCTCCAGAATAGTATTGCCGTGCTACGTTCAATATGGCAAAACAAGTATTCCGAGACCTACGAGATATTGAGGAACCAGCCCTGGCCTGAACCAGTCAGCATTATTGTGCAGAGGTTCGATGGTGAGTATCTATATTTGGAACAAAAAGCTCAAAGAAGCGTCCTTTGCTTTACTATCGGACCACCAGCTAAGCTCCCCTTTTTCTTTTTTTTTTTTTCCTCTAGAATTTTACGCCGAAAAATCCTTCAAGAATATAAGCCGCATCTACGAATCGATCAGACCTGAAGTGGCCGCAGAATACCTAGGCCTAGATAAGATCGCAAACCACACAACTAGTTCGGAATTAATAAACACACTGGTGAATAAGGGATGGGAATGGGACACTGAGAAGGGATTATTTCGACCGCACGTACCGGTTGAGCCTCTGAGAGTCAACGCATCAAGAAAGCCCTTGGATGAAATAGGCCGCATCATAGGTCTAGCAAGCATTCAAGCAAGCTGAAAGGAATTGTCATGTCATTTCAAACGGAAAGAAATGTAGAGATTACGACCCTTACGACTGATAATCAGCAGCATACCTTATGAATCACGAAAGCGAATCCAGACATGTTGTCTTGTGCCACTAGTAGAACAGTCATTGAAAAAAAAAAAGGCTTGAGAGAAAGATTCTGATAGCAAGCCAAGTAAAATCTCTGGAAGCCTCTTAAAGGTACAATCTTTGAGATGCTCCCTACCCTACGCGGTTAACCGTAGTGTACAAGACAGTAACAATGACCAGGATATATACAAGGATGGCAGCAATGGTCTATCATGGTAAGATTTTCCCTTTCACTCGCAATGTCAACATACTCAGCAAAAAAAAAAGTAAAATAGGAAAAAAAAAATATAAAGGAGACGATGTAAATGATACAGATTGGCTTCAACCATGCCTTCGTAGTAGTAATAATGATGCCTTTTTTTGTCCGGCATCTATAATCGTCGCATAAATGCCATCTATAAACCCGCGACCACCTTCCAGTCTTCTTCATACACCAGTTTGCATCTATTTCTCCTCCGCCTTGGCGATTATGAACTTTTCTAGGTCGAATCGAGGATCCTCGGGGTCCGTGACGACTGTGGTGTGTTTGGGTTAATACATTGCACATTGCAGTAAGTTTCTTGCGGATAGGATAATAGGGTATACATACGACCAGTCTTTGAGTAGTCTACTGGTGGTGCATGTTGCTTGGCCCACTCAGCTTTGGCCTTCTGGATCAACGACTCCTTGTGTTTGTATTCTCGTTCTTGCTCGGCAAGTTTGGCCTGGCTGGTCAGGGTACCCTGATGCAAGAAACCGTAAAAGAGACCGCCGACAAGGGCGGAATAGCGAAGGACCTATCGAGGCACGAGCCGTTAGAAAGGAGGAAAGAAAAGCGTTGTCCCGAACTCACATTGACACCCTGCGAAGCCATGACTAGTTTATGGAAGTCCCGCCCCGGAGATGGAGGATGGGAATCAGCAAGAAAAATAAATGAAACAGGAAACTGCGGCTAGATACCAAGAGGACCGACTGGCGCGGCGCAAAGAGGGGGGTATCTAAGGTCAATGGCTGGAATTGGAGATCAGGTTCAATTGAAGCACGCTGCTAGCTCGATCTACCAAGGACAGACAGAAGTTCCTGTCGCGAGTTTTTCCGGGCCGCCGGCGAGCGGACGGCTTATGTCAGCCGCGGGTAACGTTAGTTCAAAGACTAACTAAAGATGGTAAGGACGGCCCAGGCACTGCGGCGCTCTCATACGCTGGCCTAGATCCACATGCTTGTTGGAGATGAATATGAACATTGCTGATGTTGATGCTCAGACGTCGACGGCGCTGAAGACATCCAGCATACCCCAACAATGCAGGCGCGCAAGGACGAGATTCTCGCCAAAAAGGCAAAGCTTGCAGAACTCAAGCGTCAGCGAGAATTACGCCAGAAAGAGTTCAGCCAGAATCGAGCCAGCATCGGCGACGCTTCAGAGGTAAAGTAAACACAAGTGAATAGAAGTCGACATGCTCACTAAATCCTGAGACACAGATCGTATCCCCCGTGCCGAGTCGAGCGGATAGCAGAGCAGAGCTTGACAGTCTTATATCACGCCTCGTCGACCGACCTTCCTCATCTTTATACAAAGACGGAGATGGCCCCTCACGCAAAGGCAGCCGACCGAACTCGGTGTTGAGTGCAAGCCAACTCAGCGGCGAAAATGCTGAGGTCTTCACACCACCTGTGCGCATGCCGTCACAGTCCATTGCCACACAAACCGAGGCATCAGGCCCCATCGTCCCTGAACCCGCGCCAGCGCCAGCCCCTGAACCGAAAAAGGAAACAGTCACGTATAGTAAAGCGGTGCAGACCGATGACCTACCAGAATACTCGTCCATGACAGCGAATGGAACGCATGATACTGACGATGGCCCGTCGTCGCCTTCAAGCAAGAGATTAGGTCGAAAGGAGCGAGAACGTGACGAGGAGATTCGGGAAAGAATCCGCCGGGAGATTGAAGAAGAACTGCAAGCAGCCCAGGAGGAAGCCAATGGCAATAATACAGCAGCAGCAGCGTCTGCTAGTCAGCTCAGATATCCGCTTCGCACGTTGAATGACGATGAGCTTAACGCCGTCACTTCTTCGGACGATTTCTTAGACTTTGTTGAAAAATCGAGCAAGGTCATTGAGCGTGCTCTGGACGAGGAATATGACATTCTGGCCGACTATGAACTCGGCGGAGTGAATGCGGAGGACGAAGATGATGATGAAAACGGGAATAAGCGAAGAGGCATCAAGGAAATCACACAGTTCTACGATGAGCGATGGAGTAAGAAGCGAACAATCAGCGATTTGAGCTTTTCGCCAAAGGTAAGCAATGTCCCGTCCAGCTACACGTCTAATATTCATATGCTAAACGATATTTAGTTCCCAGAATTGGTGCTCGCTGCATATACTAAGAACCCAACTGCGCCTCATGAGCCTGATGGTCTCCTTCAAGTCTGGAACCAGCACCTTCATTCCCGTCCAGAATACGTATTCCACTCTACATCAGACATTCTCACTGCGAAATTCTCACCTTTTCATCCGAACCTGATCGTTGGCGGGACGTATTCTGGGCAAGTCCTGCTATGGGACACACGATCAAATCGAGCTGGCGGCGGTGCACCAGTCCAGAAGACCCCCCTCACAGGAGCAGGACACACGCATCCCGTATATAGCATTGCCATAATCGGTACACAGAACGCCCACAATATCCTAACAGCATCCACAGACGGCGTTGTCTGCGGCTGGACAGTGGATATGCTATCCCAACCTCAAGAATACCTCGAATTAACCACCCCGCCGCCGTCAAGGACAGAAGATCTCGCCCCAACCACAATGTCCTTCCCCCAGTCCGACCCGACCTTCTTCCTCGTCGGGACCGAAGAAGGCGGCATCTACCCATGCCACCGCTACGACCGAGCCGGCGCCAAAGCCGGCACAGATCAACGCCTCGCCTACCGCGGCCATGCAGCACCCGTCATGTCAACGGCCTTCCACCCAGCCCGTGGCCCCGTAGACTTTGGCGACCTCATGCTCAGCTCCAGTCTAGACTGGAGCGTCAAGCTCTGGCGTGTCCGCCCACCAGCAACCACCGCCGCATCAGCCACGGCGGGACTAGGCTCCTCCTCCGCCCCGCAGGTCATCTCACCACTGCTCGACATCAACCGTGAAGACGTAGTCTACGACGCGAAATGGTCCCCCCACCGGCCCGGTGTCTTTGGGCTTGTCGACGGCGCTGGCAACGTCGAAATATGGGATTTGTACAATGACATCGAAGTGCCCGCCGTGAAAGCGACGCCGACTCCCGGTCGAGGCGGAGTGGTGACGAGAAGCTTGAATAAGATTGCCTGGGAGGAGCGCGAAGGGCGACGCGTGGCTACAGGCGGGTTGGATGGGGTTGTTACTGTCTTTGAGGTTGGAAAAGCGCTTAGTGGGCCGGTAGAAGAGGTGCCGTCGGATGAATGGACGGGCATGAAGCGGTTGGTGAGTAAATTAGAGCAGACTGATCGAGGAATATGATTTTCTGTCTGTCTGTCTATCTATTTTATCTATGGCCCTCTTTTTTTTTTCCCTCTTTCGTTAATATCTATGCTGCTGTATACCCCTGCTCCTTCTCTCTCTCTCTCTCTCTCAAAATTCCTGTATGGAGTTATGCAACTGCAGACGTTTTGTGGTTATGGCATTGGAGTCTCATAAATAGTCCCGATCATTCATCCACATAAAGACGTATATCATAAGTTGAAATTGAAAACATGTCTATACTTTTTTTTTTTTTTGCCCCCGTCAGAATGAGATCAAAGTATAAGAAAACAAAACTCACCCAGCAATCATAGCACTGCTAACGTTAATAGGTATATCTAAATCCGGGCTATAGCACTCGGTGTTAGTACATGTATAGAAAGGAGAGGTTCAGAGCTACTTACTGTCCCTTCAATAACCCGATGTCTCTTTCTCTCCCAATTATTCGCCTGTCGAAAGTAAATCGTAAATGCTCCAACAATTACAATCATCAGAATATGCGACCCGATCGACACCCACACAGCAGTCGGATACCAAGGCGCCTCTTGCGCCTTGACTATGTAGCTACCGGCAATGCCTCCGAGACCATCAGATGCAGAAATGGATGCTGCGATGGTGACTCGTTTCCACTGGCCGACGATGTTGTTGGCTTGGTATGCGTTTAGAGCTGCCCAGTTGGAGACATAGGCGCCTGTGGTGAGATATGTGCCTATGTACCGCACGGTGACTTGTTTGGAGACCGGGAAGCCGAACATGATGAACCCTGCTATGAGGCAGAGGGCATTGAATATGACCATTGGTCCCCGGAGGCGGAATTTATCGCCAATTAGTGATGTGAGAAGGGTGGGAATTATGGCCCAGTAGTATGGCTAAGTTAGGTGTGGTCAGCAAACGTCAAGAAGTGCGCGGGTGCATGGCAAAGTTGTATCTTACTGGAGCAGACAGTACAATGCTGGCATTCTCCGAATATCCCATGCCTGATTCTAGAATAATGGGGAGGAAGTAGGACATCGAAGTCGAGACTAGGTTCAGTAGGAAAAACAAAACTGCAAACCCGTACAATTTCGGGTCTACAAAGTTCACTACGATCTTCTTCCAGGAAAAAGGATCAGGTATAACATCACCCCTGTCTTTGCGAATGCGGTCCAATGCAAGTTGGATTTCCGATTCGGAGAGGAACCAGAGAGATTTGCCAGCTTTCTCTGGGAAATCTATCATCCACCAGTAGGTGACAATGCCTATAAAGCAAGCGATAAGCCCCTGGACAATATACATCCATCGCCAGCCGGCTAATCCACCCCGCCCATCAAGGTGATTCAATCCATAGTTGACGATATCCCCCGTTGCGAGAATGAGCACTTCGCCAGATTGCATAAAAGCGAATCGCAACTGCTGCTCTTCGCGGGTATACCACGTACTTATCAAATACGTCAAGCCAGGGTAAATTCCAGACATGGATATACCGAGCAAAACACGCAGGGCAATCATCTGGCGCCAAGTCTGCACGAATGCAGTGCACAGAGTGATCAGGCCGAAACAAAAAGTGATCAATGCGAACCATATGCGGGGCCCCACGAAGCGCACTGCTATTGTGGACGGCAATTGGAAAACAACGCTGGCGACAGTGAATATAAAAATTGCAACGGAATAGCGGTTCCCTTCAAGGCCCAGATCCGAGGTCATGCTAGTCACCGAGGCGGAAGATATGATGCCCGAGTCGAGAAGATTGAGACTGCATAGTAGTCCTGCGATGGTACAGAGCCGCAAGTCGACCTTGAGGCGCAATCTCTTCTCCAGTCGCAGCCGATCTTCGGTCTGTTCGCCGCCATCCGGGCGATTCTCGGTTGTTGTCTGGTCGGCGAAGGGCGTTTTGGCTTCGCTGGAGAGTTGCCCCTGCTCCTCCTCACCAGACGGATAGGGCTCGATTGCCATGTTTTTTTTTTCCCTTCCACCCGCTCGCTGCCTGCCTGTCTGCTAACCACAGGGCTGCAAAACTTGTGATTAGTCTGTCGAGTGCTCCCTTGCTGGCCTGGTTGGGTTAAGATTGCCCGGTGTCGGTCCGCGGATCTCTGAGTGTTGAGTCACATGAGACCCCTTTCTTCTATCATCGAGACAGCTTAGGTCTTGAGCGGGAATAGAACAAATAATAACGCTCCATCACGGAAATACAGAATGCTTCATAAGCGATGAGAAAGCGGAAGGTCGCACGGCAGGGACGCCGTGGACGGCCGTCGAACATTGCCGAACCCTCCTTCCTTCCTTCTTTGCATCCGTCGCTCCTGCCGTCTTGTCTCGACTCTGCCCCCTCGTGCAGCTTACTAATAGGCTACCAGCCAACTTCATCTTCTCTTCGCTGGCATTTTCTTTCATTGCAATGTCGTACGTCCCATGGCTCATCCTGCTAGTCGCTTCGGTGCGGCGATTCACCTCGGCCCGTGCCAATGCTTGCTTGCATATGGCTTGTCCATGATCGGAAACGCCGAAGGATTCTCCTGGATGGAGCTTCACTGACGGAGATTCAGCTTGGTCTATAATGCTCTGGATGTCGCGTCCGTCATGAACGCCGGATATCGACCACGATTGTCTTCGCCCGGGCGGTTTCAGACTTGGGGGACGATAGAGCCAGTACGTCCAGAACGATTTGATCTGCTTGATACTGGAAACTCTGTACATCTTGCCTTGGCCGCGAGTCACTCGGGCCACCACCCCTCTTCATGAAATGGCAGCGCCATGTATGCGAGCGAAGCGATCGATGTTGCCGTTGGTGATGGTTGACTCAACATTCTCCCAGTGAGCTTGCTTCTGCCTAGCCTAGGTTATTTCAGGAGGAAGAAGGCAATTCTACGATCATATTGACAATGTACTTGTACTTAAAATCAAGTCTAAACGCTGCTGAAGTTGGAAAGCTTGCGTAAAAACACTAGGTAGCAATGCTTATGTTAATAAATTAGGTACTGTTGTAGGAGAAAGGCAAACAGCAAGAACAATTCTGTACTCTATCTACCCAATACCAGCTAAGAACCTCTGAGAGCAACGTGGACTTAGTCTGATTATTCTATGAGCAGCAGAAATCGCCCCCAAAATGTTCGGTCGACCAGGCTCCGTCCGTGTACACAACCACGAATAAATCCGCCACTTCACATGTGTTAAGGAAATGCAAAAAATACATCATGCCTGCCACTGATTGGGAGCGACTAAATTCAATGCGAAAACGAGTGTTGTTCCAGACCCCGCATTGATAGTGCCGGGATAGTTAGTCAGATAACGAAACTCTGCAGGCTCCGCGAGCTCTTCTCCGCGACAGTCTGCGTCTCCGGGCAAATGGAAACTAAGGCGTCGGCCGAACGGCCACGAGCTCGAGTTCTCCCTGACGTTGCATCATGGTACGCTCTATCCTTGCTGCTGCTGCGTTTCTATTGTGCGGTCCTTCTGTTGCAGCCCATATAGCCCATCTCCCCGATCAAGCAGACCCCAGCACTGATTTCCCTTGCTATATGCCTACCTCTTTTTCTTCGCTAATACGATCTACACACACGCAGGATGGTCGAGTTCATACCCCCTCCGGAACCTGAGGTGCTGCTGCCGCCGTTGCTCGCCTGTCTACCTACGGCCTTCGTCTCCAGCCGCCCTCCTCCCGCATTACTTCCCCTTCTTTCTCCTATACTGCGCCAGCGTGTTCAGATCTTCAGCTCGGTGGCAAACTCGCCCTCAGACTCCTGGCTGCGTTTACTCTGCTGGGGAGACGAGAAGGCTGACCACGTCTCGCGCAACCTCGACGGTCTAGAGTTTGAGCCACATCCCGTTTCGGGAGAGATCGAAGTCCCCGAAGCATTGTCCATAACGTACAAACGTGTCGATGAGGAGACGCTACGCTCAAAGTTGGATCTCTCCGAATATAAGCTGAGCGTGATATATGTTTGGTGCTCAGATGATCAGGACGGCGGCGGCCCGGGCTGGCGCATTGCCGAGCTGGAGCCAGGCGATGATGCTTCGGACCGATCAACATGGTCGGAGAGTATCAGCGAGGCCAATGAGCATGCGAGGGAGCGCATGATCGATGACGCCCTGAGGGAAGCTGAAACTGGCAAGACACGCACGGAGGAAGACAACGATGACGATGAGGATGACTACTGGGCACAGTACGACGACACGCCCGGAAGAACGCCGTCGGCAAAGACACAAATATCTCGCAATTTCCAACCACCATCAGTCGTATCAGAAGACGCATACTTTTCCCAGTATGCCGACGTGCAGCCGGCGATGGATAACCATGATCCGTCCGAAGACACCGCTGACGCTGGCGCGTCGTCCCTGAATGGCGATATCTTTGCAAGGATTTTACAGCAGAGCGCCTCGGCCCGCGAGGCCAGGGACTCGGAAGCACAGGAGCATGACAACGAGCAGGCGTATGCCATGTCTAATACGGTGAGCCACCCACGGCCAGCATCTGCTTCGTCCGGATCGACCGTTGCAAAGCTGGAGCAGGAGGCAGAAAACCAGTCGGCCTCGGAAGTTGCTATTAAACAGCACATTGGCCATAGCATCAAAAGCCTGTACCGGCTGGCCAAGACGACTGGAATGCAACGAGCGGAGTTTCAGAGCCTGATCCGCACAGAGATCGAGCTTCTTAGTTTGTCCGATGAAGATTAGTTAGTTGTCCAGTGTCATGTTCAGCAACACATGTTCAAGTTCTTTCATGGGTGGAGTCTGGTGTTCGTTCTGAGATTTCTCAAAGTTACATATACGACGATTTGTGCAGTGGCATACCTGTTGAGCTGGATACCTGCCTGGTTTTGCATCATGAACTAGTTAGCTACGTTTATATACACATACGCATTGCGGCTTTTTTTAAGTCGGAAATACGAATTGCAGCTCCTGGTAAAGTGATTCAAACGAGGAAATCAACGTGTGTAACTGTTTCTTCAATGTGAAGGGTCACAGTCAAGCAGAAAAGGAGAGAGTCCGAGCGTCCGCCCTTTTAAATTTAGCCTAGTCGACTGTCGCTCTCCGGGCCTCCGACGCAACAACTGTCAAGGACACGCAAACAATAACCTCAGGATCGCTCTTCCGACTGGGGGAACAACACCCACTTGCTTTCTTTTCCATTTTTTCTTTTCCCCTTTTGAACCTGCATTTGCAATGCTTTTCTAATTCGAGTATAACGTATGCTCCTTCCCTATGGACGCTGTTCCGTTTCATGACGCTTGGAAAGTTATGGGCTGACCTGACCCGATCTATCTAGCAACGGTGGTCACTTTTGCCCCTCCACATTCGCTGAACTTTTTACTATAAACAAACTTCAATTCCACGCCTCATTTATCTGTCTGCCCTTCCTTCTTGTCGGTTTTTCAAAAACCAATGACTGCTGCCAAGAAGGGGGAGAAACAGCCCCATACGGGAGCTGTGAACTCTCCCCTCAAGTCCAATGCAGAGGCGAAAAAGTCTCCGTCGGAATGGGATTACTGGGTTGGTATGACGGTGATGACCGTGCTGGCTTTCATCACGCGCTTCTGGATGATCTATTACCCCGATAGCGTTGTCTTTGATGAGGTGCATTTCGGAAAGGTTCGTTCCAAACCGACTGACTGCCTTTCGGAAACTTTCTGTATTAACAATGGAGAATAGTTTGCCTCGTACTATCTGCAACGCACGTATTTCTTCGATGTTCACCCCCCCTTTGCCAAGCTCCTGTTCGCCTTCGTAGGCTGGCTGGTCGGCTACGATGGCAGCTTTACGTTTGAGAACATTGGAGATTCCTACATAACGAACAAAGTCCCCTACCTCGCATACCGCGCTTTGCCTGCAACTCTGGGATCCTTGACAATTCCCGTTGTCTTTGACATCATGTGGGAATCCGGCTATGGCTTGCCGGCATGTGTGTTGGCGTCCGGATTGATGGTGTTCGACAATGCCCATATTGGCGAAGACCGCTTGATTTTGTTGGATGCTTGCTTGGTTCTGAGCGTAGCGCTGAGCATACTCTGCTACGTCAAGTTCTATAAGGAGCGCTACAACGAATTCTCTCGCAAATGGTGGAAATGGCTTCTTCTGACCGGAATCAGTTTGAGCTGCGTGATTTCCACCAAGTACGTCGGTACCTTTACCTTTTTGACTATCGGGTCGGCTGTGGCTATTGACCTGTGGAATCTGCTTGACATCAAACGCCCCCGAGGCACCCTTTCCCTCTTCCAATTCAGCCATCACTTTGCAGCCCGCGCTTTTGCGCTTATCATCGTTCCGTTTTTCTTCTACCTTTTCTGGTTCCAGGTGCATTTCGCCATCTTGACCCGGTCTGGACCTGGTGACGACTTTATGACTCCCGAATTCCAAGCAACGCTCTCCGATAACCCAATGACTGCTAATGCTGTCGATCTCGAATACTACGACAACATTGTTATCCGCCACAAGGATACCAAGGTCTTACTTCACAGCCACTTTGACCACTACCCTCTTCGTTATGACGATGGACGGATTTCCAGCCAGGGTCAACAGGTCACCGGCTATCCATACAACGACACCAACAACGAATGGCAGATCCTACCCGCTACCCCTTTCCCTGAAGGCAACAAGCTTGGCCACAAGGTCAAGAACGGAGACATTATTCAACTGCGCCATATTGTGACCAACTCAATTCTCTTGACACACGATGTTGCTTCGCCTCTTATGGCTACAAATCAAGAATTCACGACTGTGACCCAGGAGGTGGCTGATGGCGAGCGTCACGACGACACTTTGTTTACGATCCAGGTTGAGAACGGGAAGCCTGGCCAGAATTTCCGGTCCCTGTCCGGTCTATTCAAATTGATCCACGTTCCTACGCGCGTAGCGTTGTGGACACACACCACGCCTCTTCCCGACTGGGGCTACAAGCAAGCAGAAATCAATGGCAACAAGAACATCCTGCAGGCCAGTAACTTGTGGTATGTGGATGAGGTGACTTCGATTCCCGAAGGCTCCCCGCGGTTGGTGAAGCAAGAGCGGAAAGTGGCACACCTAGGATTCATCCGCAAATGGGCGGAATTGCAGCGTGCCATGTTCTTCCATAACAACGCGCTTACAAGCGAGCATCCATACGCAAGCGAGCCGATTCAATGGCCTTTCCTGTTGCGCGGCGTTAGCTTCTGGACGGACAATGATACACATGGCCAGATCTACTTCTTGGGTAACCCCATCGGGTGGTGGTTCGCCAGCAGTTTGCTGGCTGTGTTTGTTGGTATCGTTGGCGCGGACCAACTGTCATTGCGACGAGGCATCGATGCAATTGAAGAGAGTAAGTGATACACACAAGCTCCGTGATGTCTGTAGAAATAAAACAAATGCTAATCGATAAATGAACTACAGTCTGGGGCCCCGGAACTCGCAGTCGATTCTACAACAGCACTGGCTTCCTCTTCCTTTGCTGGGCACTCCACTACTTCCCCTTCTGGCTGATGGGTCGTCAGCGTTTCCTGCACCACTATCTACCAGCCCACCTCGTATCGACTCTTGTCGCCGCCGCCCTGGTCGAATTCATCTTCACCCTCGACCCCATTTTCCCTGCCAAGAGTGACTACAAGACGGAAAACGGCCGGCCAAGGCTTGGTCGCTTCCGTACCGCCAAGGAGCGTCTGGGTAGTCAGTCCCTGTATGCCCAATGGGCGGTCACTATGCTTGTCTTGTCAGCTGTTATCTATTCGTTCTTCTTCTTCGCGCCGTTGACGTACGGTACTGGTTTGGATGTGGAGGGCGTGAATGCAAGGAAGTGGTTGGCGTATGATTTGCATTTCGCCAAATGATCGATTTGGTCCCATTTCGTCGGTGTGTGACGTATGACGTCTGACGTCTGAACTTGTATATGTAGTATTCTGGATATTTGTTAGAGAACATGTCCTTTTCTTTTCTTTTTTTTTTTTTTTTTTGAAGGATCGTTCGTTGGTTGTTGGCGCTGGTAATGAGTTGTGCTATAGAGGTTTTGGAAGAAAATTCGAGGATTAGTAGTAGTCATGTATGTGCTTGAGCGTGTATGGAAAATTGATTTGATTTGTTTGATTGGCACGAACTTTACCTTGTAAGCAATTGCAAAGATATTGAATAACTCATCTAAAATACATGGATCATCGTAACGTTCACAAACTTTGTGAATACAAGCAGCATGAGTCACGACGACACCGGGGTATGAAACAAGATACAGACTATAAAGTGAAGCAATTTTTAGAAAAATCAAAAGAAGATAAGCAAATCACAAGACGCCATTAGATAACTTAAGAATAAAAAAATCCGAAAATTAATACCGAGCCATCCTCTTTCCAATCTCACTCTGCCAACCCATACTCTTCTCAAAGCCATTCTTCGCACTCTGGAAATCAAGCATAGCCTGATACACCTCCTCCTTAGTCGTGCACACAAACGGGCCGTATTGGACGACTTCCTGGTCAAGCGGCTGGCCCGAAACGAGGATGAAGCGACTCTCCTCGTCGGCATTATCGGGCACATACGCCTCGATATGGTCGCCGGCCTGCTGGAAGACGACGTTATGGAACTGCTTGATGGGCTTCGTGCTCTCGTCCGTCACAAAGTGTGTTGTGCCCTGCAGCGTGTAGGCAAATGTATTCCAGCCAATGGGGAGCAGCTGCTTGACTCGCCCGCCCGGCTTGATGGTAATATCCAAGAACCATAGAGGCGTGTAGGCGAGGTCGCGCACGGAATCGACGCCGTGCGACTGGCCCGAAATCACCTTGATGATGACCCTACCCTCGTCGACTTTAGCGACGGGGATTTCGGAAGCGCGCAAGTCCCGGTAGCGCGGGTCAACATATTTCAGGTTCTTGGGCAGATCGACCCAGAGCTGCATGCCGACATTGGGGCTTCCGTCCTCGTTCTCGTGCGGCATTTCGGCGTGCATGATGCCCTTGCCCGCGGTCATGAATTGCAAGTCGCCAGGCCCAATGGTGCCGCGGTTGCCGGCAAAGTCTTCATGATCCACGCCGCCTGAGAGCAAGTAGGTGATTGTCTCCTGGCCCCGGTGAGGGTGGTCCGGGAACCCGGCGCCCTTGCCGATTGTGAAGTGGTCTAGCATCAGGAATGGGCTGAAGTTGCGCAGTTTGGGCGTGCCGATGGATCGGCGGACGCGAGCGCCGGCACCTTCGGCTTGCTCGATGGCTTGGAAGGCCATGCGGATTGCGCGTGCGGCTGTCATGTTGTTTGAGGGGCTGAGGAGGATGGGTGGTTGTTCTTGTGGGATGTTGTTGTTGCTGTTGCTGCTAGCTTGCTCAGAATTGGCGTCCAGATTCCAATAGCGAGTCAGAAGATTGGAAGCTTGAGCTTGGAGCTCTGATGGAATCAAGTTTTTGAATATAAGAGGTATATGGGTGTTGTTGTTGTAGGTGATTGCAACGAGAATTGCTGTGATGCAGATTGAAAACGACAAAAGGACCTTCATGGGAGAAGAAGGGCTTATTTATAGACAAAAGTCAGGCAAAGGATCTAGATTCAAGAAGCTTCCCAAGTCTTCGATTGCATTTTGGCAAATTTGTGGTTGGTTGACCACTCTATATAGATTTTGCGGGGAGCTGCGATTACAAAGATGTCTGTCAGCAGCGTGTTAAACCGGATCTGGTTTGGCGTGATACGGTAGTACGGTATTACGGATCTATTACTCAGGACTTACTAAGAAACGGATGGCAAGATCTCGTATTGTAATACCGATGGGTCCTACTGGTTGTTTCTATTGGCTATGCTACTCGCTGCTCGGATATAGATTTAGTGTACGGAATTAACTATGTGGCTTCATATCCGTATTCATACTTCATATATAGTGATGACAGATGTTGATAGTAGATAGTGCGGGTTATTTCAAATCCACTATTCATAAAATGTCAGAATTTCTAGTTAGATCTAGAAGCGTTGGACCGGCAAACACAACGGACCCTAGTTGAGCAGCATATGCGGCTGTACTCACAGGAACATCGTCAAACGCAGCCACAACACCATGGTGAGATATAAGTAAAAATTTGCTATCATTAATATTCTTCGATGTCACAGTTATAGCAAGGTCAAGCCGCTTTTTGGGAACGAATATGGGAGAATTGGGAAATATTCCATTTGAGACTAGATATTCCTGTTTATATATATATATATATATAACGTATCTAGTTACGAATGATGTTCCTGAACTTGGGATTTTGTGTCTAATAATGAGGTACTCCTTTGTGAGAAATAGGCCAACTGCCTCAATGATGAAGAGTCATCCAGGACGTAAGAGTCATAATCATCCCATCTTGCCATTTGGCAAGTACCTAGGTACAAGGGGGAAAATGGCATATCATTTCTCTCCTCTACACCATGAGTTATACTCAACCACAGGTTTCCAAACTAGAAGATCTGCAAAATGTACGAACTCAGCTCCGGACAAGTACTAGCAACATCATACACCATGATGGCGATATCAGGCATATCCATTCTTCTCCGATTCTTTCTGCGATGGCTAAGGGGCGACCCTCTTCAACTCGAGGATGGTTTTATGCTATTCGCCTTTGTGGGCTTTTACGTCCTCGCCACAATCACTATTATCCTGATCCCGGCGGCGTATCGAATCATTGCTGCTGGGAAAACCCTTCTGCCGCACGATGAGAGTTTGCATGCCGATGAAGTGTTCCAGCTCAAGGTGTCCTTTGCCAGTAATATCATTTTTCCAATGATTCTGTGGTCCGTCAAGTTGTCCTTGCTGTCGCTGTCTCGACGTATACTTAATCGGCAGCCCAAGTGGTTGCGTGGTTGGTGGGCGATATTAGGGTTTGTGATACTGGTAATAAAACTCTTGTCCTATCTGGATGTTAACTATATGGTTACTTTTTATCAGATCTACAGGTCACTCATGTTATGAAAATTGCGTATTTAGGCTTACATCGGTTGCTTGGTGGTAACATTTACTTCGTGCACAACCGTATCGGATTACTTCACACCAGGTTCTCTCCCTACTTAATTAGCTAGATACTGTTAGTGTCTCACCAACTGACCGCTGAAGTATAGGTGCCTGCAATACAGAGAGAGATTTTCGCGGGCAAGTTGCCAACCTCCATTACGTGGTCGTTGTCGAGATTTTGACCGATATACTTAGTATGTGCTACTACACCCTCTGAATCCAAGTGCAAGTCCACTGACCACGATTGTGCAGTCATGGCCCTGCCTATCTTGTTCCTATATAAAGCTCGCTTGACCCGGACAACGTATCTACGAACAGCCGGAATCTTCTCTGTCGGTGCTGTATGCATTATTACAGCAATCTGCCGCGGGTTCACAATTGGTACTCGAATGTGGGTGGACACGCCTACTCTCCCATGGATCGCTATTTGGGAAATGATTGAAGGCGGCATAGGTATTAATCTTAGTGCCCTGCTAGTTTTTAGTTTCTGCTAATGGATTGCCTCCCTCCACGTAATAATAGCGGTTGTTGTTGGCTGCCTTCCAACGTACGCAGTGTACTTGATTCAATCCACAAAGTCCGCATCACAAAGAGGCACCGCTGCTGCTTATGAGCATCGGTCGCTTGGCGGCGAGGGCAGACTCAGGAACTGGGTTACTACAAAGGTACCTGGGAAGATCCAACGTATATCAGGATACTACAAGAATAGGCACAGCCGCTTCATGGCTGGAAACATTTTCATGACTCGAAGTGTCGAGGTAAGCGAGCCCAGCTTTCAATATACATGCGACTGATACTGACCATACTTGTAGTTCAAAACCCAGCCTGCCCCGGTATGAGGTTGAAATTACTTTTCTTTTGTCCTTGAACATGTATACGCTTGGGATGTAAATTGCTGTATCTTTCTAATCTATATCTTTGAAACATGATTGGCTGAAAGCGGGCTGCGGAAAAGGGTACTACGCTAGGCCGTGGCGGGTAATTAGCGGAGAAAAGCAGCAAGCTGTCAACTTAACCCAACGTTACCTGTTAACTTCCCTCCAACTCTAGAGCTCAGCGAGACTGATGAGAATGCCCCTCAGCACTGAATTCTTTTCTGCATATTATCAATGATGTGAATGTATAGTCATAGGACACCCTTTATCTCTTTTATACATGGCCCTGGGAGACCCTGTGTTCGGGCCGAATATACTTCTATAGATACAACCGTCGAACTGCGCCGTCTCGGATCGCGTGTTTGTTTACTGAACGGTAACCAACGTTTCGCAGTCACTATAAGCTCTACACAATGAGGCAGTCGGTATCTCTCCTTTATCTGGCTTCGATTGCCATCACCCGTGCGGCGAGTGCTGCCAAACGACCATTTAGCATCCACGACGACGTTCTGGCATTTCCCCAGGTATGCTAATACAACTTCTTCCTTGCGGCACAGTTTCCTCTCCCACATTATTCTGACTATCTGATATAGTATGATGTCCTATTCCCCGATGAATACGTCCTCGAATCGGAAGCCGACGCAATTCTACGATTACAGAAAGAAAGATTATCCGGACACTCTACACCCTCAAATGCCGACTCCGATAAACGAGACCTACAACACCATGCGTCACAGAAACCATTAGGTGGCGGTCAAAGTACTGGTAGCAGATACGGTGGGGGAGAAAGGGGAGAAGGAGGGTTGGATTGGGCCCCTGAAGCTTCGTTCGATTACTTTAGTTACGAAGAAATGAAACTCGATGGGCTGCGGTATCTCTGCAACATACCTCGAGTTGGTAATAACGCGGATAGCAACACAACCTCTAACACAGGCAACGGGGCTACCAGTGACAAGACAACGGAAGAAAATGAAATAGCGCGAGCTACAGATCGGGGGCTGGAATTACTGCAGGAGATGGAGGGTACATGCATGTACTACGTCTCTGGGTGGTGGTCATACTCGTTCTGCTACCAGAAGCAGATCAAACAATTCCATGCTAGGTCTGGTGCGGGAGTACCAAACTACCCGCCTATAGAAGATCCGACATCTCATTCTTTCGTGCTCGGGAAATTTCAACAAGACGATGATGAAGACGGGGAGTCTGACCCTAGCGGCAAAGAGACAACGAGTAAGAGCACCGCAGAACTCCAGACCAAAGGCGAATCAAGATATTTGGTCCAAAGATTGGCGGGAGGAACCATCTGTGATCTTACGGGTGCTGAGCGCAAGGTGGAAGTACAATTTCATTGCCATCCGCAATCCACAGATCGAATCGGATGGATCAAAGAGATCACCACCTGCTCTTACCTGATGGTCATTTACACGCCGCGGTTATGCCACGATGTCGCATTCCAACTTCCTCAGCCAGAGGATATCCATTCAATCCAATGCCGAGAGATACTGGCACCAGAGGAGATTGAAGACTTCGAAGCCATGAAAGCCCATCATGAAAGCCAAAAGCTGGTTAATTCCGGCGCCTCCGAGTCCCAAATCATTGGTGGGATTGAGGTCGGTGCCATGAAACAGGTCGGGTCCGAAGGCAAGGTGATTCAAAAGGGCCGCATGGCAAAGATTGGCGAGGAGTCTGTTGAAGTCGTTGCCAAGAGAGAGGGCGGCAAGCTGACCCAGCTATCGAAGGAGGAACTTAAAAAGTGGGATTTGGACCCTAAGGAAGTAGAATCTTTCCAGAAACAACTAGATGAGATGACCGATGGCAAGGATTGGAAGTTGGAATTGGTGGAGAGGAACGGGGATCGTATCGTTCAAGCAATTGTCGATTCAAATGCGGAGGATGATGGAAAGAACGGGGATGCAGATGGAGATGGAGCATCAAGCGGGAAACAGTCCAAACTCGGAAATGACGGGGAAACTAGTAACGACAACGATGATCAACAGGAACAACCGGCGTCGAAAGAAGAAGATCTCCCGTCAGAGCAGGAATTGGGCAGTGAGGAAACTTTTAAAGATGAACTGTGATAATTGGAACGCCATTCATTCCTGGTCTTGTACATTCCTGGTATCGATGCAACATTGAAGTCAGACTTTGTAAATAGTAATATACTCCATCATCGAATGCACGTTTGGCTGTAGATTGATGTCAACACTCCGTACACGTGGTACATTGCATAGTGGTTTGTACTAATGTCTTACAAGTACAACTACGTCTACAGCGCTTTGTTCGATACCGCCCGAGAAAGAAACATGGAAGCTCAGCAACTACTCCGAACCCAGGATCAGAGGTATGAACTGCCCCCTTCAGTTTTAGCGCTCAACCCCCGCCTGCCTGCCGTTATTACTCACTGAGTATAACTGAGCACGTTCCTGAGCGCTGATCACGAGCTGAAGCTGGAGTATGAAGGCTGAGCAGTCTAAGTCCGCTCACTAAGCCCAATCCAGCCCCCATGGTGACGTCGTATGGAGGAGAAGATTTTTCTTCTCCCAGTCCTTCTGACACATAGCAGTTCTTGTGTCCATAGACAATTCCTGATCATGAGAGGCAGCTCGGAATAGCAGCTTACTAGCTATGCAAGCATTGGTGGTATTGATTTGGTTAGCCTGCTCTATACTCCGTATTCCGGAAAATTCAGGCAGTATCAAAAGCTAGTCCTATCAGATCTAGTCAGCGGAGGTTGCCAAGGTGTTGCAGACCGTTATTTAGTATGATGCCCAATGGGTAGTAGTAGCTATATGCAGGCATGGCTGCGCAATCTTGTTGGAGGAAACGTGGCCATGGATCCATCTGACATGAAAGTATCCTGACTCAAGTCTTCAAAACTTCTTCTCTCAGCACTGCAAGGTGGCGTCATCGCGCGCGCTATACTGCTTAGCACGCAGCACAGAGTCATAATATGTAGGTTGGTACTCTCGAAGAACCTTGGTCACGGATAGGCTGACATTTGCGCGGCTCGATCAGCAGCGGGACGGGATACCGAGGTAGACTGTATCCGTAAATGCATCTCCTATGGAATAACGCTGTAATGCACAACTTCGTCCAGATCTGGTTGTTTTCTCTGTGCATCTCCGTCGCATGTCAGGGTCCCGGGCAACCCTCCGCACGGAAACAACGTGGACAGTGGACAGCGGCCGGATAAACGATGCTCCCTCCCTCGTTGGGCTTGCTGCACCCCGACAATCATTCTCGAACGAGCGCGCCAAGTCGGAGTAGGATCCACTGCACTACGCAGAAATTTTTAATTAAATCTTATGGAGTAACTTACGCAAAATGACACATCATCACATACAATCTAGTACGGCGCTTAGTACAAAAATTTCATCGCTAGCTTGCGCGCTAGTTAAAATTAATCAAGCTACGAAAGTGAGATTTTAAATTACGCTGTATCAAATGTTAGTCATTTTTTTTTTTAGCGGTGTGGTCCCAGAAATGCCTCCAGGCCAATCGGCATTCAGCACGGAGTAACCGATGCCGAATGCAGGACCGGGTAAAGCCGGAAAAACTTTGTGCACCGTGTGCAGACCTTTTTAGCAAGCGGGACGCGGAGGAGAGTAAGCCTTAACGAGGAAATTCTACTATCCGATACGGAGTAATGGAGGAGGAAAGGGCAAATTGTCTCTCCACTTGTTAATTTTTCTCCCCCTCCTCTTCCCCTCTCTCTGAGGCTCTCTTCTTTCTGTTTGTCGGGTTGCAAACCTCTCTATTCCTGGCGCCTATCTCAACCAACTGCTACTGACTCAGACCAGGAAGCGTGCCTTGCCGACTCGACTTCACAGAAACTCTATTATACAGAAACACCGACCGTCGGCCCGACGACGCTTATTACGCCACGGCTCTCTCTTATCGGGATTCTGCCCGGTCGGGGTAAACCGTAAAGCGTAAGACGAGAAGAGTGAATTTTCCCGTGTCTAGCAGCCAATAGATAGCGCGCATAATCCCCACATCAAGACCCCCACGTTGGAGTTCAGAGAAATTACAAATTAGTGCGAGTGCTCGTTGGTTGGATGTAGAGTGCGGTGGGGCAGCCCTCGGGGGAGATGCACCAGTGAGAAGCTGCCCTGACCCCGTGAAAACGGGACCGCCACTCCGCTGCTACTGGAGTAAAGGTGGGGCGGGTCCCCGCATCTTTATCTATTATAAGGGTTGGCCGGGCCCCTGATTGGCCGCTCCTGTTCATCGGCATGCGCGAACCAAAAGCGGACATCCTGCTTTGAGCCTTGCGGGGAATCTCACCGTTCTCATTGCTCATCGCCATACCCACAAGCACCACATCCAGCACGCTCTCATCGTCCATGTTACATCTTCCTCCACCAACATGTGGAGGCCACCCCCTCCAGCCGCCGTCGTCATTCTCTACGCTTTTTCGGCTTGGCGCACCCAATTCGGGGCCGTGCCCTGACTCCCGCAAAAGCCTCCCCCGGAGTACGAGCCCTTATATATTCGTCGCACTTTCCCCATTTCTTTCCTTTTTTCCTTTCCACTTCCCCCTTCTTCATTCTACTCTCATGTTCATTCATTAGAGGTTCGAACGAAGAGAGAGAGAGAGAAATAAAAAAAATTCAAAAATAAGTCATCACATTTTTTCACAATGTGGACAACAACCTCCGGCCTCCGGGGCAAGAAGCTCCATCTGGCTATCACCTTCACATCCGTCATCGGCTTCTCGCTGTTCGGTTATGATCAGGGTCTGATGTCTGGTCTTATTTCTGGTGACCAGTTCGTCAAGGAGTTCCCTGTCCTCGATGGTGACTCTCTGCATGTCTCTGTCTTACAAGGTGCTGTCACCTCTTGCTACGAAATTGGTTGTTTCTTTGGTGCTATCTTTACCCTCCTCTTCGGTCAGCGCATCGGTCGTACTCCCCTGCTAGTCGGCGGTGGTGCCTTGATGGTTGTCGGTACTGTGATCTCTACTGCTTCATTCGGTCCTCATTGGGGCTTGGGTCAGTTTGTTATCGGCCGTGTCATTTCCGGTGTTGGAAATGGTATGGACACTGCCACTATCCCAGTGTGGCAGTCCGAGTGTTCGCGTGCCCACAACCGTGGTTTCCTCGTCTGCTTCGAGGGTGCTATCATCGCTGTCGGTACCTTCATCGCCTACTGGATTGATTTCGGTCTCTCCTACGTTGAGAGCTCGGTCCAGTGGCGTTTCCCTGTTGCTTTCCAGATCCTTTTCGCCTTGCTCGTCGTCATCGGCGCCCTGATGCTGCCCGAGTCGCCTCGTTGGTTCATCATGAGCGGCAAGACTCAGGAAGCACTCCACGTTCTGGCCCAGCTCAACGACAGCTCTGAAGATGCTGACGACGTGCTCCGGGATTTCAACCTCATGCAGGCTGACCTGAAGTCTCTCGAGAATGCCGAAGCCAGCAGCTGGAAGACACTGTTCACTTTCGGCAAGACTCAGGAGTTCCAGCGTATGATGATTGGTTGCTCTGGTCAGTTCTTCCAGCAGTTCACTGGTTGCAACGCCGCTATCTACTACTCCACGCTTTTGTTCAAGAACAACTTGCACATGACCGGCAAGCTCCCTCTTGTTCTGGGTGGTGTCTTCGCCACAGTCTACGCGCTTGCTACTATTCCATCCTTCTTCATGGTTGAGAAGGTTGGTCGCCGTAATCTGTTCCTGATTGGATTCCTTGGCCAAGGTCTCAGTTTCATCATCACCATGGGCTGCCTGGTTGATGACACCACGCAGAATGCCAAGGGTGCTGCTGTCGGTATCTTCCTCTTCATTACCTTCTTTGCTTTTACTACCCTTCCTCTACCCTGGATCTACCCCCCCGAGATCAACCCTCTCCGAACCCGTACCATGGCTGCCTCAGCTTCGACTTGTGTCAACTGGATTTGCAACTTTGCCGTCGTCATGTTCACCCCCGTTTTCTCTAACAAGAGCGCCTGGGGTATCTATCTGTTCTTTGCTCTCGTCAACTTTATAGCCATTCCCTTTGCTTGGTTCTTCTACGTCGAGACCGCCGGACGTGACTTGGAGGAAGTTGACATCATCTTCGCCAAGGCCCATGTCGAGAACAAATGGCCCTTCCAGATCGCCCAGCAGATGCCCAAGCTCACTCACGAGGAGATTTCTCAACAGCTCTTTGATCTTGGTCTATCTGTCTCGGACCACAGCGCTTCATCTGAGTCCGAAAAGGTGGAGATTGCGGCCACCAACAATGAGCACAGGACCGCATCTGATTAAGCGTGTCCAGGGGGGAGAAAGAGTGCGTGTGGTGTGATGTATAGAGAGATGAGGTTTGAATGGCGTTTTATACCCCTCTAGAATCGCCTCTAGAATCGCCTTGTTTTTTTTTGTTGACTCTATGCCTGTATAAATGGTGTGTGGCTCATGGGAGATTCTGGAATCTTTTGAATCGCACCCGCGCTGCACCGGTGCAGCGCTGCATGAACGCTTATATACAATGTTGTTATGATCTTTTTCCTCTTTTTTCTTTTTTGTTTACGAATTTGAATGTCTGCATCGACATGAAGGATGCGGGGACATTGGGTACATGGGATATGGTTCTAAGAAGAACTCATTAAATCTTCACATGTCATGCGTGCAAAGTACCAGGAATTGGATATCTTGCAGTTCAATACATTCAAAGTGCTTTACACAAGCGCTCATATATACTTCTCTTTTGCTGTTTACTCGTAGTATTCTTATTGCGAACCCTTGAGTATACTTGGACAATATTTGTAAGTCTCCATCTTAACATGATCTGTTAGAGGACGCTGTTATGTTGGCGTCAACCTATTCGGATAATACGAGGAAATATCACCGTATTAAACCCCCCCCCCCCCAAATTTCGGTTTCAGGTATCTAATTTGATGTAGTTCAAATGTCTTTGCTCAAGGTATCTTCCGATCGGCCTTTGGCCAGTTTCTATAAAAATACGTAGTCACCCAAGAAATAATGTATCAAGGAATCTAACAAAATGACGTAAAAATCCGACATGCAAGTTGAACCAACCCGCCGACGCCGAAACTTCCGAATGCAGAAAAGATGATGAAACAACTTGATGTGTGCCAAGTTTACAACGAGCTTTATCTTCTTTCCCCACGTCCTCCACCGCCACGCCCTCCGCGGCCTCCTCCACGTTTCTTCTCGACTCCGCCCCTTCGGCCTCCCTGACCAGCGCCGGGACTTAACGCATCACGAGTCTTGCCGTTAGGATGACCATGCGGTCTGTAAGAACTGTTGCCGGTTGAATCGTTTCCGCTGGCGTAATTGAATCCAGGAACACCCTTCAAGCCCATTTTGCCAATGACTTTCTTCTCCATTGGTGGTGGTTCAGGGCATGCCATCCCCTTGATGGCCAGCTCGTTTGCAACTTGGACCAGGCCCGGCTTGTCGAGACGAAGTGGCTTCATGAGACCCGATCCAGCAAAGAAGCCGATGAAAGACGAGTAGGCACGTTGTTTTGTCGATTCATCAACCCCGTGCATGGCCTGGGTGACAGCATCGGTATATCGAGCACGACCGGCATTGATCGCGTCAGTCTGGGGGTGCGGGTTGATTGGTAAGTGTCGGTTGTTCTTCATAAAAAATGACTCTGCTTCCGTGAGAACGATGATGGCGCGGCCGTCATTCCCAGCGCGCGCTGTACGACCGACACGGTGGACGTATTGGTCGCCATTCGATGGTAAACCGATCTGGATGACCAAGTCGACATTGGGGATATCGATGCCACGACCAATAACATCTGAGGCGAACAGAATGCCAGCATCTGCCTCTTTGAATTGGGCTGTGGTTCTCGTGCGAGCGCCCTGATTGAGTCTTGAATGGATCTCAAATACCTTCAAAGGCGTCAATCGCTGGGAGAAGACTGCCGCAAAGAGGGCAACCATGTTCGCAGTGACTCCAAAGACAATAATTTTAGCGTTAGTCTTGATTTCGTGGTTCAGAAGGGAAGCAAGAGTGGTGAAAGTGTCTGCCACAGACGGCATCAGCACGTAGTACTGGGGAACTCTCTCGTGCGTCGGTGCTTCATTCTTGTCAACGGTTGAGATGCTACTATAGCCTGGCTTCAACACAACACTCACCACATCCTTGACTCTGGGCGGAACAGTGGCTGAGAAACACATGCCTTGCCAGCCAGTGCTCTTTGGTGGGATGAGTTGGAGGATTCGCTTCACGTCAGCCATAAAGCCGGTTTCGAGCATCGTGTCCGCTTCGTCCAAAACCAAAGTGCGGATATTGGACAGCTTCTGGGCTGTGGGAGCTTCGGATAGGTAGTCTTTGAGTCGTCCCGGGGTTGCTACTAGAATAGATGGCGACTCCTTCATGAATCGCGAATGGGCAGACGCCCGAGCAGTCCCACCAACTGCAATATGGCACTCGAGGGGCTTCGCAAGTTGCGATGTGAGTTGATCACATGACTTTGCGATTTGCTGGGCGAGCTCTCGCGTTGGGGCAATGATCAGAATGGCGACCTGCCCTCTTGGTGGCGCACGAGGGTCTTGGAGTAGGCAATGTAGTGCAGGCAACAGAAAGGCTAGGGTTTTACCAGTACCGGTTTTGGCTTGCACCAAGCAGTCGCTGCGCCAATCTGGAAGTTCGGTCAAAACGCGATGTTGGACAGGCGTCATCGTCTCAAAGCCCATCACGCGCAGAGCTTGGAGGAGTCTGGAGTCCAGCTTCCCAGCCATGGACGCGTACGGCTGGGCGCCATCGTTGATTGCGAGGTCTTGCATTTGGAGTGATAAATAGTTAATGCTTGTTGAAGATTTGGTTCATGCTAGACAGTGCTGCGCAAACTTGACGAGATAACCGAATATGCTGAGAGCTCGAAGTGTATCTCAGCCTTGATCTAGCTGTATGTATGTATGAAATAATATAAGCTTATGCTCTATATCATCGTCAAAGCCACGGTGTGGCTGGTCAAGAACAGCCTTCCTTTTATGGCAACATGGAAAAAAACCTGGTGCTTAGAGGAAGCTATACCTAATCAGGAACTAGCACAACTAGCCGCTTTAGGATTAGTGTAGTTGTTCTTGGAGGCTGAGACGACAACCTCACTTCTTTTTCTATTTTCTCGTCGACGATAGAGACGACTGCATTAAATTCCGGCAATCGTCTGGTCAGCATTATACTCTGAGCCAGATTATATTGACCTCGCCTTTTCCAGCCCATGGCAATGACCGACGGTAACCTGATCGGTAAGGTGGACTACATCATCCGAGACGTTGAGCCTTTTCATATGATGCGGCGAGGTCTTTGTGCCGGATCCGTAATTGAATAGTCGGATGCCCCCGTTCTGTGGCTGTTCATAGCCCGAAATGTTATCATTACCGGGATTGTCGGCCCTCTGGCTTTGATCGGTTGGTCTGGCGGAAGTGCTTTTCCCATACCTGGATGCAAATGCAGAACCAGCTTTCTTCGCCAGGGGTGCCAGATGAGGCAGACATGCGCAGACAATGGCAATGCTCGGCTCAATCGTGGACCAGATGAAAACGGGCCCCATTTCGTGGGTGATGTCCAGTGCTGATTCGAACTTGGAGAAGCTGGTGATGCGGATAACACTAGCAATACAAACGCTATTCGAGTGTTCAGTTTTCAGTCTGCAAGTATAGAGATGGTAGATAAGGAGTTTAAAAAATATCTCACAATCCACCCAATGGTATCATGGTGCCATGATACCACACACGGCAACTTTGCTGCTGGTAGCCATTTGCAACTTGACGATGCGAGGGAACGGTATCGCCAGGCCAATCACGTCGGCGATCATATTGATGATTCTCAGAGCGAGAAAGAATCTGTTTGTGTTGATACATACCCCTTCCGTTCCGGCGAACTGGTTCCAGTAATATGAAAGAGGACGGCAGGCGTTGGCCATTGTAACCCATATAATCAATGGGTAAGCCATGGCAAGAAAAAATCCAAATGTAATGGCAGATTTCATGTATGCGCCCGGATACGACATGGCGAAAATTCGGCGGTAGAAGAAGAGGATCGAGACTTTGGTGAGACAGCATGCCGCTGCATAGAGGTAGGTATAGGCATATAATACCTAAAATCACCAACCATATGAGCCGAGGAGGCCCGGAAAGGATGAATCACTGTACCTTGAATATTATTATCAGATCGGTCACTACCCACACATGTCTTCCAGCACCATAACTTCCACCTGTCGGATCCGTCAGTCATTCTGTTCTGCAGATACCCCAGTATTTCCTTACCGAGGACGTTTAACGAGGTGGTTCCAACCACGAATATCTGAGCCAGACCAGTCAGAAAACAATGCCGTGATATCTACGGATGAAATTGTACCAAGGCCAGCACGATTGTCCAATCATCCACTAAAACCGCATTTCCTTGAACTATCCGCGCCACAAATCGCAACAGCACGGCCACGGTTGCTATGCCCAGCAAGGTTGCCACGGAAACATTGTCTTCTGCGATAATATTTTGACTCAATTCAATGTCTGCAGGCGGTGGTCCGAAAACGCTTCAATGACTGGATTGATTGCCATCCGGATGCAACAAGGATTTTGGAAATCGCCAAGTTTGTCGCTTCTATGCAGTCGTAAAACGTCACCCTCAACGCTCTTGGAGTATCCATGCACATATATACACGTACATGTATCGCTCGACTGGAATACTATGGATCAGCCTTTATAGAATGTTCCAGGATGAGCTAAGTGACGTCCAAAACTAAAATAGGTCGGTCCTTCATATGGGAGAGAGAACAACGAGACGATCCCTTTGCCCGAATGAGGGCTAGTAAGGAAAATGACGGTCAGGACGGCTCAAGCAGTCTGACCCTTGTTAAATATGATAGGCTATAACCAGAACTTCCTGGTCGTGAGCCACACGACAGGGGTGCATTCCGCTAAGACGAGACTAGCACTCTTCGGACCGTTTTGCGGTCTAACGGCACGAGTAGCTGTGTCGTTGGCAGCGTGAACTTCATAAAGAGTTTTGCAGGTGCAGGTAATAACGTACCGGTTTATCCAGGTAGCCTTGTCAACTAGGGCCTGGAGAGTTGGGGTCAAGATTGCTAGTTGGTAACAGAGCGATGGTGGTTGAGCTGTATGTCATGCGACGCAGTGACAGGGATGATGTCGCTAACTACAGGCTAAATTCAATATTAAAGCCCAGTTTATGTGCTAAAGTATACTAAGGGGGGTCCTCACTCACTTTCAAATAAATTGGAACATGGATTCGTGGTCTTGAATAGCAGCAACTACAGTGTACTCAGTAATAAATGTTTACAGCCTACAACGGTGTCCAAGAACTGCATCATCTCCGCCTATGAAAAACGTTATTTAAACCGCTCAATCTTTGAAAACGGTAGGGAGGAAACGGAGGCAAGTAATTACTTGACCTAACTGTGTTTTTGATCACAAATCTATACATAACTAATTAACAATGCTATAGAGCCGATTTTTGCTCTTCCGTCCCGGTTATTTTATAATCTTTTTCCATCTCTCTTTCTCTGTTGATACTCTCTCAGAAAGGAAGAATCCACATCATGGCAAACACACAGCGATCAAGCAATCTACCTCCTCTGACGGCTATAGAGCGTATTGGGCCCAAGGGGTATCTTCGCTATGTATTTCCTTTCGAGCTGGCGGAAGACTACAATCTTGATGAAGTAGTCCGTATTCTCACGGCGGGATACAACGAGGCCAAGGAACATATCGCGGCTTTGAATTGTGAGGCGGTGCCTGACTTGAAGTGGAAGCAGGCCGGTGTCCTCAAATTGCAAAGTCTGCCAGACGGTGCAATACAGGATATTCTGGTCAAGGACCTCCGAGACACCGACGCCTTCCAACAATCGTATAGCCAACTCAAGTCCATAAACTTCCCTGTCTCGGCCTTCGATGATGAACTTCTTTGTCGTCGTTCCGTGTGGCCTACTCCCGGGGAGAGGTTGCCCGTTTCCCTCTTACAGGCGAACTTCATTCGTGGCGGATTGATTCTTACATGGTGCATCCTGCATATGTTTGGAGACGGAAAGTCTTTCCATGTCTGGTCGAAAATCTGGGCGGAAGGATGTCGTCGCGCCCAAAATCTGGACATTCCGGAACCATACGTGCTGGATGATGCCGTCTTTGCAGACCGGGAGCGAGTGATGAAACCCTCCGGGAGAAATCACGGACTCCCTGAAAATCACCCCGAGTACGTAATTCTCCCCTTCACTCCTCAGGGGGCTCCGCTCAAGATGCTGTCACGAGAGAATCGCGGCCAAGTATTCTATTTCTCGCCGGAGAGATTAGCGGCCTTGAAAAATGACGCGGCCCCGGGGAATGCAAAACATGCCTCTGATGTTAAGTGGATATCGACGAACGATGCAGTTTCTGCACTTCTGTGGCGAACCGTAATGGCAATGCAATCACCACTTGAATCACTTGACGGCGACCCAGTGTCAGTCTTTAATATAGCCATCGATGGAAGACAACGGGCCGACCCACCTCTTCACCCAGAAACGTTGGGCTGCTTCTTGGAGTATATAGCTGTCTCGTGCCCCATCCGGGAGATACTGAGTTCCGACAATGTCGCCGATTTGGCTGTCTCGATCCGAAAGGCGGTTATACGGGCTGATGGGCAGTTCACGGATGATCTGGTGACATTGATAGACCGATTAGAGGACGTAGACAGACTCATTCCGACCGCGTTTTTGGATGTCCCTGGTTATAATTGTGTCCAGTCTTCGTGGGCCACATTTGATCTGTACACTCTGGACTGGGGCCCGGCTTTGGGGGGTAGGATCCAAGCGGTGCGATCTCCCTCGGTTGGCATCATCAACGGCTTGCAGGTTGTCATGCCACCACCTCCAGAAGGTGGGATGGAGATTTTGGTCAGCGTAGAGGCAAGTTGTTTGGAGAAACTGTTGACTGAACCGCTGTGGATGAAATACGCTATTCCTCGATGAACTTCGCACCGTTATATCTACCTTCGAGCCACCGGTTATAAGACATGAGCAGATCAAGGACTTTGAACTATATACACGCTAAAACAAATATACACTGATAAGTGGCACTTAGCAATGTTATTATGAAGTAATAGCAACAAATCTGGACATCTGACAAGTAAATCTTAGTTTGAATCAAATATAGTCAAATATTGCCTTCCCTTACAAGCTATGCGGTAGAAGATATTGACCGTCCTGATTTTGTAATGGATTGAGCAAGGTCTCTAATGCAGGCAGAACACCACATTTACGGCCTGCCCTATATTTGGGAGCATTGTCAATGAGAGACTCCGAAGCTGTATCTTCTCACCCGACACGATCGACTATGCAAATGTATCATTTACTTTTTATCCTATTCAAAATCGTCAGCGCAATCCCCACAATTTCCCGAGAAAAATGCGGGTACCTTGCATCTAAGGATTGATTTGGCAATCCTGATTCGTGTGCGGCGTTCCAGATATTATAGAATATTCTCTTTAACCTATTGAACGAATACACGCAGATAAAATAAAGACCTGGATCAAGGATCCAACAAAATAGTCATTTTTCCTTCATTTCTCCAGCTTAGCTCGTGCTACTTGCCGCAAAGCACAACGTACAATGAAGAAAAGCTCTAATTACCCAATCTGGCGATTCTGCGTTTCCCGACGCCAGCTCCAATGGGGACAAAGTTGCCGTTTCGGGTCGAACCGTGAACGGCATGTAGGACGTTCTCTAGATACGTAGCTAGAGAAATAAATACCCATATACTGTTGGCAGCTGCTGGTAGGCAGTCTAGAATCTTGTAGCGTACAATATCTGGTCATGTTCTTGAGGCAGGCTCTCAGAATGTCGACTACACATAGGTACTCTGGGTCCTTACCTTCCTAGCCATGCATCTAGAGTGTTATGTATACTGTCGACATCATTGAAAGTGTATTCATAAACGTCGCTGGAACTTCGTGAGGTGAGTATCTCAATCAGATTATCAGCCTCCGGGCCTCAGTAACTGAGTCCAAGGTTGCTTGCACTTGTTGGTCGTCAACATCGAGGAGCCCAATGACTATACCACGGGCTTTCTTAAGCTCGAGAAAAGACAAGCTATCGAGGACATTGTGCGCTTATCGAGAGCGCTCATGGCCTTTTATTCTTACCGCATAAAAGTGTTGAAATCTCCATATGTAACCTGAGTAGCTATAACTTGTGAGTTTCTAACCGAGTACCCCTGTCTAGACGGGCTTTGCGTCTTCCTTGACACTCTAAAAACATAGAGAAAGACAACTTCGCAGCACCACGTCCACTGCGTCACAAGTGGATGTCTTCCTGGACCAAAGCACTTGTTTCACCTGACCCAATATCATCGAATTCCGGGCGTTCTCATATAGTTTCAACTTCTGTAAGTGTATCATGCATGATGTGATTTCTCGATAACAGTTTTTTTTCCCCTTCTTTTCAACATCGTGCTCACTAGTAAGTCGTGACGATGACTATGTAGTTAATCAACGTTAGTCAACAAGGGATGATTAGTTATATAGTTATGTCAGGCAGAAAGAAGGCAGAAGGAAGGCGGCAAAGTGGGCTAGTCTAGCCTAGTCTGGCGTCAGACGCCAAGGCTCCCGAGCTGTAGTCCGCTTGGCAACGACTCCCCTCAGGCGACATCATCATCCTCTCTCTCCGCAAGCTGGCATCTCGTCAGCCATCGACAATACTAGCAGCGGCCATCTGTTACCGACCGGCGAGCGCTTGCTTGCCACTGACCACCCAGATTCACTGCCGTGTCCCTCCATCGCAGTGGACAATAATTGGGAGCGCGTTGCCGAGGGCATCTCGTCACAATGGGCTTCGTCGGCGTGTACACCGCGGTCTACGACTACCAGCCCCAGGCCGAGGGTGAGATCGAAATTCACGAGGGCGATCTCCTCTATATTTTAGACAAGAACAACGACGATGACTGGTGGAAGGCTAAAAAGAAGGCTGATCCCGAGGAGGAGGAGCCAGTGGGACTGGTCCCGAATAACTACGTTCAAGAGGTAAGGGGGTTGTGTTTTGTCCATCCGTTGAAGCACTCTCTACAAACATCTCGACTCCACGACCACGTTCTTCGATATAGCTTCAATCATTGCCCCTCTTTTTCAGCCTCATATTAATTGCACAAATCATACGCCCGGAAACCAGCGGATACTTGTTCAACTGCGTGGTGTCTTCTGTAGCCTAGTCATGCTGACTTACGTTCTTGCTTCTAGGCTGAACCTACCCATAAGGCCAAAGCTCTCTATGACTATACACGACAGACAGATGAGGAAATATCCTTCTCTGAAGACGCCGAATTACTAGTATATGACACTTCCGACCCAGACTGGACGTTAGTGGGCGCAGGAACAGATTTCGGATTTGCTCCAGCAAATTATATCGAGCTATTATCGGGCCCTACTACGGCGCAAACGCAAGCTGTGCATGATGAGCAGCCCGAGCCAGAGACTACATACGAAACATCAGCTCATGCGTATGCGATTCCGGAGCCCGAACCGTCACCTCTCCCAACCCTTCCTCAGCGACCTCTACAAACCGAGCCCGAGGAGTACCCATCAGCCGAATCGAGTCCGACAATCCCAGATTCTAGTCCGGCTGCTGCAATAGCCGGTATCCTTCATCGACAACATGGATCCATGTCTTCTCATGACACTTCTCGTGCGGTACCTGCAGCACCACAGGCGTTCGCAGCTCCGGAAGAGGAGGAAGAAGGCCCGCCACCCGCTCTCCCCACGCGGCCACCTTCGGGGACATCGTCTGCGCGAAAAACATTACGGTTCGATGATGAGGAGGAAGTTGCACCACCACAGCCTCCTCGTCCACAACACCCGCAACTCACCCTGACGCAAGAGGAAGATGCACGGGTTCAGGAATCGCCACCTTATAGCCGTGTTGGCTATTCGGCACCATCCCCACACTCGCCGTCCGGCTATCGTCTATATAATGTAAACGAAATGATTTCGGTCATGGGCAAGCGAAAGAAGATGCCGACGACGTTAGGCATCAATGTACCAAAGGGAACAATTTTCATATCAGCCGACGGATCTGACGACGATTCGCAACAAGAGTGGACGGCGGATAAACTCACTCACTATTCAATCGAAGGCAAACATGTCTTCATAGAGCTTGTCCGGCCGAGCAAAAGTGCTGACTTCCATGCCGGTTCCAAGGATACTGCCCACGAGCTAGTTGCGGCCTTAGGCGAAATTGCAGGTGCTTACAGAGCTGAAGGCTTGCGAGAGGTCCTTGAAGCAGGACAAGGCGGCAGTGGAATTCAGAAAAAGGGACAAGTGCTTTATGACTTTATGGCTCAGGGTAATGACGAGGTGACAGTGGCTTCCGGCGACGAGGTGATAATTTTGGATGATAGCAAATCGGATGAATGGTGGATGGTGAGACGAATAAAGAATGGCCGTGAAGGTGTGGTCCCTAGCAGCTACGTTGAAATCACTGGCCTCGTGGAATTATCTTCCGCTGCTGCGAGCAGCAAGACAGTCAACCAAAATAGACTCGAAGAGGAGCGTCTAGCAAAAGAATCGGTAAGGAAATCACATGTGGATTCTATAGATGGTCCACGATCTGAGGTAGGTCCAAGAGTGAGACTTCCTGAGAGACGAAGCAGTCTTCTTGCAGTGAATGGTGGTAACAGTGTTCTGCAGCGCCATAAACGTGAGAAGTCTGACAAGAGCTCGAAACAAAGTAAGACATTGTCACATCCCAAACCCATGAATAAGAAGACAGAGCTAATTAAATCCAGAACCTGATTCGTCGAAAACAAGAACTTGGACGGACAGATCCGGGTCTTTCTCGGTTGAAGCTCAATTCCTTGGTCTCCATGACGGGAAAATACATCTCCACAAGATGAATGGGATTAAAATCGCAGTGCCAACCGCAAAAATGTCTGTTGAAGATCTAGAATATGTTGAAAAAGTCACGGGCCAGTCATTGGACGAAGACAAGCCTCTATCAGATATTCGACGTCGCAGTCTGCAGCAAAAGAGGGAAGAACAAGAGAAGAAGGAGAAAGAAAAGGTGGAGGACAAAAATGGCGGTCATGTTAAAGAATATGACTGGTTCGACTTCTTTCTCAAGGCTGGCGTCGGACCTCATCAATGTGAGCGCTATTCGCAGAACTTTGCAAAGGATTCGATGGACGAAGCTATCTTACCCGATATTACTCCTGAGACTCTTCGCACACTGGGCTTGAAGGAGGGCGACATACTTCGTGTCATGCGTTATTTGGATACAATGTTCAACCGAACCGCTTCCAAGACCCGGGGACGAAATGTAAGCTTCGGCGGTGAAGAAGTTATTGGTAATGGTGAGGAGGGTGGTTTGTTTTCTGGACCTGGCGGTGCTCTCCGGAATAATACCCGCAAAGGCCGTCCAACTCCGGCTGTGCAAGCCGCTGATGTCGTCGACCCGAAAGCGTTTGAAGTTAAGGAAAAGGCAGAGAAGGCAGAGCCAGCAGCAGCACGTGTGTCTACCCCTCCAGCTGAGACACCTATCCAGCGCGGTTTTGACGATGATGCATGGGATGTCAAACGACCAAAGGAACAACCAGCTTCCTCTGCACCCGTTCCTGCCGCTGCCCCTGCTCCTACTGCGGCTGCTCCAACAGCAACGGCCTCCGTAACTTCAGAGCCGCCGAAGCCAGCTGCAATCACTGGTGCAATGGCTGATTTGTCACTCCTTCAAGCACCTTTGCAACCAACACCATCGCAGCCTCCTCAGCCGACACCATCACCGGCCGTTTCCGCACCGGCACCTGCACCTGTTTTGCCCCAACAAACTGCGGCGCCTGCGGCGCCGGCGGCTCCCGCGCTGCAACAGCCTCAAGTGACCGGGGCTAATCCAGGCTTCTTTTCACAGCTGGGGCCTCTGCAGCCACAACAAACCGCTGTTCCAAACCAACCACATAATCTAGGCTTTTCTTTGCAACCCCGTCAACGACCTATGCCTCCGCAAAATATAAACCAAAATTCCCTACTATCACCACCGCCACCGCAGCGGCCGCTGTCGGCTCCGCAGGACTTCCAACAGAGTCCGTTTGCTGCTCCTCCTTTGCAGCCTCAGCTGACTGGCGTCCCTCGCAATGTACCACAACTGGCCCCTACTGGCCAGAGCTTAGCGGGACTCAATCAGCAACGGTTCCAGCAGCCGCAGTACGCGCAACCATTACAGCCTCAACTAACGGCATTCCCCCAACAGCAATTCCAGAACGGTATCATGCCCCAGCCTACTGGATTCCCACAGCAACCGCAATCTCAATTTGGTTTCCAACAGCAGCAGCAGTTCGGGGGTATACCCCAGCAAACTGGATTCGGCGGATTCTCCACTCCACCACAGCAGCCTATGGCAACGGGCGTAAATTCGATGCTGCCACCTGCCTTACAACCACAAAGGACTGGTGTCAATGGGTTTGGCACCAGTATCAGTTCCCCCCCTCCTGTTCCTCCCATTCCCCCTATTCCTCAAATGCCAACTGCTGCACCTTTGCAACCCCAGAAAACTGGCCCTGCCCCTCCCGTTCGGTTTGGAGTCAAGCCTGATGCCAAGAAACTCGCACCGCAGCCTACTGGGATGCGTGCAAATCTTGCACAAGCCAGTGAGTCAATGCCAAGTTGATCATTGTTTACGTCGGGATCATTAGCTAACTAACTGCTCCCAGGTCCTTCGAACCCGTTTGGTTTCTAAGTAGAAACCCATATATACATATAGCTTATTTTTGCCTTATACTTTTTTGTTGCCTGTGAGAATTCGCAGTTAGATGGTGTTATGGATTGTTTCCTACATGTTGAATGATGCTTTTTCCCCATTGATCCACACTTTTTTTCCTGCTTGTTATGAATTTACCTTTTTCATTCTCAATGCAATGAGGTTTCTTTCTTCTTTTTCCCTTTTCTCGCGTCTCTAGCGTCTCGTCATGGCCACATTATGTCCAGCAATTCTAGAACGTTTCTCCCTCTTCGCGAAGACACAGCCTAGTATCTGAACATCTCTACTGTATTATTTCTTCAACTTCTGTTCATATTGACAAATATTTTTTTGTTTGTTTTTTATTCTCGTTTTGTTGCCCCTTGCTACTACCCCTTTACTGTGATATAAGCCTAATGTATGTCTTTTCATAAATCATTGAATATTGCAGATTCTCAATGCGTTTGCTAATTGTCCCTACTTCATCATGCTTGCAGACCACCCAGGACTTATCTTCTGACTTTGCTTTTTGCTAATATATATATATATATATTTCATGTAAATCTCCCATTGCAAGCAACTCTGCCACAGCGATATCAGACCGGCGATCTATGTGATCAAGGGGGAAGGATGGATAAACTTGGTCGACTTCTGCAGTTGTAGCTAACAACGGATTTACAAACTCGGGTTATAAACCGCTCACATCTTGATTCTGGTACATACGAACATAGGGTGTGGAAAACAGGGCTTCCCGTCCGCTCAGCCGTACTTAAGCCACACGCCGGCCGGTTAGTAGTTGGGTGGGTGACCACCAGCGAATCCCGTCTTTCGTATGTCTTCTTTGTCTTTTTTTTTTTTTTTTTGCTTTTTTTTTATTATTGGTTTCCTTACCTTGCTCGTGGATCAGGTATTAGGAAGTTGGGCGGGTTTGCGTGGTTCTAGGCCTTGTGAAAGTGACTGACTACAATCGAGATGGCTCTACTAGATAAATACGATTGGATAATCTGTACTTTGCAAGTATTCTTATCACAGGATGCAGTCACTTTGCATGATGGAACTAGTCTAGACTTTTTACAAAAACTGAGGAATGGCTGCATGTCACGGTCCCACCGCGTTCCCCACCAACAGGCAGGACCCACTGCTGGAAGAAGCCCGAGCACGGGCTTCATGCACCCCAGACTGATGATCCCCAGGCTCCACCAGGGTGCGGCTCACATGGGAGCGAGCTGCAGGTGACAGATCACAGGGGAAGCCTTAAACACGGCTTCCTATGCTGTAGGAACCATACCCCACGCGTAGGAATACAAGGAGCTCTATAGCGGGAGATGTCACGCAGGAAGTCTTTGACATGGCTTCCTGTACTACAGAAACTACACCTCATGGGCAGGAACATAAAAGGCTCCATAGCAGGAGACATATCACACGGGAAGCTTTTAACGCGGTTCCTGTACTATAGGAACTATAATCTATGTAGAGAAATACTGGGGGGCTTCATAAGGGGAGACATATCACACAGAAAGCCTTTTGATATAGCTTCCTCTGTCTATTGGTTAGCAAGCCACCCTCAGAAATAGTTCTTTGTAGACTGGCAGATGCAGAAATGATTCACATTTATCTAGATAAGCAATGTCCATTGTTCTGCCTTCTCTACACATATTGCGGCATGACTGAGGAGCAACCTCTAGCAGAGCACCGCAGCTTAATACCGGTAAATTTTATAAATCAACACAAAGTTCAGGCATATCGAGTGGTACAGTCTCGGGCAAATTTTGGTTACATACCAAGCAAAGACCTTTGGCTTGTTAGGGTTGTAAGTTGTTTACCTACAATTTGAACATCAATTGGAGAATTCCTCTGCTTTTGACTTCTATTTACTCAAAACCTTGCATCTTAGAGGTCCTAAACGACAGTCTGGTAGTAAATATATTGTGGTAAAATATTGAAACTGAGAAAGCATGATTCGATTCTGGAAACTCGACCAGGATTGATCAAAAGCAACTACCCCGGATGTTCCGAAGTTAACTAGGCATAAGGAATTGAAGCCCCGACAAGCACCCAACCTACAAATAGATGCAAATTAGCTTTTTACTGTTCATTAAATCTGGACCTGCGCTATATACAAGACTAGAAACACCTAAACAGCCACGACCTTCGGACGACGAAGGATGGAAGCGTCGTACAGCAAAAGCTAGAATAAACAAAAAGAAACCCCTTTCAAAGAACGGAAGAGATAAGTGACACGAAGTAATCGTCGATCCATTCGAATACCCAGAACTTCAGACAAGGAGAGATTCAAGTTTCATATCTCGGTACAAACCCTGCCACGGCTTTCGTACAGAAATTATCCAAACAATGACAGATTTCAGTATCCGAAAATATAGTATTGGTGAAATTTAAAGGCAAAGAACCAATTACAAAGGAAATTTTTGAACCCTTACTCAGTATTAGGCGGAACGTTCCTGGCAACTTGAAAGTCTGACTATGCTATAAGTATCAGAAATTCCTCAGCCTTCACAGACATAATTTTCTCTGGCCAACACAGCCAAAAGTCCCAGCATGTCTACCCCGGCATTAACCTACAGAATGGCGTTTTACGGCCCCAGGCCAATACCAAACCTTGACTCTCTACCCGTTGAGGTCGTGTTGCTTGTTGTCGAGTACATTGGCTCGGACGGTGAAGCAAGACATGTGAACCGAAATCTACTCTCTTTATCAAGAGCATCATGGCGTCTCGGCCGAATAATAACTCCTTATCTTTACAAACACAATGTGAAAAATATGGGAAGCAGTGGATTCAAATGGGCAATACAGCGTGGCAACCTATATGTTATCAAGACGCTATTAGACTATGGAGGAGACATCACTTCTTTCGAATCTGGCTATCCACTGCTTATGACCATCAAAAAGGGAGATGTCGAGCTTCTGAGATTTGTTATGCTTAATGCCTCAGAAGATGCTGTCACCCAGGCTCTTTCACAGGAGGTTGACGTTGACAAGAACACGTTATTGCATTGGGCGATTTTTCTTGCCCATGTTCCATGTGTGAAGGTGCTCCTCGAGGCCGGCGTTGACATGAGTGCCATGAATAAGGACGAGTACCGCCCAATCGACTATTTATTTACAAGGTCACAATCAGGAGTTGATAGTCGCTATGCTGAGGTTGTTAAACTCTTGCTTGACAGCAACCCTGTTGAGATGGTCAAACCACTGGTAGACCAAAGGAACTTCAATCTCCTTGGAAGAACAACCCCCTTGATCTTGGCAGCAAAAAGCGGATCTCTAGTGTCTGTGAATGCTATCCTCGAGGCCGCTCGCAGACATAACACGGAAAATTCCTACAGGATATACATAAATGAGGTTTGCACATTAGGGGGTTGGACTGCTCTCGCCTCCATTTGCGATCCGTCTAATTGGCCTGGCAGTCCAAGCGGACGGGAGCGAGTCCTTGCTATTATCAACACCTTGTTGCTGCATGGGGCTGATGTCAACGGAATTGATCAAGACATGGAGGGTAAAGACATGCTGCCCATCTACAGGAGCTGTCTGAGGCCACCATTACTCGACGATGCTCACCAAAGACTTGGCACAACTAAGCTACAGCACGATATAATATCCCTACTAATTGACAATAACGCCAACGTCAAAGTGCGGAACTTCGACGAGTGGTTCCTTGACTACTGCTTTCCTTGCATGAAATTCTTGGAAACTGCCGAGTATTATAGTATCTATATACTGGAACCCGGAAAGCTTTTCCTGAAAGATGAGGACATTTTGCAAGACACCCATCCGACATTGAGGTTCGAGACGACTTCCTCTTCTTCTCACAATGTCGAGGCCGAACCCGAAGAGGAAGGAAACGCGGAAATACTGCGTCTCTTACAGAATATGTTCCGAAAGCTTCTACAAGATATGACACCTGATGATTTCAAGGCATATCGTGGGGAGAGAGAAACAACATTACTGCATCGGGCTGCCATCATCCCAGGCCCGTTTGGCGTCTGGGCTACGCAAACATTGTTAGAGATGGGCGCTAGCACTAAGACAGTAGACGAGCTTGAAAGAACGCCACTCAAGTATGCGAAGTCACAAGGCCTGAACAGGGTTTCCATTTCGTTGTTGCGGCGCTGGCCGAAAGCCTCATGATGCACAAGGCCCTCTGAACTGGGGGACGAAGAAACCTCAATGCAATTCATTAGATTTCTGTTTTGTTCAACAGTAACTGTATTGCAAACTCATGGAATTACCTAGGTAGATATTCATATAGAATAATGGTTTTTAGCAGGCTTTCGCGCCATATCCACCACTACCAGGAGTTCCTATAACATCCGCTAGCTAACTGTCGAAGATTTCCCTATATATGTAGTAGCCGACTTTTTGATAATCACACGGTCACCTTCTCTCATATGACAAGTGTTTTTTGCCCCAAGCGAGATCTCTCGCTAGCCAAACTCGTTATAGCGTATGTGTTATTATTTGACGCTAAACCACGAGAATGCACCTGGTAGAGTATTATAGGGCAACAGATGTGCCCCAGAGTAAATTTACCTATAACCATTTTATTTGAAGTAACCGAAAGACAATAAAGACGCGTTGAGTATTTCGCAGCGCAGGTATATATAATTGTTCTCCAAACAGCATCGCTACCTTGTGATACCCGAATGATGCATCGTGCTCTAGTCGTTTTCTATTTTAGTATTGCATTGGAACGATCATCAACAAGATTTATCTGAAATTGAACCCGCATGCTTTTAAGCTTAAATAAAAGTTTGCGGGGCGCCACGCTAACCACGAGGCATAACATGCACCGATTCAGTATTCTGGAATCCAAATTAGACCTATCAGATTGATGTGCAAAACACTGAATTTGAACCTGTACTCCGCGAAAAAAAAAAAAAACATAATTGAAAAGTGACTGCCAACCCCCTCGATCACTATGTAATTGAATTCGCTGTTACTTTTTCCACGCCATTCTAAGCAGCCCCTTGAGCTTCATAAATTCAAGATATAGCAACATATTATATAAAATATACCCTTGTCAAAACCTGAATATTTTCCCGGTGAGCTCTGAACTCAGATTTGCTAGGTATGGCTTGACACGATCTTCCTAGGATGACAGATTCTGCACCATAAACTGTATCGGCGGATAGATTTTGGGTGAGAACGTAAGCCTCTTATATCACTTATTTGCTCGATAATTGCAAATTTATATAAATTTACCGGGTATTCGGATATGATTTGACATTCAATCACCACCACCGCGATCGTGTTCTATATGCTACTCCTTGCTTTGTCGAAATAGGGTTATCTAGTTGAGTTTTCCTTATATTCTTGGTACTCTCTTTTTTTGTTTGCTTTAGTTTCTGCGTGCGATGTTGCACATGGTCGTTTACGAGCCCACCAAAAACCGAGTGATTCTATATATGATTGACTAGGTTGAGACAGTTGGGAGGGAGAATTGGTACTTTGAAATCTCCCCATCGATGTTCTCATTCAGTGAATTATCTATTTAATTTGTACAAAGATAAACAGTGTTTTCTACAAAGTAATTGTGAGTTTTCTGCTGAGGCTTTAAGATCGCAGCATCTGAGATACTTTTTCCTCTTCTGTTCATACCGTTAAAAGAAATTTCCACTTTGCTTACTTGAAGCGTTCCTCAGAGCATAGTGGTCCTTCGAAGAGTCTATATAAACTCTAAAGATGACATAAAAGATATTACAGCTATGGTGCTTTCAAAGTCTGGTGAGGCGAAGTATGGTGGATCGTCTTCGCCAATAAATGCAGACTTCTATTCCTCTAACCGCAACAACAACACCATTAGGCATGTCCTCCTTCATATTTGATAACAGTGTTACAAATAACGCCTGATGACAGAGCTTCTGTTCTTCTTTCAAATTTCCCTCATCAAGAAGCATTACGAGCCCCTAACCAATCAATCTTGACTATCAGAACGAGAAAACAGAATAGCAACCTTGGCGCCAATACTGTGTTGCGTCAGACTCGCTCCTGGCGCGGATAGAAGTGTGCGCCTACCAATGTAATATAGCTGACAGGGTGTGGCATTTTATTTACGGTCAGACATTCTCTTGACTCTCTCGAATTGGAGTCACTCATCGTTCTGGTCCTGGTACTGAGCCTGATAGCCGACTAAGAAAATAAATGTCCATGACCAAAACTCGATCCGACCCTCTGACAACATATGTTTAATATAGAAGGGACAAACTACTCCACCTCTCTCAACACTTCGACGACTTCATTCTGGTGCGAGTTTTCTGCCCACTCCAATGCGGTTCGATTATTTGCGTCTTTGATTCTCGGGTCTACTCCTTTACTATCGGGCTACATCTACTTTTCCGAGTTCTGCTGCCTTGTGGAGGACAGTTACAAGCTCTCAATGAAAAAGTATAATCTCTAAAAATTATATTCATCCTGGTAGATTGTTGCGTTGATGGATGCGTCTTTTTCAGTGAGGAGTTTCAAGACCTCGGTAGTTTAAATTGCCGCTCAACAGCGTGACGAAGGAACTGGCCCTCCTTTATATCACCACCACGACTGAACATGAGATTGATAGTAGAGATGGAGCCTCTTTCGACGGCGTAAGAAAGTGGTGTCAGATCAATCACACATTGTTGATTTGGATCTGCTTCATGGTCAAGGAGTCAAGACACCATATCTTTATCTTCAACCGCTTGACTAGAAAGAAAATCAGTTTATATTAGGTGCAAGTTGAAAGGCTCGCGTTAAACACTGGAGGAGCAAGGTTCACCTGTTGGCTGATTGATATCCCAGCCGTTTTTAAAGAAGACTTGCAGCACGCGTTTTGCCTTCAGGTCTATCACTCTCGAGACATGAGGCACAGTCAAGGTGAAGTCATGATTAAAAAACTCTTCAGCAAAAGTTACGTCATCTCCTTGAGTAGCTTCGAGCATCACTTTCCACAAGTCGCGCATATCAAGTTGATTGGGTCCAACCGGGACCGGACGTAGGGCGTCAAGTGTCTCACGAAATTTCCAAATATCGCACCTAGCAAACATTGCCTGCAACTCATCAAGAATACAGCAGGCGACGATCGATATGGAAATAGAGGATATTTAGATGGGGGCTCCAGCGTGCGTTCGTTGGTTGGGTTGCTGGCGGCTCTTAACTAGCGCGAGGCCCTTTCTAACTTGTCAACCTTCACTTATAGCCAACGAGCGACGTGACGAGGGCAGAAGCCTCTGGTTCGCAGCGTATTCTTATCTGGTCACTTGCCTACTCGATATCGGACCTTATCGCAAAGTCCACTTCAAGTATGTCTTCCTACTGCAACCTTGGCAAAATAGCACGTGAGCACGTTGATGCACTTGGCATCCTGCCTTCTGAGTGGCGGGGGAATTTGAAGAAACCTTAGTGATGATAGGGAACCTCCAAGCCGAAGGCCGTATGGACCATCGGAGGTCTTTTTTGACGATAGCGTGCAGCAACCAGACGGACGCAATGCTACTATTTGAGCCGGCGGAGCGTGACGCTAATTTCTCGATGCTTTGATCAATCCTCAGGTAATTCCATTCAGGACTGAAAAGCCGCCATTATCCAAGGTGCTTGTGTGTAAATGGAACGTGAAGTGGGAATATGAACTCCTGGTAAGCTTCGGAAATCCAAGTACCTAACCTAAACCTTGGAATTATATAATACCACACCAGTCAGACACGAAATTTGTCAAAAGATATAAGCAACTCTCTAGAGATAATATTACGTCTCCAGTGAGTCTTAACCTCCTAGCATCTTAGCCCAGGCAGGCGGCAGGTCGACTTTCAACTTATTTCCTAATTAGGAAGGCACAGCCATCTTCATGGTCTTCCACATCATCACACAGTGCAGCCCCGGAGCATTGTACATGTTCAATATCTATGCTAAATATAAATCCTTTTCTCCTACAACCTACCACATACGACCATAGGGTGTGGAAAACAGGGCTTCCCGTCCGCTCAGCCGTACTTAAGCCACACGCCGGCCGGTTAGTAGTTGGGTGGGTGACCACCAGCGAATCCCGTCTGTTGTATGTTTTTTTCCTTTTTTTTTTTTTTCTCTTTTTCTCTGGAACTTCTTGCATTCTGTGTCTGATCTCTGATCTTGGTTCTAAGGAGGTCTCCAGAACTAAATGATATACTGCATAGAGCCAGGAGCCCAACATTCTAGCTCTGGCATGGCTACTCCGATGCCTGATATCGTACTGAAACGAAGGAAGGTGAGGGATTTGAGCCCTCCAATGTTGAACCTCACAACCTACTGTTCATTTTCGCGTCGACTTAATCAATTTGATATTCTCTTGCAACTGATATTTATCACACCGCTGAAACAACCATTGAGTCCGCAGAATCCTCTTGCTCCCTTCTTCGTCTAGCTGAAAGCTTTAAGAAAGTGTTCTCTGACAACCAATCTTCGACATGCTGAGACCCAGAAATGGGATCTATAGAGGCCTCCTCAGAGGTTCTCTCGCCATTCTCTCTGTGTTGCTTCTCATACATCCACCATCCCGATAATGGTTGAATAGAATCAAGTCCAGTCTCCTCATCGGGGCCACTCTCTGGCTGGGAATCCAAATGCTGATGCCCGTAGTTATCGCTATCAAGGTGGTCCCGACCCTGGTCAAGCACCGCGCCGCTTGAACTGGCTTGAATGCCGACTAAACCAGCTAACATCATAGTGTCATAGACTTCTCCATTATCATTGACAGTGACTGGTACCGATGCAAATCCTGATGGGACATCTCTTATGTCAACCCTGCGCGATAATGCGTCGTCCAAGCAGAGCTCAGTATTTTGCCTTTCAAACTCGGCCGACGAGACTGGGTGAATACGATCCCGTCGTAACATTTTTCCATTTTCATCCCAGAAGCAAAAGACTGAGATCCAGCCACACAGATAATCTGGACCACTACCCATGTTATACTTGTGGGCACACCTACCCCAGAAACTCAGAACATCAGATGATTCAGGACCGTCAAAACAAAGTACAAAATGGTTCAGGATAGGCCGGAGGAGCTGGGCAAACCGAGCAGGCTCATTCCCAAGCTGTTTCAACTTTTCCAATTTCTGGACCATACTCAACCAATCTTCTCTTTCACCCAAAAGGGTAACAGAAGGTATACCGCAGATTAAAGTCATGGCATATGAGAAGTACTTTTGCAAGGACCCCATCATCAAAATGGCTGCCACCACAGTATCTGACTCAGTGGTGGTGCTAAAGGATGGCATAATCCAGTCCCGAAGATCTGGATCCACAACATTTTTTTCAATGAGTTTAGTCATCCGCACAGCCAGGGCGCCAAAGTCTGCGTAGTCCATACTCCCATTTTCAATGACTTCAAGCTGCTTTTGTCCTTCGTGTGCAACAAAGAAGGGCCGGAGCTCTTCAGCATGTGCATTCACAAAGAAGCTGAGTTGCGTCAGAATCGAAAACCAAACATCCTCGGGGCGGATGGTCAAATTGTGGTGAGAACTGTAGGCATGAAAGACGGCCCAAACGAAGCCGTTCGTAGAGGCCGAGATGTGTGACTGGCGAAACTGGCTTCGCGAAAACGAACTCTGGATGATATTTTGGCAGCGTCGATAATCCTTAGGACTTGACTCTTTGAGAAGCTTCTCCGCTGTGGAAACTTTGTGGGCTTTCCATTTGCGAGGGGCGTGTTCGGCCGTGGTAATAGTCACAGGCATAGTGACCTTTAGAGGAATTTATGCTAGGGCTAATCAAACAAGATGATAGGATTATTTCTATTTTTTTTTTTTTTTGGTATAATTCCAGAGGAATCATTGTATGAATGGGACATGGCCTTTATATAGATCATGTCACTCGCGGGGGTTGTTTGCCCGGGCGAAAAACGTCTGTTCACCGTGGCTGAGCTTGCAGGGGAGATTCACAGCCACCATCTCAGATACATAGTTAGGCACCCATGTACTGCACACAGAAGCTGACTGATACAGATTCAGTGACGAAAGGTATACCGCGGAATAATCATAGAAGCTTAAAGCTTACGTTTCTTGGGCCTTTGCTTATGTTCTCGACCTCAAAGATGTCAACACCAGTCCCTAAAATTCTGGGACATGACAGCGCTGCAAAGCCTCGGCCTTTCATTGCTTCCCTCGATAGCATTGGATGTGGCAGAATCAGGGAAATACCCTTTCAGCCCGAATATGACTATATGCGCAACGATAAACCAAACCTTTTGCTTGCGCCTAACTATGCGGAACCTCCCCTTGAAGATATCTTTCTATGTACCGTTGATGGAGTTCAGATGTCGACGTTTCCAGCGCCCCCCCCAGGGCTTGATCCCTCTCATGAGCCTACTCCCGACGGTGATATATGCTTAGCATGTGAGGATATTGATATATGTATGCTGTTGGGGTTAGGTGGAGGAAGAAGGTTCCATCTAGGTTCTGCGGCTAAGCTGATGAGCTGCTCGGATTGCAATCTCTGTCGCCTGCTCACTAGAGCTTTCGAAAGGGACACGGGTTTCTCCAAACATGATCTGAAACGAAAGTATCCCAATTCATTTGTTGTCATTACTAGCGACTGGGCCACATTTCCGGTAGGGCCGCGACACAGTCGTGTTTTAGAAATCGTCGGAAGGCTCCTTCAACCGCCTGCATTCCTCTGTAGCGAAGCCCGACTACGGCTTTTAGCAGATCAAAAATCTCGACTCACAAAATCCCAGAACATGCGCGGACGAGTGGTGGGATCAATGGCTAACATGAGCCTTGCTCGCTCATGGCTTGCGGAATGCGAAGATAATCATGACTGCAACCATACCGAGAAGTTGCAAAGGCAGATCAACCAAAATGAGATGCTACTTGTTTTAGATGTTGAGAAGCTCTGTCTGGTTGAAATTCCCAGTCATTATCGCTATCTGGTCCTCAGCTACGTCTGGCCTCGCCTGCCATCTGAGAAGCTTTACCGTAACCTTGTGAAGGACTGGATGAAATCACAAGCTCTCTGCGAAAAGGTCAAGGGATTCTTGAATGTCTTTCAGGATGCGATTACTGTTACGCAGGCACTGGGAGAGAAATATATCTGGATTGATCAACTCTGCATGGCCCAAGATGACCCTGCCCTCAAAGAATACTTGGTGGAAAGGATGGACAAAGTCTACGGGCGAGCTGTTTTGAACATTATTGTCGCTACATCTGCCCCTCCAAGCGAAGATTATTCCATCCCAGGAGTAAGCCGACCGCGAAATATCTTACAGGAAGCATCCATCATAGACAATTTACATCTGATTACAGCTCTTCCAGACTTCTCAGTCGCCGTCGAGCGCACATGGTGGGCTACTCGAGGATGGACCTTTCAGGAAGGGGTACTTCCCCGAAGATGTCTGATCTTTCACGACGACCAAATGTACTTTCGATGTTGCAAAGATGCCCGATCTGAGGACGTAACTGCCGAAGGAAATACACAATTCGAATTCCATCCGGCAAAGCCCAAGATACGAAAAAGTGGATTCGAGCATTATCTGAATCCCGCGCTTCTTTCCAACGCTTCAAAGCAAAACTGTTTTGAGGAGTATGTGCGATTTGTGCGCGATTATTCCCGTCGTTCGTTGACCCATGGAGGTGATATCCTTCCGGCCTTCAAAGGGATCATGATGGCGCTGTCGGAAGCGTTCGCGACACTATTCTTTTGTGGCATGCCAACGGCCTTTTTTCATAGGGCACTGCTGTGGTATCCTGCGGCACCTTTGCAGCGCCGAAATATCGAATCAAGCGAGAGCACCGGTCTTATATGGCCAAGCTGGTCCTGGCCGGGGTGGATCGGAAAGATTGACTATGAGTTCGATATCCTTCACCTCGGGGATGCCCGTTCGGTTCTTCCGACGACTGCTTGGTATCGATATAATCCTCGATTAAACATCCTCTTCCCCATCGGAGGCAAGATGGAAGACGTCAATACCCCCCCAGATCCTCAATTTGCCTTGGGAGTTTTATACGGCCTCTGGCATCGACTTCGTGAAAACCAAACTCGGATCATTGGCTGGGTATCTGTCTTCAGAATCATACTTGATCCCGAGGAAAAGCACATTATGGAATGGTTGACCGACTTGCATCAGTCCGTGCCTTGCTTTGCTATATTAGACCGAAGTGGCGACAATTGCGGCTATCTGCCCTCGGTAGACCGGGCATGGGCCCAAAGATACAAACAGAACCCTAGAACTCCTTGTGAGGTTATCATTCTTTCTTATGGACAGCAGTCAGTCGGAGAGGAGCATTTCACCCGAATACACCTGATACACCCGAAATATAAGGTTATGGATAATCTCCATGTATGCTTCTACAATATCATGCTGATTGAGCGGGATGAACATGGAATTGCTTATCGGCGAGGGGTTGGAAAAATTCATGTAGACTTCGTACACGGGATCGATAGAGCTGTAGAAGTACAGCGAGAGCCTTGTATTTTAGGCTGAGAATACACCTTCTGTTTCAGACATCTCATTGTTGAGTGCCGTCACTCGATTAATTGCGAACCCCTGCCTCGATACAAGCATTGTGCTAACTGCCTGATTGCGACCTTGGTTCGCCGCCATAAAAGCAACCAGCGTGGTGGCTGCGCACACAGCCCCATGCATACATACATAATCTTTAGCACAGCCTTGCGGGCTGTGCTGCTTGATCTTTGCTTGTTCATTTGGCGGCATGCCCGCAAGAACTTTGTCTTACCAGAGTCACCTCGGGATGAACACCAAGGCAAGAATACGAAGACATTTTACGTTTCTTTGAGAATGGAACCAATTAGTCTTCATGATACTGAGAAAGACGCAACACCAGCTCCGGAAAATCCTGTAAGGTTCAGTAGCTTTGAAACCAGCATCTCGATCATTCAGGTGTGCACTCCGGCTCATGCACCTCATTCTTTTTCATTATAATCTCACTTATACCGTCTGCAGAGGGCGCAATGGAAAATCTCACGTCCAGTTCCCTGGAGGGAATGGGATGAGCTAGGGGCGACGAGCTTCATTAAGACTACTCCCTCGGTATGTTCACTTAGCAATACCTGGGGCTCTAGATGCTAACACCGAGTTAGAGGGATAAGAGAAAACTAGCCCATAAAAACCGTCTTCGTCTATTGTATGGATGCCAACCTAAGAATGTAGCCAGGCTGGTTCTGAAGCTAATTTCATACGATCGCCCTTTGCCGCAAAGACTAATCCAGTATGAAGACATGAGCCAGCTTTACCAGCAACAGGATCTGTTGAAGACTGCAGCCGCCAATGGGTGGAATGATTCAGCTTTTCGCTTCTTTATGCAGAACCATACAGGCGGGTCGATGGCTATTGAGTCGTCACAGAGACTAGGTAATGTGTATACTCGATTCATGTTGATAACCCTGAGAAGGCGCTAATGTCAAGTAGGCATCGTCACTCAAACCCCCCTGGATGACTTGGAGTTTTTCAGCCTTTGCATGAGTAAAACTATGGCTGTCAGTCATCAAGATCCCGACTGGCTCTGTCTTCTTTTTGCAGGTCCATCCCTTCCTCGTCGGATCATTGATGACATTCTGCTTGACGAGCCGTTTCCCTCTGACTGTGACGATTTTATGGTCATACCATATTCACTTGCTCGCTGGCAGGTTGGAACAATAGCGTCGGGCGTTGGGCACTTGGAGAGAGACATCATTCAACAGGAAGAAGGGCTAACATCTACTGACGTACCAAGGTCACGGGAGCTTGCGTTGCGAGACTCCTTATACAGGATACGCAAGAGACAGTTCATGCTTCAGATACGTTGCAAATTTGCACAGGAGCTTGCAAGAAGCTTGAATAGGTGCTTTGATAACATTGAGCGCACGGCAGAGGTGAAATACTCTTCCAGACTTCGAGACGGTGTTCAGGAGTTAGAGTCTATTCTCAGGATAGTCAAACATGACATTGAGAATGTGGCATTGAGGGTAAATGCCCAGCAAGCTGTGGTAAGAGCTATATATTTCCTTTCAAGATTGCTCTGTTGTATATCAACGATCTATGGAAATGGTTTAATAATTCGTTAAATGTGTGTTAGCTCGACAACCAAACGAGTTTTAGGGTACGCGAGTTTTCGTCCGTGAAATTATACTGCCAACCAGTTAAGGTCCCACTGTTGATGCAATATTTGATCTAGCTAGCAAAAAATATGGAGGTCACTGCCGAACAAGGTCGACGGGATAGCGCATCCATGCGAACGATTGCCATTGTGACACTTGTCTTTTTGCCGGGCACCTTTGTAGCAGTATGCATCCAATATTTTATTCGTGACATTCGGGTCTGATGCTGACCCTCTACAGTCTATATTCAGTACTACCATGTTTGATTTTCAGGCTGATCGAGCAGACCAGATCGTTTCACGGTATCTTTGGGTTTTTTTCATTCTCACTGTACCTCTGACTACTTTGACATTTATAGCGTGGATTTGGTGGTTTCGCCGGAGCGAGCGACAGAACCAGCGCAGAAAAGAGGTAGTTGTGTGTGAGAGTTGAACTGAGTCAGGATTATCAGGCAGAAATTTTTTCAGTAGAATCATTCATCGCTCTTCCGATGACCTAGACCAATTGCAATTTACCACTGAGATTCATTCATCCCCCAACCTCCCAATGCTGTAAATCGCGTATGATGAGGGCAGAAAAGAAGGATATCCTGCCACCAGCGCTCGGTCAATGTCTCGAAACTTCTCGTCCAAATCGGACCAGGGAACTAGAAACGGTGTTTGCCGAATGCTAGGATCTCGCTCGCCAATTGTCCATTGCTTCTGGAGTCGCTCGCTATTCCAACGATCATGTTCGACTATGGACAACTGCTCGATCTGAGCCGGCGTAAACTCCTGAATGGCTATGCGAGAGTCGGTTCTTTCAGCCAGGAAACACGAAACGAGGCGTAATTTACTGGGTATGGAGTCGACATGCGCCCGGGCAGACTCTTTAAACTCCTCGTCGAGCATGTGCCACTCTTGTAGATTCAACTGGTTCAATTCGCCGGGACTAGCAGTCCGCCTTCGTTCGTCAAGATACGCACTATGTAGCTTTTGAGCGGCTTCTTCGCGAATATGTGCTGGCAAAATTGGACCCTTCATGCATCGCAAGAAGTCGTCATGTTCCATATGGAGACTCAACAGAGAAATTGGTGGGAGGTCCGCCGGTTTGAAACCATGTTCTAGGTTGACTTGGCTCATATCAAGAATGGCCTTCATTGACTGAACTGCGCGGGTGAACTTTGGAACGAGGAGAAGACCACTTAAGAGACGATCATCAATGTCAATTCGGGAAGTACTCGTCATCCCGGGTATCTGGCCCTCGAGGAGGGATCGCAATATGATCGCCCGCCGTAGAGGGAATAACGTGTCAGGGCCTCGCTTGTTGTCAATTTGGTTTGGTCCCAGCAAAGTGACGCTCGTCCTTAAGCTAGCAACGAAGCTCTTCAGACCGTCTTTCTTAGGATTCTGGAGATCCGAGAGAGTTTCCCATGCATCGTCTTCGAAAAAGAAAATAGACTGTCCAACCGGCCGTAAGCTTCCATTATCGATGAAAGTGCCCTCTCGTATGAGCCTCAAGAGGATATACAATGATTTGGCCAATGAGCTGTTGAAAAGTAATTCAGTGTTATGAAAGTGCACCGCTGCAATGACCCCCTGAATTGAGCAGTCACGAACTGATTGGAGTAAGACGTTGAGATAATCTGTGTCTGTCATGTCGGCAAAGTCACAGAAAAGGAAATGCACAGGCTTTGTTCGGACTATCGAATAGATCACTTGCTGCATAGCAAAGGTTTTTCCTGCGCCAACCGAGCCACATACTGCAACTCCGTATGGTGTGCGAATGCTCGGTGTGGCTAGATAATGCATGACTCCCTGTGTAAGCGATCTGAAAGACTCGATTTCGCGCCTATCGCAAAGAGCCAGCTTGCTAAACTGAGCATGAGGGATCCTCATTGCGATATGATTATTTCCCTGTCGCACAGTCTCCTGGGCCAACTGAGAAACATCACCCACGGCGTGTTCCAAGATTGACCATTGATCATCACAACCCCGAGCTATATCATCCGACGGCACATTGAACTGAATGAACTCACGGCTTTCGTCATCCCGAGTTAATTCCCCGATCAGCTCATGTGCGTTGGAGAAGGCCACCAGGCCCTGTCGACCCAGCCGTCGCATAGCACCCAAGCCGCGCTTAATGCTCTCTAACATACTACTCTGGCCATTTTTGGCCAAACTCGCCGCGAAACCTGCCACGAAGGCTTCGTTAAGACCTGGAACGGGTCCAAGATGTCGTCGAACAAAGTCTCCCTCATTGCCCTTTGGGTCAAACACCAACACCGGTCTTGCAGCTTCCCTTCCGCGGTGATAAATCGCCCCGTCGCATCCAAAGAGAACGATGAGATGCGGGCAGGTGGCGAGCGTGACAAAGTTGCCGATAGAGCCCAGTTGATGAATGAACTCTTCGCAGGTCCTTTCCCACGATAAGCCCCGTGAGAGCTCCAGGCCTTCGCCGCGAAGACTGGCCACATCTATGACCGCGATCATCGCTTCCTGATTTCGGTCTTTGCCTTCACTGAACCTCTTCCAAATGGCTCCCGAGCACAGCGGGGTTGACACATGGTAGACGAAAAGAGTTGGTTGGTTCTGCTCCAAGAGATCCATGGCAAGCTGAGTTTCATTTGAGTTGAAAGACTTACCAGCAAAAGCATCCTGCACTACCCACATACAGCGACTCTCCTTTTCGTCCGACGGTGGTGTGGAAACGGGGGAGTGCCATCGGGGCTCTGTGTCAAGCAGGATCTGCTGTTTCAGCCGTACTGCATCTGCATCCTTTTCGCTTACTTCGAATTCCATAATGGAGTGTAATGCTGGATCTTCTGGATGCTCCAGACTAGGACGATGCACCTGAAGTGGTTGGCCTTCATGATCCTTCAAGCCATTGAGCAGGAGAGCAAGCAGCCTTGCACCCGTTGGATACATTTGTGTGCGGGGTCGGCTCGAAGCATTCTCCTGGGGGTAGATACATAGTTGGAGCTGTGAATCTCCAGCGATCACCAAGTGTTGGCTAGCGGACATTTTTGCCTCTGATGTCGACTTAGCAGGAGTGTGTAACTTTTGTTGAAAAATATCCATGGATAACGGGCGGGTTGTTCCTGGAGATTATAAAGGATCAATTGATTGCCCGGCCTCATGAGCCTCACACCGGCTCTGTAACATAAAATTGAAGGAAGTATGCCTTGGACAGTATTTATTGGCGAAGCACAGAGACTGCCTTGGGCTTTTCAGTGGGGTTACCTATGTGGCTGCGCCGCAAACTACGAGACCATAAATCAAATGATTTCGCATCCCTCCCTCAAATGCACCTAAAGGTATACCTAGGCAATCCTTCCGGAATTGGGGTTTATTCTTACTGCCATTGGAACTTCCACCTTCTTGATTTTGGCATGAAATGAAGTTTTCTGATAAGATCGATGTCAAGCTTCGATTCTAGCTAATCGTCCTCGTTGGGGGAGTTTAATTCTATACTTTCTGCGTAGCCATGTCATATTGCGATTAAATCGAGCAGTTATTCAAACAGCGCTAACTAGGAGATACCTAGTAGGAGGGTTGGCAACAATGGTCAATTAGGGCTAACGAGGTGAGGTTGGGGGCGGGTTAGGTTATTTATACAGAAGCCCTAAGTCGGTCATTCTTTACAACAGCAACACAGGTTTCTAGAGGGTTGCTCGCCAGGAATTGCAGAATATTCTATCAGCAACTTAAGTAATTCTGCTGTGGAGAAGACCGAAATAATGATGTTATCTAATATCTATACCCAAGTCAAAGCCTCTTTTCGCCCAGATTCGATGAACCAAAAGCCTAGCCAGTTATACCTTGTATAAGAGAGAAAAAAAAATCACTTTTCGCTCGGAAACACCTTCACCTTAACGCCAAATGCATGAGACGCCGTCAGACTAAATCTAATCCTCGGCTCGGCAATCTCAGGCTGCGCATTCTCAACCGAATCAAATCGTTGCAATAACCGGACGAGGACATAACTAGCTTCAGTCAAGGCGTATTGCTCTATCATCGCGTTAGCACACACAACATAACAAAAAGTCGCAGGGAAAGGTAGGACTCACGACCCAAACAAATCCGCGGCCCGCCATTAAAAGGCAAATACTCCCAGCCATGCTTCCCCTTCTCCTCCCACCGCTCAGGCCGAAACTCAAGCGCATCGTCCCCCCACAGATCCCGTCTTCGATGCATATTGTTAATCATATACATGACTCTCTGACCCTTGGGAATGAAGACGGGCGATTTCCCATCTGGCCCGCCGCCGACTGGCAGCGTGGTATCGGCAACAGCCCATCGAGAATTGAGCGGGACCGGAGGGGCAAGTCGCAGCACCTCGTTGAGGAATTGCCTCAAATACCGCACGTCACGTATGCGAGCGATTGTGATGTCGTCGGCGGCGGCGGGGGATGTTTCGCTCGGCGGGAAAACGGAGAGTATATCCTCGCGTAACCGATTCCAGACGCGCGGGTGTCGCGATAGATAGAAGAAGGATGAGGAGAGGAGGCTGGCTGTTGTATCGCGGCCAGCGAGGAGCAGATGCAGCATTTGGTCGCGCAGGGTTTTGCGATCTTGGGTCTCTCTGGCCATGGCGTCGAGGAAGATGTATTTTGAAGAAAAAGAAGATGATGATGGTGCGGATGATGAATCAATGTATTTCTCCTGATCGGTAGCGTGCTGTCGTCTTGCAAGGGCTTTGTCAACGTAGTAGTCGACTATGTCGTGGATGACTTTGATCATTTTGCGAGACTCAGAGCTGTTTACTAGCCAGTACAGACGCTGCGCGCGGATGCGTGCAGCCAGGTAGTCTAAAGAGCGGTTGAAGGCCTCTGCAAAGTCCTGGTCGTCGCTGATGTTGGCCAGTGCTCCTCCTCCTCCTCCTCCTCCTCCTCCGGAGGAGGAGGAGCGTTTGTCGGCAGCCAGGGAGTTGGTTGATTCACCGAAGAGGAACTCGGTTGCGGTGTCGAGGGTCAGACGGAAAAATAATTCTTGGATATCAAAAGCAGAGCCGTCGCGGGGCATGAGCGCAATGAGCTGGTCGACATGGTCACCCAGCATGCCTACATCAGCGATCTGGTCGCGCGAGAATTGAGGGCGCAGCATGGTGCGCGAGTGCGACCATCCGGCGCCGTCGAGGGTGAAGATACCGTCGCCCAGCAATGGGTAGAACATCTGGTTCCGTTTTCCGAGGGAGAAGTCTTTGAATTTGGTGGCTAGGATGGATTTGATATTCTCCGGCTCGGTGGTTACGATGGCCGAGACGCCCAGCACGGTGCGTTGAAACGTGTTGCCGTGTTCAAGATGGATATTCCACATCAGTTCTAGGATCTTTGAGGCTCGTACAGCCTTGACACCTTGCTTGTAGGCCTCCCAACCCAGGAAGCCCGAAGGCGCTTTCGTGGGTGGGCGGCATCCTAGGGCTTTGGCTTTTTGGTAGCGGTGGACTCTTGTGTAGATGGACTTGGTCACTGCATATAAGGCGGAGAGGAGGAAGATGAGGGCAATCAGGGAGGGAGTGGCCATTTGTAATGGTTTTTGGGAGTACAGATGAACACTTGTCTGGAAGAAGCTGCTGAGCTAAAGCAAGGAGCAGCTATAGGTTTATATACATTCCGGCTTGTTCGTCTATACTCGTCATATACATAACATGCTACCTAGGCAGCATTAATCGACACGTAACTTGATTCTTCTTTTTCAGTCAGCATCAACCAACCCTGCCTGCCTTTAGGCATCCTCATTGTGAGCTACGTAAGAGCCAGTCGGCACAAAGCCTGAGCGGCGTCTCACAGCTGTGCCAAGGCGTAGATCATGATCTGCACGTCGCTTAAACCCTTAAACAACTCGGTATTGGACTCATCGCTTGATCGGGGTGCATACGGAGTACTGCACAGCCTCCTAAATCCCATAGCTCCAATCAATTTTGGGGGAAAAAAAAAAGAAAAAAAAAACATTGGTCCAATCTCTAGAAAAAAATAATGCAGCGGGTATAACTTGTTCACAGGCAACGCTATAAAATTTATGCTTCGGAGATTATGTATTTGAATTCGTCCTGGGAGGCAGATTCCTGGACTAATAACAGCACGGCATAAATACACCAAGTACATACGTCAACAAGAGCATACGTCAGCCCCGAGGAAAGACAAATCACTCAGGTCGGTAAGACACCACCTTGCCAAACGTATCAGCCATGCCCCAAATCCCATGACGCAAACACGACAACTGCACAATCTGCGAATGATCCACGAAGACATTCACGTCGACACCAAACTCGCGAATGTACCAATTGTACACCTTCGGATCGGCGGCTTCGAACATGACTCGCTCCATGGGCAGCTCCTTCATGATCGTGCTCACCACGTCTGTGCGCCACGACTTGACGTTCTCCGTGATCCCCTCGGATTCGATCATGAGTCGCTCGACGCCTGCATCGAGGAATTTCCGCCCAAGATTGACCAGCTTGCCGGGATCAGAGGTGCCGATGGCTTCGAGATCGCCGGCTGCTGTGTCGCCGCCGGCACCGAATTGAATGCCCAATTCCGGCTTCGCTTTGAGGTCGTAGGCGTGTACTTTGTCGACGAGCCGGAGCCAGTCGTCGGGGGGGATGGAGAGGAAGCCAGACGATATTTCTATGACGTCGAAACTTTTATCTTCTTAGTACGTATTCTTTTGCTGAGCCGACAGACACCAAGCAAGGGGGGAGGAATTACCCGAGATCCTTGCATTTCCGCAGATATTTGTCAAATACTGTCTCGACATCGGCATGGGTTAGGAGGTGTTCTGCCCATCCGCCCTGGCCTGGCATTAATATTTTTCACGTTCATAACTCGGTGGCACACGCAAGCATACCGTGGATACATAAACGCCATGTGAATGGGCTAGGTCGATCAACTCCCGCAGCGGCTTTTCTTCGAAAAGGGAGAAGGAGCCTGTAGAGCAATGACCATGTGAATCTTGCTCTACCATGACTCAAAAAAGCAAGGGATTCTACCTACCTCCCGCAAATTTCAGACCGTCCACATGTGTGCCCATGCTATATATACAGCAGTCAGATATATCCTCGAAACACTAGAGTCAAGAGACAAGCTTACGTCTCCAGTATATCCGCCAGATACCGTTTACCCATGACCTAACCAGCAATAGGAATTAGCCATTTCTTTAATTCCTCTTGAAAAAGTTGAATAAGCATACAGTATAATAAGGCCCTCTAATCTCGGTAACACCCTTCATCCGAGGCTTCTTCGGCCGGGGATTGGAGCGTGCAAACCCAAAGCCATTGTCCTTGTCCTGGAGCAGGATGTTTGCATTGCTACTGCTGTATGCACTACTAGCCGCAGAGAACGGTCTGTTGTTCTGCCTGCAGGCGAGGTTTCGCACGGATGATAATGATGAGCCGATGGTTTGGCGGGGAGGACGGATGGACGAAAACATTTTTTTTTTCTTTTTTCAATTGATTCCTTTGCAATCAATATCTTCTGGAAGAAAATGGATCAAAACAAGGAGTTTGTATGGGTCCGTTGATATATCAAACATCGCTGTCTGCCCATGATAGCAAACTGATGCTGGATTGACGTCAGCATGATGAACGGCATCGAAGCATGTTTCTGGCATGCTGGCGGCCATTATTCATGCATACATTATACATTCACTGGTCTAGCATTCGTTCCGTCGTTGAAGCTGTTGCTCATCAATCGGCTGCTGGCTTGTCATGGCTCGAGTTGGCGATGCTTCTTTCCTTCTGGACCCTGTCTGGTATCGAGTCACGTGAAGATAACAAGCTTTGGCCACTCGGGTAGACACGAACAGTCTAACCGCATCCGGTGGCGATGACGTCACTCGGCCCAACCGGAATTCGGAATTCAGAATTCGGGATACGGATCTTCGTGCAGCCGGTGTTTCCGCCGTCGGGCCGGCCGTTGATTGGCGGGAGTTGCCATGAGTCAGCAAGGCGGGGTTAGTTAACTAACTTAACTACATTTAGTTAGGGCTTACGCCGAGTGTTTTTAGCTGGAGCTTGTTGTCACTTCTATCTGATAGAGCTAGCTAACTGGTGACTTCCAAGTTCAAGTCAGCACTGTAATCAAGTCTGCCCACTCGGTGCATATGTCATCGGCATGCTCTTAGAGTCTTGGTAAAATTCTATTGCCGCGGCCAAGACCGAGGAGCCAAGACTTTATTCTGGGTATGCATGTGCTCCATTGCCGAATTGGGTAGCACAACCGCGCTGTCTGGGACCCCCAACCACTAATGACATCGTCGACTTGGTCGGTTCCTCGTGCCGAACTTGCAGAAATCAAGCTTGATGATGGTTCAGCCTGTTTTCAACTTTCCCAGTTCCGATACTGATAAGTCGAAGAGGGTAAACAAGAAAACGGAGCACAGAGTGTTCTCTTACCGTACGTAATCGTCGGCCTATAGTACATGCCGGTGCCATGCTCTTTTTTTTTTATCATGTAGTACTTATGTAGTTGTTGGCATAGCCAAAATACGCCCAGACAACAAGAATTTTAAGAAGAAAAACGTTGTTTATCTCTGCTTCTTGTTCTTAAAATAACTTCTGTTTCCTGCCGTCTCACGCAGAACTGAAGACGAAGGAAGAGAGAAAGACGAAGGAAGAGAGAAAGGCGACGCCATCTTCGCCATGGGCATCGGAGCTGTGCTTGAGCCATTGACAGTGGTCGTGCTTCTCTTTGGAGGAACATGGATCAATCGCCAGAAAGACAGCAAACCTCGCTCGCACGGCACGCTGTCACGATCATCCAGCAGCAGCAACAACGACGAGGAAGCCGGATTCCAGCCTGTCGCAAAACAGGACACATACGGCTATCCAGAATCAAGACCGTTATCGCCATCCCTGCTTCACCAGCATGAACCGCAATGGAGAAGACGGTCTGTCGGCCTTGGCCCGTATAGATTCGACGTATACTCGCCCAACACAGCGCAGTTTCGCAACCGTTTCTTGAGCCGACTGCTGTATCGGCTTCCGTTCCTGGTGGAGTGCTGGTACTGGGCGTTGGTGTATTGGGTATGGTACTTACCATATAATTTGTTGTGATCAAACATTAAATGCTGACGACGTTCGAAAAGATATACCAGCTCGGCCGTGCCTTCACCGCCGTAACGCTCAAAGACGACACCGTCGACGTCGCGCGCAAACACGCCATGCAACTCGTGCAACTCGAAAAGTCGCTCGGCATCTTTGTCGAAGTCGATATCCAGCGGTTCTTCCTGGCACGGCCAACGCTGATGAACTGGACCAATTGGATTTACTCCTTCATCCATATCCCGGGCACCATTGCGTTTTTGGTCTGGCTGTACTACTACACCACAACTCGGACGTCTTTAGAAGGCAGTTCTGAGAAGAACGGCGGCAGCAAGCCAGCGAAAGCGATCAATGGGTCGCCGGCAGGTCCCCTGTTGTACGCTGCTCGTAGACGCACGCTAGCTGTTTGCAATCTTTTGGCGTTCATCGTCTTCACGCTCTGGCCCTGCATGCCTCCTCGTCTGCTGAGCGATGAGAAAGTAGGCGGTAACATTGGCAATGTCGCGCGGAGTTATGGATTCGTAGATACAGTCCATGGTGAAAAGGGCGCTGGAAGTGTGTGGACTGAGAACCGGTTTTGCAATCAATACGGTAGGATCTCCCCCTGAACGAAAAAAAAAAAATAGACACTGACAGTATAACAGCCGCCATGCCATCGCTCCATTTCGGATACTCTCTCATGATCGGCTTGACTATCATGACCATCCCGCTCTCCGCTCAACACGCACAGTCCACGACAACAAGCAGAACCAGAAGCATCCGTCTGCCTCTGTCTTCCCACCGGATCAGCCTGCAGTTTGCGCTCCCATCGTGGCGTCGCGTGCTCTGTGTAGCCCTTGGTGTCGCATACCCGCTGACCATCCTCGCCGCCATCGTCGCCACGGCGAATCACTTCATCCTGGACGCTGTGGCCGGTGCGTGCGTGTGCATGCTCGGATGGAACGGGAATGTGATTCTGCTGAATCTGCTGCCTGTCGAGGATTATTTCCTGGGGGCGCTGCGCCTGTACAAGCCTGAGCGGATGGTTGTAGACGTTAATGTTGAGTCGCACGGATACGAGAAGCGGGTTCACGCGTCTGTGCTTTCTTAGCGAGCGCTTCTTCGACTTGACTTGATGCGAATGAGATGAATATATTATAATGTATGTAATAGAGTATAAAATTCTCTTCATCCCAGGGAAAGAGAAAAAGGGTTGCTTAGTAGACGACCATGCTATGCAAAATACCAATAAATAAATCCAACCAAAATATTTACATCGAATCGTATGTTACAGCAGAAACCGAAAATGGAGGAGGGTATCTATACAATGTATAATCAGGCAACCTTGCGACCAACATTCCCAATGCCTCGTCCCACAACGCTCACAATCACATCGCCCTCGTACTTCTCGTCTGCAGCATCGCGCACGCCCCATCCCGACGCCCCGAACTTGGCCAGATCGCGCGCAAACTGGATCATGCCCTCGTCTGCAATCACGTCTCGCCCGACCTGCAAGCGTCCCACGTCCTCCGACCCCATCGCCATAAGCATCAACACCGTCTGCGCGGCCGCGGGCGCCACACAGCCGCCCTTGGATATCGTCTCCAGCAACTGGTACGCGCATCGTTTACCGATATCCTCAGGCGGCACGCCCCCGTCCGGCGGCGAGGCAACGTCCGCTGAAAACAGGCATCCCGTAGACGACTCGGCGACAAGGAAGAGACCAAACCCAAGGCCGGTTTTGTTTTTCCCCCCTGCGGCGGAAGAGCCAGCAGGCTTTAAGAGCGGCGCCGATGACGAATCAGACGCTATATACGTATCTGGCACTAGGGGATTGAGCACGCCCCTCGCCGTCTGAATCATGCGCGCATTATTCGATGCCGACACGCCCGTTGAATACGCAACGCCACGCACAGTCTTGATGCGGCCCGGGTTCATCAAATGCAGTGTCTTGGGCAGGCGGACCTGATGTCCAAAAACCAACTGCACCTCCCCTCCGCCGCCCCTCCCGCCGCGGCCCGGATTCGACCGTTGCAATATCCGCAATTCGATATTGTTCCATATGCCAAAGAGCTTATACAGCGGCAAAATGGCCATTCGCACCGCATCAGCAGAGATATCCCCCGTCGTCGGCGTGGAGGACGTAATCACACCGGGTCCCGTGAAGAGCACATTCATAGGCGCCTTGGAGAAAGGCGCTAGCAGGCACAACGGGATAAGGAAGTAACTGATTCCGCGCGTGCAAGTAGACGGGATCTCATGTGTGATTGTCCCCCCGTTGCTGGTGCTGCCTAGCCCGGCGGCGCTGCCGGTGATTAGGCCCGGTTTGTACACGATGATGGTACCACTGTATGAGATCTCCATTTGGGAGCCATTGGTGACAGCTTCGAAGAGGCGGAGGAGCGAGATTTCGTGAGGGGCTAGACCTGGGTTGGAAGGGGAGTTGGAGCGTATTTGCGAGATGTGTACGGGCTTGCCGGTGAGGGTTGCGAGGACGAGACGGTAGGCGAAATTCTTTTGCGAGGTCAGGCGCACTGGAGGTTGGGTGAGCGACATGTTTGTATTTGCTCTGAGAGAGGGACCCTATTTTCTATAATTGTTTGTCCTTGGCCCCGAGTCGAGTAAGTGTATATATTGCGTCTGGAACGTCAAATGTTCAGAAAATTTGAAGCTTAAAAAAATTAAAAAGGGTAAAGCGCGGCGATAAGAGCGTCACGTGCTACTTATCGATAAGCCGATAGCTTCATCTCGAAATTTCCTTCCTATCATTCTTATTAAGAGAGATATGTTAAGTCGACATTGATAAAAGATGTAGATATCTGTACGTCTTGACGATTTTGCAGAGAATATGACCAGTTACTGCAAAAGAATGGGTGAAAACAGTGAATATCATCTAGACAGCCGAACTTCTTCCGTCAATAAGAGTCATACAAAGTTTCATTAAACGAGCGAATTATTGCGTTTAGTCCACTCAATCTACAATTAGTTAACTATTCCAGAAGTCTAGTGTATCACTTGAAGTGCTGATGATTAATAATAATCATCTTTAACCACACACAGTCCGTGACTCGGTCATAGCGACAGCCCCTCATCCGTTCCCCTCATGCAACTATAAAATAACTTCACCTTCAATCCAACCATACATACAATCAATCAAACACAGACAATAGACTTATAGAACCCAACGGGCCCCCCAAAATGCTCCCCCCAGTCCTCAACATTCCTAAATGGCAAGTCCCCTTTCCCCTCCGACCACATCAATCGCGGACTAACAAGGAGCTACAGGCTCGAATCAAACTCGCACCTCCTCCAACCGCCCATCAACAACTACTGCGTCTACCACCCGTCCACCTCCGCTGGCTACACGGTCATGATCGTCGGCGGCCCCAACGCGCGAACAGACTACCACATAAACCCCACGCCCGAACTGTTCTACCAATACCGGGGGTCCATGCTACTCAAAACCGTCGACACGAGCACCTCGCCGCCGACCTTTGTCGACGTGCCCATACACGAAGGCTCGATGTTCTTGCTACCGGCCAGCACGCCGCATAGTCCCGTGCGCTTCGGGGATACGATTGGCGTGGTGATGGAGCAGCCGCGGCCGGAAGGCGCGGAGGATGCGATGAGGTGGTATTGTTCTGCTGGCAGTAGCAAGGGCAAAGGATGCGGTGAGGTGGTTTTTGAGAAGAGGTTTGTGTGCACGGATTTGGGGACGCAGGTGAAGGCTGTGGTCGAGGAGTTTGCGGCCGATGAGGAGAAGAGGACGTGTAAGCGTTGTGGTGCTGTGGCGGCGGTCAGGTATGAGGATGGGCAGGTGGTGCAGCCGCCGAGGTTTCCGGAGTAGCAATGGATACTACTGGTATATTATTGATCTGTAAATAGTTTTTGTGAGATGATGGAGGGATGTGGATCATGGTGTTTATTCATTATGTATTAATACAAAAAAGGTAAATATCCAGTTAGATAAAAGTGTAATGCAATAAAAAAAAGCTTCCTATAGAAAGCTTGGTAATCGAATGGTAGGGAAAAAAAAAAAAAAAAAAAAAAAGAGGGGACAAGGCTGTAGAACATCACGATGAGAAAGCAAATTTTGTACAGACTATTAGACCCATATCGAGGATGAATGAGAAGCGAATGCAAAAAAGAAAATATAGCTCATCAGACGTACAACCGTCTCCCCGTAACTGACTCGACATCACTCTTCAAACGGACAATCAATGCTCTCATGGCCGTCGCGTTCGCATAGTGCACACCATTTGCTCTCGTCAACCACCCCTGAAGCTTTACCAGCTACAGCTCCCGTTGAAGACGTCAATCCATTGATGCCGTTTAATCCCTCAAGAGCCGCATCACGACCGGTTTTCATCGGCGGAGAAGGAATCCGTGCGGGCTCTTGTTTCACCTCGTGCGAATGCCCATCCACGGGAGACTCCGCCCGGCTCGGAGTTTCCACTGATACTGACTCTTTCACCTCGTTCTGCAGGCGTTCATCAAAGTCATGCTCCTTTGCTTCATAGTGTTGGGTTGTGGTAGTATTGTTGTCTGTAGTCGTACCGCTACCACCGAATGTCGTGCAAGTAAGAATGTCATGCCCCTTGGTCTCACAAATCTCACACCACAGAGAACCGCCCTCAGAGGACTGAACATCAGAATCATGAGAGTCATCATTGTCCTCCCGGTGACTGGTCAGTGTTTGATAGGTAGTCATCGGTAGAAGGCCATGCTCCGCGTTGTTGGCTCCTTCATGCCAATCCGGTGGCACTACAGTCTTGTCTGACAAGCTGTGCCCATGGCTCACTATAATGCTGCTGCGGCTTCCTCTAGCGGAGTGAGACGATTTCATCTGCCTGAGCGGAGCGATCGTGACGGTTCCACTTCGGCTTCTTGCTCCGTTCAGCCATCCAACCGAGTTCCGTCCTGCAGAGTTGCGCCCTGAAGAATTCCGCCCGATGGAGTTGCGATTCTGATTATCCTGGCTGAGCTCCTTTTGCAACTCCTCTATGCGACTTGACCGAGTCTCCACAACACCTTGCAGTTCCTTTATTTGCTCTTCTAGCTGAGAAATCCTTTCAGCGTCCTGGGCGCTCGATTCGCCATGAGAAGTCCCATTGGGACTGAACATGGCTGGATTCATGTCGCCGTGACTGAGGGAATGGATTATAGCCTTCAGACCCCTAATCTCGTCATCCTTTTGATCCAGTTCTCGGCTGTTCCCACGGGCCTCAGCTTCCTTCAATGCAGCTGCCGACTTCTCCCGCTCCTGCTGCAATTCCAATTGCGCTCGCTCTACCTCTCCACGCAAGAACTCTACCTCGCCTCGTGCTTCTGCTTCGCCACGTCGGGCATCTTCTAGACCTTCCTCCAACTCGGAAACTAGGTCTTCCAGCTGTTTCAATTGTTGAGCTACCGCCTCCACGTCTTCCCCACGATCTTGCAATTCGCGGTTCTGCTGCATAAGCTCGTCCAGACGTTTCTCATACACTCTTTCTGTCTCTGTAGCGGCAACCTCCAGGGTGTCTAGCGTGCTGCGGAAATCAGCGCGGTGACTATCAAACTCTGCTGTCAACTGCGCAATTTTTTCGTTCTTCTCACGTAGTTGAGTTCGCATCGAGGCGCCATCTTGCCCCTCCAGTTCCGTGATGCTCTGCTGTAGCTCTAGAAGAGCAGATGCTTGATCGTCGAGTTGCCTGTCACGGGCTTGCAGCTCCTGTTCCAACTTTCTAATTTTTTCTTGTAGTTCATGTGTTTCAGGACCGCCGCCGCCGCCACCACCACCACCAACTCCGACACCACTACTACTCGGTCTACCAAATGTAGACCTTGCAAATACGGGGGGAGGAAGGCTTTCGTCTTCCACGCTAAATCGGGAAGGAGGTCGATCCGACAATCTTGAAGGCGGTTTCAGAGGACTGCGAGGATAGCCGTTAGAACCACCAGGGCCTAAAGAACCGGCCGACATAGGCTTCGAAACCGTAGTAGAGGGACTCCGCAAGGCACCAAAGTTGAGTTTTGTAGACGGTGCACTTCGCGGCGACTCAGGTCGAGGCAAGGATGGGCGACGGACTCGTGGTCGTGCCACTGACGCCGGACCAACTGACTTGCTAAAGTTGGTTGCAAGCGACGGCCGTGATGGAGTGGGAGGCGTGACAACATTTCTTCTGGTGACATATTTCGAGTTATTTATGGGCACAAAGATGCCAGCACCGGGAATGGACGTTGTAAAATAGTTTCGCCCGTCGACGTCTCCGTTGTTCTTCCCCCTGGCGGCATGTTCAGCAGCCAGCTCGATTCCTGCAAAACGGCCCGGCTTGCCATTCACGGTTCCCACGAATCGAACGGTTCCATACATGCCCCCGGGGACGTTTACCTGGTCTCCGACCCGGATATCGTCGGAGGGGGCCATCGTGTGACAATGCGGGCCGACCGACTTTTGCAAGACGCTCTAGGTGATGACTGGCAGCCTTCGCGGACGGGCTAAGCAGGTCTCTAGACGGAATCTGCCGCAATGGAGAAGTGTGGTGTGAGTGTCGGTCGTCCGGGAGTTCGTTGGTGGAAAGGGGAAAGAAAAATGGCAACTTTCAGGAGACGAACAAGCTCGAGAATGGTGGGGAGCTTAAAACGGGAAACAATTAGGCAGGCTGATCAGCGGCGCTGCATGGTAACGAATCAACAAACAGAATTAGTATAATTAAGAAAGAAACGGTGAGCAATGAGGTGAGCCAGCGGCAGACACAGCGGCCAGACCTTGCATTGAAGAAGCGGCGAGTGTGGCTGCCGGCAGTGCGAGAGAAGATTATATAGCGGCGCTTGCCCAATGGATGAGCGGAGATCCAAAACTTTTATTTTGTTCCTTGCCAGAGAAAGGGATAGCGAGTCGACAGGTAGGCAAGGACGCCAGTATCATGCGTTGACCGTAGTGAGGATAGAAATGAATGAAGTTGATAGTCATAAAAAAAGAAGACAGAGAGAGCGCTTGACTTGTTTTGCTTTAACCGCGTTGGAACAGCAGGAAGGAACCATGGGAGCGCGCCTGCCGGTTGGGCGCTCTGCGAATGGGAGGCGCCCGTCGTGGCCAGCGCAGCCCCGTCGACTCTTCCGTCAACGACGTCTGGCAGCAGCAGCCTACAACAACTGACCTTCCTCCCCCATTGTATCGCCATTTCACTATACCCATTTTTGACAGCTGCATTCTGCGCTGAAGCTCTGGAAGCTCTCACAGTCACTGCCAGCCTATCGAATGAACTGAAGACCGTCGAGTTGTCGGATGCCCATCGCCAACAACATGGCACAGTACTTCTTCGATCTTCTCTACAACTTCACCGATTGTCTCTGCTGCTTTCCCAGCTCCCCGCAGCTGAAGATCAACAACCGCAGTTTTAAGCTGCTGCGGCTGCTGGGTGAGGTATGGATATCCCTGCTCTACAATACAACTACGTAATTCCGTCTGATGATTCCATTTCTCCGCATGTAGGGAGGATTTTCCTATGTCTATCTCGTCCAGGACAAAAGCACCTCGGAGCTGTTCGCGTTGAAGAAAATACGATGTCCCTTCGGCCAAGAGTCCGTGTCGCAAGCGCTCAAAGAGGTCGAGGCCTACAGTCTTTTCGCGCCGCATCGCAATGTCATCCGCTCGTTCGATCACTGCGTCGTGAACGAATCCGGGTCCAAGTTCCGGGGAACCGGGGATGACTCGAGCTCTAAAACAGTCTATATTCTCCTCCCCTATTACCAGCGAGGCAACTTACAAGATGCAATCAACGCCAATCTCGTCAACCACACCACATTCCCGGAGAAAGAACTGATGACGCTGATGCTGGGCGTTGCCAAAGCTCTGAAGGCGATGCACCAGTATAAGGTCAAAAGCGGGTCTGCCGCTTCTCGTCAAGCCAAAAATGTGCGGCGAGAAGGAGAGCAGGCAGACGAGGAGCTGGCGAGAAAGGTCGGCAAGCCAAAGCGGAGGAATACACATGGGGTTGATGACGATGTCGAGCAAGAGCCGTTGATGGACGATGAAGTCACTCGCAGTCAGGAAGGCGTTGCTGAAGGAGAATACCGGCCCTATGCTCATAGAGATATCAAACCTGGTAATTATATGTCTACCGGACTGGCATGAACCATTGCTAATGCTTATTCTCTAGGCAATATCATGATTGATGACGACGGCAGGACACCGATTCTGATGGATCTGGGCTCGTTGGCTCCAAGCCCCATCGCAATCACATCGCGGTCACTCGCTTTGGCGGTGCAAGACACCGCAGCAGAGCACAGCACCATGCCGTATCGCGCCCCGGAATTATTCGACGTCAAGACTGGCTCCATTATTGACACCAAAGTCGATATCTGGTCTCTTGGCTGTACTCTTTATGCCTGCTTAGTTGGTAAGAGTCCATTTGAAGCCCGAAGCGAGGAGACGGGAGGCAGCCTGAGCATGTGCGTTCTAGGAGGCGACTGGCGATTCCCCGATGAAAACTCTAGTAGCGCCAAAGGGAAAGGCAAGTCCACGCCGGACGCTGCATCTGGATCGTCGTCTCTGACCAGTGAGGGCGGGATCAGTCAGTCCGTCAAGGAAATTGTCAGGAAATGCTTGCAAGTCGAGCCTGCTGATCGGCCGGATGTCGATGAGCTTATCCAGCTGATCTCAGACACGATCAAATCTCTGCCTGAGTGATATTCGTGTATTATTGATATTTTGGCGTTTTTGGGTGTAAGCTTGTACATACTACATATATCGAGATATGGCAAACCAACTAGATATCAATCCATACAATTAATTCTTCTATGCTTTGAGTATCATCGAAAAGTCTGAGATGACCCGGCGAGCGATAGGCGTGGATAAGTGGAGCTGCGGAGCGATAAGGAAAGCGGCGGAAGCACGTTTTGCATTTCCATCTCCGAACACTCTTCTCGTTTTCATTGTACATAGTCACGATCAATCAATTCGATAAATATCAGCAACGAGAAAAGCAAACAAGTTGCAGAAATTGCCATTGACTTGATATCGATCTCATTCTACTTACCAGTGCAACGGGCAGACAAAACCCTCGCTCAAGCCAAGGGATAATAATAGTACAGCGGAATGCGCAATCACGAATGAGTGGACTAGGGACAATCGTTTTGGGTACGTGATCAGGGGAAAAAAAGAGAAGGAGGAGGGGAATATCATTAAAGAAGCGCATCCCTCGCGCAGCAGCCAAACGAGGATGATCCTGGCCACGCAGACACGATCCCTCACAGTTTCGCACATCTGCTCGACGCGACCAAGCGTTTTGCAATTCTTTGCGTCGAGCTCTAGACACAATGCGCTCGAAACGAGCTTTAATCGAGTAGTTCGGTATTTTTCATCATCTTCGTCGTCGTCGTCGTCGTCGTCCAAATCTCGGATTTCCTACCGAGTCGCTGCATCGTGTTCGGCCAAGGGACGGCGCTTCAATTTCGAGAAGAATACATACAACCTCGACCATAATACAGTGCGCGATGTGATTGGCGTTGCTCTCAGCGGAGATGAGAAACAACAGAAAGCGACCTCGACCCGCCACAAGAGGCCCGGTAGTGGTGAAGATGCATTCTTTGCAAGCACAGTTGGCGCAGCAGCTGATGCAGGGACAGTCGCGTTTGCGGTGGCGGATGGGGTGGGAGGATGGGCTGAACACAAGATTGATCCTGCCGACGTTTCACATGGATTATGCACGTATATGGCACAGCATGCTTTGGGAGATTCGTCTTCTCGGCGGAAATTACGGCCAAAGGAGCTGTTGCAGAAGGGATATGACTCTGTGGTGGCAGATGAGTCTATTACTGCCGGCGGAACTACAGCGTCTGTGGGTGTTGCGCAGCCGGATGGAAGCGTTGAGTTGGCCAAGTATGTCTTTTCCTCGGTTTCTTTTTCTCTCTTTTTTTTTTAGTAGAGCCAGCTGACCATATAATGTATATAGCCTTGGAGACTCCGGATCCGTCCTTCTCCGCCTCGCAGCCGTGCATCAATACTCTACACCGCAAACACATGCCTTCAACACCCCGTATCAACTAAACATCATCCCGCGGCGACTACGTGAGCAGGCGCACATCTTCGGCGGCGTATATTTCGAGGATACCCCGCGCGACGCCGCCGTGTCCACGCTGACCATGCAGCATGGCGATGTGCTCGTGCTAGCCACCGACGGCGTATTCGACAATCTCAACAATTCCGAGATTCTCAAAATCGTGACGGGTCGTATGCTCCTCACTGGCGCGTGGAGTTCTAGTTCTTCTCCTTCGCCTCCAGAAGAGAAACGAAACAACGGTGCCATCTACGCATCTGAGAAATTGCGAGAATTAACCGAACCCGGTGCGCTGGACTTGGCGTCACCATCGTCGTCATCATCACCTATTAAATCGAGCACAACTACAAACCGCCATCACACCCTCCAAGCACTACTCGCAGCGTCGATTGTGGGCGAGGCAAAACTGGCCAGCGTCGACGTGCGGCGAGACGGGCCTTTTGCAAAGGAAGCTCAGCGGTATTATCCCGGTCATTGGTACCGGGGAGGCAAAGTGGATGATATCACGGTGCTAGTGGTTATTGCTATTGAGGAATAGCCTAAAAAAAAAAAAAAAAAAAAAGGCGGGGAGGATAGTAACGGCGTATGTATGTATGATATGTACATAGAGTGAGCAATATATATACCTAATTCGAGTCTCGCTGGCTACGGATCGATCAATGTATACCTTATACATAGGTACAAGCCTACAAGTCCTAGACAAGGAATACTCCAACTCAAGAATCTATTTCACTCGAACTAGATGAAATTCTCAGCGTCATGGCAATGAATATACTCTCTGGAGACGTAGTATATACTACTTTACAGGGATTAACCTGCAATGAGAAGGGATAGTGCATACTCGTTGAAGTTAATCATTAACATAGCGTGTCTGTCTGTGTTTCCGCCTCTGTAGTCATGGCAATTAGGAATAGAAGTCAAGCAGATCACGGTCGTATTACAGGAATGGATCTAGAAACTTATTAATGAATATATCAGTATATATTCAGACACAAATACTTCTGCCAAAAAAAACCCCCCCGTTGATTCAATAACAATTACCGCATTAGGAAACCGCGCATCAATACGGTAATACCAATACACCTATCGATACCGTAATTCTCTCGAGCTTCAAAAAAAGTATCCAGCGACACCAAAGCTTGAACACACTGCATCTCCCACAACGCCTCCTGCTGCTGTCTGCGCAGTTGTTAATGCATTTTCCTGGTTTCTCACTTTTCTGCACATATTATAAGATACAACAGTCAAGATGATGCACCCCGCAAGGCAGGCGTATGTCGAAGAAGCGGACGACACTGATATGGGCATTAGTCTGGCGGATCTGCGTAAGCTGTCCATCTTGTTTATTACATCCTGATTTACTGTTCACACTGACTCGAAATTAAACAGCGGTGGACCGCGACTATGACCTCCCCGCGGCGGCCGCAGGAATTGCCCCCGAACGAGCATCCGCGCTCCTCTCACAATTTGAACGCAAACGACGAGCTGCGGCCATCATCGTGCCCACAGACGACAATCGCGTCCGTCTACGCCTGCGCGAGCTAGGCGAACCCATCACGCTCTTCGGCGAAGGACCGGGCGATCGCAGAGACCGATTACGAGAACTTCTCACCACGCTACAGGAACAACAGCAAGAAGGCCAAGATGTAGAAATGCGAGAGGGGGAAAGTGCGGCGCTGACCGAGACCGAGGCGGAAGCGGAAGAAGGCGAGCCGCAGGAAGAGTTCTATACAGAAGGGTCACAGGAGCTGCTGGATGCGCGGAAGAAAATCGCATTATATTCCTTGCCTAGAGCAAAGGCGCGGGTGGCGTGGCAGCTGGAGCAATCGAAGATTCAGCTACGGACGCATATCAAACATCGCAAGGCTGTCAAGGAGAAGTTACAAGGGTTTGAGCTTTATGGGTCGCAAATCGCCGCCGATAGGCCCGTTGGTATCACTCGGTTCGCGCCGAATGGGGAGACGCTTGCGACAGGTAACTGGGCCGGGGGCGTTAAATTGCTGTCTGTCCCTAATTTGGAGGAGAAAATGAGCGTCAAGGGACACAGCGATCGAGTGAGTGGGCTTTCCTGGTTCCCTGGCGCTACGTTATCTACGTCAAACGTGTCAGAGTCTGCCCTCAACCTGGCGTCCGGAGGAGGCGAGGGGAATATCAATCTTTGGTCGCTGGATAAAAAGGAGCCGCTGGCAACACTCTCCGGGCATTCTGAGCGAGTCTGTCGAGTGGAATTCCACCCATCGGGCCAATATCTAGCGTCGGCTTCCTACGACACAACGTGGAGGCTCTGGGATGTCGAGACGACAACCGAGCTGCTGCTACAGGAAGGCCACTCGCGGGAAGTATATGCTGTTTCTTTTAATTCCGATGGGTCTCTATTGGCAAGCGGAGGCCTGGACAGTTATGGACGGATATGGGACCTGCGCACCGGCCGAACGGTCATGGTGCTTCAGGGGCATATTCGAGAGATCTACGGCGTAGACTGGGGCGCTGATGGCTACCGGGTTCTGACGGGATCGGGAGATGGCTGGGTGAAGTGCTGGGATTTGCGCAAGGTGGACTGCAGCGGCAACATTGGCGCACACAAGAGCGTTGTCTCGGACGTGCGTTGGTATAAGGGGGATCAGTCGTCTTATCTTCCGACGACGACGACGAGCACGAATGGCGATCAGAGTGGCGATGCTATGGAAACAGATTCGCCGGCGCCGCGCAAGGCGGGCACGTTTTTTGTTAGTTCCGGGTTTGATCGCAACGTCAATGTGTTTAGTGCGGATGACTGGTCGCTGGTGAAGTCGCTGAGCGGGCATTCGGACAAGGTGCTCAGCGTGGATATAAGTGATGATGCTCGGTGGATTGCGAGTGCAAGTCATGACCGTACCGTGAAGCTGTGGGGGATTGCATAGTCCTAGCCTACAGTCCTACAGTCAAGCAGTGATTCCAGGGAGTCTGTTGACGCTATTCAGTTCAGATATTCAAGGATAAATGTAGACAGAACCTAAAAAGGAATAGCTCGCAGCTACGGCCAATCGGCAGGCCGCATTGTGACGTAGCCGCAGTAACTGTTTAGAGCGAAAACTCCAAATTTCTAATTCTACCTCTTTCGTAAACTCTCGTTCAGAGTTCCGACTTCTATCGATTATCATGCGAGGAGCTACTGCGCTACGGCCGCAAAGGCTGCTCTTCACCCACCCCGTGAGAAGCCCGCTCCTATCCTCGCGCTCAATATGTCTTTTATGCCGACACGGCCATCTCGTTTCAGCGCAACGACGCGGATTCGCCTCGTCTCCCAGACCATCCTACCCTGAGAAGACTGCTACTGCTGCTGCTGCTGCTGCTGCTGCTTCAACTACCAGCGCAATCGCACCCGACGCCACAAACCACTACACGCTATTTCCGGCCACATTTCCCAACGGCCCGCCTCCGCAGTCTCCCTTCACCATCGACGCCGCGACGCTACGACGCGAGTTCCTCCAACTCCAAAGCGCGATTCACCCGGACAAGTTCCCGCAGGGCGCCGACAAGCAACGGGCCGAGGCGCTCTCGTCGCGCATCAACGACGCCTACCGCACGCTGGCCGACCCGCTGAGTCGCGCCCAGTACCTGCTCGCCGAGTTCCACGGCATCGACGTGCTGGCCGAGGACGGGGCGTCCCGGTACGCCGGCGCCCTCGACGCGGACACGCTCATGGAAATCATGGATGTGCAGGAGACAGTGGAGGAGCTGTCGAGCGCACCCGCTGCCGAGGCGCAGGCCACTGTGGATCGGCTCCGGGGCGAGAATGCAGGCCGCATTGAGGCGTCGCTGCGCAGCTTAAGCGCGGCGTTTGACGGGGGCGATTTGCAGACGGCGCAGGGGGAAACGGTGCGCTTGAGGTTTTGGTATAGTTTGAGGGATGGGCTGCGCGAGTGGGAGCCGGGGCACGGCGAGATTCGCATCGTGCATTGAATCACTGTACCTACCTACCCACCTAACTAACTAACTAGTTGAATCAGACTATATACAGGGCGGTCTATATACAGAGTGGTATAGACTGTATTGTGGGTCACTCGATTGGGCATGTCGGTCTCAAATTGGGCACTCATCCAGCTCTTCCGACATGCATGTTCTCCGTCGTTCATGTAGATAGCAAGTAGCTAGCTAATAACCAACAGCCATGCAGCAGCATAAATCATATCCATCCTGCACGCGCTGCAAACACCAAATAGCACGCCAAATGGCATCGCCAGGCCTTATCGTCATCGGCTGTCACGCTCGCCTCACTCTCTAGCGCGGTGTAGACTGTAGAGCTCCAGCGCATCCTCCAGTATAACTAAGTCAGTCGATGCAGACCGACTGTTGGTGATCTGTGCACGTCGCCTAGCAACTCCCAACTCACCCATCAGCGCCGCCCACGTCTTTTTTTTTTTTCTTTTCGCTTGCATGAACTGGATGGCATGAGCTTGCGCGATATGGTCCAAGTCTCGTGATTGCCTGTCTTGTTGTTTTCTTTTCTTTTTCCCGGTCCCCCTCTTTCTTTCCCAGTTATTGTTTGTTTGATTGCTCTTGCTCTTGCTCGGCGAGCTACCCAGCGAGATTGCAGCTGCTCGCCACGATGAACAGACTACCGGATTTCACCAGGTATGTAGACGGTAACATTCTCAAGATGTGCCTGGAGGAGAGCAAAGAAAATAAAAAAATAATAACATCGCAGACTCATCTCCTCGCCCCCCTTCACCTTCCTCGTCGGCAAAGACCACACCAAACTCACCATCCAATCCGCCCTCGCCCAACATGTCTCCAGGCCGCTGGACGATCTCATGAACAATGGGCACACGCGCGAATCCAAGCATCGCATCGCCGTGCTCGAGGACGAGGAGGTCGAGGTCTTCACTGCCTTTACGCAGTACGCATACACGGGCAACTACACCGTGCCGGAGCAGAAGAGCGAATTGCAGCTGCCAACCAGACCCGCCGCTGAATTGTCGCCGGTGTCTTCTTCCAAGTCTACTGGGTCCAGGTCTGCGTCTGGTGCTGTAGAACAGCAGCAGCAGCAGCAGCAGCTACAACCTCTCAGTATCGTTCGCGCCCAGTCGTCGGCTTCATTCTTGCCGCCTCCGGCTCCGACGCCGCCGCCCTTTGACCGGCTGGATGCGAAGCACGGCCAAAGTCGCAGATATGCCGAAACGCCGCTCGCTGTAGCGGCGGATCAGTGGGACAATCCCTTTGCGCATCCGGCCGAGCAGCAGCAGAACGAACACTCGTTCCGGGAGGATACTCCTCCCGCTGAAGTTGTCAACGTCGGTAGTCAAAACGATCCGCCAGCGCAAGAAGACCAAGACGCAGGCGCAGATGCGGAAGCAGCGGAAGAAGAATGGGTGCCCAAAAAGGCCGGCAAAAAGGACAAGAAGAAGAAACGAAAGAATGCAGGCGCAGCGACGGCTGTTTTTGAAGAGGCCGTGCCGACAACCAGCTTGACTCCGCCGTCTACGCCGCCGATTGACGTTAGAGATGAGGTCCCTCCGAAGAGGAAGGAGACTAAGGTGGTTGTGATTCAGCAGGCCCGACCGGACTACGATGCTGACTGCGCTGTTGAGACGGATCCCGGCGATGATGGCGAGGCTGATGCGTATCAAGAGCGAGAACGAGAGGAGGATGGCGACGGAGACTGGTGGGATCAGCCTGTTTTTCCCCCGAGTGGCAGACGACGCGGCCGAGAGAGAACACCCCCTCGCAGGGTACAGCCATTGATAGACACATCCTTTGCCAGCCAGCGCATCTCTGCAGCGCCGCGCAAAAGGGGCGCGAATACATGGACCGAATTCGCAGCACTCGACTATTTCCACCAGCCGCAGCAGCCTGTTGATTACGATGACAACGACCACAAACAGGCCGCAGCACAGCCCTTGCTGATCGTTGTCCCCTACATTCTGTTTCATGCCAAAGTCTACGTCTTCGCCACGCGCTACCTCATCTCTGGCCTCGCGCAGCTCTGTCTCCAGAAACTGCACACCTCGCTCGTCGACTACCCTCTAAGCCACGGCCATGAGCACGAGCATGAAGATGAAAATGAAAATGAAGATGAAGGAACCGAATCCCTCCGCTTCAATGCCCACGCCAAAATGTTCCTCGACATCCTACGCTACACATACGAAAACACAACGCGCTTCGAGCCCGAATCGCAAACCTCCGCCACGCAGCTGCGCGAGTGCGAACTGCGCAAGCTCGTGGCGCAGTATGCGGCGTGCAAGATGCGCGAATTGGCGGCGTACACGCCGGCAGCGATCCCCGTGCTGTCGTCGCCCAGCCATGGGCCGGGGTCGGGGGTGAGCATGATTCCTGCGCCGGGGGGTGGGCTGAGGGAGCTGTTGGATCGGATTCCAGAGTTGGCGTCGGATTTGGTGTTTATGATGATGTAGCTTTTGACTGTTATGACTGATGATCAGGATGTCTGTCTGTATAGCATATTACGAGATTACGATTCAAACATGTCAATATCAATATCAATATCAATATCAATACACATGCATGTATGTATGTAGGTCAAATCTTCCCCCTCAACACCACACTGTCCATCCTCCGCCCTTCATCGTCCTGCTCCTCAACCTCCAGCACGGGGAACGAAGCCGGCATAATCCGCCGCGGCGTACTGCCGCGCACAACGGCATACTTTGAAAAGTCCGTGACGCCGCAGGTGCGCCGCAGAAAGTCCTCGTCGAGGTCTAGCAGGCCATTGACTGATTCCGCGGGTGCGTTGAGCACGGCCAGGACTGCGTCGGAGAAGATGGTCTATGCATGTTCATCATCTGATTATGTTGTGTTCACTGTGCAGTAAGTATACTAGGAAGAGACGGATCATACCGGCTTTCGCAGATCTTTCTGTGCCGATGGGTCGTTGCGCACCATGTCCTCTGTCGCGGCGGATTCGATGGACTGCTTGCTACTCATTAATCTTGCTCCAGAGGGAGTACAGAAAGAAAAGCAAACGCACCACCGCAGGCCATAAACTGGTAATCGCCATATCCTTCCGGCCCTGCCGGACAAAATCCATAGCCAATCCTTTCGTCAAGACGCTCATACCGACTTTGCCTGTTCCTGTTAGCCTGTACCTATCTAGGGGGGGAGGGTTGGTTGCATATGGTATATGGTATACCCATAGCATAAGCAGTCTTCCCCCTAAAAAACCGCGAATAAATCGGCGGCGACACCACGACAATCCTGCCGCGCCACGCATTGCGCGCAAACAGGGGCAATGCCGCCTGTATGCTCGCATACAGGCCCTCCGGGTTGACGCGCTGCATGAGCTGGAAGCGTTTCACCGGCGTGCTTTCCACGGCCGACCACCAGATTGCGCCGGCGTTGTAGATGAGCACGTCTAGGCGTCCGTGGAGACGCTCTACCGCCGCAAAAAGGGCGTCGATTTGCGTGATGGAGCGCGTGTCGACGGGGATGGCGGTTGCGGTGCCGTGGTGTATGTCGTTGATTTCGCGAGTGACGCTGGTGATGGTCGAGTGCTTGGAGCTGGAGGGGGGGAGATCTGTTTCTTGTGCTTCGGTGGACTTGGCGGCGACGACGACTGTATACACATCCGTTAGAATCCTCAGTCGTAGGTAGGATGTATGCATGTACCAGCGTAGCCATTGCGCGCAAGGTCAATTGCTATCTGTCGGCCGATGCCGCGAGAGGCGCCGATGACGAGGGCGACTGGTTTGGGCATTTCCAAGGTTGTCTGAGTATTATACTAGAGGTAGAGGTAGAGGTAGAGGTAGATACTGGGTTGATATGTGACAAGTATGATATGTGATGAGTGATCGGCCGAGGTTCTCAACGCGGCTATGCTCGCATAAGTAATTCAGGTAAATAGTTATAATGAGCCTGTATAATTTAATGTGTATAAATCTGAATTCATGTAGACACATTCTTGAGCTTTGTTATGCGTACAGTCGACGCATACCTAGGTATATAGTGATAGTAGAGATGCCTCGGCCCAGACACAAGCGCCTCTCTCCGCCTTGGAATTTATCATATTCGTTATTCCATCGATATCTATCCATACACACATTTATACATATACATCTCTCTCTCTCTCTCTCTCTCTCTCTCTCTCTCTACACATACATTTATATACATGCAATGACCGGCATAATCCACGCCTACTACGACTTTGGTACGTCTGACCAGCCTACCTACCTAGGGGTACATACAATAGCTAACCAAGCAGTCTCGCCATACTCCTACTTTGCATTCGTGCACCTCCAGCGCCTGCGCGGTGTCCTTGCCAGCCATGGCGTTTCAGTCGAGTGCTTAAAGCCAGCAAGAAAATATGAGCTGGAACCAAGACTAACCGACGATGTAGAATCCATCCCATCTTCCTGGGCGGCATCATGAACGGCTCCGGTATTTCTCTCTTTTTCTGTTCAGAGGTATAGGTGTATATCAGCATCTAAGGCAAATACAGGAAACACACCTCCCTGGCAAATCGCCGCAAAATCCAAGTATGGCCAACTCGAACTCCGCCGCGCAATTCGCTACTTTGATGTCCCGCCCTTTGAGCCGCCGAGTTTTTTCCCAATTCTGACGATACTCGTAACTAACACCTCTCTTCCTTTCCCTGTCTGACAAATTTGGTGATTTTTTTTTTATTTTATTTCATGGCTGACCGGCATGAGAATAGCCCCTCCGCGCAATCACGTACATAAAACAGACCCAGACCCGAGAGACATTCGAGGCCGTGTTCGGTCTGTATTGGAAATGGTTCTTCTACCAGCATCGCGATTTGTCGAAGCCAGACGTGTTGCAGACATGTCTTTTGGAGGAGTTCTCCGCCGAGCAGGTGCGTGCGATTATGCATGCCGCGGGCGAGCGCAAGTGGAAGGACGAGTTGACTGCGAGGACGCAGGAGGCTCTTGACAGAGGCGCGTTTGGGGCGCCGTTTTTTTGGGTTGTGAAGACTCCTCCTTCTTCTGCTCTTGATGGGGAGGGAGAGGGGGCTGCGTTTTGGGGGAGTGATCGGTTAGTATATATATATATTTTCTGCTCTCGCTGTTGGGCTTGTCTGACTGAGTGAATAGGTTTCATCATATGTGGGATTTCCTGGGTTTGCCGTGGGATGATTTTAAGCTGCATGCTAGCAGTGACGCTAAATTGTGATTGTTATATAAAGATCTTTCATTGTCTCGTCTACCTGGTCATGACTCGTAACATGTGTAAAATGTCTTGTCTAGAGTTAACTGACTAGTCAACTCCAACCCAACACGCCCTCATCCGTCATGGCTGCTGGCGCACGCACCTCCAGCCCAGCGTTGATGATATTTGTCCTAATAAGCCGCAAATGCGCCTCATTCACGTACTCCTGTACACTCTCCAGCGCCTCCTTGATGACATCCCTGCGCGGATCCGTGTGCTTCGACACCAGCAAGCCTTTCTCCAGATCGATGCGCGCGTCCAGCGTGCCGTTTTCAATCAGTCTAATCAGCTCCTGCACAAACGGAGAACTGATGTCTGTGGGCGCCGCAATACCGCCTACAACCTCTGGCGCAAAGACCTTGGCCATCGCCTCCAGCGACACTCGGCTGAAGGGCACTGCATATTGCTGGATAGACTTTGTGCGGATCTGAGTGTACAATCCGGGAATGTGGCGCTGGAGGTGAATGTCCAGCAAGTAATCAGCACGATACTCTTCCAGGATATCTAGGCAGGACCGAAACTTGGAGCTGCAAAAAAACGAGATGGCGCGGCGAATATGAGGCTCTAACTCGAGGTAATTCCGGAATTGGTTGTTTTCCAGCACCCGCCGCTGCAGCTCGATTCGATCCATGGAGGCTAGTGCGCACAGTCCGCCGTACACGGCTACATCATTTGCGGTGAGGACTTCGTTGTACGTGTCGCCCAGAGTGGGCTCAGCAGCTAAAAACTGGTGTGCGGCGTCGAGATAGTTTCCCTGCCCGAGCAGCGCTAGTCCTGCTGCGGCGCATATTTTGGGTGAGTTTTTGCTTTGTTCGTCCTCTGGCTTTGGGCCTGACTTGTATCGAGCAACGGCCTGCTGGACGCCGAGCCAGTCGCCACGGTCAATAGCGACGTTGATGTTTTTGAGGTGCATGGCTGCAAAGTGGCTGGGTGTAGTGCAGTTGTCTTTCAGACGGGCATAGGCTTTGGAAGCTGAGGCCAGGTCGCCCGTGGCGTGATAATGTGAAGCCAGGTCGTCGGTGCCCATCTATTATACAGTTTAGCACATGTCTGATATGGATAATCAAACCTTTCTCGTTCTGATCCGAGGGAATCAAACATACTCGTATGCTCTCCTTGATTAGATTATTTTTATATCCCTTCAACTCGTGCTCCAGTTTATCGGTCTCTGCGCGCACTGTCTGCTTCGTGGCCTCGAACCACTGCTTGTCAAAAGCTGCATCGGGATCGCTCGGCGCGACTTGGCTGAATGCCTGGATAGCAAGCTCGTATCGCTTGACGTCTTTGCCGGATTTGGCTTCGGCGACTGCTAATCTGAGGGCGTCGGACGAGAGGACCGTTGAGCACTTGCCGATGAGAAATAAGCGTTCGAAGCGTGTGCGGCCTGCTCGGGAGTTGTCAGACGGAAGATCGCCGTAGTGGCAGGGAAATAGAGAGTACCTTTATAATTAGCAATGTAGGAATCGAGGTCAAACTTTGGCGTTCCTAAACGACGCAAGTCAGCATGACTGGCAGAATACAGACCAAGGGACAGTACCGTCAACTTTGATGTAGCTGATCTGGGCGTCCTCAGGCAGCGCGAGGTCTCCCGGCAAACTCCAGCCCGGCTTGGAGGCTTCTGTCATAGACGGCGTCATTTCACAAAGCTGACTCTGAAGCATCTAGAAGGATATACATGAAGCAGATGAAGATAGTTGATAATGTCACCGTTGTTAGCGGGAGCAGCTGTTCTGCCGGCAGTACTTGACCGCCTGTTACACCGCTCTTACTCTTCTATAGAGAACATATAGTTACCTATCTATCTGGCTATACCTATATCTACCTACATATACAGGCCAGCCTGAACGAATGAATGACTGCAGAGAAAGCCTCTGGCTCAGATTGACCAAGCAGCAAATATAGCACGCACCCCGGCGAGAAAATAGGCACCCTCGTCTTTTTTCCGGCCTCAATCTACATGTATGTACAGCCCGACTCGACAACAGAACAACGCTGGACGGCATACCTATTTCCACATCCTGCCTAGCATCGGCAGTCTAGAACAGGGATTCCGTTCGTCCATTCATCATGCAGGCTGCATGCAGCTGCAGCTGCAACAGGGAACGCGGAACCGGGGGGATCTGCTTCCGCGCGCTGAAGAGTTTGTGAGTACACACCTAATCGCAACTAGCAGCAGACTACAATAGGCTGTGCAGATGACTCGGATCTAGGTTTTCAGTGTGGACGTTTGAGGAGAACGGCTGTTTAGATATTCTGTCGTCTCGTCAACTACGCGGCATATCGACGGGCCATATCAAAATATACGCGATCTGCGACATCTGATCTCATGCATTTGAGATGATAGAAAGACACGTTCTAGAAGAGATCCAGGATCGCAACGTGGTGGACGGTGTGACATGTATCTGCAGGTCGGTCTCTATCCAGGCATTGGATTTCCTGATGGTTATTCCCGAGAGCATTCCCGAAAGCGTCGACGATCAGTCTTTTGAGTATGTAGCTTGACTATTATGTCTAGCGGTGTTTCCCAAATAGGGCTTTTGCATTTTCTTCACTCGTCTCGTTGCTTTTGTGGAAGGTTCTGTCCATGTTCTAGGAGAATATATCGGTCCAGAGAAGAACTACATGCATAGGTACAATCGCTGGAAGGAAGTCTTCTAGAAAGACTCAATTTCATCTACAAGGCTGATCAGAGCAGTCCAATCAGACGAAATCCGCCAGACAAAAGAACGCAGAAAATCGGACGTGTGTACAGACTTCCGATAGGCATACACCTAACTACCAGCAGTACCTAGAAGGATGAAAGGAGAAGCCAAAAATGTATCCACATAGCCTGTGTGCCCTTAATTCTCTGAAGCAGACTCGTCATCTGGCAGACGGGAAAAGAAATGAGACTTATGCTGGTGGTAGACTATATATGAGAGGCATGTCTGTTTATACCAGACTTTGAATGGCCAACACTCGATTGTCTGCTACAATACCTCACTCGTACTATTATACTTATTGATATTCATGACATTCATCTCAGTTTGCATTCACCTCGTGACAATAGAGGCAGTCAATCGTCAATAGTTCAATGCAACACGCTGCTCTCGACGATCTCGTCTTCTTCTGCTGCTGCTGCTTCATCTTCTGCATCTTCTCTCTCTCTCTCTCTCTCTCCTGATCTTGTGTCATCTGTGCTTGTGTCATCTGTGCAAGTGAGAGCGAGTGAGAATCACCTAGCAACCGTCGTTGTCGTGTGGCTGCGCTGTATGTAAACATGTCTCACTCAGAGCACCTCGACTTCGACCCTCGCCAGGAACTTCTCTCTACCATGTCTTCTTTCAACCACCAAGCCCCCTCCTACTTTCATGATCAAGATCCTTCCTACATCCTGATGGACACCAAAGCTCCTGTCGACTGGCAGGCTTCAAACATGCAAAGCCATCATCCTCCATCCTCTCCTCCTGCACAGGTGTCTAATAACCCATACGCCACCCAGCCTCCCTCGCAGACCTCTCAGGCATCTCAGCTTGGCAGGACCGTGTTGAGATCCCCATTCAGTGGAAACGTGTTCTGGCAATCCATGGGAGACAGCTTTGCTACTAGCAGCAACACCACCAGCAGCCAATTTGGAAGCGCCTACGTCCCCATCCACCATCAGTATCCTTCTTCGTCTTCAATCTACCAACCGTCTTCTGCCTATGGCTCCATGGTCCCAAGCACGAGTCTCTCATCGACCTTCTCTCACAGTGCCCCATCCCCTGGCATGCCCAGGATGCTTGCAGGCCACCACGCCCCAGAAACAGTGACCCCAAATGCCCTCCAGGGGAGCACGCCCATACACTATCCTCACACCAGACCAGTGCAAATCCCAACCCCGCAGCCATACAGCATCTTCAGCCACCGAGCCAGTGAACCCAGCCACTCTACCAGCAACGCTTCGCCAGACAGGACCACAATGATGATGTTGTCCGCAGCCAGCAGCAGCGAGGACGTAGCCATGAGCGGCCTCCCCTCGTACGACTCTGAGTTCTTGTCTTCGCCGTCACCAGTCACTGACGACGAACTCCTGGCTGATACGGCCGACATCTTGCGAGCCAGACAGCTTCTGAGGGCGCCCCGGTCGTCCGATGCCGAGGCCAAGGATGCCTTTCTTCTGCAAGCGAAGCGCCTCGGCCTGTCATATCGCGAGATCAAACAGAGGGGCAACTTTAAAGAGGCAGAGTCCACACTGCGTGGTCGCTATCGCACCATCACCAAGGCTAAGCAGGAACGTGTTCGCAAGCCTGTTTGGAGAGCTGAAGATGTATGCTTTCTTCCCTATCATCATATAGAATATCATCACTAACCAGGTTTTTATTCTCATACAGATCACCCTCCTTCGCCGTGGGGTAGAGCACTATGCTGAAATTCACACCAAAACACGAACTCATCGATCTACCATGTCTGCTACTGCTGCTGCTGCTACTGCTACTGACAACACCAGCTCACAGCCAGAAGTGAAAGTGCCATGGAAAAAGGTCTCTACGTTTATAGCTGAGAATGGTGGCTCCTACCGCTTTGGCAATGCGACATGCAAGAAGAAGTGGTTTGAGATTACAAGTGATGAGCAGGCCCAGAGCATGGCTGAATAAAGGCTCGCCATCAAGTTATTTTTTTTTTCTTGTGTGAACACGTTAACTCTGTGACTATTCTTTCACAATGCTGATAATGTGCTAGTAGAGGGCTCCTGCATGCATTATCTTTTGATGTAATTTTTCCTTCACGCTGTCTTTTCTTTTTTCTTTTTTTCTTTCAGACTCTTGTCAATGTATATTAGCTAGAAATTAGATGCCTGCCGTTGGCAATAGACTATCTATCAAGTTCTAAGTATAGGGAATCCCAACCTCTGCCAGCAACGAGTTGATCACTTCTGCATTTCCCCGTATTCGATCCCACTGCTCCTCGGACTTTACCATCAGCGTGCCAGCCAATATCGTCCCATTGAGTGAGACCACATCATCCTCTTTTCCGTCTTCCACAACCTCGTTTCTGTCCTGCCCAAAATACGAATGCAGAGAGCCGCTCTCTCTCCTTCGCGGACAGAGCATCATCACCTCCTCCGTCATAGCGAGATTGTAACTTATCGCTGCCGGTCCCGACGCGCGGTGCAGTTCGTGTACATCGGATATCCCCGCTGCGACCAGCGCGGCGCGGTAGAGCGAGAGGTACATTGCATGCAGAACGTCGGCTGACAGATCTTCTTCTTTCTGTTCGGAGAGGGAGATTGCGAAATGCTGGAATGGTAGTGTCGGGAGGTGTCTTATCCTGAATCCCGAATCGACGCCAACTTGTGACGACGTCGTCGTCGTTGTAGATTCAAGCAAATCAATCAACGGCCGCCACGCTACGCCAGAAGAAGAAGAAGAAGAAGCCCGCATATCCTCCACAGGCAGGAACTGCAAATGTCGGTGCGGCTGCGAGGCGCCGCTCTCGACGCCCGAGTTGAAAAATGCAAATAGTCGTTTCTGCTCATCATCTTCTGCGCGCCACGCCCTCACACAGGCAAACGCAGCCTCCAAATCATGCTTGCCCAGCAAATCAGTCTGCGGCTCAAACAGTCTTGTCGCGAGAATAAAGTGGTTCGCGATGACGGGGAATTTGTTGAGGATTAGGAGGTGGCCGCCAACACCACCACCACCTGCAGCAGTACTAGGAATATCAGCGATGAGCAGGGCTGCCGCCGGATTGTCGAATGGATCTGGCCTTTTTGTGTCTTCTTTTTCCTTTTTCTTCTGTCTGTCTTGGCCGGGCTTCTTGGCTAGTGCTGGGCAGTAGCGGAGTTGGTACTCGACGCCGTTGTTCCGCGCGCGCAAGACAGCCAGCTGCGTCGCGGAGAAGATGAGAGCGCCGCTCTCCTTGGCCGCGACGAAGCGGCGTGAAACGAGAGAGGGGAGCGATTCGGGGAGGCTCAGGAGCATTGTATCGTTTGTTTGTGTGAAGGTGATAAGAGTTGGCTGCGGGGTAACATATGTAGCCGAGATCTAGGTACTTAGTATGAGATTCATGAATATACAGATGTAGACATATTAGAAGATATGGTATCGAATTGATCAAAGTCATGTCCTACTGCCAGCGTCAAGACAAGCAACGGTATTAGCACAGAGTCTTCAATAAAGCATATAGATAAATAACATCACAGCAGACAAATAAATCATGTTTTTTCAATATCCCATCCCATAGTTTAGTTTACGTAGTTAGTAGTTGATTCGCTCAAAACACGCTCCATGCTCATGTCATGCCCAAAAGAAAAGAAAAGAAAAAAAAAAAAGAAACGACATAATGAATTACAGCGCTACACACACAGCCCATCAGCCGACGGACGGTGGTGGTTCTCCTTGTAGGCCATCAGCTCATCGATATCAATGCCCAAGTCGTCGACCTGCGTCACCTCCGGCAGAAGCACGGCTGGCTGGCCCATGAGACGCTGCTGCTGCTGCTGCTGATCGCTCATCATCCAGGGCCCTCGCTCTTCTTCTGTCGCACTGAAGATGCCGTCCACGCGCTTCAGACTCATCATGTCCAGATCCGTCACGTAGGCGGCGCGGTTGGTGCCGTCGCCCGCACCGCTGGCCAGACGGATGCGCACCTCGTATTCATTGTCGAGCATCATTTCGTCTTTCAGCAGACGCCGCGGTCCGTCGTACGCGCATATCACGCGCTTCTTCGTCTTCATCTTGGCCACCGGCGTGCCCCAGGACTGTGGATAGCTGTTCCTGTTGCCGCGGCGGCGTGTGATGGGGCGAGGCTTGTTGGTGCTGCTGCTGCTGTTTTTGCCCACGGCGCTGTTGGCACCGAGGACCGGTCGCGATTTATTTGATTTGGCGGCTTTGCTGCCTACGGCTTTATTACGGTTGTTGTTATTATTAATTTCGTCGGCATCGTCAGCACCAGCATCGTCATCGTCGTTGTTGTTGTCATCATCGTTATATTCGTCATATTGCTCGCTGCGGTCCATGGGACTCGCTGTATCCAGCAGCTTGTGTTTCTCCATGGTCAGCTTCACGTCCTCGTCGCCCGCGACTTCGGCCAGTCGTTTCTGATTGATGGCCTCGCTGGGTTCTTCCTGCTGCACGACGCGCAAGACACAGTCGTCCAGATGCTCGTAGAAGTCTTGGGCATTGCTGAATGTGCCCGAGCAAGTGGAACATTTACCAGTTGCATCTTCGCTGTAACCAGCCAGCGAGTTTTGTTGTCGTTGCTGGTTGCTGCTGTTGTTGTTAGTGCTGCTGCTGCTGCTGCTGTGTTGATCTGATGACGAGCCGGAGGTTGGGCTTCGCTTGCGACAGTTGGGCGCGGTCTGCTCGACGCCATGCACCGACATGAGATGGCGCTTGAAGACGTCGGCGCGGTTGAAGCTCTTCTCGGCCGCGGAGCCGGAGCCAGGACAGAACCCGCACACCATGGTGCCCTTGTAATGGGTCAGGGTGTGCCGGTTCTTGTCGTACTTGCGAGCGAAGCCCTTGAGGTGGTATTCGCAGTTTACGATGGGACATTTCTCTGGCCGCTCGCTCTGGTGCGTGAGCATGTGCGCTTTGAGGTCCTTGAAGGAGCGCCCGCAGTCGGGCCAGGGGCATCGCCGCTTCTCGCGCCCTTCGTTGTCCTCCAAGTCGGTGTTGCTGGCGGCCGGGCTGGGGTGTGAGCGCGGGGAGAGTGCGGAGATGATGGATGCTGGTCGCTCGTGAAGACTGGCTGCCACGCTGGTGCTTCGGACCTGGTGGCCCAGATTGGTGCCCAGATACGGCGAGGAAGTTACCGGCATTTGCGAGAGGGATGAAAGATTCTGGCTGGGGAGCGGGGAGCCGATTGGGGCAGGAGAAACAAAGCCTGATGAATGGGCGAGAGAGACTCGGGGGTCTTCGGCGTAGGACATGGCGTGGTGGATGGCCGTGGGGTCTGAATTGAGATACATGTTAGAAATTGCAAGCCATGAAAGCAGGGGGCAAGCCAGCCATACCAACGGTGGGAAATTTGGCTGCGGCAAATGTCGAGTCGGCATCCATGCTGGCCATGGGGTTGAAGTCGAGTTCGGGCATCATGGCGCCGCCGCCGGGCAGGCCCATCAAGCCGTTGGCCGTATCGATCCAGGACTCTTGGAAGGTGTGCGCAGCGCCGGAGTAGGGAGAGCCCATGGCGGACGAGGAGGCGCTGGCAATCGACGCGCCAGACGCAGCGGAGTAGTGCGAAGCGGCCATGGAGGGAGGGGAGTTGGGGAAGAGCATGTGTTGCTGTTGCTGATGCTGTTTGTGCAGGTCCGAGGGCTGCTCCATCCACAGCGCCGGATCATACAGCTGCTGCTGCTGCTGCATCGAGGGAAAGCCGTAGGAGTCCATCACGTCGGCGTCTAGCGAGATCTGATCCTGCGCGAAATAGGGGAACGGCTGTTGGCGGGAGGATTCTAGGGCCAGCATGTTGTGACTTGTAACTAGAGCGGGTTTGTCAGCGTCGAGTTGACTCCTCTGGACCGCTGGCAAGAGAAGAGAGACTCACCAAAGCTGCTGGCAGGAGCCGCAGACGGAGTTGGGCAGGAAGAGTTTCAAACCACCATACACACACTCACTCACTGATATCGTCGTCGGATTCGAAATGCGCAAGCCGAGAGACACTTGGAAGTCAAGAAGACCAGAGGCAAGGGGAAATAAATGTCAAATACTCACGAGGCGGAGGAGGATAATTTAAATGTACGCCTGTGATTTGATTGCCCTACGGAGCGAGCGACGACTAGACTCTCAACTAAAAAAAAAGTTCCCAGCACGCTGGGCCTTGCAGCCAAAAACAACAACACAACAAATACCGCCATACCGTATTGATTACGGGCGGTGGAGACGGGGCCGGGGAGTGGTTTTAGCGTGGTGGACGCTTCCCAGTGGAGAGGAGTGGGGAAGGCCCGGGTGCGCGGGCCCCACTCACACCTCGGCGCGCGTCCAATGGCCGCGCCGCCTTTCAATACGGGCGCTGCCCACTTGGCAGGATTACATTCCCGTACCGCGCTGCGCCGTAAGGCTCGATAGTACAGAGTGTAGCCCTGCTTGCTGGCTAGTTGGGTTACTTAATTAGTTAGACTGTAATTTCCAGAGTCCAAGCCCCCCGTTAAGTTTCCAGTATTGCTCGCAATTATGTCTATTTCTGGAAATTTATCAACGGGACCGGAGGTTTATTTTTTTAATATCGCTCGACATACGCGTGAGGGTGAAAATTAACCTACTGCAAGGCTAGGCTAGACCGCCTCGAGCCCATGTTTCAAGCAGGGACTTTGGCCGCAGGCCAATCAGAGGGGCACGACGAGACGGTCTGCAGGATTGTATGGTGCCGTGCCCATTTTTCCCCTCAACAGCACTCATGAAGACGCATTATGACTAACCTTACAAAGCATCGCTTTGTTCGGGCACGGAAAGAATGCTATTTTTCGTCGATCTACCTTGGTTCGACGGAAGCGCGTGTCTGAGCCTCACATACCTATCTATGTATTCCGTTCTGTCAGCTTACTTACTACAGAAATAGAAACAGCAGAGCCTCTGGTTCACCCGTAGTCAAGCCAACCTCGCCAAGACATGCCAGCCCAATCACAGCCACCAGCGCGTAAATGAGGTGTTGGTCAGAATGAGAAAGTTCCAGTTCAAAGTTGTCAAACACGCGGAACACGGGGAGAGGCCAATGGGAGCGCGGGGATCGTCGAGCGACTTCCGGATGGAGTGTGCGATTCCGACCGTCTGTATTCACTATCAATTCAATAGATACATCTATCTATCTATCTATCTATCTATCTATATAAGTGTATGTACTGATGTACTGATGTACTGATATCGTGCTATAGTGCCATAGCCATATAATGTATACGCTCACCATGCTATGCTATAGTTAGATTGTTCGGTATGTAAAGTAAGCAACGGACACTCCGTCGACTAGCCGCTTCTGGGCAGCGTTTGCGATCATGCGTGTGGGGGGTGGCTTGGCAGCTCACAAGGCTGAGCAAGACGTCCTGTGAAAGCGTAATACGATACTCTGGTTAGCAGTCGTCTGCAGAACATTGACAGCGATTTGTTACATGAACAGGCTCGGCGGTGCGGAAATTGCATTGCTGAATGGAGATACGTATCTACGCGCCACGTAGTTCATCCATATATAACATGTAATATATAATATATAATATAAAATATCCTATAGTTGAAAAAGAACTATTAGACGCTCATCTCCCGAAATCTTTCTGAGGGTCGGTGAGGGAACCCCACCCAAACCAGCTTAGCGTCCCTGTGCCCAGACTCGGGTTGCACTAGCCACAGCGCACTGGCCAATGAGCATCCGGCAAAAGCGCACCCCCTCGTCCTGATTGGGTGCAGGGGTGCTGCTGGCGCCGCGCTAATGCACACCATGACATCATGCGAGGCTCAGGCGAGGCGTTTTTCACCGCTTCCTCTCTTTCTTTTTGTCTGAGACTTTGGAGCGACCGCATGCATTTCCAAATGCGGTAGCAGCATGGAAGATGGAAAGACTCTTGGGTACTGCACCCGTGTCACTCTCGCCTACAATGTGTCTGTCTGTGTAATGGTTGATGCCGGTGAATAGCGGTATTCATTGCTAGACCGACCTTTTGCCGGGTATGGTGACTGCTGAATGTGCGGTCTAGTCTGGCGGAAACTATTTTGATTCTATTTGGAATCGGGGACCCTGGAACGTGGATTGATATATACGACTAACTTCGCCATTATATCGCTACCGACGATGTCCGCTCCACCTGCTCGGCTAACTACTCTTGGTAGGCCGTAGGCACCATTTCCTCTTTTTTTTTTTTCCCACTCTTCCTTCCACAAATTTTCGACATTTTTCGGCATCTTATTATTCATCAGGGTGTAACGTCGCGTAAGAGTAACTACTGCGTGTATATGACTTTCATACAATTAATCACAGCATGGACCCCGTAGCTAATTACGATATCAATAACGCTGCGGCAGGTGGCCTGATTGATACATATAGTACCTTTTCATACGCGTACCGTAACTCTGATGGGGGCCAAAGCTGGTCATGGTCATTAACGAGCTGGCCAATCAGATGCGCCAGGGCAACTTTAAAAGATTTTGTACAGACAAGAGTTTGGGACGTTTTTCCTGGTTCCGGTTCCGGTTCCGGAGTACGTACCTGTTACTGGATTAGGCAGGTCAAATCATTTGGTTTGATTTGATTGATCTTGGCTGATTTCATACTATGACAGCGAATGCTCTATTCTCCGGTTACATTTGTTACAGTGGCAGCTCAGTCAACGACGTCAAAATAGCATACTAAGTACCAAGGAACTGCAGGTACAGGGCACATGCATCACTACGGAGTAGTCAGATATGATCAGTAATCACTATTCAGAGACATATACAAAACAAGCCAAATCAGTGAGTGCATGAACTGTTAGCTAGCTAAGCGGAGTTAGATTTTACTCCGTATTTCTGGCGCGGCGTTTGCAGATCATGACTGATTCTCCCCCCTGTTTACGCTACCAACTTGCCCTACTCACGAGTCACTACCACCAGCTTGGGGACATGGGTAGTCATGTATCGTCACGATACCGCCCCTCGATCAGCCATGCATGGTCACATAGTCACGCGCAAAATGGGGAAGATAGTACTGGATTTTTCTAGAAGGTTGGTGGAAGCCTCGCCACGACCAAGTATAACTAGAGTGACTACGTGCGTAGTGAGTTGATCTGGAAAAGGTTCCCGCGTATATGATTTTTCTTTTTCGGGGATATTCGATGCTGAGTAGTGCTTGTGCTGGCTTGGCGTTGGGGTCCGGATGAACAGACAAACAAAGACAACTCCAGAAGTTACTCCTCGTAATTAGGGACCATTCCGTTGAATAGTACGGGAGTACATAGTTGTCAGACCTTGTTCATCCTTTCAGGTCCCAGCCACGTGCCTCCTAACATGTCGCGTCATGTATCATGTATGTCGAGACCGGGGCGTGCATTATTTCGCCACGAATGTCTAGGAATGGACCCTTGCAGAAAGAACGGTTTTACCCGGATCCGCCATACTTGCGTCGTTTCAGACGGGAACCCCCTTTTTTTTTTCCCCCTTTGGTCGTGTTTGAAATGTACATACTATGGTCGTCCCAATTTACGCTTGCATGGGGCCGATGTGGCGGCTCATCAGCAGGGTCTATCTGTATTATCTAGTGCAGGACAAAGGGATGGACAGTGGAACTGGGGTTTCAGACAGCATTCCGCGTGATGCTGCAAGTACGGAGGAGAATGCTCGTACGTACGTATTCACCTCTGCCATGCACAGGTAGAAGATATTGGCGATTCGGTAATTATTACCACCCATGAATACATATAGGAATATCCGTGCTTGTTAAATTTGAATCTGAGTGCATGCCACGTCAGGTCTCAAATTCTGTCATATCCTCCCTCTTCTGATCAGGACTGGCTGCTGTATGTATGTATAGTGCCCGAAAAGGAAACATTCCAGAAGACGCACAGACGCGCTTGCAAAGCAGTGATAGGCCGAGCGTATTTGTCACGACCATAGATTCATAGAATTTAACTAGTTAGTTAAATAAATATATTAATTATAAGAGATTCAGATACTCGACGAACGAACAGATAACACGTTCCTCCGCGCAATCAGATAGACTCGAGACCCCATCTCCTCGCCCGGTACGGTGCATGCTCCGTCCGGCCCTCGAGTAAATCCTGCAGGGATCATCTCAATTCTAGTTAGTTAATAGCAAAGTTGTGATTAGGCACACACGACACAACCAACCACACCCCGCATCGCGGTTACACGGAACATTCTCAGAAGTTAGAAAGGCCAAAAAAATGAGGCAGGGATCAGCGTCATACCCCATGCACGCGGCAGGGATTAGAGAATTCTAGAAAGAAAATAAAAAAAGGTGCAGTGCATTCCCGGTACGGACAAGTCCGTATGCATCGCTGGCTGCAGGAGTCGTGCGTAGTTCGCACGTGATAGACTTGATTTTCATTTGATATTGATGGGTATAATCTATTTTAGTTTACTGCCGCGCGTTGAGTTATATCACGCCTTGCATTCCATTTTTTTGCAGGTTTGCAATTGGCTGGATGGTATTTTACTATTTACTCCGTACGGAGAACCACGGAGATGTTCATAGTTAACTAACTACCCCGCTGCCTATCATATTATATAATCCGGGTTAGAACTTAGTATACTTACTATAGATATAGTATGTCGGCCATGCTAAAGATAGAGCACATGTCATACTCTTAACTTTAACTTATTCCTGCTCGCCCTACACAGCCTGTTAAGCTGCAAGTAACATCTAATCATCATGGCAGTGCTCGTGCCGCAGTTAGTAACACTATTTTCATCGAGTCAATACGCGTATCGCGCTAGTAATCCTGCTAAGCGCAAATCCAAAAATAGCATATCGACACTAAAATCGACTAAAATATGACCGGGTAATTTCAATCTTACCGGGTGAGATAGTTATACATTACATACATACGGTCATGTGTGCAACATGCCATGACTGCTGCTAATGTTAGTGTACTGGTCAAGTCAACACTTAGTATCCGCCGAGTATCGTAGACACAATACGCATGTGTATACATGTATAGAGCATGATGTCATACTGTTGAACGGTACCCTCTCTACTCCGGATATAAGAGTCGGAGTCGGGGTACGCTCGGCACTCCGTGGTTTGTAGAAGACCGAGATCTAGCCGATTTGTTTATTATCTCCCCTAGTTATATGATCTGACCTAACTAAATAGTTAACTCGTACAGCTATACGAGATTAACAGGGATTAACAGAGATTACCATATTATCCTACCATATTCTACTACGTAGCCGGGAGTATGTATCCTTGATAGCATACGACTACTCCGTAACTACCCCGTGGTTAATTTAAGTAAATGAAATGAAGAATAATATATGGAATACTCTAACCCCCTTAGGCAACACACGAGTTGCCCAAAGCGGAAAACAACCCACCCGTAATCTCGCCGTATGCGACGGTATTAGCGGGGCGTGGGTTAAGGTTAAGTCGCTAGAGTTAACCTTGTTTTGCTGCCGCGTGATTGGCCTGCGGTGAACTTGGCATTATATTCTTCATTTACTACATGCGTAGTTACTATGACTAGTTGGCTATAGTGAATATAACTATAGATGTATTATTATTACTATTATTATGCTGAGTAGCAACGTGCGGCTCTGGGCTCGCTGGCCGAGAAGAGAAGTCCGTTCGGTCTCAATGTATCAGATAGTCCGTACCAACGACCGTGTATAATCATAACGAACACTAAACCCTGAAAATTCGAGGTTGAATCCAGATTCCTACAGATGGGGTGAATTAGTATATCACGCCGAAACGTATTGTAACTAGAGGCAGACGCTAGTATCACCGAGTCTGCCTTATCACAAGTCCAAGTCCATTCTTCGATACGCTACTGCACCTCCCAGGGGAAGTGATATCAGTCGTCTCCGTACTCTGGAGTGCGCTCATATCTTCCTTATCTGCTGTCAGACTGCGTAGTAGTTATATACTTGCGGAGTTAATTGTTACTTACCTATGATCATAGATAGTCTGCTTACTCTTAGCACGCCAGACCAAGTTTAGAATTCTGATTTCCTTGACCAATAGCATACACTCGCCCCTAATATACTCATCAATGCCACTAATACCTAGTTCGACGGCTTGACATACCGTAACATACAGACAGACCGTCCAGCTAGCTCCATATGCAAATCCATCCCATTCCAGACCAGAACTGTACCATAGCAAAAACCGTTCAAAACGGCCTCGTGGCGCTCGACCCAGGACAATGGTTCATTCACTGCAGACCAGTGTCTCGGAGTGCATGGCCCCAACGCCGTCGAGTAATCACAAAAATAGACGCCGTATACTCAATTTCTATTCAGACCAGTTCTATAGCCATTCATCCATCCACGGCGATGCCGAAATGCAATCCAAACCTAATAGTATGCCATGCATTGCTGCAGGTGATTAGTCCGGAATGATACCAGGTCAATAAATACATGCTTTTCAGTGCTCAAAACGTGAAAAGACAAACCACCTGCCTGTTTAGAAGGTATCTATATACGCATCAAGTCTCGATCCGAATTTGGATCGATGCCCCGACGACTGACACACATACATACATACATACATACATACGTGCGTATGCACTCGAGTCACGAGTGCAACCATGTGTCACGCATTGTGTCACCAAAGGCCAGAAAAGAAATACGTATATCGAGAATCCGCGTCCCAAAAAAAGCTCATACTAAATTCTCTGAATTTATGCTCGAGCAGGAAGATGTGATTGGGCTCGTTGTTGGTTTCTCTTTTGTCCTGATGATAGATAGATACGCATTCATGCAATGGAACGCTAGCCCCTGTATGCATGCATGTACTTTTTATTTTTTTTTCCCCTCCCCTCCCCTTCTGGGAGAGGGCGAGGAGCGAATGAGAATTGAGAAGAGCCACGAGATGGAAAATGAGGGGGGTCAAGGCGATTTTTGAGGCTCCAATTTGGATGCTCGATTTATATTGGTTTTGGTATTGAGGATTGAATATGCAAGGGTGAAGAATGATGTGGTTTATTGTGATAGCAGCATCGTATTCAGGTCTGCTTCCATTGTATGCATTTTAAACTTGACTAATGCTTGTTGTTGCTACAATGCTCAGTGCTGCCTGGTGTTAGGTTTATTTCGCTTTCCTAAATGGGTAATTGTCCTGCGCTGTTGTCGACGCGGAGATACGTCACTCATTCTGTTGAATATACTGATTGTACACGAAAGCGATCGAGTTTGCATAATACAAGTGAATGGGTCATTTATTAAGTTGGAAATTTATAATGTATTGAAAATATATACTATACATATCTAAAACACTGGTTGAGGCGACAGGACGGATAGACCGTATACTCCTGCAGCACGCTTCACCGACTCATCAACGTCTACAAGTCTCTACCATCATCAGCTGAACAGACTCAAAATGAGACATTGAACACTTCAAACAGCGAGAAATAATACCCCATTGGCCATTGGCTGATTGATCGGCCGCAGATAGTAGTTAGTTTCCTATGGCTTGGCATGAGAAAATATGACCTGACCCTGAATACCCCTATTTCTAAATTTCAAATTGACCAAGTTAGTTAGATCAAACACGTGTTTAGTCAAGTACGTACGTAGTTGGCTTAACTAACAAGTTAGCTTAGAGTTTGTCAATCCTAAGCATGGGCGTTGATAGCCTGTTGGCTAGTTGTCATAGCAGTAGATACATAGCAGCTAAACGGAATCAAACTAGACTTTACAAGACGAGACATAGTTACTTACTGCTCAGACATCCGGAGAATATTCAATCCGTGAGAATCGAATAGATGGCATCAGTAATTACGAGGTGAGCCACAGTCAAATCACATTCAACAGACCCTATACATGTCTGCACCGCCTCAGGCCATAGACTCGCCATTACTCATCGCGCATATGGCCATCATCTGGAGACATATGATATGCCACGTTACATGATCGTCAACGCAACAACAACAATTCCATCCTATCATTCGGCTCAGCCCTATGTTTTTTTGTTTTTCAGCCCTATTGTGGAGACTCTCGCTTGACACCTGAACTTGTTTGCAACCAGCGGTCTGGAGTCTGGGTGGAATGAATTACAGATGTCTAATCATTTGGTATAACTAGTTGATCGAAATAAAGGGTGTCTATCAGACAAAGAGACGGGGACATTTTGAGAGAAACGAACATCCATGCCTATAGTACACTTGGTATAGGTACCCCCGGCTCCAAACGGACGGAATGTCGAATCCGTCCGTAGTTGGTAGTCACTGCTAGTAACAGTTTTTATTACTTCTATCGAATAAGCTAGCTGCCTCTCTCCCAACTGTTGGGCTTGGGCCGTTTGAACTCCCGCAAGTATATAAGCTTACGCTGTTTCAACCACAACTATTCGGGGTTGACATGACGCAGGAATTCGATTGGATCATCTGCAAAACAAACTTCTCCTACAGTAGCATTTCCCAGCACGAGTCCAGAAAACAAGAAAACACAAGGAGAAAGTAAAATGTCAGTTCTGGATTCCAATTCCACTACACTATGGCGGGTATGGTCTGAAACCCATAGGGCTGAACCGCACTGAAGTTAAACAAATAAGTTAATATAAGTAATATAGCCATTCATTTAGTTCACTGTCCAAAGGCTAGTATGGCTTAATTAGCTCCCCAACAAATCAAAGCCTCAGACTCGCTTGGAGGCTAAAGCTGTACGGGGCTGTACCTTTAGTTTGATTAGCCATCGTATTGTAATCTTGCTGTAGGACAGGTTGACAGGGATAAAAAAAGAAAATGTAAGCACCAGCTAAATTAGTTAAGTTAGTTTGTCTTTTTACTTCTTACTCACAAGGATTGTCGATTGGACCTTCCAGAGGCAGGCAGACTAGGTAGAAGTGTGCCTTTCATTGCTCAACCTGATATTGTGGTTTTGTCACATTTATGTAAATAAATATGTCGACTGCCGTGTAAATAGACAGTCAAAGAATAGACAGCACTAGCATACATTTAGAACAGCTTAATAGTTAGTTATTCAACTGCATCTCAGTGACTCAGCATCGGCGCCGTACTGCGCGTGCTGCTCTGTCGAATAACCTCTCGTGACGGCTTCGCGAGCAGGTCGAGAAGACGATCAACCAGCAGAACTGTGTCTAGTTAGCATGTAAACTAACTAGTGCGCAAAGACTCAATAGTACCTACCAGCGAGCATAGTAAGAGAGAACGTGTAAAGAATAATAGGATGCGTCATATACTTATACGTCAGGTCGAAATTCTTTGCAAAAGCAATCTGCGATATGAGAATCATAGCACATATCATACGAAAGCCCACAGCTATCACATTGTATGAAACGCGAGGATGCCGATTTGTCAACCACGCAAAGACTGCAAAATGAACCATTTCCAACCCTACCGTGACAAAATAGTAGACGTAGACAAATGCTAATAGACCAAGGTATAGCTTCACATACTGCACGCCCTCGGAGCTCGTGGAATGCGGGTCTTCAAGCGTAATACCCATGCTCGAGAAAAGAGCAACAGTAACATTACCGGATAAAAAACGTCCTTGGTCTTCTTTGATGCCGTACGTCGAGCTTTGAGTAGGATTGTTGCCCGAGCAGATGTTCGTTTGATTCCATAGCCCGTCGATAACATTGTGAATAGCCAATTCCTCGTGAGATGATTGGGTGAAATCGATTTCCATATCCGAGATTGTTCGGTTCAGCAGGTTGAGAGCAAAGCCTTTGGCCGGACGTGGTTCCTCACATGCAAAATTTGTAGTCTCGAGCAGGTACCTCAACTTCAACGAGATGTCTAGAGCGAGAGCCAGAATTTGGCACGCTTCAGAAGAAAGAATAACGCACATATGAAACGGAAAGTGCAAGTGAGTCCAAATCTGCTGCCGTAACTTCCCGTAGTGTTTTCGTGGAGAAATATCGTAGTATGAGTGCCAAAGAAGATACTAAACAGTCAGATTCGCAACTCCTGGATAAAGTGGAAGAACGTACCACTGTTGCCACGACACCCATGACATGCAACAAGGATGCAAAAGTCCATCCTCCGCCGGCAATCATCTTATTAACAATTCTCGTCACCGATATTACATGCTCGCCGATGATAATCAATGTCAACAATCCCATCCGTGTGGTGAGATGGGTGTCGTCAAGTTCAATGCCCTCTGTGTGATTTGAGACCGCAATTATCACCAGAGACTCAAAAAGAAAGAGAACAAACCAGATTGTCCATATATGCGGTTCGCTAGGCTTAAACGTTAAGTACATCTACGTGCGTCAGCATGCACCACGAAATAACTTCTCTTCCACTCACTATTAAGTACGAGATACCAGTGACAGAGAGTACCCCGATGATGGCAACCATGCCCTTTATTGCCGTAGTCAACTTATCATGAATAAGCCAGAGGTTAATCGTATACTGCAATGCCAGCATAACACGGCTTCCAGAAAGTAATATAGATAGAGATTTGAAAGCCCACACATTCTCGTCTTGAATATTCGTCGAGAAGCGTGCCCCAGCCGAAGCGAACCCAATCATAGCAGACAGTTGGACGACCTTGCAGATGCGCTCGAAGATCGAGTCCCGCGAAAACCGAATATCAAACAGAGTAACTTGGAGCCAGGTAAACCAGATAATCCCCACAAAGCCAACATACGACCACACCGCTGAGAAACGTCAGAAAACATCTTGGCATCTCAGCGAGTCTCGCACAGAACAAACCTGTGATGTTATTGATCTCGTGCGTTGCGGAGAATGTGGCAAGGTTCGCAACTAGAAACACGTCGTAAAACAGTTCAATAGGGGTGGCATCAGTGCGCTGGCGCAAGCGTGGGGATCGGGCATTGTTCTCGTCGAGAGGGCTTGCTAGCCAAGGAATAATATGGGGAGAGTCGCTGGTCGCTGTTAGTGCTCTGGAAATGTCGATTGAAAAGTGCCATATACTCACTGGAGTGTTCCTGTCCGCGTTTGCCTACGGATGGAGTAGGTCCTGAACGAAAGAAATGATGACCGTGGCATGATAAGTGAACTGATCGATTCTCTTATGGCTAACTAACAGGGGTATCACGATGCAAAGACAACAATAAAATGCAGATTGTTAAAGTACAAAGTCAGAAACTATCCAGAGAATGCAAGTCCCGGGGGAGGTTTCTCTCTTTTTCTTTCCGTCGAGGAAGGCGGCGACGCCAGCCCGTTGCTTCCAGAGGAACACCAGCTAATCACTCGACTTCAGAATCGATGCGAGAAACGGCCTGCGACGTTCCAAAACTCTCTAAACCACGATCAGCCGGAGCAACATCCGCCAGCAACCTCTCTTCACCAGGAGCGAGTCCGGCTTCGATGCGGAGCTTCTCATAGTTTTCCCCAGCCTCCTTGATCAGCGTCTGGATTTCGACCTCGCGGACTGCAATGTCAGCCTTTTCCTTGCGGAGCTCCTCCATGCGGTCAACCAGAAGCTTTCTCGAGTTCTCCATCTCTGATAAAGATGTGCGGAGTCGACCGAGTACACTGGATAGGTTCGGCAACGGAGTGACTTTTGGTGGCGTCTTGGGGCGAGCAACTTCACGTCGGCCATGGCTCAAGCCGTCCATACCGGCGCGAGTCTGAGCAGCCTCATACGCAGCATTGCGCTCTGCATCCGAATCGTCTTCCTCCGAACTTCCCTCAGCATCTTCAATCATCTCCCGCATTTGCTCGCGATTTTTTCGCTGTTGTTCGCGCTCTGCTTTTCTCCCCAGGGAAATCTTCCCGTCCTCGACAAACTCATCAAACCCTTCTGCGAAATCTTCGTCGTCTCTGACAAGCCGAGTCTCCTCCTTTCCAGAATTCAAGGCCATGTACTCCTCCTCTTCATCGACCTCACGATCGTCCAAGGAAATATAATCATCTTGTTCATGGGCTAGTCTCGCCCTGCGAGCTTTCTTCTCCCGAATCTCTGCCTCACTTGGTATTACTATAGGACCAGATGTTTCCATGATTTCTCCAAATTTGGCCGCAACATCAACTGCTTTTTGCTCGTTCTTCACGTCCGATGAGTCACTGTCCGAGTATTTGGGCGTGGAAGGCGTTGAGCTTCGCAATTCTTGGAGATGATCTTCTCCATAAGACGGCCTATCCTGATCTTGTCCAACTCTGAAAGGGAGATGTTTCGGTCCACTAGCACTTGTGGCTTTCTGAAGGGCGTTTCTCTCGAGCACGCGACGACCGAGACCTGGTCTCTTGGGAGTGACGACTTCGCTACCTTCGCCGCCATCATCCGCCATTGACGTTTCGCCGGGGCCGAAGGAGAGTCGGAGTTTGGATTTTTGTTTCGATTTCAGGTTACCCGGTCTTCGGACAACCGGTCCATTGTCTGCTGGGCATGTAAGCTTCAATCTTGGAATACATGTGGCGGGGTTTCGCGAACCTTGCTCTGTAGTAGTAGAATCTTCCTCATCTTCATTACCAATCTTTCGCGGCTTTCGGCGATTTGCAAATGGCGAATTCATAATTCTCATATAACAAGTCGTCACTTGAAAGTTAAAAAGACGTATCGACCTCTGATGGGGAAAGCTGGCGAGGACAGGAGGATGAGCTCCGCATAAAAAGCTGCCCGGCCAATCATTTTTCCGACGGAGCTCTCCCGCAAAGACCGCGCAACAACTTTATGCGCACGCCAACCCATTATTTATCGACTATCACTACGACTCAAAGCCCACTACAAAATCTGAAAGACAGTACCCAGATAAACCGCAAGCATGCCTCAAGCTCAACCAGAACTCAAGAAGGTACGCGCATTTCAAAGCATTCGCAGCGCCAAAAAAACTTCTTTCAGCGAGGGGAATGCCAATGCTAACACTTTCTCTAAATAAAAGTACATGGAGAAGCGGTTGTTCGTGCAACTGAACGGAAATCGCAAAGTGATTGGTATCCTACGAGGCTATGATGTGCGTGCTTTAAATTCAATATTTCCACCGAATCTTGGCCGACTAACCAAAATCAACCCCGTCCAGGTCTTCATGAATATCGTCCTCGATGAAGCCGTCGAAGAAAAGCCTGATGGAGGAAAGGACAGGTTAGGCATGGTGGTACGTCTCAAGAAGGTATATTTAGCTCTGAACTCGGACTTATTCTTCTTATCATGCAGGTCATTCGAGGAAACTCCGTCGTCATGCTCGAGGTATGTCATAACATGAAACACCTTCATTCAGAGCCGTGACCACCGCTAACCTCATTCTCTCGTCTCAGGCCCTGGAACGCATCGGCGACTAAATTTCCAAACTTCGCTGAAAAGGATATCATGTTTCTCTCGAAATTCAAGCAACGGACGAGGCATCCATTCTATCATCATCACATCACGTCACAACTTGGGTCTTTTTGATTTCTTGTTTTCTATATCTGGAGTTCTCGGGTTGGCAGGCTTAACATATTTTATTATTCATACTTTATATTTCTTTTTAACGAGATCTATCATCGTCCTGGTGTCTGAATAAAAAAGATGAAGAAAGGAAAGGGCAAGGGAGGTGGAACAAAAGTCTACGGAATGAATTACACCGAAAGATACCCTAAAACTATAACTATGACCCATGAACAAGTACCTTTCAGAGGCAATGTGGGTGAAACCAAAAAACAATTGAAAATATTTCTTATCTCCTAATCATATAATGCTTAGTGCTTAATTGGCAGTGTGCTCCAGTGGAAAATCTCATATCATTATTCCAAGCATAGAAACATCAAAAAGAAGAAAGAAAGAAAAAATGGGGTAATGTACAAACGAAGTATACTAGTAATACTAATCATATTTCATCATAATGCGGACAGTCGAGGGGAACAAGACAGACGCACTCAAACAACACAAGAACAGGGGGATAGGAAAAGTATAGAAATAGAGCTTTTGTTTGGGTGGGGGGGGGGAATTACTCATCAGAAAAAAGAAAAAAACCAAGTGTTTTCTTCACCATGAAAGGCAAGATGAAAAGGCAGAATAAAAAAGGTACCAAAACGACGCCTATCCTATGGATATTCCAACTCTGCCAATATGTATATGTGTCAGTTTAGTAACTAAATGAGTATGAGGTGAAACATGCAGACCGGGACCGGGACCGGTGTGAAACCAAGATGAATGCTGAAGTGCTGAGAGAGAATATAACAACAAAAATACGATCGATGCAGGGCCAAGCGTGAGTTCGGTTTGGTTTATTTTTGTCCGCCGAATTTGAGTTTCAGTTTCAGTCCGCCGCCTGGGGTGGACGGAGTGGTGGCAGGAGATTGAGAAATTGGAGCAGGAGATGGCATCTTAATATGATTGGGGATATGTAGTTTGGTCAGTTTGCGTTCTTCGCGATGAGGAGGAGGAGTAGGGGGTATCGAAGGATTGCTGATGCCCAAATTCGACTTTGATTGTTTGAAGGTAATTCGAGGAGCAGGAGGCGGCATGGCTTGTTCTTCGCGTTTCCGCTTTGCACCTGCATTTACGCCGGAAACTTTGCTCGGAGCAAGAGATACTCGATATCTCTCGGATCGGTAGAAGCGTAACTGGGCCTGGTAATTCTTAGCAGACGTCCTTGAAGAAAATTGAGATAACTAAAATTCTCGATACTCACACGTCCCAGATGTTGACATTTCCAATACCGAGGATACTTCAACCTCACAAGACTAGAAGTTCTGGCATCATACAGAATCTTACAGAAATCCGCAAAGTTCGATACCTCTAGTGTGCCAACACAAGAGGAATTGCTTGCAGCCCACAGAGTTTCCTTCAATGTGGAATTCTGTGACAGCTCCCGCTTAAGCGCCTCCAATGCTCCGGACATCGTTTGTTTTCTGGCCAAATCCGCGCGTCGCACCTCTGTCGTCGATTCTTGTTCGATAATCAGGTTGCCATTCTGCAACGGCTCCTCCGGGGGTTGATCGGTTCCAAAAGCCACCGTTGCAAGGGCTCTGCCAAATAGACCATGAAGCCGGTGCCGAATCCACGCAGAGTTATCGGAAGACATGGTAAAAAGATACCACCTAAGAATTTCAGGTGTCTTGAAGATGTCAAGGTCCACGAGACAGTCGAAGGCTTCCATTCGCAACATATCAAATGTCCCAGATCTAGTATACTGCAGGAAGTGTATGATATCTAAATCCATGATCTTTGCTTTCGTGAGTTGCAACTGGCAGCGTAGAGCAGTTCTTGAATAAATGTTTTGAAATGAACTAGACCATTCATCCATCCGCCTATACCTGTCAATTTCTGTGACAACGTCACGTTCAAGCTTCTCTTCCGCTTGGCGCTCCAATTCTTTTGCCATGTCGAACTCCATGTCATTCAGCGACGAAGCATCTGCGACGCGGCCCTCCATAGCATTAACCAATGAGGTCATGAGTGAGGACACATAAAAGTTGTCCGAATACTCGTTGTTCGAGTTGTCGCTAAACCTAAGCTTGTCAAAAATGAAGCGTTTAACCCTCAACGGCGTCTTCCCATTGTTATCGCGAATCTGCGATATTGCTTCGGGAATAACTTTCTGAAGTATGTATGATGCTTGATCGGAGAAATCATTATCACGAGTAACATGAGTCCCCGGAAGACAGAATAGCTCCTGAAATGCTCTTTCCAAGTGGTAGAGACCTAACCAGTCGTTCTCCTCCTTTGCATGCTTCACAAGCGCATAGGCAGCGGCCGTACGAATGCCGTGAAAGTAGCGTTTGTCCATTAAAGTACGGACAAAGATTGTCGAAATCAATGGGTGAGGTTTGTGAATGGCCATGTATTGCATCGACTATATTCTGCAATCAGTTTACGTCAACTAAAGTTGGGGGGGGTAGAGTAACTCACCTCTAGCTGAGCGACGACATCCCGATCCTGTTGCAACTGAGAGAGATACATGTAGCCCGGCATGCCCAAAGACAACTTGCAAATCCACTCGAAATCAGCATCCATCCTAATCCACTCGTATGATTCCTGACCCATGCGCTCCTCTTCCTCTTTACTCCAATCAGCCAATCGCCATTCCTGTATCTCCTCTTCTGTCTGAAGTACATCGCCAAGACAGTAGAGCAGGACGTCATCTTGCGTTTCCGCTGCTGTATCAGTCCCAACCGTTTGTGTTGCACGCTCTTTTTGTCTTTTGTTTCGTTTAAGCCTCTTGTATTTGGTGTTGTAAGGGACTTCAAACTTGGTAATAGCCTCCTTGATATCGACAATATGTTCATATGGTGTGCCATCAGCTTCGTGTATCCGTATCGTCATCGATCCAGTGAAAACAGGCTGAATGGAAGCTGCGTAAACGTTTCGGAGTTCTTCCTTCATATCTCGTAAGAATGATGATTTTTCAAGATTTCTAGGCCCTTGAGGTTCTCCTTGTGACTGTTTGATCATAATCTCAACGACCAGTTTCTTTTTATTGAACCGTTGAGTAGCCGTGAATCGAGGACAGCCGGCGCCAAAAACCCACTGCTGAAAGAAAACATCTAGCTTGCAATGACCAAACTTCTCGCATAACCTGATAAAAGAAGTCGTAGTCACGGCCCCATTTGCCACATCGCCCATGCGGTTGTTCAGTAAGAGACGACCTATGATCCGTGAAACAGTCGGCTTTCCGCTGGCTTTGAAAAGACGACGTTCAAGAATGAAAAGAACAAGAGGGGCTTTCAGGGCGACGAATTCCAATTCGGACGGGTCCAATTTCAGATAGTTGCCCATTTCATATATCGATGGTCGTTCGTAATCCAGATCACAAACCCGATCAGACATTTGTTTGATGCGGAATCGATATTCATTGTTTCCACATAGCTTCTTCATGAATGTATCGGTGATATAATAGGCCATTCCAACTGTGACCCAAGTGTCTGTTACCTCCTTTGGTATGAGACTCACACCAATCCACTGAGAAGCCAAAGCGTAGACCAAAGCTCTGGTCGAGTCGTACATAGGGTCGATGATGTTCTCGGGAAATAGCAGGCGAGTGCTACATATTGACAGAGATGCTGTCGATATCGTGTCACAAGCGGAGTCATCCACAAAACAAAGGTTGTAGCCCGAATATGGGTATGAACCATATGTCACAGAAAAATAATCAATAGCTTTCGCCATTGGAAAGCAAGTATTCTTGACCTCGTTCGTCCTCCCCGGGAGACAGTATGCATCTACAGGAACAGCATTGTCACCCAGTTGCTCGTCCTGGTCGCTTTCGCGGAACTGCGATAAGTTAACATGTTCAAAAGGCCCTACAGCAAATCCAATCTGCTGTGCAGAGATATTTGATATGCTTGAAAACGAAACACTCTTTTTAGTCGGATCCTTAGGGTCAACAATTTCGTCGGTCGTATCGCCGGAGCAAACCACAGTCATGTCCAAAGTACTGTCGTCATCGGAGAGGGCGCCATGTGGCCTGTTCTTGTTTGTTGCAGAATTTTTGGATGTTTCGTTCCCTTTACGTTCGAAGATGGCATTCAAAGAGCAAGGGCATCTGATGGTAACATCCCATGGACACCTTGCCAGTGGGTCGTCCACGCACGGAAAAAGACAGCTACCAGAACCCAGCCCGGTGGAATTTGTCGTATAAGCATGGGGATATCGCCTATCACCACTGTCAACCCCCACAAATTGCAGCCCTTCTCGTATATTATCCACCGCAAATTCGATATAAACCGTTAATGCAGTATAGCGGGGCAAGGAAGTCTCGGCAGGTTTCAAACTTGGTCCGTCTGCATCGTCTGCATTTCCCATGGCAGATCTCAATGCCAGTCGATCCTGAGCATCTACGGAGAAGGGATCCAGCTCCTCAATTCGCAGAGACTTCGGTAAGGTGATGAGCAGCTCGGGTTCCGTCTGTGGTTTAAGCAAGTCCTCGATTTTCGCGGAGAGTCGTTGATGATAGTGAACACCATAGAGATTGAGATTTGAATGAGTGTCCGTGTGCTTGACCGTCGTTGTTGCTTTCCCATTGATAGTTACCCGTGTGAAGTAGCCTTGACGAAAGTTCAATTTGATGACCCTGACATCTCTGTGGTGCGGATGAAGGGTTATTTCGGTTTTTCCCTTCAACGATTTCGTAGCAAAGTCCACCTCTAGTTCAAGTTTCTGATGAGCGACTGTGAAGTCTCGCGCACACCAGGCCGGCGCAGCACTGGCAGCGATGGGTGTCTCAACAATTCCTGGCATTTTGAGGAAGGGGGGGTCCTCGCTGCTGTGGCGCTATGCGCGCGCGCAAGCTTAAATCAAACCACCTTCATATCCATGTAAAGCAAGAAATACCAACGGCCGCCGCCTTGAGTGGCAGAGGACTGAGGGCTTCCGTATGTCTGCAGAGACCGGATGATGAGGTCGCAATGAGGCGCGTGTGTGACGAGAGACTTTCTGGGAGGGAGAAGCGACAGCGATCAACAGGGTATCCAAGAGAGGGCGGGACAATTGTCTGAGGGTTATCTGTGAGCGGTCCGTAATAGCAGCAGCTCAGGCGGCGATTGTTGAAGTGACGCTGCTGCAAAGGAAGAGTGATGAAGCAGAAGAATAATACCAGCAAGCTAGACCAGTTAGGCTAAAAGCAGGCAGGGAAAGCACGGACCGCCGAGCCTGGGCCACACGTGATGGAGCCCGCTCTCCGCCGCGAATGGCCGCAGCTAAATATTAAATAAAATTATACGGAGAGAAACGACAAAGCGCTTTTGCTCTGTCCCTGAACCCCTGAATTGCCCCGTTGAGTGCTTTGCCGTTATTTTCTGGACTTTCACGTCATATACAGATCATTTATTTCAACGTAGCACCTTACTGCAATCCCATTTGGTCATCTCGCTATCGTATCCCCTTTCCGAGACAAGACGCGGGCAGTCTGCGATGAACTGACGCGCTGGACAACAAATAAATAATCCATACACCGCCACTGCAGGCTACTTCTATTGTTCCTCTAGCGAATTTACACAATATGCCTGGATTATTCAGAATGGTTCAAGGTGAGATCACCCATGATTCTTCCTGTAACACCGGCTGAGACGAAAACACAGCGACCCAGGACTCGCTCTCCGATGAAGCTCTTTACCCCCTCAAATCATACAAGTACTCCAGCGTGGATAAGTCATACATTTCCAGATATATCCTCAAACATTATGTATGCCTGCCTCTCTATTTCTCTCCACAAATGCGTGCGTTTGGTCACTGACTACTGGGATGGTTCTGCCTATAGTGGAATGCCTCTGTCGAGTTCTTACCGTTATGGATGGCACCGAACATGGTAACCCTGCTAGGGTTTTTCTTCATCATTGGGAACGTCGCTATTGTGACAATGTTTGTGCCTGATTTAATCGGGCCGGGACCTTCCTGGATTTACTTCAGCTTTGCCCTCGGTGTATGGATGTACTCGACTTTAGACAATATTGATGGAAAACAAGCCCGTCGAACGGGCACATCTAGCGGTCTGGGAGAGCTCTTCGACCATGGCATCGACTCGCTAAACTGCACACTCGCCAGTTTGCTTCACGCTGCTGCAATGGGACTCGGTTCGACGCAACTCGGTGCTTTCACCGCTCTAATCCCTTGCTTGCCCATGTTCTTTTCGACGTGGGAGACATATCATACGCATACACTGTATCTTGGTTACTTTAATGGGCCTACCGAGGGATTGCTCATTGCCATTGCGATTATGATTGCATCCGGAATTTACGGCCCTCTCATCTGGCGCAACCAGGTGGCCGACGTTTTTGGACACCCAGAGTTATTCGGAACACACACATTCTTGGACTTTTGGGCAGGCATTGTTTTTGGTTCTTTCTTAATCGCGCATCTGCCGGCATGCGTCTACAATGTTGCCCAGGCTCGCCGGCGGCAGGGTCTGCCAGTTCTCCCGGTTTTCCTGGAGTGGACATCAATAGCCGTGTTTACATTCTCAGTGGTGGCATGGTTATTCTCCCCCTACTCGACTCTGCTGGCTAATAACCATTTGGTCCTCTTTTGCATTGTCATGTCTTTTGTTTTCGGCCGCATGACCACCAAGATCATCTTGGCGCATTTAATCAGAAAGCCATTCCCTTACTGGACGGTGATGCTCACTCCGTTGATCGGCGGTGCCATCCTTGGGAACCTGCCTCGCTTCGGCTTGCCGGCGATCAGCGCTGGGCTTGAGCTTTGGTACCTCCGTTTATACCTAGTCTTCGCCTTTGTGGCCTACATGCACTGGGCGTTCCTGGTGATCAACAGAATCACCACATTTCTGGGCATTAACTGCTTGACGATCAAGGAAAACAAGTCCATCGCGAGGGATATCGTCTACCGCAATTTTGGTGAGCCCAAATCGAACGGCGATAAAGGCGGTTTCAAGCATCACTAAACGCCCAGGCAGACACGACTCGAACGATCTCTTACAATACTATATAATCTAGATTGGCATGCCACGACAACGGAATGCTGGAACAAACGTTATTCACCGCGTGTTGCTATATTTTGAATTCCCTACCTACATTGAGGGGAACGATTTAAACAAAGGGATTCATTTCAGGCTTGTATTATAATGGATCATTCTCCGCCTTCTCATGCATTTGCTTTTCGACTGATTGATGATGTCATTAACGATCCATGGATGTTTGACGTGATGCTTTTCGGGCTATTTTCATGAGGTGACTTTTTTCTTTCATGTTTGATGGATATAATCATGAATATATCCCTCGGCTGTATGTATGAATGGGACTGTGTATAGAATTTAATAGAGCTAATTGTAACTAATTGAGCCTTTTTGTTCTCCTGTCTGTTGAGGCATCTATACCAATATCCATGATAGCGAGGGAAAGGTGTTGTTTAAAACCCAATCAAGCTGCTAGGGCTCGGCGCCCATGTGATCGGTTAGTCACTCATATTAGAACCTCATTGCAAGGCTGCTATCATGGACGCCCATTAAAAGTATAACCACAATCACTACTAAAAGCTACGAGCCTTGTGACAAACGCCATTTGTGTGTTTGCAGCAGCCTTCTGTGTACAACCTTCGTACAACTTGGAGCGTTTGCAACTGAGACATTTCCTATACCGACACTTTTCAATGTTCCCACGCATGGAATTCGAAATCCAGGTCGTTTGCCAGCTTGCTTCCTCGCTCGGGTTGGTCTGTTGAGATTCCTATTTTGGTAAGAATTGCCCATTGGGGCATCCTCGCTCAACATTTTACAGAGGCACTGCTTCAGCTCTCTTGAGTCTGTCGTACATCAGTATGAAGCCTTTGACTCATCTACGATCGCCTATGGTCAAGTTTTTGATATTTCTTTCCTTCTCGTCCTTCCTTGCCCTTCTTCTCATCACGTAGGTGCCATCAAAATGCCGTACGACTAACCCTGTTTTTACCCCGATGGATATGACCAGCCACACAGCTAGGCGCAGGTAATTCTCCACGCCAATACGATAAGATGCCTTGGGCATTTTCATCTTGCTTTCCAGACCAACACCCCGGCGGTGCCCTTTGGGGATACCGTAGCGCACACAAAATGCGTGCGTGCCGGATTCCTGTTTTCTCGCCTGAAGCTTCGATAGAGCATCTTCTGGCATTCATAGATTTCCTCTCGATCACAACACGAGCAGACTTGCTAATGCGGATGTCGTATGAAGACTAATCGGGATAGATAGCATTTCTCTGACGCTTTTAAAAAGGTCGCAGACGAGCCAGAGATATCATCACCCTCGCTGACATGTGCATGACAGAAATTTGATTGGTTACATTAATTGTAGGGCGGCAGCAAAGAATATATTTGCTACAATGAATAAATATTTTTGGTCCATGAAGGTATATTCAAACTTGCAGGAGTGAGCAAAGATCATAGTTGCGATTGCTCTCTCTCTCTCTTTCTGAACTAGCCAATGTCCAGTTGAGCACCAATGTCATCTTCAATCACAGTTAGGAAGACTTAGATAAACCCGAGTTGAAGCTTCGACTGCCGTAGAGTATTTACTCATCCAATACCACTCAACCATATAAGCATCAAAGAATCGACCATGCTGAGACACAGCATACGGAAGCAAAAATACCGAAAAAATGCTTGCTTCTCATTAGCAAACTCAAGTTTCATGCTTCTCAAAATTCATTCTTTATCCTCCCATAGAGCTTTTCTGCTCGTCTCGTCTTTGACTTTCTCGATTATGCATGGTGTGCACACATCAGCATCGCCAAGTTTGGGAAATGAAAGAGTGACATACCACGTGCTTCACCATGAAGCTTTATAGGTAGATTATAAAGGCAGATAAATCGTATAGATTGTTAAGTTATATAACCAACCTTAACAACTATACATAATCCTCTTCGGGCAACAATTGCTACTTGAGGCAATCAAAGTTAATTTTGTTTTGCTTCAAGAGCTAGGGATATTAAAAAGAAGCCCTAACTGGCTGGCTAGCAGACCGACAAATGTAGCTTGTGAAAATCCAGGTCGAACCGTAGATTCATAAGAAAAGAAAAGAAAAGAGGCATGGCATAGCATAGCATAGCATAGCATAGCATGGCTTTTATTTGCCGCATCAAATAAATCAAAATAGGTACTCGGTGACAAAAGAAGATAAGACAAAAGTTGTGAACCGAATCTCAGACAAATCAAAGACATAATATCAAACAATTTGGAAATAGAAAATGAAAGAAAACGCCCATTCTTAGATTGTCAAGACTACCGCAAGGTAAACTAAAAAAAGAGGGGGAAACACCGCCAAAGTTAATGAGGAACTGAACAGACAAAATTAAGAGAAAAAAAAAGTCAATTATGTGGATGTCTCATTCTCATCCGCTGCCTTGTCGGCACTCGCACTCTCAGTTGCAGGCTCTTTCGCAGCCGGCTCTTTGGGTTCTTCTGCTGGCTTTTCCTCCTTCTTCTCCTCTTGCAACTCAGCATCGGTCGTTAGCTTTTTCTCGGCTTCGGCTTCTCCCTTAGCGGCCTCGTCCTCATCTGTGGTGGCTTTGGCCTCAGGCTGCACTTTTGTCTTCGCTTCCTTACCAGGAGCAGCAGAAGTAGTAGAAGTGGGAGCAGGTGCGGGAATATCCGAAGCAAGCAAATTCTTCCATAGGTTTAAGAGATCAATGGACCGTTGCTTGAAGTTATATTCTTCCTCCTTGGGAATCAATGGCAGCTTGATAATGGCTCTCAAGACCTTGTGGATTTTGGTTTCGCGGAGGATCGGCACCTCAATCTCGCCAAATGCCTCTAGCTCACTAAAGAGTTTTGCCATTGTCTCCATCTCTTCCTCTTTTGGTTCTTGGTCACGCTGTAAAAATCCCTTTTGTAGATCATGGCGGAGCCGGAAGACTGTCGAACATGAGGATTAGTTAAAAGGCAACACTCTCAAGGTCTGCGGTTATTAAATCCGACATACCCTTCTTCTGTTTGATTATTCTGGCCTCAACAGGGTCAATTACTGGCGTTTTCTCCTTGGGAGGTTGCTCGATGGGCTCCTCAATTGGCTCCTCGGCGGATTCGTCAACTGGCTCCTCGCTCTTTTTTGTTGCAGCCTTCTTCGCCTTGCTGGTTTTTGATTTTTCGGCAGCATTGGGGTCTTTGGGTGTGCTTAACTTAAGCTTGGTTGTCTTGGGTGTTTTGCTTGGCTGTAGGAACAAATCGATCAGTCACAATTATACCAAAGACATCAGCAACAACAACAACAACAGAAACTCAAAGATGTACCAACCTTTTCGCCTTCGGCGTCACTTTCGACGTCCTTCTTACGCTTCTTGGTGCTCTTAGGCTTCTTGTCTGCATCGTCTGCATCGGCCATCTCTACATCCTCGCTTTCTGCGGCAACGCTCTTCCTCTTCTTCTTTTTCTTCTCCTCCTTGGCGGCTTCCTTTTGGGCCTTCAGGGCCTCTTTCTCTGCCGCTGCCGCTTCACGTTCTTCTGCCTCTTGTTGGATGGCTCGCTGGTGGTCGGCAAGGAGGGTTTTAAAGTGCTGAAGATCACGGCCTTCGGCGGCGACCTTGTAGGCAGCGATAAGTTGCTTTTGTTTTCCTTTTTCGCTGACAGTTTTGCATTGCTCTGGATCTAGCGGGGTGAGGTCGGTATTCGGAATCCACGCACTGGAAACATCGGTCAGTCATCGCTTTGATGAATAGGGGAATGAACACATACAACTCATTTGTCTCCAAAAACATAATCGGGAACGTTCGGTCATGGACTCGCTTCCCTCCATCGGCAAATGCTTCCTTGTACGTGCCATCGGCCTGCTTCGTCGTTACAGGGCGAGTATTCAGCAAGGTCAATGGGAGCATTTCCTCGTCACAGATGATAGATGGCCATGGGGGAAAACTCTTCAGGCGTGCGAGATAGTACTCTCCCGGTGCTGCATCCAGATGCGTGGTTCGCTGCTGCGACTTCTTTTTGTTGGACTTCTTCGCAGAGGAAGCAGCTCCGCCGACAGACTTCCGCTTTGCGCTCGATGGTTTCGGTGTAGAGACACCATTTGCTGCCTGGGCTTCTGCTGGCTCTTCTTCGGGCTTGCCGTTCACTTCCGTGGGCTTGGTAGCTGCGGCTGCGTCGTCTGTTTTAGAGTTGGAGCAAGTCAGCGGATGACGACGCGACGGAGCTATTTTTTCGCTCGAAATAGAGCGTTTTACATACCTGTAGGCTTTGTCTCGTCTTCAGCAGGCTTTCCGGCGTCTTGTTTGGAAGCAGAGTCGGATTCAGTTGTAGTTGAGTCTAGTTTGGGGTCAGGTTGCGAATCTCCAGCAGCTGCGGCGACAGCAGCAGAGGTGGCTGGAGACTCGTCAGACATGATGCGCGCGATACGTTTGTTGGGACAGGTGGGTGGCAGTGGAGAGATATAAGCTTGGTACGTCAGGACGTATGGGGGGAAGTGGATGGCAGATGAATAGTCAACAACAATGAATGGCAATGGTTACATGCAGTGGATGAAAGGTCGCGCAAGCCGGCGGGAGGTCGAGAAGCGCACCGCTGCGCAACGCGTGTATTTTGCTTGTATCGAGGTGCAGCTAGCGCTTCTAGCCGCATCCGCGCTAATCTGCGCGGCCAATGACGCAACGTTCTCCGTGCAGCTCATTTTGCGCTTCGTCTATTTTTGATTTTTTTTTTTTATACTTTTGATATTTGACTGCGTTCTCAATGTACGTTCTACAACCATGCCATTGAGTTTCACCCTGTATAAAAATTTCATCGCCAGTATACCTCCTGCAATGTATAAAAAATTAGCAAAAAGATTAGCCCGATGCGGGGCTCGCTGTACAGCTGTTAGGATATCGAAGATGTCGATCTGAAGAGAACAGTAAACTTACAACCCGCAACGTTCAGATGTGCTCAAGGATTAAGAGTCTGACACTCTACCGATTGAGATAACCGGGCATGTTTGGTTGTCGAGTGGAGACCAAATTGAGCTCTTAAGCGAGTATGAATCCAGAGAGAGGCAAAAAAAAATTATGTGCGGATCCATATGGATGAATCTATGGCAAAAAAGAATAAGCCCGATGCGGGGCTCGAACCCGCAACGTTCAGATTTTCAATTGATTAAGAGTCTGACACTCTACCGATTGAGATAACCGGGCATTTTTGGTTGAGTTCTTCGGCTGTTAATGGATCCTTATGGCAGTTATAAAAGTTTCATCGGGTCTGAAATCAACCCGCCGGGCCCTTTCTCCTCCTACGTACGAGTCGCAGCACGCAGGTTCGTGTTCGAATAAACAGTAAAAGGATTTCGATGATAGATTTAGGTACGCTAAGTTTGAAATTTGTAACTGGTGGCTGCAGAGGAGAATCTGGTCAAATTTTCTCTAGTTTGTATGGATGAGATGTAATAGAATCCCATGGTCTAGATAGATATATGTATATATTTATATATATACCCTTTGACAATAAGAACGCACAATCCCACCAACAACCTCACCGGACAACGTAGGTACCCGGGATACACACTTAGATCTGCTGTATCATCTCTAAAACAATGTCATTATTGTAATTGCATACACGTGTATGTACTATCCACCACAAAGAGATTGTAGACGTCTCTGCCTGATCTTCAAGGCACCAGCTTAAGCCACACACTCTCTCGGCTCTCTCTTAGTATTTAGTGTATTTAGTACTTATATAAACCCAATTCCAGTCCATACCTCGAGAAAAACCAGCAGAAAAAACCAAGAGCGAAGAAAAGATAATCAGCCGCACTCTTCAATACCCCTGGCTATAAGCCCTAAGCCCTAGTCCCTAATCCCGGCCTCCCCGAACTGCATGGCCATCACATCACAGCACCGATTGGACCAGAGCATAGCAGTGTAGCAGCTGGTCACAAAGACATACTAGTATCAATGTAATAAGTCGTATCGCGAACGAAAAAATCTAGATTTGGACAGTACCTGGTGAATAGGCTAGTATACAGTTATATACTGACGCTAATGCAGGGGACGTGTACTGCTTGCTATCGAAACGGTACGTAATATTAATATGCAATTACCTATGACCAGGATTATGTTAGAAGAGGCATGTAAAGGAAGCAAAGACTGATAGTGGGTATGAGTTGCTACGAAAAGAAACGAAAAAAAGAAAGAAAAAAAAAAAAGACAGCGCGTCTGATAGGGTCCAGTTGCATGTCTCAAATTCCTTCGCGGAGTATACTCAATTTGGCAATCCCGGATCGAGATCTAAGGGGCCCGAAATCGAGCCGTGTGCTACGGTGTTAGCGAGTAGATAGGTAGCTACGGAGTACAAAGTAACTACTAGCCAGTGCAAATACTGGCAAAATTAGCTAGAGCATGTCAACGGTTCGGGAATCGGCGGCATCCACACCGAGGCTCGTGATCGTTGGTCTGTATTACACCACTGGTTAAATAGTAATTACTAGGTGACAGGTGTTGACTTGTTGCTTGGGGATGCCTGAGAATTGTTTTGTAGTGTCTTGGTAAAGGTTGAGCATCAATGCATGAGATTATGATTAACTATAGGTCACTGATGATATAATGTGAATAGGAGTATGGTTTCTCTGATCTATACATATAACACGCACACCAACAATGCCAGATGTCCGTTCTCAAGTATCGTGTAAATAAGAAGACATCTACAAGAAATAAAAGGTGGCAGGAGGCGAACCGGCCCAACAAAGTACACGAACAGCCGACGTAGACAAGCGAAGACTGAATTCGATTAAATAGCCGGAAAAAAAAAATCAACCACTAACATCCAGCGGCGACGTGCATCCAAACGCATTCAACTCGGGAATAGCATACACCGCAATCAAACCCTCAACAGCGGCCCAAATACCGATACCGGCGGTGGCCAGCGCACCCAGGAAAAAGATGGTGTTGAACACATTCACATACCAACGCTTGGAGAAGTAGCCACGATAAACACGCTTCCAGCCGCTATCAAAGAGCGTGACCTGGCCGGTAGCAGGGTCAAAGCCCTCGCCCGGTTGGAGGGCGTACTTCTTTATGTTGTATCCAATGTGCATCAATGGTGGGAAGGTGTAGGAGAACTGCAGGATACAGGTTGCCGATACAATGCTCGTGAAACCTGCAAAGTCGGGAATGGCAGCGGCAATGACGAAGGCGATGGACCAGTAGATGGGGATGAGGGCAATCCAGAAGAGTTTGCCAGATTTCTGGGACAGGGGTGGTGCCTTGAACAGGTCTACGAAGACGTTGTTATAAATACCTAAATGACCAAACTTAGTAAGAAGAATATTGGTTTCATGGATGCAGTAAAGAAAATACGAACACTTCAGTCCAATGTTGCCGTAGAGCGTAGCGGAAATCAACGCGCTGACCATGGCCAAGGAGTTTCCGGCAGTCTGCAGGTTGTAATTGGAGATACCAAGATAAGACGGGGTCTGCACATACTGGCCCTGGTAGCCGTACATGTACAACCCGTAGAGCATGTAACAGATGTAGATGAAAAGCTGAGCACCCCACATGCCCTTCAAGAAGTCGCGAGGACGACGCATTTCCGACATGAACTCGATAAAGACCATGGATCCTCCGTACGAGTAGACAGCTTGCATCAGACCGTTGACGGCGGAACCGAAATTGCCAGGGTCAGGAAGGCCTCCACTGTGCTGGACCGGGGGGTAGACGCCCTCAGCATTGGGGGTTACCAGGTCAGGGTTGATACTGTATCCAGCGGACGAGGCGGATCCTGCATAAAGCGGTGGCGAGTGTGCGGCTGCTCCCATGGTGATGAAAATAACGAGCAAGTTGATGTACACGGCAAGGTTGGCCAACCAGCCAAATTTCTGCAGTGTGCGGATTTGTCCAAAGAAGAAACCCGCCAGAGCCCAGACCAGGCAGCAGACGGCGTAGCACAGCTTGAACTTGGCAGCCTCAGAGAGCGCCTCCCCGTTGGAGATGATGATGGCACCGACGTTGCAGACAAGCTGGATAGCCTGGAGGAGATTGACGAGGTGGCGAAACCAGGGGCCATACAGACGGTAGCCGATATCACCAAAAGCGCGAGTGGGAAACTGGTACGAATCAAGTCCTGGACGAGTATTAACAACAGTAACAGTTTCAAAACCTGCGAGACATACCCATAAAAGAATCCCAGAGCAAGTATCCCGAATAACCAGCCATCGCACCAAAGACGGTGAATAGAGCCACACCGGGTCTAGATCATGTTAGCAGGTCACTTTGACAATGATGTATAATATGAATAGCTAACGTACCCCCATCCGGTCGTGGCAAAAGCATACGGCAGTGAGAATGGACCAAGAATATCAGTGGTGATCAGATAGAAAACAGCACCGGCCGAGGCATTTCGTGCGGCGCGTGAGGCATTGACCCATTCATCATCGGTGATATGCAGCCGCTTTTCGCGGTCATTGATGTTGATCTCCGGGCCTTGAGCCTCCGGGCCGGAGTCCTCCTGCTTTTGCAGATTGGGAACCAGGTAGGCCAGCCAGTTCTTACCAACTTTGGGAGGCTCAAGGGTGTCCTCCTCCGCGCGGGTCTGGGTGGCATAGTAGTAGTACTCCTCGAAGGACACATCGGGGTCGCGTAGGCGGCGGTGTTGAGGGGGAATGGGACTTTCTCCTGCAGCGACTGAGACGGCCTGCTTGTCATCTACCGTGGGAGACGGCACCGCTTGTTTCTCGTCATCTACCGGGGGAGGCGTGATGGCTTGCTTCTCGTCCATGATATATATGATATATATAAATGAAATATTTATATACTTTCAAGAAATGCCCAGGAGCTTTATTGCGCCAAGCACAACAAGAAAAGACAAGACAAGATAAGAATGGACCAAAGCGCAACAGGAGGGCTGGGCACGCGAGTCCCTTTAAATGCAGCAAGAAAAACCGAGCACACGGCGAGGGAAATAGACCAGTAACACGGGCCGCGCTTCCTTCCTTCCTATCTCCCAATAGTGAAAAGCCATTGTCATGTCGCAATAACGTGCATATGGCTATGCAGGTCTGATTCGCGGCCGGGGATCGTCAGTTGATCCAGGCAGCCAGCACGCTAGATGTCGCTCATATAACGTGGTGCCTTAGTGTATAAAGGCTCATGGACAAGGGCCCGGATGGGGAAGGTCCTCCTCCAGCTGACGAGGGCGACATACTATGATATATTATCTCCAATATATTTCTGTTGTGATATACACGCTAGCGATTCGGCGTCGGCCAAAAGCTCGGTTAGACGTGGAACAAAGGATGATAAGTTCGTTACATCGTCGAGCACTAGGAGCTAGTGCGCTGCGCGAATCCCTGCTATGTAACGTTGTCGAGCACCCTGGCTTTATTGTCCGATTGGCTTGGCTGCTTCTAGAACAGCTGTCTCGGATTCACATGTTCCAGAACAATTGTATCCACTCAGAAACCGGGGAAATTGGGAAGTGTCGGTGCAACATCAGAGTCAACAGTCAAGACAATGCATTCACGTAGCAAGAGCAAAGAGGCAGCTGAGGTTGTCGGTTTCTATGATTATATAATACAATATAAGTTAGTTAGTTAGTTAGTTAATATACACACAGTCGCGCCTTCCGTTGGCGCTGCGCCACTTCCTTCCTGCCGCAGGAACAAAGCATGTTGCCTAGCAGCACGTGATTGCGCCGCTCCATCTTAGTTTATTTCAGTCTCATGCTTGCTTGCAGTGCTGTTGGACGGAGGAGCTGACTATGAGGCGTCTCTATTCTAGACGCGTTGATTGAGGTAAACTGCAGACCGCAAATTCACTCCTCAGTACCCATCCCCGGCCTTCCACACACGCCCCGCCGACCATGCTCGATACACAGGATCAGCGCCCTTCTCCAGGGCCTGTTTCTTCAGCTTGGCCAGCTGGGCAGTCTTCTCCTCGACCTCCGCCATGAGCAGGATGCCGTGGTTGTCGCCCGGAGCCGGCTCGGCATCTGCCATCTCATCCAGACTCAGTGTGATGCGGGCATCCTCGTCGAGCGCCCCGGCTTTTTCCTGCCATTGCCCGAGCTCGTTGGTCGCGTCGCGGATTCTCCAGAGCGTTTCGTAATAGAAGCGGGCCTTGTCCTCTCCGCCAAAGCAGATTCCAAATCCATCGCACAGACAAGCGTTTGGTGATGGGCAGGATACATCCTGGCCTGTGAAGACCACATGCCAAAGATACTCCCAGACTCTCCCGGACATGGCGTCCCGCAGCTTGGTGTGCAGCAGCCACTCGCGGTAATAGACATATCTCTCGCGTGGAATCGCTCGCACGCGCTCCCGGGATAGGGCAAATTGCGCACAGCACGGCTGCGAGAGGACCTGCGGAACAGGCATATCGGGGAATATCTCGCTCCAAGCCTCAGCTATGATGTTCTCTTCTTTCTTCCCCCCGTCCTCATTGATTGCACCGGGATGCAGCCAATTGGGACAGCCAGGTGTCCATAAACAGCGCATGTTCATGTATCCCTCACGAACAACCCTTTCCAGACTCAGCCGACGCAGCATCTCAGAGGCATCAAAGTTGAAAATATCCTCATTGTGCCATGCAAACTGATGCGCATGCATAAACGCCATGATGTCCGGCAAATCGTCATAGTGGTCAATGATATAAGTCAGATAGACCATCGCCTCGTGGCCCTTGTTTTTGGGCGGATGCAATGGGGCATTAGAGTCATCGACCACATACGCCGCTACCTCCCAGCCACTGCGCACCATCTCCTCTGACTTCGTCCACGTCGTATTATCTGCTTTCAGTTGCGCGATCACTAAAGTCTTTGAGTATTTCGAACCCTGTTTCTTGGGCACACCCACCTCGAATGCGCTAACATTGAATGGCGGCGCAGGCGACCCATCTGGCTTGTAGTAGTGGTAAGAAGAGTCATTGCTACTAGTAGTAGTAATATCATTTCCCCCTTGTGAGTCGAGAACATCGCCCAATCCGATTTTTTGCGGTATGCTGCGCCAGTGATTATTCAAGTATAGACGCCATGTCGCGACGAGTAGCGCGAAGAGGCACACCGCGACCAAAACGGGACGACGCATGTTAGTTCTAATAACACTTGATAACAGTACTAATGATAGTAGCAGCACGTTGACATTCCAGCAAATCAAAAACACTAATCTTCTTCAAAAAGAATAGCCAGAGTTATGGATAATTATAACAGAGAAAAAACTGAAATAAAAAAAGAGAAAAAAAAAAAAAAGGAAAGAAAACCACCGGTCAAACAAGATGAAACATTTCGTCCTCTGAACGTGGTTGATCAAGTCGATCTCAACTTGGTTGGTTGGATAAGTGGCTGACTTGCTCCAAAAATAAAAATAAAAATAAGAAAATACGAAATGATCTTCATTTGGCCATCCTCCACGTACCACCAAAACTGACGATGGAGAACTCGAGAGTGTTGGACAGTGAATAAAGTTTGAAAAGGGGGGATGGTCAGTCTGACACTGACATTGACACAGCCACTCCGAAGATAAGCTAAATGCCATTGTTAGCCTTACGCTTAGCTAGGCTTAGCTGGCGAGCATCCGAGGGTGAGCCGGGCCGTGCGCGGGTGATCTTGATCTAGACCGTAGGACTGACAATCAGAACTATATGTACGGAGTACGGAGTATCAAGAAAGGGGTTATATCTAGAGTAAATACGGATTGCGTTGTGTTTGTATTGTCAGTGAAGAAGAGGGGTATGATATTTAAACAGTCAAATCAATCAACCAATCAATCAATCCGTGAAAACCAAAAAGGAAGAACGGCGCTGGAAATGATACAATAGACAGATAGACAGGAAGGACTAGTTTAGTTCTCGTCGTCATCTTCATCTTCCACTGTTGCTGCTCTGGCTTTGCCCTTGTCATTATCATTATCATTATCGTTTGATGATGATGATGACGATGCCAAGTTTGTAGTGCCAACAGCAGGCCATTCGAAAGAAGGGCTGATGCGATTGAAGTCGCTTGTCTGCTGTTGTTCTTGTTCTTGTTCTGTATCAGTGGTGTTGTTCTGTGCACTAGAGCTTGTTTGGCTGGTTTCTATTTCGTCGGTTGGAGGAGGGAGAGGAGAAGGAGAGAAAAGTTGCGGGTCGAGGCCTGCGGGGGGTGGGCTGGGCACCGCAGTGGGAGCTTGAGTAGGAACAGGAATAGATGTAGGAACAGGAGCAGAAGAAGCAGTCGGGATGGACAGGACTGGCGGTTCTATGCGACGGAGAGGTGTCACCGTCCAGCCCTGAGGAAGAACTAGTCCTGGTGGAAGCCGGCTGTCGCCAGCAGGAATTGGCGATGAGGTTTGACTGGTTAGTTGGTGGATAGAGGGTGGTGATACAACGGCAGGGGCAAAAGCCGCAGATGTTGGTTGTGATTCAGTAAATGTCTGAGCAGTTGCTGGGCTCTGCTGTGCCGTCCGAAGTCTTTGAAGCTCCGCCTGCAATGCGCGCAAGACATGCAATTGTTCTGCAGTAGCTCTTAGGCTTTGGTATTCCTGCGCGATTTGCAGTTCAAGGTTAGCCAACTGGTTCTGGATATTTACTAGGTTTGTTGGCGTGGAGATGTTCGTAGCTTGTTGTTGTTGCTGCTGCTGTTGCGGCTGAGGTCGACCAAATCCAAATCCGAATCCAAACTGTTGAGCCCCAGCAGGGAGATTTGCAGGCACAGGAGCAGCAGCAGCATTGTTGTTTCCATGAATCTGTTGGTGCAAATTCCGGAACATGTCTCCCCTTCCAGCACCAAATCCAACGCGGAAAGGCCCGAACTGGTATACGCGAGCCTGGGGTTGACCATCGCCAGGGACATTATTTGGTTGATTAGCCCCCGGTGGTGCTGCGGCATTGCCACGCCTGTCGTTGTTGTTGGCGTTATTTGCCCGATACTGTTGGTTTCGTGGCACAACTACCGGCCGTCGGCAGGTTGGACAATTCTGCTGCCGCTCCAACCAACTCCGTAGACAGGCAAAATGGAGAATATGCCCGCAAGGGAGCTTCTTCGCTCTGAGACGTTCAGGTACAGCTCTTCTGGTGTTACCATCGGTAGCTGGTTGTTGCCAGGCCACCATTTCCTCTCGGCAAATAATGCAGACATCTTCCCTGCCTATCTCGTCTGGTGTCGCGTCGGGATATCTCTCATTCATATCTCTTGTAGCCGTGCGATACCGCATGAAATCTGCAAGACGTCGCACGAACGAGCGAATAGTGACAACCACGTCCCTTAGAATGTGAATGGGAAGACCGTAAAACATGAAAAGAATAGCGAAAAACGACAAATATACAACCAATTTGAAAAAGTCTGTAATCAGGTCAAGGTAAAATACCCAGCGACCCTTCTCTTCCCAGCCGGGAATATCCAGGTCCATTTCATCTATATCATTTTCATCTGGAAGGTTTTCCGGGGGCCCCTCAGCACCGGATTCACGATGCTCACGTATTGCTTGTTCTCGGGCTGATCGGATTTCTGTTCTGCGCTCGGCTAGCTTAACCGTTTTCTGGCGGTATTTAATATATATTTCCACAACCGAGATGCAGTACCGCGCCAGTGTCGATGTGGACAAAATGGTAAGGATGGCGAATTCGAAGCCGAACATCACCATCATGTCCGCACGAGCTTTCTCCAAGACAGTCTTCACTGCATAGTCCAGCAAAAAGGCATCGAATATGACCGAAAGTAGAAGAGAGGATGCGAGGCGGGTGTGAAATAATCGAGGATTCGCAGGTGGTTGTTGCTCCAGGATCTCGACTCTGCCTTCACCAATCCAGCCCCATACCTTGCCCACTAGGAGACAGACAAACATGACCAAAAACCAGCCACCCAGCTCTCCACGGAAAATTGTCATGGCAAGGCATGTTTCTGTGACGGCGAACCAGGCCTTTTCATAGAGTTGCTCGGTCTCGATGGGACGCAGTCGTCCGTATAAAAGTCGCTGAAGGCCATAGAGAAGCCATCCGGTGGCAACCAAAAATAAGTTCGTCAATATCTTTTTGTTAATGGTAGAACAAGTTAGCCCGTAAGTAGCTAGTAAATGATGCTTGTCCACAGTTTACTTACCATCAGGTTGGCGCTACTCTGGGAAAGATACACGGCAGCTGCATAGAAGTTGGACCGCTGATGCAGCGCCTTCAAAATGACACCGGCGGCCAGGGTCGTCGAGACCTGCACGACAATTTCCGTAAGCGCTCGCCCATAAACACATGTGGTAACTGGCCATTATGTACTCACCCCAGCGTATGCCGCTAATCGCATGCTGAATGCCGATGTGATGACCTCAACAATCTCAGACAATCATTTGCAGACAAACTATAGAAAAACAAGAGAAAGGCAGCCGCAAGGCTATGAAGGCATCATTTATGGCAAGTAGTTGGCACAAGGGCGATGGTTGTGCTGATGGAAGTAGCGTCGCGCAGTCGAACAAGCCAGCTATCCCGAAGCTCAATTCCCGACGCTCTCCGCAAACAACCTTACCCCGCTTATGTCAGCGATACTTAGATCTCCTCCCCAACCATCTTCCTCAGTCCCATCAATCTGTACAGACAATCACAAGAGCCGGAAATCATGCAGATTCTGCCAATCATCTTCCTCTCTATGCCATAATTCGCTTCATACTTCCTGCACCCACAAGGTTCTTGGGAGAATGTGAGTCGCGTGTAAAGGACCACGCACGTGATCGCCGATTACGCGACGAATGTCGAAAAGCCCCCAATATAATCCCTTCAATCCAGTCGCGACAGCAATATCTCAGAAAATATCCCCCCAACTGTGATGTAAGGTACAGTGCGGCGATGGGAACTACGCTGTTCAGCTTGTGAACATCATGATGAACAGTTCCTGACTGCGTATTTCAATCTTCACCATTACTTTGTTTGGATTCTACACAACGAGAATATGACGACACAGCACCCACCGCTATTTACTGCATCTCGCCTGCAGACGGCAACCTACCTCCTCGGCGTATGTCCTTTCTCTATTGCTTTTTTGGTTTTCCTCAATTCCTCCGTCTCTTTTGTTGTGACGGATTTGATTGGGCTTGAGAGAGGCGAAGGTGACGCTGTCGGATCGCTCGGGTTTGCCGATGAGCTATTGGCACTGATTGCTTGTCCTGCTTGGGGACTGCTCTCGGACAAAATAGGTGTTCGCTATGTAAGTGAAGGATCTCAAGTTCGAAATCGTGCTCGACTAATACCAGTGTTCTTCTTACCCAGGTCTGCACAATCGGTTATACGATCATTGCTCTGGCACTGGTCATCTTCGTACAAGCCTCTAATGTTTACCCGCAACTCCTCCTTGGACGGCTTCTTTTCAGCCTCGGAGGCTCAGCTGTTTCGACCATGGTTACGGCAATACTACCTACAGTAACGGAAGGCAATACTCATCAGGGAGGCTCGTCTCATTCACGGCGATCATGGCACACCTGGAGACCATCTCTTTCATCCGAAGTAACGATCACGCCGTCTCTCTTCGAACGGCAACGTTCCCAGGAGCAGGAGACGGAACAAATTACCTCTCCGACTTCATCCTCCTCTCGACTAGCTGGATTCGTGGGGCTTTTCGCAGGCTGTGGCGCATTGATTGCGCTTACTGTGTTCTTACCTCTTCCAGCGTATTTCGAGAACTCCGGTTCATCGCCAGCCCAATCCATTCGACAAAGCTTCTATGTTGTGGCAGCAGTGGCATTCCTTGTTGCAATTGCTTGTTTCTTTGGGCTCCGGAATCTGGCCGGAGAGGGAGAGAAGTGCATTCAGTCGCTGTGGCAGGAAGTGCGAGCAGATGATGAATACTTCAATCCCCGGCCAAGAACAACTGTTAACTATGGCAAAGACCTTCTAAGTGCTTTCTATCTTGGGTTCCAACATCCTGAAATCTGCCTAGGCTACATCGGTGGGCTCGTTGCTCGGGCGTCTTCAGTTGCCATTTCTCTTTTCATCCCGTTGTTTGTCAACCACTACTATCGAAAATCAGGCTTGTGCCATACGACACATGTGGAAGACGCGCCTTCAGGTGGCCTTGGTGACATTAAAAAGTCCTGCCCGGAAGCATATATATTGGCCTCGATCTTGACGGGTGTGTCACAGTTGATAGCTTTGCTTACAGCCCCAGTATTTGGTTACCTTTCGGAAAGATCGCGTCGGTACAACCTACCGCTTATCTGCGCTGCGCTTTCTGGCGTAATAGGATATGTGGCTTTCCCTCTGCTAACAAGCCCACAGTTCAAAGGGCCAGATGGAAGTGGTAGCGTCCTTGTCATTGTGACTTTTATCGGAATCAGCCAAATTGGAGCTATTGTCTGCAGCTTGGGAATTCTTAGCAATGGTGTCTTGAGCATCAGGCCTCACGGCAGTCGTCAAGAAAACAGGTCACCGGGAGAGCCCGAGTCAGGGTCGGGCCGTGAGGAGGATAATGACATTAATCCGCACACTGAACATGATCCACTCATCACAAAACCGGGTGGAAGCCTCGCGTTTCCGAACTTGAAGCACCTGAAAGGCTGCATTGCAGGAATATACTCGCTTTACGGTGGAGCTGGTATACTTCTGTTGACTAAACTGGGGGGTATGCTTTTTGACCGGTCATCGACTGGGGCCCCGTTCTACATAATGGCCATTTTCAACAGTATTTTACTCCTATCATGTTTGGCGTGTATTCCATGGCGCTCGCGGAGAAGCTTCGTCTGAGTTTAGGTGATTTATCGGAGATATGCAGAGCTTCTTCTCATAAGTTCCCATTTCGTATAAGTAGTACGTGGCTCTGTTAAATGAGCTAGAATGCGCAGCTGTATAGGCACTTTAGTCATTGAATACTACCGGACCTTCATTGAAAGTACACTGCGTCCTACATGAAATAATGATGATTAGATCGCTGCCTGGGGCTTAAGAAAAAGACAGCCAAACCTGACACGTTATATCACGTGACTGAACCAGGCAATTAGGTAACGCCGCCTCTTTTTGCAGAGTTTGCCTGACCTTCAAACACCCCAAGCTCTCCTGCCAAACGAAGCAAACATCGCATCATATTTGCAGATCCATCAGCTATCAACAAATCCGACCTCCTATTTTTTTTCTTCTTCTTTTCTACACCACATCGGGCTCGCTGAGCTCGGCCGGTGAGATTTCGTACGGACAGACTCGAAATTGATTCGGTTGCGGTCGCGACGCTTCTTACATACATTGCGCGTATGAAGCAGAGCTTCGAAGATAGATCGAATAAGGGCAAAGTTTGATAATATAGTCCTGTTTTTAGTTTCCTTCGAATCGAACAGAATTTTTGTTACTTAGATCGCGCGCTCTATTCTTTGTTGTTTACTGTTCCATTCAGCTGGGGATGGCTTCAAACACGAACTCTCAGCAGCAACAACAACAACAACAACAGCAACAGCAGCAACACGCCGACTTCCACGCTGCTTCCAACCCTCACATGGACCATACAAACTACACAACAAGCGAAAATCAACTAGCAGGTCTGGTTCAAGCAGCAACTGCAGCAGCAGGTCAGGACGTGTCTGAGTGGGCGGCTGCTGCTGCTGCCGCCGCCGCTGCCGCAGGCCACCACCACCTCGAAAATTATCCAACCGACCTACATTTACCAGATGATGGATTCGGGGAGGCGGAATTTGGAAGCCTTAATTCTCCTCCCCCGCCTCAAGGCACTGGACGACAAGTTCGTGGATCGCTTGTCAACAACGGACAAGGTGGCGGTCAGGAGGGGTTGTCGCGCGCTGCTTCGAAGAAAAGGAAGCGTGGAGATGAGGCCCTCGATCCGGCGTTGACGGGGGTAGGCGGTCAAAATGAACACCAACAACAAACGTTTGATACAAGCGAATTGAACATAAGAGAGTTAGCACCAAACCAGTCGGTGACTGATGCGCGAGCCGCTGGAGTGCATTCTGCAGCTGCTCTGTTCCGACAGCCGTCCAACAATAAGAAATATACTCGACCGCCGATGTCCCGTTTATATGCCTCACTTGAACTCTCACCCGAGAATTTTCTACATCTGCAGGCAGCCGCGAAGAACTATATGTTGGACGAAAATTATCCGGACCGGCGCGATTGCGTTGGTCAGCGTGGGAAAGGTGATACCGAGATGGTTAAGTTGCGGCTATGGAACTGCGTGCGTGACTTCCTCGAGATTGAGGGATATGGCGAGCGCTTTTTCGGCGAGCACGTTGTCAACGAAGGCATGCCGCCGCGTCAATATGTTTGGCCTCGAGATCAGCACAAAATTATTTCGCTTGTGATCCCATTACTTCGACGTATGGTGACTAATGAACGGCAGAGACAGTATGCAATTGAGACGCGCAAGGGTGGCTCGGGTGGCACTGCTGCTGGCGGTAGTGCTGAAGACCGTAAGCGACGAAAGACGGATGAAAGCCCTGCGAATATAAGTGCAACAGAGAAAACATCTCCAGACTCGCAGCAACCGCAACCGCAACAACAACAACAACCGTCTCACGCACCTGTGCAGCATCATAGTCAAGATATTCACAGTCATTATGTACCGCCTCCTCCTTTACCGCAACAGGTCTTCTCAACTTCCGGGGCAGAAATGGGGATCGGATTATCGCCGCTAGTGTTGGATGGTTACTCGACCGATTGGGATGAAATTTCAAGGTCCTATAACATGTATAATCAGGGATACCAGCTGGATACTCTCTGGGGGGTATCTGGATTGCAACAACCAGATTGGTGGGGGTTGGTCGCCGCAGTTGACAGCCATTACCAGGTGCTCCATGGTGGAAACCCGACGAAGTGTGTACCAGCGTGTGGAGCCAACCATCTCCAACATATCTTAACATCGGATGAAATTTCTCAGCTGGGCTGGCGAATCGGTACATCAAACTCCACGGCCCGAACAGACTTGTAAGCAATCTTCTTCTCTTCCCTCCACTGTATGTATCAAAACTAAACAAATTATTCGACGTACAGTGCAAGCAGTGTCACTCGTGACCTCGACCGCATCATCAAGGAGAGCCTCATCAACAAAATCCAAGGCACTGGTCAAGATATTCATGAGGAAGCAAACCGCCTTGCAAGTGAGCACAACCTATCTCAAGTACCTTATCTGTCGGACATGCACCAATCTCCGTACGGTTCAGGGCCGATGCAAATTCATCATCATCCTCATCACCAACATCACCATCCACACTCCCACGAGACATCGCCCATTACTCTACGGTTCAGCGTCATGTACGAAGGCAAGCGTATCTTCCCCAGGCTTGATGTAACTGCAGAGCAGTGTCCGGACCTCGGCAGCCTTTGCAACCTGATCGCTCATCGCTGGTCCGGCCAGTTCCCGGTGTCGACCTGTGACAGCAACGGAAACGTCGATACGACGGGTTGGAGGATCCAGGCCTGGCTCCCTGATGGACTGGTCACGCAGGACAATGACGGCGACTGGACGATTGCGCAGTTGACGGCGGGAACGGTTGACTGGATGGAGAATGATTTGCGAGTTCTTATTGACATCGGCGCGGACCCGAAGCGGAATACTAGTCAGTAGTATATGCGTCCTTTTTTATTTTGATTAGTCTAGATACCCATGCATGTTTAAATAAAGTTGATTTGTCTATTCTCTTATATTCGATTCATGCAAAGACATGTCTACTGCAGAGTGACATGTTTTAACTAAATTATCACCATGCACCTTGTGAGATGTATAGATGAAAGACACGCTCGGCATGATATGGTTGAAGAATATCCTCCAGATAATCATACCAATCATTCTGCCATCTCCAAACGTGTAACGCCCTCGCAAACTCCCAATCGAGAATACTTGTAATAACACCATCTTTCACCATGATATTTCGAGCGCAGAAGTCACCGTGCGTAAATACAACGCGGTGCTGGTTGTTTTGGGATAGCATTCCTGTGAGATACTTTCTGATATGGCGTTTTGGTAAACCCGCCTCGTAGGCGTTGATGAGTGCATAATTGAATTCTGCTTCGGATGTGAAGGGACCTGACCGGATACGTTAGCTCGGCGCCGCGTAGGAAACGAATAAAAATACAAATAACAATGTAAAGTACAGAGACTCGATATTAGATGCCTGACCCTTTATCATGATAGTTCTCCAATGTGATATTCGTCACAGGGCCGTGGTTCGCAGAGCCGATATATTCCGCATCCTCACGAATACTGCGAATATCTTCCATATACGATTTCAAATGGGATGTATCTGCCTTGGTAGCTTCACTGTACGAGGCCCATACAGAATCAAGTGTTTGGCCATCAACAAAGTCCATAAATATATATGTGTCAAAGAGACTGCCGTAATCATCAAGGTCCCTATCAATAGGACCGTGAGTGTAGCAGGCTAATACATTGGGTAGTGGAACTGTAGTGTTCTGTGCGACAGATCATATTCGTAGCCTCCTGGACTGCAACGTGGGCACCGAATTTGACGGCTACGTGCGGGGAGACTTTCACGATCAATGAGCCTACTCGACATATGATGTTCTCCTCGGCTTTGAGCTTGTCGTTGACAAAGTCTGGGTCTGGGGCGGAGAAGGTGGGCGTTGAGTAGACGGGGTGTATTCGAGGGATGGCCATTTTGAGTCTATACTGTATCTCTAAGTACCAGAATCGAAATATACGTACAATTGACTCTCCCGGACCCCGCATACGTTGATGGCTGCAGACCTTAACGACAGAGAGAGTTCATTCAGCACTGAGCTGCCTGCCTAAGTTAGACGTGATTTCCGAAGAGGGAAAAACAAGAATGTAGTCGTAGACTCAATTGCCGCGATGTGCAAGTTTGGGCCAATCACAGACAACGTCCAATTGCCGATAAGTCTTGGCGTGCCAAGCCGGAGGCCAGTCGAAAGAGGGGAATTTGATTGGTTGCTGAATCGCAAGCGATGATTGGTCCAGCTCTTTGCTGGCCAAAGAGACGCTTATGTCAGCCCCGGCACGCAGGTAAATCCGCGCCGGGCGTGCTCGACTCGTACAGCATGCGTCGTGCACTGTACTACCTGATATCTAGATAGAACATATCACATATACACTCTATATCCGTGTACTCCGTACTGTATATTGCTTACTCCATATGTCCACCCAAATCCGGGGAAAAGGGGCCCATTGTTGCGCGCAGATCATGCTTGGGAGAGCGCGCCGGAAAGCAGTTTCCGTTAGAGGCACAGCAAGGGAGGCGTGCGTGTTTTGCGATTGGCTCGAGCGACAGTATGCTTAATTCTACCCCGTGGGGTTTGTAGATGGCTCTTGCACGCGATATACAAGCCTTGGATGTTGTTGTTTGGAGGGCAGTTGATGCTTAGAAGTGCTGCTGCTGGCTTGAAGCAGCATGGGAGAAGTCAGGACACCTCGCAGGGAAGTTACGCTAGTCTGTTTACGGGCTGCGCTTCGGTTAGGCGAGACTCGGGAAGGCCAAAAAAAGTATGCCTTCCCAACAGCAGCAACCCCGCACGCAGCGAGTGCACATTCAGAGAACGAAGACATTGTTTGACAATGGGCTTGTAGGTACATGCACGGAGAGGCACTCGTATCTGCCATTGCATATTTATCACTGACCATTTCGTGTGTAGGGAAGAACAAAACAGAAAACAACAAGGGAAAAAAAGGCGGATGTCCCGGGCTCCACAGAAATAGTTCGCTTGGACTGTCTCCTTCTCTCTCTCTCTCTCCGCTTTTCGAGAACCCTCCACGAGTCCGCTTCCTCTCTGCATTTATAGCTGTCCTCTCCCCTTGAGTCTTGTCCTGGACGTATATTCCTCAATTACCTGTCTTTCAGACTTGAAGGGAGGAAACGGCTACTTTTCTTTTAAAGTAAGATAGGGACAGTCTGCAGACGCCATCATGTCTGTCCCCTACTTGGAAACAGACAATGGGCTCTTCAAGCCCTCCACCATGGAGAAGCAGGCTACAAACATTGACAGAGACCTACTAGAGAAGCCCACGTCCATGGATCGACTGCTCGAGAACGCTCGCGCAGCCACCGATAAGGAACACAAAATGACCCTGATGCAGGGCATCAGATTGTATCCGAAGGCTGTCGCCTGGAGTGTGCTCATCTCGACGTGTATTGTTATGGAGGGCTACGATATCAGTCTCGTGGGTAACTTGTACGGCTTTGACGCCTTCAATAGGAAGTATGGCGTGGAAGGTCCCAATGGACAATATCAAGTGCCTGCCAGCGTAAGTTTCTAGGATCCCCTCTCGAGCATCTTCCTTCTTGTATACCAATGCTCACCCGCTACAGTGGCAATCAGGTCTGAGCAACGGCGCGGCCGTAGGCGAAATCTTCGGCCTCTTCATCAACGGATACGTGTCGGAAAGATTCGGATATAGATACACTGTCATGGCGTGTCTTACAATGGTGGCCGCTTTCACGACCATCTTCTTCACGGCCCAGAATGTGCAGACGCTATTAGTCGGCGAGATCCTCTGCGGTATCCCCTGGGGCGTCTTCCAGACACTCACCATCACCTATGCCTCTGAGGTGTGTCCCGTTCCCTTGCGTAGTTATCTGACGTGCTACGTCAATACGTGCTGGGGAATCGGCCAAGTCATTGGTGTCGGTGTCATCAAGGCAATGTTGAACCGTAGTGGCGAGTGGGCATATCGCATTCCTTACTCTCTGCAGTGGATGTGGCCCTTGCCTCTGTTCATCGGTGTCTACTTTGCCCCCGAATCGCCTTGGTGGCTCGTGCGAAAGGGACGCGTCGAGGACGCGAAAAAGTCACTCCTTCGCCTGACGAGCGTAAACAGGGAGACCGACTTTGATGCCAACGAGACCATTGCCATGATGGTACACACTACCGCGCTCGAACAGAAAATCACCAAGGGTGCAAGCTACTTGGACTGCTTCAAGGGCACGGATCTGCGCCGCACCGAAATTGTCTGCATGGTCTGGGCCATTCAGAACTTGAGTGGGAACCAATTCTCGAGCTACTCAACCTATTTCTTGGAGCAGGCTGGTCTGAACTCGTCGGATTCATATTCCTTTGCTCTGGGCCAATACGCGATCAATATTGTCGGCGTGTTTGGTGCATGGGGGTTAATGTCCTTGGGCATTGGCCGTCGTACTCTTTACCTCTGCGGTCTGTGTGGTCTCGACGTCATGCTCTTCATCATGGGGTTTTTGGGTCTTGTCCCCGAGGCGCATCGCACCCAAGGCGCGCTCGCTACGGGCTGCATGATGATCATATGGGCTCTCTTCTACCAGATCTCTGTCGGAACGGTATGCTATTCCCTCGTGTCCGAGCTGTCCACTCGCCGTCTGCAGATCAAGACTGTCGTACTTGGCCGGAATCTGTACAATATCGTCGGCATCATCACGGGCGTTTTGACGCCTTACATGCTCAACCCGACTGCATGGAACTGGAGTAATTATGCCGGGTTTTTCTGGGCGGGTCTTTGCTTCTTCTGCATTATATATACTTATTTCCGTGTACCGGAGCCCCGTGGTCGTACTTTTGCCGAGTTGGACGCGCTGTTTGAGAAGGGCGTGAGTGCAAGGAAGTTTGCTACTGCGGAAGTTAATGTCTTTGAAGAGGATGTTGACAAGGGCGTTGTTGATACGTATAAGGATGTCTACGAGCGCGAAGCTCCCACGGTGTGATCTATCTTGTTGCGCCGATTTTCTAATGTTGTTGGACTTGGATGTGGACCTTGAGTGTGGACATGTGAAGCACTCGGTGATATAATGATTATGACGATTTATGCGGCAAGCGAACTGGAGTTTTGTATATAGCGCCTAATAATACATAGTTACGATAATCGAATCAAGACAGGCTTAACAATAATATACGGTACTCCTCCGTATGTTCCTTGAAAAAGCAGAATTGCTTCAATTTGTTTGTTGTGCTGCCCCACCGGGCCACGCGGCTGCCACGCAATGCTTAGATTGATAAGATTAGCTCTCCAACCTCGCCCTGACTCTCCGTGCCTTTTGATTTTGCTCGACTGTCCAGCTGCATGAAGACAGTCAGTTCCAAAAAAAAAGAAGGGTCAGTACCATGAAACCTGTCGCAGGAGTATTTGCGACTCTCTCACTTCTCGCCTCTGCGACTCCGATTGAGAGCAGCAGTGCCAGCAACAGCAACAGCATCACCTCGCACGTCCGCAATGCAAACTACATCTTTAATTCCCTGCACTCGTCCATGCGACAATGGGGCTCTGCATGGCACCACAACGGCATGTCCTTCTACCTCGCAAGCGTGCCTTCAGGCACACAGTTCTATCACGGCACCCAGTCTGCGGACCGAGTGAATGGCACCGAGTGGCTGGCCTTTGAGCCCGAGCATGCCCTGAATTTCGCTCGTCCAAGGCATGGCAGGGGCCCTGGGAAGGGTCCTGGTGGTGGTCCTCCTCCGGGTGGTCCTCCCCCTCCTCCTCCCTTCGCAATGAGGAAAGAGAAAATGAACAAGGGCAAGCAAGAGGTGCTGTTGCCTGGCGATAAAGCGGATAATGAAGGACAAAGAGAAGAAGAAGAGGAAGAATGGGGCTATCTCCATACCTACGTTGCCAACAAAGACCTACGCTTGCTGTACATCGACGGCCTCTCAGCCGGAAAGACAGATATGGGAACAACCGATTCCGGAGATCGCATCTTTCTGCAAGATCGCAATCTTACCCTTTCCGACAACGATCAGCGAACGCACCAAGCTGGGCCCGGCGGTGAATATGCACGGGCTCGCATTGGCTGCGAGATCGCGCGAAATGACTGGAACGACCGCATTGATGGTGTGCTGCGCGCCGAGGCCGGGTTTGAAATCATCCTATGTGATTTTGCGCGCGATCTAGACGTTGTGCGTATCAATGCTGTGAAGAAGGATGATGATGAGACTTTTCCTGCCGGGTTTGGGAATAGCGGGTATTTCTACCGCTCTATAGCAGCGCGGTTTGATGGCATTGGTGGTGAACGTGTCAAGATCAACTATGACAATTTCATCACGGCGTTCACCTACGAAGAACTGGATTTGTTCAATGGCGGGAAGAACCAAATGCCTCGATTAAACCACTTTTCCACCGAAGAGCTACAGCCTATTCGGGATGACCTCACCCGGTTCGTGATGGAGCATGAGACTACGGAGGAATCGTCGTTCAACTGGCAGAGTATCGTTGATATGATAGTCACGAAATACTCGAATCTGCTCATGTTCTTTGCTTCGGATGAGATGGAGTCCCTGCAGAGTCTGCAGGCGAACATCACGACTATTTTCCTCGCCTTTATCGACGGTCGTCGGCGCGATGCACTCGCTGAAACGGAGCGGTGCGCAACGCAATTCATCGCTAACCCGAACAACAACCGTCTTTCGCCTCGCCAGAACGTGCACAAAGGCAAGTCTCTTGCTGGCCAGGTTGTCTATGATGTGTCGTACAGTATCTGCTCCACCTTGCGTAGCGTGCTAGACGATACTGATTTCATGGTGGCCACGTCTCGTATTACAAATCTCATTGAATATCTGGCGTGGACTACGTGGAAAGAATGCAAGACTAAATGTGCCTATAACCAGGCTTGCTTTATCCCCATCTGGCCCTTCGGCACGGTGCAGGATCGCTTGGATCCGCAGTGCAAGGAGGGCGAGGATGATTCCAGAGGTGGTGAGAGATACTGGCGAGGTGGATTTGGGGGTGGGAAACCTCGTGAGGATGGTTGGCATGAGGAGTTGTAGATGATATTCTTCTTTATCATTTCATTTTAATGTTATGTTGGTATATGCATATAGTTGAACTTTATTGATTGTTTCCCTGTTTTTCTTTTTGCATTTTGAGCCTTGAGATCCCATTGTCATTTAGATTTCAGATATATAGTTGATAATATATTATTTCTCACTAAACAAAGCTGTTGTTTTGTGATTGATATAGCGAATAAGCAGGCTGGCCCACGTGAGCGTGCTAGGGCCTAAACACCGCTAAGATGGGCCTCACTTAGTCTTTCTTCTCGACAACGTCTTGCTAGAGACAACTGCACGAGTCATCAACAGCTGCTGCTGACAGAGTCCAATGCTGTGTTCTATCTCGAAATACGAATCGAAAGAGGGAAATATAATCCGAACAACGACGCTATCTGATGATGGCAGTCCTAGAATGGCTTGCCGTGCCGCATAATCCCTGGCTGCTGGTCCAATCGCTGGTCATCGCCTCTGCATGCTGGGTAACTACTTTCATGTGCCTTTCAAATGCCATGTTGGAGGAGGCTCTCGCTGATAGATAACTGCAGTATCTCGTTGCCTTGATAGGCGGTGCTTTGTACAATATGTTTGTGCACCCTCTTAGGAAATATCCTGGTATGAACCCAGCGCAGAGTCAAGTACTCATGATAATAGAATACATACTCATTATTCTATTTTGATGCTTTCATTAAGGTCCCACAACAAGAGCAGCCTTCCAACTGCCAAATGCCCTCTCCATACTGAGAGGTACCGCATACAAGGACACCAGGGCTTTACACGATCAATACGGCCCTGTAGTCAGACTAGCTCCCAACACGCTGTCTTACATCTCCTCTCAAGCATGGAAAGGTCTGTACCTTCACGCAATTTGCTGTGCGTATAGATTACTAAATCCATCTATCGTATACTCTAGACATTTATGGCTTCAAGCCTGATCGCTCGGAGCTAGACAAGCATCCATCCTACTATAAGAGAGAGACGCGGAATCTTTTAGGTATGAATAGATAGGAATCTTCGCGCAGACACAAACAGACTCTAATAGGGACTCATTTAGTCGTTGACAAAGCTGACCATACTCGTATGCGCAAACTCATTGCTCCTGCCTTTTCCGACACGGCTCTCCTTGAGCAAAGTCCCCTGTTGACGCAGTATTTCGATCTTCTGGTTGAACGATTGAAACAACAAATCGACGGACCTGCAAAGGGCCGGGTGAATATAGCTGCGTGGTTTAATTTTACCACCTTCGATATTATTGGGTATGTTTCATGGTTGTAGGAATGAACTACATCTCGATGAACGAATCTTCCTAACTTGGCAACACTTCTGTATCTTAGTGATTTGACGCTTGGTGAGCCATTTGGAGCACTCGAACTGGGTGACTACACAGACTGGATGCGGTTCGTCTCTGTCCCAATCAGAAGATCAATCTGAAAAATTGACGAATAACTTCAGTACCGTCTTTACCTCCATCAAGCTTCTTGGGGTTTTCCGGTTTGCAGAAGCGTACACTGTGATCGGACTGAGTTTCTTCATTTTGCAGAAGCTCATGCCTTCAATTTCAGCCAAAAGAGCCGCTCATTTAGCATACACCAAGGAACGAATTGATGCCCGCATCGCTCGTGAGACTGACCGAAGCGATTTTCTAACTTATGCAAGTCACCTATTCGCCCGTTTACTCTTATAGTACTAACAATTACTCCTCAGGTCCTCCGACATAACAATGGCAATCATGGAATTTCCTACCAAGAACTGCTCGGCACCTGTCGAGTCTTTCTCGTGGCCGGATCTGAAACAACAGCCACATTGCTCTCAGGAGCGATATTCTACCTGCTGCAAAACCCCGAGTCAATGACTCGGTTGAGTTGTGAAGTAAGGGAAGAGTTTCCCAATAAAGATGATATAACAATGCGCTCAGTCACCGTTTCAGGCAAACTTCCATACATGGACGCTGTGATAAAAGAATCGTTCCGTTGTTACCCGCCTGTTCCGTCCACTCTTCCGCGGATAACTGGATCTGAAGGGGCGATTATAGATGGGAGATATGTTCCACCAGGGGTACGACTCTCTATCTGCTCTCTCTGCTTATTTGAAAATACTGACCGAGATCAAGATCTCTGTTGGCGTGCACCAGTGGTCTGCATATCACAGCAGCAGCAATTTTGCATCCCCAGACACATTTGACCCAGATCGATGGTTGCCAGAAGCGCCCCAAAAATACCATGGGGATGATAAGGCAGTGCTGCAGCCATTTACAATCGGTCCTCGACAATGTATAGGCAAGGGGTAAGCTTATTGTTTCTCTGTTCAAAGGTGGAACGACTAGCTAATTATGTATACAAAGATTGGCGTATTTAGAGATTCGATCTGTCCTAGCCCGTATGATGTGGCATTTTGAGATAGAACTGGACGAGGAGAGTCGAGGATGGATGGACGATGCCAGGGAGTTTGCCCTTTGGGATAAGCCGCCCTTGTGGGTTAGGTTGAAGCATCGTGATTGCTAAAGTCATATTCTTTTGAGATTGAGATTGACATAACTTGAAGGTCTATGATTGATCTAAAGACAATGTATTTATGTATTCTGGTAGTCCTAGTATTCATCACTCGTTCACCTATATGATATCTATTTAAAACTTCCACTCAAATGACAGGAAAACCTTCATCAAGGAATAAATAGATGAAAGGACAAAAAGGAGATATACATGTAAATAACATGCGATGCCTATATACCAAGGTACTGACTAAGTATGCTCCCCAATACGACCCAACCTTCTCCAAAACCGCAACCCAGTACGTCTCTTATCATTAACTTCCGGCTCCTGCTGATCATCATATTTTTCTTCATCAGCCTCCACAGGCGGAATCCACGGATTTATCCATTTGTGTTGGGGAATTTCGCCTAGTTTGGTACTCCCGGAACTTTGGGAGAGGATTGATAGGCGGTTGTTGGTCGTCATAAGTGGCTGTTGTGCTGTGGGATGTTGATGATGGTCCTGTTCTTGTAGGGAAGGTGGTGAAATGGAATTGGAAGATGAGGAGGGAGCAATAGCTGGACGCTGTGGTTTGTTGGATGGTCTTTTTATTGTTGTATCGCCAGAAGAGTTGGCGTGTTTGTATGTTGGCCTTGTATCAAGTGCGATTGTGGATGATTTTTTGGATCGGACCCATACGGGGTGGTTTGGCTGCTTTTTACCATTTATCGTCTTGACTGTCGTAATTGATTGTCTCGATGTTGTAGACTTCGGTGTGTTCACTATCTTTCTTCCTGATGCTATTATCTTTTTGACATTCTTCTCCTGTTCCATCTGCCTCGTTTTAGCAGTACTTTGTATTCCTTTTTGTGACTGTTTGTCCTCTTCTGACCGTCTATAATTCCGTCGCTGTCGTCGCTGTTGTTGCATCGGCACAGACAACGAGCTTGCACTCTCTAGTCGCATTCTCAATCCTTCCAACTCCATCAACGCGTCTCTCGCCGACTTCTCGGACAGACTCAACAAAGACTTTCTGGCTTCGTGTCTGACCGTAATGTTATTATTGTTTGTTTCTTGATGGAGTAGACTGGAGATGATCTTCGTCAATCCCGTGTTGAGTACTAGGAGGGTGTGATTCAGGGATGCCTTGGCTCGGTCTGGGGCCGTATTGGTAAGCACACATGTTTATAAGAAATATCTTAAAAAGGAGGACATCTGGATAAATACATACCATCACCATGTCTATACCTCTCCCCATACCGTCCGGAGTTCCTTTCGTACGTCTTGGCTATCTGTTGTCGTGCATGCTGGAGCTGAATTTGCTCGCTTCGAGCCTGTGTCTCTCCCTCACAAGCCGAATATTGAGCTTGGGGATGTTTCCTGCCCAGTTTTGACTTCGTCGATGATTGCTGTCGTGCATTGATTTTTATTCGATGGAAAAGCTGTCGACTTGAATCGAATGCAGAGAGAAGGGATGGTATTATTGCAGAAAGGGCGGTGTTTTTTGATTCTGCAGGTGCCATTTTCGATGTAGGGCTATGTTTCTAACTGCCGGTTTCTGATCCGGAGAGAGAGCCATTGACAGAATATTTAACTGATTTATTTACTTATCTGATAGTCTGAGCCGGTGAATATTCTCCGAACGTCTGTATGGCTATGCATGCATGCTGAGTTGCCCCGCTTGGTCTGGACCTGAAAAGCTAGACATGGCTTGCATCCTATGCTTCGTTAGGACTGTTCGTGAAGACAATCATCGAATAGATTTCACTTATCAGACGCCCCTGTCGTTTTAGGTGCATGAGCGGTGGCCAATGATGGGTGGCATCTGGCTTCCGCATGTGAACAGAATTAGGGCTAGGGCTAGGGCTATGCAGAGTCAAGACGATAAAACATTGTGTACATTTCAACAGCTTCCAATAATCACTCAAATACACTTATTTCTCCGCCCTGCTTAGCGACCTCCTTCGAAACCAATTGGCTGTTGACTGCCATCTTGACTGCCAATTTGGCAATCGACATCTGACTCAAAAGTTCAAACACACTGATCTCAGTCTTGATTTCTCTAAAAACCCAATTCCGCACCTCAACCGCCTTCAAACTGTCCACTCCGTATGCATGCAGCGGCTTTTCTGGATCCACGTCCTCGGAATCAGCAGTCATGGCGCTAGCGATATTATGTCGGATTGCCAGCTCGACTGCCGCCGAGGCTTCTGCGATGGTAGTCGCGGCGGCAAGTTTGGCGGCGGTGTTGAGCTGGGTGTTGGTTGACCCATTACTGCGATTGGAGTCAGATATCTTTTCGCATGTAGGCTTTTGCCTGAGTTCGAATTTGCGGTCGGACACCCAGACAGCTGTTGGTCGTGTTACGCCATCACGGCCTCGTTCCAGGTCATCGCCCATACCGGTGATGATATTTGTTGGAATGGCAAGGCCGTCAGATGTATGACCCTTCATGCAGGCTTCGAGCACGCAGTGTAAATCTTTCTCTTTTAGTTCAAGAGGCAGAAACTGAGGGTTTCTCTCCAAAAAACCGAACCACTCCTCATTAGTCCCATATTCTTCAGTGTCGGACATGAGGCCCACGTTGATGGATGTGCCCTTGAGACCCAGTGAGGCACGGTAATTGCAGATGGCATCTTGGTAAGCATTACCAGCACAGTAGTTTGCTTGTCCAGCATTTCCGATGATATTCGAGATTGAAGACATGGTGATGAAAAAGTCCAGATCCTTCGGCAGGAGGCTGTGGAGATTCCAGGTTCCATCAACCTTTGGGCGAAGAGAGGTTTGCCATTTTTCAAAGCTCATGGTTTCAAATGGTGAATCCTACTATTTGTTAGTAGATTACTATAACAATTCTGCATTGGGCTCATCTTACTCTCAAGACCATCGCAAGTTGCAAGGCTCCTTTTATCCTCCAGCCCTCGGTCTTAGACCGCTCTACTAAGGCCTCAAGCTGTAAAAGGTCAGTGCAGTCACAGCGAAGTGCGTCAACTCGACATCCTCGATCTTGCCAGCCTTGTAAATATGCCCGTTGCTTCTCGGACTTGGCTCCAGATCGCGAAATAGTGACGATGTGTTTCGCTCCATGGTCAATCATCAATGAAACAATACCTGGTCCAAGTCCACCCAATCCCCCAGAAACTATATAAGTCGCCGTGGGGTCAAGTTCTAGAGAAGCGGGCTTGAAAGGGATCATTGGGGCTAGAGCATTAGCGTTGAAGTCTACCAAAACTTCGTTGGCATATTGATCAACAGACTGAAGCATGCCAAAGGCCTTCTTTGTGTCTGTCACTGAATATCGTGTTAGATTGTGAAATGTGCCGAGAAGACGTTGGTTGACTAAGTCGTAAGTCTTCTTAAGAGCGTCTGCCACGATATGGCGTTTCTTGTCCATGAGCTGCTCCATATTGATCTTTTGATAGACGATTTGACGCCCGACATCAATAAGCGTGCTGCGAGCTTTGAGGCTGACGTCGATGAAGCGTCCAAAGTCGGCAAGGCATGACCAGGTTTCTCTAAACCCCTTTCCAACCATCGTGTTCAAGACCACATCAACCCCCTCTCCATTCGTCATCCGCTTGATACCTCTAGAAAATGTCGTGTCATGGGCACTAAAGATATGGTCTTCTCGAATTCCGTAGTGTTCGCGGAGCAAACTCTTTTCGCGAATGGAATTGACAGTGACATAAATCTCGGCTTCAAGCTGTTGCGCTAATTGGATAGCAGTCTGGCCCATCACATCCGCTGCAGAATGGATCAATATCTTTTCTCCTTTTTGAACACGGCCCAGTTCGAAAGCATGCACCGCAGTAACCATGGAGAGAGGGAAATATGCACCAGCAAGGTCTGAACTGATTGAAACTGCTGCTACAAGGTCTTGTTTTTGGCGCACAATAGTGCGGCATGTGTTTGATTGCAGCGTGATAACTTGCTGGCCAGGCTTGAAGTTAACGACCTTGGATCCCACTCGCGTGACAACCCCGGTAGCTCCACGACCGATGATTGTTGTAGAAGTGTTACCGAGAACACAGTCCAAATCAACCCTGCTTAACGGAATGTTGGTGACTTGGAACTCGACGTCTTCTTCAGCGAGAGGCTGGATGGCTTCCTCGTCATCGATCCATAGCAGAGTATTCAAACGTCCAGGCACCGTGACGGTCAATTTCAGAGGGCGACCCGCTTGTTGGAGGCGAGACATGGCTGCTGTAGGCTTTTCGCTGTTGATATCAAGCTCTGAGTCAAAGCTTGAGCTTGCGATAAGACGTGGAACAGAGATCTGTCCATTCCTCTCAGAATATTCCATGTCGAGCTGTTCGCTCTTTTCTCGCACTGTCCTTGTAAAGGCATCCAGAATCAAATCTGCAAACTGTTTTGAACCCGTCTGTAACTGCAGCGAAATCTCAAGATGGGGAAGACATATCTGAGGGATTTCAGTCCGTATGACGCGGAGAAATCCCGTAGTTGGGCTGAAATTGAGACCCGCACGACTCGTCCAAAGCATGTAGACGTTGGAGTTACACAGTCTCTTGAATTGTTCCAACTGCTCCTCATCCAAGCTGATGATAAGAGGCTGCTCGACCTCTAGAAGAGAGATGATTTTCTTCTTATGAAGAGCCTCAACATTGCACAATTGACCGTATTCGACGCGAGCACCCATCTTCTTCAGTCCCTGAGTTAATCGTTCTCTTAGTGCCTTGAGCTCTGGAGACATGGCTTTAGGCTCCAGCAGCACGACTTCTTCATCTAGCTGGCAATTTTTGTCCTTTGTCACTGCTGATGCAATAACAATTGGGGTTTCTTTCGGGGCATCAGAATCAAGAGTAAGAGCGTGTTTCAGCCCAAGAGAGTCCAAAAAGCCTTCGGGTGCATCGAATATAAACCATCCATCCGGTTTAACCAGGGATTTGATGTTGTCCAGTATGGACTCGTCCTGCCTACTGGCCAAGACCAGATTGAAGGATGACGGTTCAATGTCTTGCTCGGATAGTGGCTTGGACAGATCCGCAACCCTGAATGATGTGACGATGTCATCTTTATCCAATTTGCCTTTTGTCTGGCTGAGAATATCCTCCGTACATTCAATGACTACACATTGATCAAACCGTCCTCTACTTCCGGGCAAAGGCGCGAATTGACGGACGATCTCAAGCATGCCTTCGTCGCCATTATTGCCTACAACAAAGACCGAAAGATCTGAGGACTTGTGGCACAACCGTTGCAGCCATGCTATCAACTGTGATTTTGGATCCCCACTGGCTTTCAGAATACTTTCCGCTTCTGGGCCCTGAAAGTAGTCGACATCCTCCATCCATTGAATCTGCGTGAACAACTTCCGTTGGATTTCACCAGTCTCTGATGCATCAGGACTTGTTATGTTGCGCGCTATGAAGTCTCGAATGATAATTCTTGGAGCACTCCAGCTCTCGTCAGATATGGTTAAAGCCCCAACCCCTTCTCTTGTTGTGGTTTTATGCCCGGAAACATAGCCGTGATATTTGTTTCCCGGGCCCTTCGGTAGATCTGCTGCAATGAACATGCTTCCCATGGATATTGGTACAGCTGCATCTGTCATATTCTCATCCGAGTGGATACCGATGAAAAGTAGATGGAATATAGCATCAAGAGTTGCTGGGTGTATCAAGTGGGGATACTCATATTGAAAGGGCATGGCTGCCTTCGTGTCTGGAATTGTAACGGTGCCGTAGCCACAATTTGGGCCAGCATATGCATTGTCCAGATTTTGGAAAAGGGCCCCATAACCCATGCCAATATCATTCATGTTTTTGTAGAAAGCTGCTTTATCGATAGACTTGGTACTGGTAGCACAAACTGACTTGTACTCCTCTGTCTGTTCTTGCCATTCGAGATTGGATTCGGTGCTACCACCAACCTCGCTTTCTTCGCTATAAACAATGGAGATTAGACCCGAGCAGTGTTCAACCCACTCGCCGTCAGGAGGGAGTGAAAATAGAGTGAAGCGGAACCATCCATCAACAACCTCATTGTCAAGCTTGTGAGCCTGGAACTCCAACGAAGTCTCCACTGACTGATCAGGGTCTTCAGGAATGACCATGCCGCGCTCAAATTTAACATCGCGGAACTCAACGCCATGGACCGTCTTATTCTTGTCCGAAATGTCATGTGCGGCTTCCAGAGCCATAATGAGCATACCAGCACCAGGGAATAGAACGCTGTTTGTGATATTATGGTCTTTAAGCCAAGGCTGCTCATGGAGAGAGAGAAATTGCCTCCACCTGGGATGATGAGGATTTTGAACATCCACTGCCATTCCAAGAAGGTCGTTCCTGGGGGCTTTCTTGAAACGATTGGCCTTGGCCATTTCGGGTTCGTGCCAAAATTCTTTACTATGATTCCAAGCATAGGCTGGGAGATCTGAAAGTACTTTCAACGGAGAACCGAAAGTCTTCTCCTGGAGATTGACTCGGAGAAGATTCACCGGCAACCCTTGAGACCATAGCTTTCCTATGCATTCAAGGGCAGTGGCCTCGGCACTCTGACCGCGAGATAACAAGGATGCATAGGTGATTGTCGTGTTTAGTTTACTGTCAATGCCGGCCAGAATCTGGTTGAGAGGCCCTTTAAGAGCTCCATGTGGACCTACTTCGATCATTGCACTGTAGTTTATAATTGCTCTGCGTCTTCCACGTGTACTTGGGGAATGACGAATCAATGCTTGGACAGCATGGGCAAACCGTACCGGGCTCACCATGTTCTTGACCCAGTAAGCGGCATCCAAATCACCTGGTTGAATTAAGCCGGCAGTGACGGATGAAATCATGAAAGGAGAATCTTTGGGAGGGGTTTGCATTTGAAGTTGGCCCATAGCTTTGAGATAGTCGTCCGCTATGGCTAACATGTGGTGACTGTGATAAGCTGTTGGTACCTTCAGCGCTCGTGCGAACTTATTGTCCGCTGTTATCATGGCCTCGAGTTGGATAATGGCGGATTTGTCACCGGAGAGGGTTATACTAGATGGACTGTTAATGCAAGCAACAACGGCTTTTCCAGATGTAACACGGTCCAAATAATGTTGAGCCTCTTCTTCCGAAATTCCAGCTGCCATCATTGCGCCGGCGACTCCTTCCAATGTACGGCCCACGCTTGTAGAATAAATGCCTCGAAGGTAAGCCACTTTGACCGCATCTTCATGAGATATAGCACGAGCGGCGTAGGCCGCAGCGATTTCTCCGCTGGAATGTCCAACGACAGCCTTTGGCTTGATACCCCAATAAGAAAGCAAGTCTACCAGAGCTATTTGTATTGCAGAGCAGAGAGGTTGAGAAAGATCAGCATTGTTAATTCGGCTGTCCTTTTCGGGCTTCATAAGCTCCTCCAAAGCATTCCATGGGCAGCCCAAAGAATCCAAGACGCTCTGAGTCTTGATGATGCTATCCAAGAAAACAGGATGGGCGATTAACTCCGTGCCCATCTTTGGCCATTGAGCGCCCTGTCCAGTAAAAACCATGATGACATTGTCATTCTTCGCCGCACGGCGGATCTTCGGAAGGCCCTGCTCTAATTTGCTACACAGCTCTGTGAGAGATGGGGCTACCGCAAAAGATCGATAGTCAAACAAAGTACGGCGAGTGGAAAGAGTGTATGCCAGGTCGTTAGCATAAGTAATTAAGTCAGCATCAACACCTAAAGCTGACCCTTTAGCGTCTTGAACCCTTCCGGAGAGGAATTGTGTCCACGAAGAGCCCGTTCTCACCAAGCCAGCCTGATCAAACGTGGAAAATACAAAAAGCTTGTTGGCAGATAATGAGCCAGCATCTTCGCCGTCGCTAATGACACTACTGTCGAAGCCAGAGTCGCCATCATCAGTCACCCGCTCAGCTTTTGGTAATGGAAGTGTCGTGTGGTTACCCGAGATTCCGTTTTCCAAGAAGAAGCTGGCCGCGTCGTCAAGAATGACATGTCCATTGGCTCCACCGTATCCAAAGGAGTTTACGCTGACTCTGCGGACGCCTGTAGTAGGCCAAGGAATTGTCTTTGGTGGCAAGGCAAGTTTCCATTCTTCAAGTCGTAGTTTGGGGTTGAGGTTCTCAAATCCCGCATTTGGAGCGATAAGCCCTCTTTCAATGCTAAGAACAGCCTTCATGATACCAGCAAGCGCAGAGCACCCTTCAGTATGGCCAATATTGGTCTTCACGCTGGACACATACAAGGGGGTCTGGTCTGGTTCTCTGGCCGCGCCAAAAGTAGCCCCAAGAGCTGAGAGCTCCAAGGGGTCACCAAGTGGAGTACCAGTTCCATGAGCTTCAAAATATGCCGTCTCCGTGAGCGGCAATCCAGCTTTTGCATATGTGCTCCGAATCAAACTGGCTTGTGCCTGCGCGCTCGGCATCGTGATGCCTGGAGTACGACCATCTTGGTTACAACCCGTGGCACGGATTACGGCTCTGATGGTGTCTCCATCGGCAATGGCAGAGCTCAATGATTTAACAACGAGAGCGCCAATTGCTTCGCCGCGAGCGTACCCATTTGCCCGGTCATCAAAAGAGTGACATTGGCCATCAGGACTCATCATATGCATCTTGCTGAGAGAGTGAAAGAGGTAAGGGTATAGAAGAAGGTTGGTTCCGCCAACAATGGCTTGTTTACTCTCTCCAGCCTTGATGGATTGACACGCTAGGTGAAGTGCATACATGGTACTACTGCACGCAGTATCGACACTGAGGGATGGACCTCGCAAGTCAAAAAACCAGGAAACCCGATTTGACAGCATAGTAGCCCCGTTACCCGTTGCCATATATGGACCTGTGTTGAAAATATCGGAATTTGACATGAGAGAATAATCTTGAGTAAAGCATCCAACAAAGCACCCAGTGTCAGAACCAGGTAGAGACGTCATGGGAATACCGGCATTCTCCAGGGCTTCGTAGGTAACCTCGAGTATCCAACGGTGCATGGGATCCATGGTACTCGCCTCCTTTGCTGTCACGGAGAAGAATGGGGCATCGAATCGAGAAGGGTCTTCATCTATAAAAAATCCGCTTTTGACACCCATCTATCTTCCATCAGCACTGACAAGTTCTAGGAGCATAGCAATCAAAGAGCGACCTACAGCACCCTTCCTGTCTGGGTCAGGATGATACCAGGCATCAGCATTGAATCGACTTTTCGGGATAGTACGGTGTGCTGTGCGAGCATTGCTAATCATATTCCAGAATCCAGCTGGAGATGAACCCTCTCCAGGGTACCGGCATGCCATGCCGACGATGGCAATTGGCTCATCGAGCACATTACTGTCACTAGGAGTATCGACCATTGTGTAGTTTCAAAGCGATGGTGTAGACAGACTGAGGGTTGATGGATAAAAATGAAAAGATCTGTCAGAGAAATGGGTCACATCGTTCCCTTTAATAGAGTCTGTGAGTAACTCATCACCTTGAAAAAAAAAAAAAAAAAAAAAAAAAAGGGCACAGGAGCCCAGGATTTCAGTATGCAGAACCCTTCTTCACCAGTTACGATTTTTAGTACCTTGCATGTTGCTCGGTGGTGATTGGCGCAGAGCAGAGCTTTTGCTACCTCGACTAAGAAACCGAAACATGCATTACATGTATTCACCGACGGCGTAAAGTCATAAACGGGCTATTTTTACGGATGATGGGAGATATACATCGCCACACATACCTATTTGGTGCTTTTTCACGGCACTTCCTACTAGGCCGGCCTATTTTTCCCGAAAAGAATATCGGTCCGAATGGAAAGGCATTTAGGACGGTTTGTAATACTTATGAAAAGTACTTCTGTCTTGGACGGAGTCAGATTCCAACAGACCTCAGCTTTTCGAGTAAGTGGAAACCTGTTATGTATGTAGGTATATCACAGAAGTTTCTCCCAAATTTCTCAAACTCTATAGTATACATACGGCCCCTGGCAGTTATTCTTGCGACTGCTACGCAATATGGTCCGCATTCTGTGTCTTCACGGCCATGGAACCTCAAGCCAGATATTTGAAACCCAGCTTGCTACTCTGTGCAAAAGCCTCCCGGAACATTACGAGTATGTATATGCGGATGGGGAAATTGAATGTGACAGGGCACCAGGTAAGAGTAGATATTACAACGCTTACGTTCCTGACATTGATAGTCGCAAAATAGCCATTCCGCAGACAATCCCAGGCCCATTCCTATGCTACTTCAACGGCTGCTCGTGCGGTGAGCTACAGGAAGCGCACGATCTCCTAGACGCAATAATCGACGAGGAAGGGCCCTTCGATGGCGTCTTTGCCTTTTCACAGGGCGCAGCTCTGACAATGTCTTATCTTTTGGAATTGGAACGTCAAAATCCTCGTTCAGATCCACCATTTAAATTTGCTGTTCTCTTCTCGCCAACGGTTGCTTTGTGTCCAGACCCTGGTTACTGTTCTGAAGAGATGGAAAGCCTCAACAAACTCGATTACGACTACTTAACTTCAGTTTTGAAACAAGCAGTAGAGGAGCAAGACGCAGCAGTTACTGTCAGCCATCAAAACAAACACTCGGACTATTTAACTCCGGATCTGTGGCAACATCAGAAACCTGACTTTGAATTGCGAAAGCGGATTCTTGTTTCAAGTATTGGTGGCATTATTCGAGCTGGCTTGAAGACGAGTTTCTTAAGCGCTTCGTCGTTACAGGGATATATTGCGTTACATGACAATAGAGTTATCCCACGAGTCTTTCATCCGGCTCTGATGAGCGAGCGTATCCGTATTCCGGTAGTGCAGGCGACGGGATTGAAAGACGACAAGGACTTGCAAGCTCAATTCAAGATTATGCCTTTGCTCTGTAAGGAGTCCATGACTCGCAGAGTTTTACATAATGGGGGACACGACCTGCCACGAGCCCCTGGTGATATCAGGGAAATTGTCAAAGCCATCGAATGGGTTATTGCAGAGGGTGATATGCCAACTTTTTGAAGACCACTTATTAGCTGCAACATGGTGACCGCAGGTTATTCAATGTTATTTTGTTGCCCAAGTGGCTGTGTGCTTTTGCATTTCGTATCTGATCTTCATGCATCTTTCTGTTGTCAAACAGGGTTAGGATTATTGCTGTCACCGAAAATACACAACCTAGATAAACCAGAAACACCGGTCAAAGGCCTCACGACTCACTTGCCACCCAACTGTTAAGCTCCAGTAATTTGAGTTGTCCATTGATAGTAGCTGAATTATGTTATATGTTTTGTTTTGAAGGCTCCGGAGGATTCTCGTTCGGCCCGTTTTACTCGGGACGGTGCATATTTGGCCGATGACTCTGATTAGCCATAGAAATATTTTCTTATGCTTATTCAATTAGTATATAACTACTTTACACCGGCGGTGCGGCATATTCGTTGATTGGATAACTATTATATCACGGCGCTTTCCAAGGTTGTTACTCGTCTCCACGTGCCAGGCAAAACGAACATGGCGCAGCTGGAATGAATGCATGCCGTCGTGTGCATGGTCCCGAATAGGGACCAAATTTATCAGTGCAGGTTATCATACATGTATACTAGAAAAGGACCCATTGCTTGGTCGGATTTCTAATGTTTCTTTCGAACATTCGCCAGAGACCTTGCACGCCCATGGTAAGCAAAGCCCAGGTGAACACGTGCCTACCTAATAGCTATCCGTTGAAATATTTCAAATTATAGCTGCCTATTCAGGTAGAAGATATTGGCAAGATGAAAATTCTGTGTAAGTACTTGGATTCAGTCAACCCGTTTCTCCTTTCAAAGTACTCTAATTGCAGTTCCGACACACGCTGATATCAAAATATCAGGTCTACATGGAATGGGCACAAATGCCGACATATTTCGGGCCCAGACTGCCTCCTTCAGGTCTCTTCTTCCTTCTTACTACACGTTCTATTTTCCTGAGGGCGAATACGAATGCGCAGCAGCAGACGGAATTGCAGAGGTGTATCCAGGTCCTTATTTGTGCTGGTACCCCTTTCCACCGACGTTGGACCATCTCAGTGAAGCACACGAGTTGATTTGGAATATCATTGAGGAAGATGGCCCATTCGATGGTGTTATGGGTTTCAGTCAGGGCGCTGGTAAGCCAGGCCCTTACGTGTGAGAAATTCATGCGCTTGTGTTAATAAACAGTCAGCATTGGCCGCATCGATCTTGCTTCACCATGAGAAAAATACACCGTTAGAAACGCCGCCATTCCGGTTTGCAATCTTCATCTGTGCATCATTACCATTCTCTGTCGACCAAACCTCAGGTTTCGAACTCACGCAGGTCTTCACATATTCCGGTGACCCGATGCCAGGAGATCTCAATCGCTGGCAAGATCTTGTAAATAGAGAGCAGCTTACTGACCAAAAGCCAAATAACGAGCCTTTTCAGCTTGACGCTCAAGAACTTCAAAGCTTTGTTGAACCGATCAGCAGGGCTAGCTCTAGTAACAACATTGCTGCCACCAACTCCAGCTCATCTTACAGCGACTCTGATTCCGTGTCAACGGAAGATACTACGCTATCTGATAACTGTTCCCTTGGAGATGGGGAAGAAGTGCCTCTGAGTGTGAACACTAACGGCACCAGAATCTTTCGCTTCCATCCGGAAGTCGATACTGTTAGGATCTCTATTCCCACTGCTCATGTATATGGCAAGAATGACCCGTATCTAAGTCAAAGTGTTCAGTTGGTGAACATGTCCCAATTAGATCTCGTGAGAGCAATGGTAGGTTATGCCGGTCGGATTTCTGAATAGTTAGAATTGACAATTTTTTTTTTTCAGGATCATGGTGGAGCACATGATATTCCTCGCTCAAATTCGGTTACAAAGGCTATCGCGGACACGATTGAGAAGACTATCATGAAAAGCGAGTTCATGATTTGACAGCCCTATGGCTTTTTTAGGGTTTTGCGTATCTAAAACCCTAATCGCCTAAGCCGGCGGGCAATAACGCTATGTATAGGACTCCGAAGAGACAAGACATGGAGTTAGAGACTCATGGACTATTTATTGTATTTAGAACTAATTAGAAGTGATTGTGTTTAGTGCACAGCCCTGACAAGTTATCAATTATCGTACAACCTATGACTCTAACTCGTATCGAATCATTACATATTTGATTGGCAACGGCAAGAACAGCCCTAAAAGCCCCGATTTAGTGGGCATGGTCGGTCAAGTATGTATTGGAGTAATTCCTAATGTTTATTTGTTCGAGACGATTCCTCTTTCTTCACGTTATCACATCCCTGTCAGATACTCGTGGGAAGCCTTCGGAAACATTGCCAGGAATATTCTTGGGTACAACTACAACTTGATCGCCCTGCCGAAGACTTGCAGACTGGCGCAAAATATACCTAATGTACATTTTCCTAAGTCAGCCACGTCAGCTTGCAGTGACCTAGAGGACAATATAGATCATTGGCATGCATTTCAGCAAGCCCGGTCCGTAAACAAGCGTCCAATCAAGTCGCAATGTTATTGTATGGCATGTATAAGCGAAACATGCGTTTGTAGACATTCCAGACATAACGTGTAACTTGAAGCTGCATGGCCAAACCGACACCGAGCCACCAAGTCCAATGAAGAGACATCAACCTCGATGCAGCCAGCCACGTCCCGAGATCATTACTTAAGATAGCTAGTCTACAGAATAACGTACCGCTTCTTCAGCTTCTATGGCCGAAGGAAATTCCTGGTTCTGCCAAATGTGGCATATCAATACGCAGCGCCACGGCGAGACCCACGTTTGGCAGGTATATCGACGAATCAGTCGTATTATCCGAGTTTGTTCTTGTATGCCAGATAGCGATTCATCTGCAGACGAACATCATTAGTAAAAAAGAAATAAACTAGATAAGAAGATAGAGGACAGTCTTCCTCTTCCATATGTTCTTTTGAACTCAAGACAATATCAACCGCAAACTTCTCAATGGCTTCTAACCCACTGAGGCAACCCCAACCACAGCGACAACATCTGCAAAACTTCAAGGTTCGAGCAGCCTGCGAACCTTGTCACCGGAGGAAGATAAAATGCCAGCCTCCAGTAGACGGAGGCGCCTGTCAAGCATGCGAAACAAATGGCCGCAAATGCTTGTTTGCCCCTCGTGCAAAAGCAGGTCGGCCACGGATATCGCGAAACAATGACCCCGAGCCGAGTGCCTACCAGCGAACTATTCCCGACGAGCAAGATGACTTGCATGATATGCTGAATTCAGACGGAATGACCGGTATTGCACTGCCTCCAAGTCTTGATTGGACTGATATGAGCAACATTGAGGTTACCAATTTTTTCAACGAGGACTACAGCCCGCTGTCACTCGATCATCTAGATAGTCGTTCTGAACAATTGGCAGCGAACTGTAATAACACAAAACAAGGGAAGTCCGTCATAGGGGTTTCCGGAACAGTTACAAGCAGCGATGGGTCCGTCGATTCTCAACCTCGATCTTTATCATCGGAGCGACCACCTGCTCACGATGAATTCACCACCTTACTCCATGTGTGCACAGAATTGCAAAGCATGCACCTCAATATCACGGCGTCTGGAGTGCCGCTTAGGAACCAGCTGCAGCTGATGTTGCAAAAGCTTGATACAGCTGGCGATGTGATGATAGATATGATCGGACAAATTCAAATCCCATCTCACGTCTGTGCATCACTTCCAAGGACTATAACCGCACTGTCAACTCTCATAGTAACAACTCTGCTCCGACTGCTCGAAGTCTGTGACTTGCTTAGTCAAAGCACTATACCGAAAATCCAGACGCTGAGCCAAGTCCGGCTTCTCAAACGCATAGATTTCAACATTGCCCAAGTCCGAACAGCGGTCAAGCAGTTGGAAGCCGTTCAACCACTGCTAGCAAGTGTCACGAGAGATATCCTAGTGAGGTCTTCTCTCCTTCGTCAAGAAATACAATCTGCAACAGATGAGTTGCCGATTGAGCTGGGTGGCATATTATGAGTCGACATGATCTCAAGGTTTCGGCTGGCCTTTCTCCTCTTCTCTAGATGATGATAGAGTTAGTTGCTAGATTAAAGGACGTCAAGGATATTCTCAAGCCTTAGAGTCTTTATCATTGCTGCTTACCTTAAGCAATTGTATACCAATAGTAACTTGTGTATATAAAAGACCATGAGATATGTCAAGTACTTCAACAACAGTACATCACATCGTTACGATCTTCAGAATGAAATTCTACTTTTTTCACTACCTTTCTTCTACTTTTAAGCTCCTTTCCCCCCCGCACACATCTTTTGATCTCTTTACAGATCTCCTCGTATGATCTGCGCATACATGGCCGGGATTAAGACGGGCACTAATTGTCTCAATACAACAAAGAAAACCTGTCACAACAGATACTAGGAGAACCATCCGGGGGTGTAACAGGGCAAAATGCCACTGTCACTTCCGTCGGCCGTAACTATCAGGTCCCCCGCTTCTTTAATTGCTACGTCTAATGTGGGCCTCCTAGATTTTTCTTTCGCGCGTAAGGAAATATGGTAGATACACCGGTGACGCTGCATGTCTATAATCTGGCGTAGAAATCCCTTCGGTGGTATGTTACAGGAGTGTGTTTACTTGAAGCGGCATGGATGCAGAATAACCCTAACTGATTACCTTCGGGGGAGAATTCCTCCGAAGAGATCACCCACAGGAAGCCAAACCAAAGACTGTCCTATTCTTACGTACGAGCATATAGCTTTTTTGTAACAATGTGAGTCACCGGTATGCTTTGAAAATGGCCTTGTCGAGGAAAAAGCCCGGTAGCAGGCCGTGTTTCGGCCTTTATCGCACAATGAAGATTGTTCTTCTTGGTCTACCTATCTCCCATACCAAGAAAGAATCGGGGTGACTGCATAATACCTATTGTGCAGATTGATCCCAAAATCTTGCTATAGCCGCGGGACAAGTTAAAAGAACCAATCAACTTCCTCCATGTCTCAAGAGAGTGCTGAAGGCACGCCTGCAGATGTCTCCAGGGGATCCAATGCCAAAGACACATCGCATGATGGGCCAATGTTCGATCAGATTCCTGGCCTGCAGTCCTGGCGTCGAACCCTTATCTTCATCGGCCTCTGCTTCGGTCTCTTTCTCGCTCTGATGGATACCTCGATCATGGCTACGGCTGTTTACACCATCTCGCTCGAATTCAACTCGCTTGCCAGCACATTCTGGGCCGTTATCGCCTATCAGCTTGCTTACTTGGGCTTTGCGACCATTTTTGCGCGGCTTAGCGATTTCATCGGACGTCGAGGGGCTGTGATACTTGCATTCGTCCTTTTCGTTGGTTTCTCGCTGGGCGGAGGGTGGTCTCAGAATATCAACCAGCTGATCGTGTTTCGCACATTTCAGGGAATTGGTGGCGCAGGATTATATGCACTGGCACTTATCATTCTCATTGAGGTCAGTACCGCCAGGCTTATTACCTTGACTTCGACGTTCATTGGCGGGACAATTGCTATCGCGGGTGTGTTGGGCCCTATTGTGGGAGGTCTCTGTACGCAATATGCCTCATGGCGCTGGATCTTTTGGCTTAATGGACCTTGTGGTGTTGTAGCTGCTACTCTGTTCATCGCGGGATGGCCGAATAAAACGACATGCAACGATGCATCCAGGCCTTGGGCGGACTTCGACATTATCGGGGCCTTCCTCTTGCTGGCTGCCTCGGTACTCGTGGTCTTTGGCATTAAAGAAGGCGGATCCGGATCTTATATCCTGGTCGAGTGTTGTTGTGGTTGCCACTATTGTTGTCGGCGTCATTTGCTGGATCTTTCTGTTTGCGTGGGAATACTACATCTACCAACAGCAGCTTGAAGGGAAGTGGACAAACGTCGCATCTATGTTCCCATTTGAACTCGTTATGCACCAACCTATGTTCGCAGGTATTATCTCTACTATGCTTACTGGATTTACGTTCTTTCTCGTCATCATCTCGCTGCCTCTCCGCTTTCAGATTGTCAACCTCAAATCCCCTTCTGCTGCAGGAGTCCACTTACTTCCTCTTCTCTGCTCTTGTGGATTTGGCTCTTTCTTGGGAGGCGCCATCTCCAGCAAAAAGAACCTGACCTTCTACACGTTTATAAGCGCGAGCTGTCTGATAATGATTGGTGCTGGTCTACTTTCTACTCTCGGATCGGGCATCTCAATCGAGGGCAAATGCTATGGATTCCAAGTCATTCTTGGGCTAGGCGTTGGATTGACATTTTCTAGCATATCCCTTATGACGTCCGTTGAGACTCAACTCAATACACATTCCGTAACTCAAGGAATTGTTGCCCAGGTTCGTGTCTTTGGCGGATCAATTGGTGTAGCAGCCAGTAATGCTATGTTTGCAGCTACCTCTACCACAGACCTAAAGGGGATTTTGACCCCAGCACAAATCTCGGATTTGCAGACAGATACTGGGGTATTATCCATTCTAAACGAGGCTGAAAGAGAGGCGGTCCGGGTTACGTATAATAAAGCGTTCGATAGTAGCATGAGGATATGCCTTTATTTTGCAGCGGCCAGTTTGGTAGTCAATATTTTCATTTGGCAGAAGAACCCACCGGGACTTCGCCAGAAGAGCCAACTGGTGGACGAGGAAAAGTGATGGAATTAAGACAGAGGAATGATTGCATATAGATATTTTCTTTGTTATATGTATGATATGGAAGAGCTAGACATTGACGTGGATGCCACCTCTTAAAATCATCCATACTATATTTCCTTTGCTAGCTACCTATTCAAGATCTGAGGCAAAATTATCACTATTCGCCTAGACTAATATCTCGGTGCATAAGATAAAAACGCCGAAAGGTGCCGAAAAAAAAAAGGCCCGTCTAATCTCCATCAAATTGCTTCTCCGTAGCTGAGCCCAACCAGGCGATATCTGAATTCTAGACGTGTCTGTCTGTCTGTCTGTCAGCATTAAAATGTCCTCCGAAGAAGCCGAGACGTATATTCTTTAATTCTCGCGCATTTGCTTTCACTGAGATGTAAATGCTACTAAAATCTCAACGGACTCTGCCCAGAGATCAATAAACACACAAAATAAAAAAAAAAATAGTTATGGAAAACAGCACCCAAAAATACACCTCAACATGCCACTGCAAATCAACCATTCTCCACGTTACTCTTCCATCTCTAACATCCGACTCCGACCCTGTGGTTTCCTGCAACTGCACCATTTGCACCAAGCACGCTCTGGCCGTTCAATACTGCCGGCGAAAAGAAATCTATTTCGAAGCAGGCGAAGCCGAATTAAGAAACTATTTCTGTGGGAGCCGTACTAGGGTTATGCGATTCTGCGGAACCTGCGGCGTTGTCATGCTATTTGATGCGCATGGAGGAGGGGATAAGAAGGAAGCGGAGACCGTGGTTGCTATTAATGTGAGTTTTCTCTCAAAAAGCTAAGTATTAATACAGCATGTTTCTGCATCTAAAGTGCCTGACGGGACAATTTTTTTTTTCAGGTTTGTGCGATTGATGGGTATAACCCTGACGAGGTTGTGTTTCGTCCATTTGATGGGCTTTCAGTGTCTATAAAAGAGTGACTTTGTGACATTTGAGATTAATAGAAAGTAAAGAAGACTTTTCTCGGGATTAGTTCACAAAAAACTATATGGGGCGGAGGGATTATATCAAATCAGAGGAAATTCAAGCCCTGAGACCTGTATGGCAAGTTAAAACAGCCTACTCCGCTACGGCTCAATCAAGAAATTGAACATTGATTTTTCGGGCTCTTTGAATCGTTGAACATGTGGTATCGATTCTGAACTCAGCTTTCTTTCCCCTTGTAAAAAGTTTCCTACCGAGCTACACCGTATTTCAGGAGTCCTAAGGCGGAAAGCGCAGAGGTAGATGGTGCTGTTATTCGACCTAAAAGCATTCCTTAATGGGAAGAGGGTAACTAATATTATTGTTTTCAGTTACTTAGAAGTCTAGAATCCGCACTAAAGAGTGAAGGATTGTACAACAAGTGCCTTATTGATCTTGTGAGCAGCATAGGGAAAAGGAAAAGCTAGTTTTTAATCTAAATACTGAGATAATGAACATCTAAGCGTATACGTATCAATTTCTCTACCTTTTCCATCCAAGGACTTGCGTTCTTTCCCACTCCCCACGAGTTCTTGAATTGTCTCTCGCGGTGACTGCAACTTCGGTTTCCTTCAAGATGTGCTGTTGACTGTCCCCGTCTCCGTCTCTGTTCCTCCGCTGCTGGAAGGCTTCCATATGAACATCTGAATCCAGAAGTTGGTTTCTACGTCTCGATTGCTTGGTTGAACCGGTGCCCGCACCACCATTGCCGCTGGATAGACCGTTCTGGCTACGACCAAGGCAGGATAGCGAGAGCAGAGGACGCAAGGCGGGCAACGAGCCGGCAAATATACCAATCCCTTCTTCAATAACGGACCACAGACCGATTTTTCCAGTGCTGAACATGAACTCTGAAGGGTCACTATAAAGACTTAGGTAGCGGAGACGGACAATCGTTGCGCAGCTCGCACTGGATGGCGTTAGTTCCCTTCCTGGATAGAAGAAGAACAAGGAAGGAAATGCATATTGACTTACAACGCGGCTAGACCAAGAATTATAATAAGCATGAACTTGACCCTCTTCCTCATCTGCAGATTCCACAACAGAATCCCAGGGATGATCGCCAATGACCAGTCGGTCATGATTTCAATGGCCGAGAAGAAGAAGCTGACATCGCTGTTGAGCTTGTTATCGCACGTTCCGGTAGTTGTCTGGCCCCATAGTGTGGTGATGGGATGGCAGATATTTGCGACTCCGATGATGAATACTATAGCTGATACGCCTGTGGCGATCATGATGGCCCAGATGGTATATTTGATCGGACGACGTGAGTCGTCGATTCGCAGCAGCGTCACTGCAATGCTGGACTTGATTAGTACAGCCCCGGACGCGTAGAAGAACTCTGCAATGAAAAACAGCTTTATTTCCGTCATGTTATCACCTGTGTTCCGTGCTATCGGAGAGGAAGACTACGTACCTTCGTTCCTTGCATGATATCATGGGTGCTGAGCACCTTGGACAACTGGCCGGAGCCGAGAAAGCAGCAAACAATACACAAGCTTGCTGTCACGCTAAAGAGAAGCTGCAATAGTAGTACGTACGGTTAGCCCAACAACGGCCAAAACCGGGGTTGCACTTACAAGTCCGAGAAACATCAGCAGGTCGTCCCAACCCAATGTTTTCCTCCATATCCGCACTCCCACCCGGGGAACGAATGCGAGATAGCTGATGACCAGCATCAATATCGATGTCCAAAAGAGCGGGACTCCGTCTCCCGCGGGCTGCACCATTGTGGCAGCAAACTGGGCTGCTGTGACAGTCACAACAATGGGGGAGGTATTCAACAGATGGGTGTTCGCTCTTCATCCTCTCTCTACCTTCGACTTGGTTCCGGAACCCAGGACTAGAGGATAGTTATAGTCAGTGCTAGTCTGATCCCGAAGAAATGATCCTGGTCTGGACAAGCCAAGCTTATTTTTGACGTATGCACGCTCAAGCGCACCGGCTCGTTTCTAAAGTCTGGCGTGTGTCCGTTTTAACTTTTAGCACGACTGAAAAAAGGCGTAGGACGTAACGTCTATGCTTGAACGAGCAACGATCAACAGCGTTACGGCATCGCAATAGGCAGGAGGAAGATTTTTTTCATGCTTCTGGGCCAGGAGGTCTAAGTTCCAACGGTCAGAAGTAATTTCGGAAGAGGAACTTGGGACAGCGGCTGGACCCATTGCCGTAAAATAGTTGGCTATATTGTGCATACTATGGAGACTAGTCAATCATCTTAATTCTGACTTCTCGCGAGGGATTGTCTACGCCAATGGTGCCTGGTGCGCATTGAATGAGTGTATCCGCTCTGAAAGGGAGTTGATATAAACGGAATATTGAACCCAGTACCTAGTTGATGCCCTGACCTGGGACAAAAAAAGCGTCCTTCTTCTTTTTGACTAAAACGTGCCTCTAACTTCGGACCCATAGGTGGCATTGGCTATGGAGCATCTAGCTGTCTTAGGCTTGGGGTCTCTAGCCGAGCTCTTTAGTGGCTATATAATATATATTTATATAGACTTATATTAGTAGAATACTATGTAGATATAATACGGTGCATTACGTGGCGTAAATCCCCTTTCTTTTTCCATCCTCCAGGTTTCCCACGGGTAAACTTCCAATTGACTAGATTAGCCATGACTGAATTCTTCATCGCGGACGAGGATTTGACAGGCCTCAAGGACAAGGTCGTCATTCTGACTGGTATGAGTGTTACACTTCTCGCCCTCCGCAAATCCTCCCTCGCCTTCATCCTTGTTCTTAACTGACCCACTGGGCTATAATATCACAGGTGGCTCGTCCGGCATAGGCCTGGCAACCGCCAACTTGCTGCTCTCTTTAGGAGCAAAGGTCATCAGCGGCGATATCAACGCCCCCACGGAAGAAGGCGCTGGTCTCCAATTCGTAAAGACCAATGTCACCAATTGGGCGGACCTCGTCGACTTGTTCAAGAAGGCCAAGGAACAACATGGCCGAATCGACTACGTCTTTGCGAACGCCGGCATTGGCCCTCGCGCCGACTACTTGAATCTCCAGGCCGATGAGAACGGCGACCCGAAGGAACCGACGAGTGAAGTCTTGGATGTCAATCTCAAGAGCGTGGTAAATACCGCGACACTCGCTGTGCATTACCTCAAGCAGCAGCCTGAAGGTGGTGCCATTGTGCTTATGGGCTCTAGCACAGGCCTGCAACCCGTTCGAGCTCCTGACTACTGTGAGTGAATGCCCTTTTCACTGATAACTTCCAAAAAGTTAACATGTGATGTGCGCACAGCTACGGCCAAGCATGGCGTCCTAGGCTGGGCCAGAGGACTTGCGCTCCTCGTCGACGCCGCAAAGCTACCCATTCGCGTCAACACGCTCATGCCCTCGTGGACCAGCACAAACGTTCTCCCGGATTTGGGTGGCATGATGCGAGCAGTTTCGCTCGAGTCGCAGCCAAGTTTGGTTGTTGCTCGTGTGGCCGCGTATCTAATGACCGACACCTCTAGAAATGGAGACGTGATCTACGTCTCTGATGGGAAGTATAAGGAAATCGAGAAGTCCGTTCTCTGGCCTGCGTACGAGAAGCATATCAAGGGAGACGGACTCAGCGATGATGAGGTGCTTGTGCGTCTTCTCTCACTTGCTGGACAATGATATGTAGCCTTTTACATGCGGTCGTAGTCCTTTTATCAGTACGAGTTTCAAGGGGTTGGCGTATCATAGTTCATTATAGCTCCGTTACAATACAGTAGCAAAAGTGCTCTTGTTCAGATTTCTTTTCGAGGGTTCGCAAGTCACCATGGCTCAAGCTCCTGCAACACGTCGCGCGTTTCGATAGATGGACAGTATGCTGTTTTTGACACTTTATTGAACAACATAGGATTCAAGACGAGGGAGTAAATGGGCATTGAAATATCTAAAACAATATATCCTAGATAACAATCAATTGACTCTTTGACTTCTTTGCTTGTTTCTCTTTTTCACCCTGCCAATAGTGTCTAAGCCTCCAAACGCAACTTCTCCAAATCACGGATCTGCTGTTCAATCAGCGCTGCTTCATTTTCCGCATCACGAAGCTTCTTTTCCTCTTGCTCTTGGATCTCCGGCTTGACCTTTTCCCGCCACCCGGTAGCACTGATTGTCTTTTGTGTCCTCGAGACAAAATCAAGTGTCCGTTGCAGATTGGCCTTGGCCTTCTCTTCCTGCTCAAGTGCTGTCTGCTTCGAGACCTTGAGGTAGACGGCGGCATCGGCACCGACGGGGCCAACGACACATCCGGCGGGACGGGTTTCGTTGTCTGGACCCTGAACAGAGAGTTCGCCAGCGTACTTGCCACCCAGAGACTTGATGGCGACTACTTCGTCGGAAATGGTCTTGTAGCTGGTCTCATTGTAGGTAGCTAGGATGAGATCGCTCTTCTCCTTAACGTCATATTGAGCGAGAATGGAACGGATGGCCTTGGAAGTGTCGAGGACAAGTTCGTAGGCCTTTTCGGCTGCCTCGTCGTCAAATGAAGCGTTGTATTCGGGGAAACGGGCAATCATTATCGACTCGGTTTTGTCTCCCTCGCGGCGTGGAAGTCGTTGCCAGAGGTCTTCTGTGAGATAAGGCATGATGGGGTGAATGAGGAGAAGAGCTCCCTCGAGAGCAGTGTATAGGGTTTGTTTGGCTGACTCCTGCACTTCGGCAGGGGTATCCTCCTGCAGCAATGACTTGGAGTTCTCGATAAAGACATCGCACAGTTGGGAGTAGATATACTGGTAGGCAGTCAACGCCGAAGTCGAGAACTCGCGTGTCTCAATGGCATTGTTGATTTCTTTGGTGGCTTTGTTGAACTTTTGCAAAATCCAACGTTCGGAGAGAGACTCGCGTCCAGTCTTGGTAGGCTTCGCTGCTGGTTTGAAATCGGAGCCCAGTTTACCAAGCACGAACTTGGTGGCTTGATAAATTTTGTTGCTACAACAAAAATTGCTTTAGTAAATGATAGAGAGCCAATAGATAAAGAGTGGACAATTTTCACTTACCAGAAACGACGGTATCCGAAGATCACGTTGACATCAAAAGCAATGTCACCACCACCAGTTGTGTATGAAACGAGTGCCATGCGTAGAGCATCAGCACCACACTCTGGGATTCCCTTGGGGAACGCCTTCTTCTGGTACTTGGTCGCTACTCCAATTTCCTTCTCAGCAAGATTACCCTGCTTCAACTTATCGTGAAGAGCATCAAGAGTAATGCCTTTCTGAACATCGAGAGGATCAATGACATTTCCCAGTGACTTGCTCATCTTACGGCCTTCGCTGTCTCGGATCAAAGAGTGGCAGTACACCTCCTTGAAGGGAATCTTTCCTGTCAGCTTGAGACTGAGCATGATCATCCTCCTGCAGTAGAGAGTTAGCTTTGTCCTTCCAGAGTTGTGAAAATGTACAAGCCGAATACATACGCTACCCAGAAGAAAAGAATATCCCAACCGGTTTCAAGTATATTTGTAGGGAAAAGCTTTTTGAAATCGTGGCTCTCAGTGTTTGGCCAGCCCAGTGTTGCAAATGGCCATAGTCCTGATGAAAACCACGTATCCAGAACGTCTTCATCTCGCTTGAGGGTGAACTTCTGTCCTGGGAACTTGGCGGCAGCCTTGGCATGGGCTTCCTCTTCTGTACGGCCGCTTACCCAGAGGTTACTGTCACTGTCATCTGCTTCAGCCTGTCCTTCAACCTGGATAAGGTATACTGGTGCTTGGTGGCCCCTATGTCTCAAAGTTAATCACAAACAACCCTCTTCGCATATAATCAGAGATTATAGACATACCACCACAGTTGACGGGAAATACACCAATCCTGGATGTTCCTCATCCAATGGAAGAAATTTTTCTCTGCCGAAGCAGGGCTAATAGTGATTTCTTTCCTTTCGACAGCATCTATGGCTGCTTGCGCCATCTCATCCATCTTCATCCACCATTGTGGCTTGAGGACAGGCTCGATGATATCTTTACTCTTCTCGCAGCGTGGAATAACCATAGGGTTGTGCTCCCACTTCACGTAGAGACCGGCTTCCTTTAGTTTATCAATCACAGCGTATCTCACGTCGAATCGCTTCATGCCTGAAAAGGGGCCGCAGTTATCTTTGAGCGTACCATTGTCGTTCAACTGTTGTACCAATTAGAATCAAGCAGAAGGGGAACTGTTTTGAATTCTTACAATTGAAACGAACTCGAGACCATGTTGTTTGCCACGAGCATAATCGTTAAAGTCGTGTGCGGGGGTCAGCTTGACAGCACCAGTTCCAAATTCCATGGAAACAGACGAATCGGCAACAATTGGAAGAAGGCGTTCGACGAACGGATGCTTTGCTTTCTTGCCGATCAAGTGCTGATACCTCTTGTCTGCATATGAAACCGGCATTAGCAAAGATATGGGAAAGAAAGATCGCATAGGGTAAAGACTGCTTACCGTCAGGGTGTACGGCAATACCGGTATCACCAAGCATTGTCTCTGGACGAGTGGTGGCTATCTCGATGCGTTCTCCCGAGCCCTCCACTTCGTAGCAGAAATGTGTAATGACACCAAACTCAACCTTCTTGTCGTCTAATAGCATGTTAGCTTGGCACAATGGCCTCTCACACGTAATGAAAGCACTCACAGCCAGGGACATCAAGCAATGTTCGACCTTGGATTTCTTGGTTGTTCACTTCCAAGTTGGACAAGGATGTGTTCAAGGCGCAGCACCAATTCACGAGTCGATTGGCACGGTAAATGGTACCCTCCTCATGAAGACGACAGAAAGTCTCCGCGACAGCTTCCGAGAAGTTTGGGTTCATGGTATAGGCTTCGCGGGACCAGTCAAGAGACGCGGCCATTGCTTTTAGCGAAGTGAGAATTGATCCTTGATATTTATCTTTCCATTCCATTGTTAAGTTCGTAAATGCTGGTCGTCCAAGGTCGTGGCGCGTTTGTTTCTTCTCCTTCCATAACATTTTCTCAACTACACTCTGAGTCGAAATGCCTGCATGGTCCGTGCCTGGTACCCAGATAGTTGTCTTCCCTTTCATTCGGTAATAGCGGGTCATTGTGTCTTGAAGAGCCTTGAGGGAGATATACATTTAGTACCTTTACCAGCAACTGACGAGAGATCCGTTCACAACTTACCACCATCAGAGCATGGCCCATGTGAAGCGAACCGGTGACGTTAGGAGGAGGGCAAGCCATTGAAAACACGCCTTCGGGCTTAACATTGCCATTTGCGTCAAACTGGGGTTTGAATAATCCTTTCTCTTGCCACCACTCATAGCGACCATTTTCAATAACCTTGGGATCGTATGCATCGGTGGTCTTGTCGACAACTTTTTCTTTTTTCTCGGCCTTTGGTTGCGCGGGTTTCGCAGCGGCAGCCTTCGCCTGCTTCTCCGCAAACTTCTTGGCCTTTTCAGCCTTGCGACGCTCCCTCTCCAGCTCCTTCTCAGTCTTCACCTTGCCCGCAGGAGCAGCAGAGGTGTCTTGACCGGGCTCAGATTGACCGTTTTTGGCGGCTTGCTGAATCTCGGATTGGACATTTTCGGGCACAGCTGGCGGAGCTCCGGTTACAGGGGCAGTCTGCTCACCCACTGAAGAGAGAGAAAAAAACACGAACGTTAGCAACTATCTTGGACCCGTGAAAATATATGTCTGCAGATGAGGGGCAATAGGGCACTCACGAGGGTTCGCAGATCCGGATGTTGTAGCCATGAATGAACGTAGACGAGGAGAAACGACTCTCCAGGGCGCTCGCCGCGCCACAAGACTCCGAATAAGTATTTTGGATGTCGCTGTGGGATATGCGACAAGGACGACGGAGGAGCGTGGAGGAGCTTTTGGCCGGAGGGGAAGCCCTTTTTTTTCTATTTCGGCGAGTGAGTCAGGCTGATTTAGTGACTGCGGGGCCAATCGCAGGCTGGCGGGATTGTGGAGACCAGCGAACCACACAAGATGCTTCATCCATGATGCATCGGATGCTTCGTTGGGGCTACTTACGGCTCAAGCTCTGCAGCGAAGGTTTTGGATAGTTGGTTGTTCGTCCGGTGGAAGTGAGACGCTCTGGCGATGGATGGACGTCAGGTGCCATCACGTGGCCCCTGCTTCGCTATCGATAAGAAACGCGATCGCCTACGGTCTAGCATAAGATACAGCAGAAGAAGAAAAGAACTGAATTCGTAGCTATAGTATTAGCCTTTATGCAAAAAGCATGTATTCGCCAAAAAATGCGAATAGAAAAAGTAGGCCCTTTCAGATACGTTGCACTGATCCATAAACATGAACAAAGTCGACGTGATACATCAAATGTCCTCGGCGCCAAATCATGAGCAGGACCAAAACGCCTCAACCACGCTTTCATATATGTAACGTAACGTAACGTTCCGGGGAACTGAAGCAATCAAGAGGAGTATATTGGCTCTGTATAAATTGTGTGGAGGTCTGGGTATAGTGAGGGATGCTTGCTGTGGGCAGACGCCGGAGGAAAATGAAAATATACTCGATTGTGTGATTGTCAACTCTTCATGCGACGGCCGTGTGACACCTGGCATCTGGCCATTGTATAGTGCATGTTGTAAGTGCTCCGTCGCCAAGCCAATGATATAAAGAGGAGAGGAGAGTCGAGTCACAAATTTAACAACAGTTTGCGAACGCCGGTATTCGAGGTATGTCCCAGTGTATAGACTGCCATAATTGTCTGAGCTAATACGGCTGGTGCGTTGAGCATCTAGGAATGCGGGGCACTAGCATTGTTCTGTCCTGCTTGAGCTGCCCGAACTGGTGCGAAGTATGGGTGAGCCATTGCTTCTTGTGCCGTGAGACGTTCCTATCACCAGATTAGTTAAAGCTCGTCAGGAATAGGTCAGCAGGTAAAAGCATGATATCTGGGGACATACCGCGTGGTCGTATTTGAGTAATTTATCCAGGAAATCAATGGCCTCATTGCTAACAAATCTTTGGTTCTCAGCATTGACAAATGAGTGCCATGGCTTCTTGGGATAACGCGACAGAACATCATCGTATTGAGAGTCTAGTTCAATGTCGTACTTGTCGAGATATTCGAAGAGCTCTTCGGTACCTAGTACTTTGGCGATCTTGACTAGCTGGTCGGAATTGCTTATGCCATGGAAGAAAGGCTCCTTGCGGAAGATCATGGAGGCAAACATCGCTCCCAGGGACCACATATCCAGGGAGTAGTCGTATTCTTGGAAATCAACAAGAAGCTCGGGACCCTTGAAGTAACGCGATGCGACTCGCACGTTGTATTCTGTACCCTTGTGATAGAATTCTGCCAAACCCCAATCGATTAAGCGTAGCTAGAAGGAAATCAGCACGAGAAATCAAAAGTTGGAAATTTAGAGCAAATACGAACCTTGCGTTTCTCGTGGTCAATCATGACATTATGAGGCTTGACATCCCGATGCATGATGCCCTTGCTATGGCAAAAGTCAAGGGCCTTGAGGAGCTCGAAGATATAGTAGCGGACGTCATAGTCAACGAAGCGAGGATAGAGCGTGCGGAAGTCGGTATTATTGATATACTCAAAGACGAGACTTGGGGTTTTGCTTTGATTATCACGGACAACATCGAGAAGCGCGACAACATTCGGTCCACCTGAAAGGTTTTGAAGAATTTTGATTTCACGCTTGATCTTCTTCTTCTTGACTGGCTTCAAAACCTTGATAACGCATTTTTGATAGTTTACCACGTTGATACCTTCGAAGACTTCGGAGTATTTCCCTCGGCCTACAAGTGTTATCCAGTCAGCCCAACTGCTTCCACATTGACAGTACATCTATCCATCAGATGCCGACGGAAACCTGACCCGTCGCAGAGTTCTACTCACCAATCTTGCGAACAACCTCGTAGTTTTCCAACGCGCCCCAGGATATGTTTACGCTATCGTAATCCCAGTAGGCCCGGGGCATATGCGTGTTCACATCGGCGTAAACTCGCGCCATCGTGTGGTGTTGATGAAGAGTGTCCAGCCCACAATTGGGCCTGTTTGATTGAAATGCCGAGAGCGGGGTAGACGAATGGCGATAAACGAGAGACTCGAAAACGCACGGAGCGCAGGATTAGCAAAAGTCAAGAAGCACACTGATCCCACGATCGACAGCTCTGTTACTTGACAAGGCAGCTGGGGGGGATTCACAGCTGCATTGATAGTGTAAATTTGGTCTTCGCTGAAAGGTTCCGGCCGCATGAGAAAGTGGCTCGCTATTCGCAATCTGGAAGCGGCCGCTGTGATTGGCTCGGAAGAAGGCGGTAAGACCTCGAACCAGTCTTATTTTTCATTTTGGATTCTGCCGGGCTGATTGACACGCTGAAACAATTCTTGCTCTCATTCTGTCGGTCTTCATTCGATGAACAACTGTTGATAGCTGATAGGTAGCTAGGTTGGGAGCTGCTGCTAATCAGTGGAACTGCCTGTCAAGATGTTTTACGATCTAAATGTCCCATATGCGGCAGATGATGCGCAATTATCCAATACCTTGAGCTTTCTTGCCGAAGGTGAGTCACTGAGTCACGCATTGCTAAAAGCCCTGAAGAGCAGTAGTGCTGAGAGTTCATACCAGTTGGATACACGACAGTGGCTCTCTCGCAAACCCTCTCCGGAAAATTGCCCCCCAATCTTGCGGCTCCCCAGCCTCCGACAAATGCTCCCGAGTCACTCACGCTTTTGACGCGCCTCAACCTCATTTTATCCGATCCATCGCAGAGCTATCGCATGGCAAATCTGATACCGTTATTTTCAATTATTGCGGTGCGTCCTACGAACGAGAAAAGCTTGTTGAATGCTTGTACGAGTATGGACTGCGACCTCATATCGTTGGATCTTTCCGTCCGTCTTCCATTTCACTTTAAGTTCAAGACCGTCTCGTCTGCCATTTCTCGTGGAGTACGATTTGAAATATGTTATAGCCCTGGGATTACTGGAAGCGGGATGGAAGCCCGCAGAAACCTTATTAGCAATGCGATGAGTCTCATCAGAGCTACAAGAGGCCGCGGCATCATCATATCTAGCGAGGCGAAACGAGCATTGGCCATTCGTGCACCCATGGACGTTGTTAATCTTGCATGTGTTTGGGGCCTACCTCAGGAGCGTGGGAAAGAGGCAGTCTGCGAAGAAGCTCGAAAGGTTGTTGCCCTATCTAGCATAAAGCGAACAAGCTGGCGAGGTGTTATCGATATTGTCAATGGCGGTGAAAGGCCACCTGCAAAGGTCAATGAAAAGGCCCCGAATAAGAAGACGGTACAAAACGTTACTTTACGGGAGAGCAATGCAGAAAGCCTGAAGAGGAAGGCTTCCTTGGAATCGACCCCTGAAGCCGACAAGCCACTGTCCAAACGAGAAATGAAGCGCAGGGCTAAGAAAGCCCGCCTTGAAGCCAATGCCCCGGCATGAATGAACTTGGTATGCATAGTCTAATAGGGCTGCGTATGACCTCCAGCTCAAGGAGTCTTGATTGACCTGGCAGGATGATATTATGCTCCTCGTTATGTCTACGTCTGCAAGTTGGTCGCGATTGTGGGACCTTGATATTGTGACACTATCTTATTTTCTGAAGCTGCGCGATATTCATATTCTATCCACCAAGAGCTATCGTCAACGCGGAGTAAAGTGCAAGAGTATCCATATTTACATTAGCGGCGTTGTCAGAGGCTGTAGTCGCTGAAGCAGTAATGGTCATTGACAATGTTTCGCTTGAAGAAGTCTCTCCCACAGAGTTTGTCGAGACTGCTTGAATGATGGATATTCCAGAATTTGGCGGAGCTTGAGTGGCAATATCAGTGCTGGTCACTTCTGACGCTGACTGGGGTACGCCCGCAGATACTACCGCGGACGCTGTCGTCTGAATTATAAACCCCGAAGGACATGCACAAGTACATTTACAAGCATCTTCGTTATCTTCTGCCGCAGAAGTAACTGCACTTGATATGGAGACTGGAGAAGTGACGAGAGTGGTGGGCGTGAGAGTCGTTGCCGGTGTAACAACAGCGTTGGACCCTTTGACAAGACAAGTCGAAGCCTTGCTGTCTGATGCTGTTGCTAATATGGTCGAGGAAGTGCTAGAGTTCCTAGAGCTCGGAGGAGTAGTTACAGTGCTTGAGGTTGACACGATGATAATAGACATGGCAGCAACAGGGCTGGACGTTGACGTCGCTTGATTTGCGTTTAGCTCGGAGATGACTATTGTCTCAGACCCTTCTGTGACTGTAGCAACTTCTCCTTTGCTAGCCGTTAGAATTACCAACGGCACCAGTCCTTCTGCCTTTTCGATTAGCAATGCCTCTTGATTCAAATCGAAACAATGCCGCCGCCATACCGTCAGAGCCAGATGGAAATAACCCCACTGCTAGAGTTTGTGTTGCCTGTGATGCTGCTGTACTATTTTTGACTTTGCACAGTTAGTTAAGCTTTCGCAATAAAGACAGTTGGTACTCACCGGTCGTGGACGAGATTGTTTCTTGAACGGCTCGTGCTGATGAATTTATCTGTGTATCCTGCCCGCTAGACGTTGGTACTGCTGCCGTTGCCGAATTCAAAGGCACAATTATCCCAACGGTAGCACTACGAGTGGTCAACACTAGCCGAGACAAGCGAATATAGACGGACATACCTCGACCCATTGGTTGAGCCTTGCTGTGCATTGCCATTGAGATGTTCACTGTGACGGCCTCGCCCATGTGCTGCATGAAGTGCCAAGTCGGTCGCTTTGGCTCCGAGTGGTGGATGCTGAAAAGCAACGACAACACCCTTGATTTTCCGTTAGCTTTTGTGGAAATGCCAAGTGAACACAGCACAGTCTTACATTGAATCCTCCTAGGATTGCGAGAAGTATGATGAAATGGACTGGATACATATCAAATGTATCTTCCACCTGGCTTTGCGCGGTGATTGACTAGTACTGTTTTCCTTAGTTTTTTCCCACCGGGGGAATACTTGTGAAAGGAATAGATAGACTTTTTTTCAAGAACTGGATGCTTCTGATGGAATTCGACATTGAGTGGATTATAGGATGGACGAACGGGGGAAGCATTTCAAAGAAGGGAGTAACCAAAGTGACCAGCCAGAATGAAATGGTCTACACCTTCGACTAATTCCGGGAGATGTAATAACTCCTTCAGACCTGTTTCGAATATTGCATGCAATATTTTCGTGATGACTCTTTATCTCTCAATGCACCAGCAGTCTCAGACAATTTTCAGTCTTATAGCGCATTCATGACACCTAGTTCTAGACATGAAATTAAACTTAGGTAATAATCCGACACTGTCATTCAGTCAGGCTCAATAATATCTTCGTCACTGTCTGGGGGACCCTGGTTTCAAAGATGATGAAGCGAAACGCCTGGCGTGTCAGTTGTCAGATAGAGGGGTTCGCAAACTATATGGTGATTCCGGAGTGGAATAAGCATTAAGTCGATGCTATTTATTTACAACATGAAAGCAATATGAATCCATAGGAAAAAACAAATCATCAAATAAATAAATGAAAGAAGTGTAAGCATTCGATAAGTGGAGCTTATCGGCAGATAACATTATCGATAACGCTTATCGCACCTGCCAAGAAAATTCCGAGACTTTTTTCTGCTTCGGAGAATGAACCATTTTTTCAAGCAGCATCACCTTGTACAACACCAGAATCCAACAATGCTTCGAGAAGTGTAAGTCAATGCTTCACTGTCCTTTTACTTGCCAATTTCAAGATTTGTTTGCACATCTATTTTTCAATGAAAGAATTGTGCAGCTATCTGCTTTTCTAAAAAAACCGCGCATGTGAAAAGAAAAGAAAGAGAAAGAAACTAATACTGGGGAAAAAATAATAGAAAACCCAAGAACCCGCGCACAGCGCGGATTCTCAAGAAGAAAGAGCCCCAGCTCATCGAACCCCCCAAGCGCACACTGCTTTTGCACGGCACAAAATGTCCTCAGCCACTCAGCACCGTCCTGAAGACAATCCATGGCTTAACGAACCCCAACTCCGTGCTTTTCCACAAAAAGAACGACAACATCCACCCCTTTGAGAGTGTTGAAAGCATTGAATTCTTGGCGGACAAGAATGAATGTGGTATTGTCGCCTACGGAAGCAACAATAAAAAACGACCCAACTGCGTGACTCTTGCTCGGATTTACAATAAGAAAGTACTAGAGATGTTTGAGTTATTATTGCTCCTACCAGGTGCGGACGAAGAAGCAATTCCAGCACCTAATGCGTTGAAGTTCGAGATTGGCATAGGGATGAAACCCATGATCCTATTTGCGGGTAGCATATGGGAGGATAATACGTCGGGAACATATGCTATGATAAAAAGCGTCTTGTTGGATATGTTCAAGGGAGAGGAGACTGATAAGATTGATGTCGAGGGCTTGCAATTTCTAATGATGGTTGCCGCCGAAGAACCCGCCGAGGCCGGTTTATTGCCTACTATCCATCTACGATGGTATAAGATCCACACGAAGCGAAGCGGACACAAACTCCCGCGTGTCGAGCTGAAGCAGATAGGACCCAAGTTCGACTTCAGAATTGGCCGTGTTCGCGAAGCGGATCCGGATGTCATGAAGGAGGCAATGAAGCAGGGCAAACGACCGAATGAGGAAGCCAAGACGAAGAAGAACATTTCCATGGACTCTATGGGTGACAAGATTGGACGCATACATCTCGGAAAGCAGGATCTGTCGAACTTGCAAACGCGAAAGATGAAGGGTCTTAAGCGGAGGGCTGGTGTGGATTCGGATGACGAACTGGAGGATGATGATGACGACGAAGATGATGAGCCGTCTCAGTACGGATCGGATGTGAGCGAGGAGATTACCTTTATCGACGAGGATGCGCCATCAGATGAGGATATGATGGATGTCGATGGAGGAGAGGGAGCAGACCAAGGGCGCTCTAAAAAGCCGAGGCTGGCATGATTCTTAACTTCTTTTCTTTAGACATGTTACATACCCGTTGTGCGCTACACATAAACGCAAGACTATATAAACGCTAGTTTTTATTAAAATCGTCAGTTATACTTAAGGGACTTGTAGATGTGTACCATGCATGCAGTCAAAAAATGAACAATTGGCAAGGTCACGTGAGCAGTGACGTCGCTCGGAAAGCAGAGTACGTTCTTCCATCACATGCCGAGGCCTGTCGGTTTCCCCAGACGCAGCCCGGACTCCGCCATAGCGATGGCGTTCCCACTATCGGCCTGAGGTATTCAATGCCGTTCTGGAACAGCTCTTTGCAAGAGTCAAGTTCATGATATTGTGAATTCTGACAACTGCAGACTGCACCACTCGAGTTGGTGGTCTACTGCTCATCATACGGCCAAATTCCTAGCAGCCGAGGATGGATTCCATCATGGTAAGTTGTCCGTAATTACTGCATGAGCACAAGCTAACTAAAGTTACTGCTCTCTTTAGGATAAACTGGACGCCATCGCGCTCAATTCCGACTTGAAACCCCTCCTCACACTCCTCAAAGCCGCTCGCAATGGCGCTGTGTATGGCACGAAAGTCCGGTTCCCGCATGCTTTAGTGTAAGCCTCGCAAGGATGCCGGCTCCAACAAACGAAGGATATTGTTAACACAACACATGTGCTTGATGCAGTATGATATTTCTATTTCGGTCAGGAACGTGAGTTTTCCCTTCACGCTCTCGGCCTACTTCGCCATATCGAAGCGCCATGCTGACTTGTATGCTTTCTTCAAAGATTCCGCGAAAAAGTAAAACTCGTCCTCAAAGCAACCCGACAACATGCTTCGAACCTCGCCAGATTCGCCGTTATATACAAGAGCACAATGTTTGCTATGAAATATTTAAATCCCACGGGGCCAAAAGAGGGTCCCTATGACACGTTTTTTGCCGGCCTGCTTGGTGGATACGTTGTCTTTGGCAGAAATCCAGGTAGTGTCAGCCAGCAGGTATTCTCATATCATATTAGCTTTCACTATCTTATGGATTCTGATTTGTTTATCTTAGATTGTGATCTACGTCTTCGCTCGAGTCGTTCTAGCTCTGGCGAGTCTTTCCGTCCAGCCGAACATGCACCCTCTATCCTCCCTCGTCACACCCGAAGCTCGCGCAGTGATACAAGAGAATGCGTGGCCAGCGTTTGCCAGTTTAAGTTGGGCAGCTGTCATGTATGTGTTCAGATGGCATCCGGAGTCAATTGTCAATAGTCTGAGGAGTAGCATGACATACATGTAAGTTTGACGTTTCTTCCGATGACAATCTACCTGAAAGAAAAGCCGTGCTGATAAAGGTATTTTGTATAGTTACGTGGATTGCGACTATTGGACTTCGTTCCATAACTTGTTGATACATAACAAATAATAGAATTCATGGTCTTTTGCGCCAGTTGTTCATCATAATATGGCAAGCAAATAATTACTTGGGACAGGTGTTGAAGGCGTTCATTGTAGCGGACATGCTTGACATCATTGGATGCCTTTATCTAGTGTAAGGCGGAATCCTGAATGGAGTTGGGAATAGCTTCGAAGTACGACGAGCACGTGACCTCGTCTGGCTAGTTAGTTAGTTAGTTTTGATATACCTGCTGTAGCTAGCTACGGTCTAAGGGTGTCACGCGCCTGGATCCACCTTAGCTGTCACTGGCTGTGTCAAGGTACAATACGGTGTTTTAAACCACACAGAGGTTCCTGAGGGTGTTCTAGTTGATAATCAGATATAGACATGATCTAGTAATAAAGATATTCATAATTAAGATAGAAGAAGCGCCTTGAAATATTATAATCCTTTAAGTAGTTTTGCCTTACTAACCCTTTTAGTATATAATCAAGTAACTTAGATTAAAGAACTATAAAGAATAACTAGATATATAACAAATAAGTATATTTATATAGATCTATCTCTCCTATACTTCTCTTACACTCCTAGATATATACACAAGTGTATATCTAATAATTATCCTTCATCCTATATACAATCTTTCTACGCTCCTTAATGTCTTCCTGAGTGTATATAGCCATATATATTCTTATGTAAGCCATAAGTCCATATCCATAGCTAAGTTATCTCCCTGCGTGCTGGTGTGTGGTAATGACTGGTCGTGGCTTTAGCTGCTATAACATAACACCTTCCCTAAATAGTACTAGTCTGAACTAGTGCCATGCAAGTTGGTTTCATAACAAACCCTTATCGCTCCCACAAATGGGCTAGAGCTTCAATTTGCAAAGAAAGATCCCTACCACATTAGCAAGGCTAGCTCTCCTGTGAAACATTCGGGGGCCGAAAGGCCACAAGTTGTTTTAGTTTAGCCGTGCCATCCAGCCCCCCCACCGCGAAGGGTAAGTCTCGAGGCGGTCAGGCTTGTCAGAAAAACCTTTTTCCTCCCATAAAGCTTTTTTCTCCTTATTCTTTTTGATGTTCATCATGCTTTCTGATTTATCCCTTCACCAGTTTTTGTACAACTAACACCCTTCGAGCTCCCTGCTTGCGATGGCTTTAAAAGCCTGTAACCTGAAGTTCCGCACCAGTATATGGAGTCTTTCTGGAAGAGCACAATGAAGCCCCGGAGCTAGAAATGAAATGGCACACTCTCGATCCTTGTTCAGCATAGATGTGCTGTGCCTCATTCTCAGACCTGGTACGTGCGCACAAGCTGCCTGATCCTACCCATTGACATGATTAAAATCCTTTATCGCAATATCCGACTCAAAAGATGAAGATAAAACCTATTCAATTAAGCAGACATATGACCTGTCTTCTCTCCTTGAATCTTGTTCACAGACGCCGTGGAAGGACTTCGCTAACAATTTCCTTCAGATTGCAGTTCCAGGTGTCTATACATCCTCCGCCGATAAGGGGATAAACCCCGAGCGGACGCTCCAAGCAGCTGGTGCGTAGCTACGTCTGCCATGCCCAGGCTTGCTGTTCATGCCCGCTTGCTTGGCTCCACCCAATTGAACGCAAATAGATGACTCAATAAGCCCCATTGGACAACAATCGCGTGCCCCCAGTCTTGCGGTACCCTTAGTCCCCTTCGGCTTCTACAGCCGAGGTCAGATGAAGGTCACTCACTGTGCGCTCCTCCCTCCTTGGCCATCTACGGCCTTCTCTTGGACGTGCGCCAGTATTGCAACAATACTACCCTGCAAGTATTGCCGACTCGAGTAGATCCAGGTGGCTGCACATGTAGATTTGAAGTAGTTCCTCCAAATGAGAATGCAAACCTTTCATTGCATTCGGTTTCTGAATCCCAGATCATGAGCCCTCATAGAGCCGGGAAAGGCTGGTAACTCTATACCTAGTAGTCTAATTACTGTATTAACACAACATCCACTCCATGGTATAAGCTGGTACTATTCTTCTAGGAAGGGAACATGGAAATCTGGGGACATGGATTGTCAAAGTAATACACAAATCAATAAGGTATGTCTACTCTTAAGAAATCTCGTCGAGGCATATCTATGATGATTCCAAGTCTTAGAAGTCTAATATAAAGTAAATATGCACAGAGAAGCTCTGGAATACTCGCGAGTTTGAGATAATACAGAAGGAGTAACAGAAAGATAGAAAGAAAAAAAGATCATAGGAAACCACGAAGAAACCAGGAGAAAAAATAACATCAGAAAATACAACAAGCTTAGACATTATACACTTTCATTGCTAGTAAGGCTTCTCTCCGTTTGCCTGCCCTCGGATGGCCCGTCTTGAGAAAAGTAATCAACATCTAGTAGATACTTGACATTGGACACAACGGCTACTTCAACCTCATTCATCCGGTTGCTGCGGAGGTCTGCGGTGGCATCTGTTCGTTCACCACTAAGAATGGCTTCGTCGTCATCATCAAGGTAGCCCTGGACAGCGAACATCGGATGTTTCTGTCCAAGTTCAACTAGTCGTGCCTGCATCTTATCTTGCCACCCAGTCACAGAGTTCTTTTTCAAAGGAACAGGAAGAGCGCTGTTGATAGCCTTCCAGAAGCGCACTGGATTAAGACCGCCCCAGACAGGATTAGTCAGTGGCTTGTCAAGATCAGTTGCGCTAAGGCTTTCTTCCATAATTGATGTGAGGCTCCCACAACTGGCCATATGGATCCAAGTATCGGCAGATTCTGTGGGATATGAGCTAATGGTGACACTGCCCGCCACAATATGCTAGAGATAGTCGTCTATATTGGCAATACCTTCATGTGAATCACCAATGATAAAACCAGGCTTTATGATGCAGATGCGGTCCCTGGGCACAGTTTGCTGTGACACTGCCTGAAGTAACATATACTCTCAATAAAATTGGAAGTCTTCACAATATCTAAACGATTTGACTGTTTCATTATTTTGCATCCATCGGAGAGGCATATGGATCCAGCTCTCATTTCCTTTACCCCCAAATCGCTCATGCCGCAGGCCTTTGCCTTCTTAGCACCGTGATATCGACCCTGTTACCTCAGCATCTAATGTATATATTCCAAACTCACCTACCGAGGTCGTGTGCCCCTCGGATGGACGAAGGGGCGTTTGAATCATACATCACTCAACTAAAACAGTGCAATTCTCTACTCGTTTAGGAAGCGCTTTTAGTCAGCTTGGACCAACAGCCGTGATAAATAAGCAAACCTTAACAACAAGTCCCCATTCGGCTGTTGGAGTTCTTCCTTTTTCTTTAGACATAGAACGGCTATAGAATTGAGGGGAATTGAAGAGAGTGATGTTATATAGCCCAAGAGTATAACGTCCAAAAAAAAAAGAAGATTGACTACCTATTTAGTTTACAATAATGGGAAAGACGGGAATCACAATATATTCGATATTGGAACAGTAGAAGAACCCTAGTCATTTACTTTCTCAAGCGTCTCTGGATTGTGAGCAACCCTTTTCCCGCGTTGGTCATGGAAGAGGACCTGACGTAGCCAGTCAATAAATGTGTCTTATCTCAGAGTAAACCCAGGTAACCTTACCTTGGGCGGATTTTTGACGTCCTCTTCTTCTGCTTCGGCTTGAGTCATCACTATTTTCTCGACCTGCGAAGGCAAAGTCAGTGTATGAAATGTGAAATGTTTAAAAGATGTTTCTTCTGCAGGTATTACCTCTCCTTCATGCCGGCCCCCGCGTATCTTCGTGTAGACGTGATCACCTCGATGGATCGTGTTGCCATGCTTGTCGCGGATCTCAGCCATGTTGAATTGAATTTAAAAATTGTTTAGAGCGATTTCAGTAGTAGTGACAATGATAATAAAGACAAGGGATCTAGACTCCACAGATATAGGACAGCAAGGATCTAACGTAGTCATCAGTTCGTCATGGGGTTACTAACCCTAAGATTTGCGTGGCTACTTAGGGTTATAGCGTAGGTCAGGAGTACGAGTATTCAATCAAGTAATGATTAGCTTATTGTAGGAATAGCTTGATATACATTGAAAAGACGGGAAAGACATTGAAATTACGTCGTTCATAGCATGCTATAAATAAGTACGAACTAGGTAGGGGTTAGCAGATATATTGCAGTCAAGGGTACTACAGTAGAATCCCGATATTCCTAGCATTTCTTTCTCTCCTCTATTCCTAGCAGATATTCCACGTCAATTAATTTAGTGACAGATGCTGCTTAGAGCGAGCCTCGCAGATAAAGTGACTGGGCTACAAGTATATGTACAACTTCTTGAAACAAATAGCGAGACATTATAATGTACATGATCCTAGAATAATCTGCAACTGCTGCACGAAAATTATACCTATCATCTTCAATCCGGTGGGCTATCCATTTCTTCACTGAGCCTCTACTATCTAGCTTTGCTGAAAGAGCAAGGGAAGATTAGGACGGGCCAGGTTTCAAGATATCATCAATTAGATGAATCAGTGAATACCTTCTTAGACGCCCTACCTTTCTAGGTACGCTTCCAATTATTCACCTTTACAAGGATTTCTAATTTTGCTTTCCTCATGGCAGACGAGACTTTCAGCAATGGCCACATTTTCCAAAATGCCTTCGCCAAAGGAGAGTACGCGAGTAGTTCAATTGCAACAAGGAACTAACAACCCTTTCAAGCTTATAGCCATCGTGAAATACATAGACTAAATTCAATCTGCTTAGATCTCAATTGAAGTGTAGATAATATGATCGTCGACTTAACTAGTGGCTTGCCGCCGGTCCACACTGATCAAGAGGCTAACCAACCTTATTCGAAGCCAAATCGGACGTCAAACGATCTTCCGCATCATCATATCTTCTTCAGTCCATTGTCTAACACAATTCAATTATTCTTTTTATTATTAAATCCATCTGAGAGGGAGTTCTATAGGATGGCTCCCACACTCATTTCCTCACCGCCCACTCTCCGCATCACCCCCGAGCCACTCACGCCGCAGGCCTTCGCCCCCTTTGGCACCGTGATAACAACACCCTTCCCACGAGACCTCCTCAGTGCCCCCAACAACCTGCCATCCCTCGAACTCCCTCACCCAGTCCCCGCAACGCCCGTATACGCCAATCAAGGCTCCGCCGTGAAAATCAGTCCCATCGCTCCTCTCGCCAACGGCTACGAGAACGATGTCTGCCCCAGCGGCAAAGCCGCACAAGCGCGTCTAAGCATGTTTGCATGCTTTCCACGCAAACCTCGGCGCGAAAAACAGGGCAAACATGAGGAGTTCGACACACCCGTTTTTGACGTGCGTATCCTCGAACGACATCCCTATACAACCCAGACTTTTGTCCCGCTCGATCTGTCGAGTCAGAAACGTGTGTTGCGGGATCGTCAGCCGGATAAGAAAAGCCATAATTGGCAGGGGTATGGGGAAGGGGATGTGGATTTGATGCTGGGTGGGTCTGCGGATCAGGAAGAGGAGCAGGAAGAGCCTGTTTTTTTGGTGATTGTTGCGCCGACGTTGAAGGGGCAGGCAGCAGCAGCTACGACAGCTACCACTCCAGGCTCTATAACAGACTCGATCGATGAAGCTAGTGGCACTGCGGATAAGAATCGCGTGCTCATTCGGGATCCGCCGGATTTGGAGAATCTAAGAGCCTTTATTGCGCGTGGCGGTCAGGCTGTTACGTATGGTGCGGGCACGTGGCATGCCCCCATGGTTGTGTTGGGTTCACGACGGATTGATTTCGTTGTCATGCAGTATGTGAACGGCGTTGACAATGAGGACTGTCAAGAGGCTGCCTTCAAAGATGGGATTGTGGTTGATTTGAAGTCCTTGAGTGAGGAGGAAGATGAGTTGTGGGACGATGTGAAGAAACTATCGAAATTATAGTGCCCGAGGGAAAAGTGGATGGATGGTCAAAAATAATTATACAATGGGTATCATAATAAGAAGAAGAAAACTATTATACAGTCATATATAACAAACGCGCCCTCAATGCTATCCGTTGCTGGCAATTTTGGAATTATTGGACCAGTCAGTCTCCGTGGATGCTTGCATCTGACGAAGCACATTCTCGGCCACGACGATTACGCTTTCTGGCAGACCTGCCAGTCGAGCCACCTTCAGCGCATGGGACTGGCGATTAACACCCTTGCGTAACCGATGCACAAACGAAAACGAGCCGGATGGACTCTCCTTGACGTCTGTGCAATAGGTACCTAATTGCTCAAACCCAGCAGTCATGTCTACCAAGGAATGAAAGTGCGTTGCGAACAATGTTCGACAGCGATTCACGTTATGCAGATGCTGGAGGCATGCGTATCCAACAGCAGTGCCATCTTCGGGAGTGGTTCCTCGCCCGACCTCGTCCATAATAACAAATGAACGTGGGGTTGCTTGTTTTAGAATCGCCGCAGTCTCCAGCATCTCGACCATGAATGTTGATTGATCTCGGAATAGGTCATCTGCTGCCCCAATCCTGCTAAATATTTGATCCACAACTCCGATCTCTGCATACTCTGCCGGAACAAAGGATCCGACTTGTGCTAGGATTGTGATAAGTGCGTTTTGCCGCAGGAATGTGCTTTTACCTCCCATATTCGGTCCAGTTATGAGCCAGATCCGCTCTTGGTCACCGATGAAGCAGTCGTTGCTGACGAAACGCCGGCCTTGTTCTTCAAGTCCTAGTTTCACTGTTGGGTGTCTGCCACCGACGATGCGATGCGATGTGGCGGTGTTTAGAATGGGTCGCACCATGTTTTGCTCGTTTGCCAGAGTGGCGAATGAGCAAGCAACATCTAATTCGTCCATGACAGCTGCATTGCGACGAATCTTCACAAGATTGAGGATGACTTCACGGCGAAGGTCTTCGAAAATTCGTTGTTCTTCAGCACGGATGTGGACTTTGACTTGGTCTATGCGCGCGCCCAACTGTGACCAGGCAGGTAAGTAGAACGACCGTGTAGACTTTGTGGAGGAAACGTTCCTGGTGACACCCAAGTCTTCAAGCGCTTTCTGTGATATTTTCACCCCTTTGACATGACAGATATAACCGAGGCCAGGTGTCCATTTCAGTGTCAGCATGGATGAACCTACCTGATCTTGCAATTTATTTGTAAGATCCGATTTTTCTTGTTTGAGCCCATCAAGACCATCGTGTAGCCGTGCTAGAGCCTCGGTAGCATTTTGTCGCATGATCCATGTGTCTACGTCTCCTCGATCCGACTCGACCGTGATACCTGGTCTGCCCGTCGTTTTGAATCGGACTTTTCGAGGCATGGAATCTACATCTTCGGGCAATCCTTCGCTCATAACGACATCCTGTGCAAGACCAGCCGCTTCAGCTGCCTGACCATCCTCGATTCGATGCTTTTGCAAGAGACCTTCTTCATCGATGGCGGCAAGAATTTTCTCTGCTAGCTGTATTGGGCCATCCAAATGTAATCTACGGATAAGCGTCGCCATGCTCTGGTGAATGTCTTCAGCACTGAAAATACCGCGATTTTGTTGATCCGAAAGTACCCGGCGTACTTCACGTGAGGCTTCGATAGCCCTAGACAAACATATCAAGTCATCCGGATCTCCTCGGCCTAACGTGAACTTCTGTACAAGCCGTTGTGCATCGTAACTTCTTTTGAGAAGGGATATAATGGTGTCTCGTATTTCTCCAACCTCGAGGAAATAAGTAACGAGATCAAGGCGCTCGTTAATTACGGACAAGGAAGTCGACGGCGAGGCTATAAATGATACGTCAGATAGATATTTGAAACAAAAAATAGGGATAAACATACTAAGTCTATCTCGAAGAAGGCGAGCTCCGCTTTTCGTAGCCGTTCTGCGAACAGCATGAAGAAGGCTGCCTTTACCTAGACTATCTCTGGTCGTCTCCAATATCTCCAGACCTCTGAAACTATTGCGGTCAATCCCCATTGACTCATTGAGATGTCGTCGTCGAGGTGGCTGTAGCTTCATGCCCACTCCTTGAAGCTGAACACGGGCGTATTCTAGGAGGTTAAACCCGGCCGCCACCTCCTCACTGGTAAACGAAGATTCTACTTGCGGGGCCACAGGGGCTTCTAACATGTGAGTCCATTCTGCCATGGGTTGCGTGCTCTTAGGCCCATCGAAGAAAGTAAGAAGCTGGTGATCTATGCCCACCAACATCTGCAGCTCTTGCCCTAGAAGATTCTGCAGTCGCTGATCGGCAACAATCTCTCGAGCACCGATTCTGGCAATCACTGATGGAAGCATTTCAGTTGTGGTTACCTGCGTGTAGAAGTCGCCCGTAGACAGATCCATCCAAGCTAGTCCAACTCGTTGAGAGGATGAAGATAGCAAGTGTGCGACAGAAAACGGGTTTCCTTCATGTCCAGTCTGTGACTTATAATACTCCGTGTCAAGATAAAGCGACAATAAAAAATTGTTTTGTGAAGTATCGATGAATTTCTCGTCAATCAATGTTCCTGGTGTGATCACTCTGGTAACCTTTCTATCGAACAGCAACCCTCCCGACTTTGACTTTTCCTCGACTGGATTCATAAACTCTTCGCTCACGGCAACATATTTGTTCAGATCTTGCACGAGGACCTTGAGAAAGCGATCGAGCTGGAAGAAAGGGAAGCCTGCCATGGGCACCGGTCCGGCGTTCGTCTTCTTGGACGCGAGCTTGATGTTGAGTAAAGGAGCTAGTTCTTCAGCTTGTTCAAAGTAAAGCTGTCCTTGGTTAGATGGGAAATATATTTCTTTTTAAAAAAATTCGACTGAAGTGTGCACCTACTTCGTAAAACCCTCCTACTCTGGTCAGGACCACGCAATTCCTAAATTTCTCCATGTTGTTCCTGTGCCCTTGCACCACCGTGGGATACCGAGGCGCATCATCGGAGCTATCGTTGTACGACTCAAGCTTTAAAGCGCCCTGGGGAAGCTCTTTCAGTTTCACTTGCGTCCTTGTCTTTGCGCCTCTTGCAAATTGTATGGTATTCCGAGTAGTTGAAGCTCCCAAGACTGGACGTTGTCGCGCATTGTTGCTGATCGATCTATATGCGGTGAAGCCGGAGCGAGGAATCAATTTAAAGACACATTGTATAGGCTTTAGGCGCGTAGATATCAGACTCCTTCCATGAAAAGTGCGAACTTGCATGATATATAATGTTATGCCTTCAAACCCATCCGTCGTGTCTCTTGAAAGCGACGGAGGCTCTCTCCTTCCCTTCTTGACGGACTTCTTCTGGTGTTCCAACTTCCCCACGCTGCAGGGGCACACAGCCAATCAGCATCCCGCACGGTGGCAAAAGTCTCTCCACTTAAAGCCGGAAGTTCATCACTTTAGCTCTGCTTGTCCACGCCCTCTTTTACTTCCTACAAAAGCTGCAGTTTTGCTCTGCGGCCCCCCTTATCCAACGCTCCTGGCATTGACAGTACCAGGACGATGATCTTTCAGTAAATATTGAGATCATCCATACTTGTTTCTCTCTCTTTGCAAAGTGGTACTTCGAAGCTCAAGACGCGCCACTGGTGCGGAGCTCGACCTTGAGCAGAAACGAAGAGTTTTTTGAGACTATATTCAACATCTACTGGCGGCCAACGCTCCTCTATACACCCGATCGCTAGGAAATCAGGAGGCGTCTCTGATTTCTTGATATTCTTCACAACACCATTTGAATTTACAGCCGTACAACACTTTCGCAGACGAAAGCAAGCCTGTCAAGATGACGGACCCTAACAATGTGGCGCAATACAAATATTCGTAAGTCTTATCTTGCATATTGGCCATATGATTAACTGCTGATGCGATCGATACTAGGGCGATGAGCAACTTGGTGCTTCAAGCCGATCGCCGATTTATAACGCGCCCTGGAGATGATGCGACCGGTGACCCAGAGTCCCTCGCAGGGAGAATAAATATAAGAGATATGGGATCACGAGTCGCTCGCGATACGGCACCAAAGACCAAGAAGGCTGCAGTTGCTGAGGTTGGTGTCGAGAGAGGTGGCATTCGTGAAGGTGCCGATGTTCTAGAACGCGAGCAGCGTAAGCGCAAACGTGGCGAACAGGATCAACTTCGCGGTGCTGGTATTCTCTCAGCTGCCGATATGCTCATTGAGGGCTTGAAGTATCGGCCCAGGACACCCGCTACGAGGGCGACTTACGATCTTATTCTTACCATGACGGCCAGTCATCTCGGCGACGTACCGCATGAGGTTGTGCGAAGCGCAGCAGACGCTATCCTAGAAACGCTCAAGGACGAAGATATGAAGGATTTTGATAAAAAGAAAGACATTGATGATCTACTTGGGTCTACTATGAACCCCAAAGAGTTCAATGAACTGGTTAACCTGGGTAAGAAGATCACCGACTACGATGCACAGGACGAGGACGAAAACATGGAAGACGGACTCGGTGGCGAAAATGAAGCGGAACTGGACGAGAGACAAGGTGTCGCTGTTGTCTTCGACGAGTCCGATGAGGACGAAGAAGGCTTGCGCGGTATCAACGAAGTCCGCGATGAAGATGAGTCGGATGAAGAAGCCTCAGACGTTGAGGACCGACCGGGAGCAGAGGAAGTTGCTACTGCCGGCGGAGCTGCTGAAGATCGCACGGATCTGGATGGCGATGAAGAAATGATTATTGATGGCGGTAGGATAGGCGATGCCAAAGTATCTGCTGCCGAAAAACACATAATCCCAGTGCGAGAAATCGATGCCTACTGGTTACAGCGTCAGATCAGCACCATATTTCCGGATGAGCATCAGGCAACCGAGGCTGCCCGATCTTCCTTGGAACTCTTAAGTGGCAAAGAGGAGGATGGAAACGAACGCCAGTTGCGTGATATTGAAAACGACTTGATGGAGCTGTTCGACTATGAACATCCTGACCTGGTAGCAAAATTTGTCAAAAACAAAGACAGAATCGTCTGGACGACAAAGTGGAGGAGGTTGGCAGAGAACGATGATGCTCGTCTCTCTCTCGAGAATGAAATGGTCGAAGCCGGCCACCGTGATATTTTAGACGAGATTCACGGGCGAACGACTGCTGCTGACGAGGCTCAGCGACCAGGGAAAAAGATAAAAATGGATCTGATGGATGTTGATGTCCCAGCTACCGCTGTTAAGCAGGAAGAAGCGAAAGCTCCTTTAAGCAGCCTACTGCCAACACGCCTAGTGAACCTCGAGTCCTTGAAATTCGAACAAGGGAATCATCTCATGACAAATCCAAACGTGAAACTTCCCCAGGGTTCTACAAAACGAACTTTCAAGGGGTATGAGGAGATTCATGTTCCCCCTCCAAAGCCGAGACGCGATCCCGGCGAGAAAAATATTCCAACATCCGAGTTACCTGATTGGGCCCGGGTTGGTTTTGGTACATCGAAAGAGCTGAATCGGGTACAGACAAAGTGCTATCCTACTGCCTTCCATGACGATGGCAACATGCTTGTTTGCGCCCCAACCGGCTCCGGAAAAACCAATGTCGCCATGCTCACGATTCTTCGTGAAATTGGTAAGAACCGAAACCCAGACACGGGAGAAATCATGCTGGACGACTTTAAAATCGTCTACATCGCCCCCCTCAAAGCTTTGGTTCAAGAGCAGGTCGGAAACTTTGGTAAGCGTCTGGAGCCATATGGCATCCGCGTATCCGAGTTGACTGGTGATCGCCAACTTACCAAGCAGCAAATTGCCGATACTCAAATCATTGTCACAACGCCGGAAAAATGGGACATCATCACTCGCAAAGCAACAGATTCTAGCTACACAAAGCTTGTACGTCTTCTCATCATTGACGAAATTCACTTGTTGCACGACGATCGAGGTCCTGTCTTGGAAGCTGTTGTTAGTCGCACCCTTCGCCAGAATGAGACTACCGATGAGCCTACCAGAATTGTTGGTCTTTCGGCCACTCTGCCGAACTATCGCGATGTGGCTAGCTTCTTGCGTGTGGACGCCACGAAGGCACTGTTCCATTTTGATGGTTCCTATCGCCCTTGCCCTCTTAGACAGGAATTTATTGGCGTGAGTGACAAGAAGGCAATCAAACAGTTGAAGACCATGAACGAAGTCTGCTACAACAAGGTTCTGGAAAATTGCGCCAAAGGTCATCAAATGCTCATTTTCGTACATTCGCGCAAAGAAACTGCCAAAACAGCCCGGTACATCCGAGACAAAGCTGTCGAGATGGAGACAATTGGCCAGGTGTTGCGAAGTGACGCAGCCAGCAGACAAATCTTGGCAGAGGAAGCCGAGAGCGTCGATGATGCCGCTCTGAAAGACATTCTGCCGTATGGATTTGGTATTCATCATGCCGGACTGTCACTTGCAGACAGAGATTCAGTGGCAAGTTTATTTAGCGACGGTAGTATCCAAGTACTTGTTTGTACGGCAACCTTAGCCTGGGGTGTTAATTTGCCTGCCCATACTGTTTTGATCAAAGGTACACAAGTATACTCTCCAGAGCATGGATCTTTTGTGCAATTGAGCCCTCAGGATACCCTACAAATGCTTGGCCGAGCAGGACGTCCGCAGTATGATACAGAGGGACTTGGAACAATTATTACCACCCAGAATGAGCTGCAGTTTTACCTCTCGCTTCTGAATCAACAGCTTCCGATTGAGAGTCAGCTGATCAGTAAACTTGCCGACAATCTGAACGCTGAGATCGTGCTTGGCAATGTGAGAAATCGCACCGAAGGTGTGGAATGGTTAGGCTATTCCTATCTTTATGTACGAATGCTACGGTCGCCAGGATTATATAGTGTTGGTGCCGATTATGCAGATGATGAGACCTTGGAACAAAAGCGAGTGGATCTTATACACTCTGCTGCTACTCTACTTGAAAAAGCCGGTCTCGTCAAGTATGACAAGAAGATTGGCAAGCTTCAGTCTACAGAGCTCGGACGCATCGCTTCCCATTACTACATCAGCCACAGCTCAATGCAAATCTATAACCATCATCTTCAGCCAGGCATCAGCACTGTTGAGCTCTTCCGGATCTTCTCTCTCAGCGAGGAGTTCAAGTACATTCCAGTTCGACAGGATGAGAAGCTGGAGCTTGCTAAGCTACTCGGCCGCGTGCCTGTGCCTGTCAAAGAAGGCATCGAGGAACCGCACGCAAAGATCAACGTTCTTCTTCAAGCGTTCATCTCACGGCTAAAACTTGAAGGCCTCGCATTGATGGCAGACTTGGTATATGTTACCCAGTCGGCTGGTCGAATTCTTCGTGCTATCTTTGAGATTTGCCTGAAAAAGGGCTGGTCATCTGTTGCAAAGATCGCCTTGAATCTGTGCAAAATGGCAGAGAAACGAATGTGGCCGACAATGACACCACTACGGCAATTTCCAGCATGTCCTCGAGACATCATGCAAAAAGCCGAGAGAATCGATGTTCCCTGGCAAAGCTATTTCGATCTCGATCCTCCACGAATGGGCGAGCTTCTTGGCATGCCCAAGGCAGGTCGTATTGTATGCGACCTGGTCTCCAAGTTCCCGCGCCTAGAAGTTCAGGCACAGGTTCAGCCCATGACTAGATCGCTGCTTCGGGTCGAACTGACTATCACCCCAAACTTTGTTTGGGATGACTCCGTACACGGTGCGGCAGAAAGCTTCTGGGTTATTATCGAGGATTGCGATGGAGAAGAGATCCTTTTCCACGACCAATTTATTCTTCGTAAAGAATACGCTCAGGGTGAAGTCACTGACCACATCATGGAGTTCACTGTTCCCATCTCTGACCCAATACCTCCTCACTACTTCTTGCAAATTATGTCCGATCGCTGGATGCATTCGGAGACGAAGGTAGCGGTGTCTTTCCAGAAGCTCATTCTTCCAGAGCGATTCCCACCTCATACGCCATTACTAGACATTCAACGAGTGCCTGTCCAAGCCTTGAAACGGGACGATTTCAAGGGTCTTTATCCTGACTGGCAGACGTTCAATCGCATTCAGAGCCAAGCTTTCAAGAGTCTATTTGAATCCGATGAAGCTGTTTTACTCGCTGCTCCAGCAGGAAGTGGGAAGACTGTGTGCGCTGAATTAGCATTGCTCCGCCATTGGTCGCAGCCCAACAAAGGACGTGCAGTCTACATTGCTCCTTTCCAGGAGTTAGTTGACCTGCGATACATTGACTGGACGAAACGCCTAAGTTCAATTGCTGGAGGGAAGACAATTGTAAAACTCACCGGTGAGACTACTGCAGACCTGAAGCTCTTAGAGTCTGCGGATTTGGTGCTTGCCACTCCTGTTCAATGGGATGTTTTATCGCGCCAATGGCAGCGGAGAAAGAATATCCAATCAGTCGACTTATTTATTGCGGACGAACTGCACATGATTGGCGGTTACCTGGGCTATACCTACGAAATCATCGTGAGTAGGATGCAGTTCATCAAGCTACAAATCGAAAGCGAGCTGCGGATTATCGGCCTGAGTGTTCCGTTGTCTAACGGTGTGTACTTCATTCCTCCGCTACCTCCATATTCTATATTATCTTGTCGTGATTATAACTAACGTTTGGTTTTATCATACAGCTCGTGATATTGGCGAGTGGATCGGAGCTAACCGCCATTCTATATTGAACTTTAGTCCAAGCGCTCGGCCCATCCCACTGGATTTGCATATTCAGTCTTACAATATTCCTCACTTTCCTTCCCTCATGATGGCTATGGCTAAACCTGTCTATCACGCGATAGCCAACCAACTTTCGCCTGATAAGCCCGCTCTAGTATTCGTCCCCAGTCGTAAACAGGTCCGTTCCACAGCAGTGGATATATTGGCTGCCTGTGTTGCAGATGACAATGAAGACCGTTTTTTGCATGCTGACGTTGACCAAATTTCTCCTCTCTTGGAACGACTGCACGAGCGGACATTGGCCGAGTCTATTTCACATGGAGTTGGTTATTACCATGAAGCATTAAGCACTAATGATAAGCGGATTGTATCCCACCTGTTCAACATTGGTGCCATCCAGGTCATGCTAGCTTCTAGGGATGTCTGCTGGGAGATTGACTTTACTGCCCATCTTGTTATCGTCATGGGCACGCAATTTTTCGAAGGTAGAGAGCATCGTTACATCGACTACCCTATTAGTGAGATTCTTCAGATGTTTGGCAAAGCCTCACGTCCTGGCCAGGACAAGATCGGGCGTGGTCTGCTGATGGTATCTGAAACTAAACGAGCATATTACAGAAGGTTCCTGACCGAGGCACTCCCACTGGAGTCGGGACTTTCTTTGACACTCCATGATGCATTTGTCACTGAGATTAGCACTCGCACAATTAGCTCTACACAGGATGCGGTGGATTGGATGACATACACTTACTTCTACCGACGCCTTCTTGCAAACCCTAGTTTCTATGGTTTAACCGACGTTAGCCATGAGGGTTTGAGTACGTTCCTCTCCGAACTTGTTGAGAACACGTTGAAGGAGCTTTCAGAAGCGAAGATTATCGACCTTGATGAGGAAGACGATAGCATCTCCCCCTTGAATGCAGCCATGATATCTGCATACTACAATATCTCCTTTATCACCATGCAGACCTTCCTCCTGTCATTATCCGCCCGCACGAAGCTCAAGGGAATATTGGAGATTGTTACATCTGCAACCGAGTTTGAGTCAATTCAAATGCGCCGCCACGAAGATCACATTTTAAGACGTGTCTATGACCGTGTTCCTGTCAAGATGGCAGAACCTGCTTATGACTCCCCTCACTTCAAAGCGTTTGTTCTTCTTCAAGCTCACTTCTCTCGAATGCAACTGCCTATTGATCTTGCTAAAGACCAAGAGGTCATTGTTAGCAAGGTTCTGAACCTTCTCAGTGCTTGTGTAGACGTCCTATCATCGGAGGGTCACCTGAATGCCATGAACGCCATGGAGATGTCTCAGATGACCGTTCAAGCAATGTGGGACCGTGACAGTCCTTTGAAGCAGATCCCACACTTCACGCCTGAAGTTGTTCAGGTGGCGAATGAATACAAGTATGTTGCCATCGCTTCTCTCTCTACGAACGCAACTAACCTTATCTACTCTAGGATCAATGACATCTTCGAGTTCATGGAAGCCATGGACCCCTCTGAAAATAAAGACTACGCAGCCTTTGTCAAGCGCCTTGGATTGGACAACAAACAACTAACACAAGCTGCCAACTTCACCAACGAGAAATATCCAAACGTGGAACTGGATTTCCAGGTTGAAGATCCCGATAGTATCACTGCGGGTGAACCAGCTTACCTCAATATCAAGGTGGAACGCGATGTCGAGGAGGACGAAGAACCGGACACGACAGTTCATGCGCCATACTATCCCAGCAAGAAGATGGAGAATTGGTGGTTGGTGGTTGGTGAGGAGAAGACGAAGAGTCTTCTTGCTATCAAGCGTGTCACTGTTGGCCGTCGTCTGGAGACGCGTCTCGAATATATTGTGCCCACGGCTGGCGAGCATGAGTTGACACTGTATCTCATGAGTGACAGTTACGTTGGTGTTGATCAGGATCCTACGTTTACCGTCACTGCCGCCGAGGGTATGGATGAGGACGAGAGCGAAGAGGGAGAGGAGTAAGTCGATAGAAGAAAGAAGATTCTTTTTAGATATGAGGGCTACGGCAAAATTCGGCGTGTTATTTGGAGTGCTTGATTCTTGTTATTGGTGTATGTAATATCACAATTGATTCGCAAGTTTCTTATATTTATCAGCATGTTATACAATCAATCAATGACTTAGGGTATCTATACGCACGTGACGTGACACAACACATAAAGAAAGTTTAAACTTAATATTTTCTATGGAAAGCCTCAAACAGCTTTCTGCGTTAGCTGAATAGTGAGGTTTTATTCCTACTGTTACCTGCCTCATAGTATGGCATCCTAGGACAAAAAAGATTGTTGCCTGATTTTCAGGGCAGCGATGCAACCTTGTGAGCAGAAGCCTGCAACCCCGCTCTCAAAGGTCTCCGCACATGTTCTTTTGTCTCCGTGGAATGCTGGCCTTTTCTTTCTTCTAACACCATATTTGCAGCAAATTAGTCTTTGAGATAGAGACTATTTCATCTGTACCTCAAAATTCTGACTACAATTGTGCTGTGTTCGGCGACTGTCTAGAACCAGGCAGGCATCATGACTATCAGAGCCGCAAACTTCACACCGGAGTAATCTCGTCTCTACATCTCATGGGATTTCCCTCTTCATAGATAACTGACAGACATCATCTCTTCAGGGTTCTCCTCTCCGCTCCGCGACGATCTGTCGCTATTCCTAATCCCACCGGTACGCTTGCCGCTTATACCCAGACAGCATACTCCTTCAGCTCCCACTCCTCAACCAGCGAAATCCGTGTCATCGACCTTGAATCAAGCGAAAGCACAGTTGTCACGAATGAAGCTGGTGCTAGCAACCCCCAGTGGCTCGGCGATGGAGATTTGCTCGTCTGGTTGAAGGAGAAAGATAATGGGAACACGAGCTTTGTGATCAGCGACGCTCGTGACCCTGGTCGATCCTACACCGCAGGCACAGTACCGGGGCCTGTTTCTGATTTGAAGGTGACGAAGCTGGAGTCAGGCAAGTTCGGATTCGTGGTCTCCGGTAAAGCAAATCCCGATGGAAGTTTGTACAACCCGAAGGACGCGAAGAAGCCGCACAGCAGTGGACGATACTATACGTCGATTTGGGTTCGACACTGGGACACGTATGTCGAATCGCAAAAAAATTCTTTGTGGTATGGTGTCTTGCAGAATTCGCCGTCTGCATTGTCCGATAAGGAGAAGAGGTACTCAGCTACTGGGTTAACCAACTTGCTTGCTGTTTCCGGCCTCACTGATGTCGAGGCACCAATCCCGCCATTCGGTGGTACTGGTGACTTTGACATTAGTCCGGATGCTGTTGTTTTTATTGCAAAAGACCCTGCCGTGAACCCTGCGACACACACGGCCTGTGTCTGTTACTATTGTCCGATGATGTCGTGGACTGACTTCAGCGCGCGCGAAGCCAAGATTTGTTCAGTCAAGGGTCTTGAGGGCGCCATGAGCTCACCTGCTTTGTCAAAGGATGGTAGCTCAATTGTGTTTTTGGCAATGGAGAAAGATGGCCACGAAGCTGACAAGAACCGAATCATCTTTGTACCCAATCCATGGAGCGGTGAATTACTTGAAGTATTCAAATCCGAAGACGGGAAAGGACAGTGGAACTTGAGTCCTAGTTCAGTTTCCTGGTCTCAAGACAACAAGTCATTGCTCATTACGGTCGAGGAGAAAGGCCGTGGTGTGCTTTACCAGCTTCCACTCGACAACATTCTATCTGCGAAGCCAGAGAGTCTGAAGAAGCTAACCAGTACAGGCACTGTCACAGGCGTCTCTCCGTTGTCAGCGGACTCTCAACAGCTTCTCGTCTCAAGCAGCAACTTGATAGAAAGCAGCGTTTACACGATCATTGACCCCGATTCTCCCGACCAAGCAAAACTGTTGTCATCTGCTAATAAGGGTGGAGCATCGCTCGGCCTTTCACGCTCCCAGGTTGACGAAATATGGTACAAAGGTGAAAATGGTCAACCCATCCATGCTTTCGTCGTGAAGCCATCAAACTTCAATCCAGACGAGAAGTATCCACTTGCCTTCCTGGTGCACGGCGGACCTGAATCTGCCTGGAATGATGCGTGGAGTACCAGGTGGAACCCCGCAGTCTTTGCTGAACAGGGGTATGTGGTGGTCACGCCGAACCCAACTGGCAGTACAGGCTATGGCCAGGAGTTTACGGATGCTATCAAAGGCAGCTGGGGCGGTTTGCCCTACCTTGACTTAGAAAGAGGATTCGACTATATAAGCAAGAACCTGAAATACGTCGATATCGAGCGGGCAGTGGCGCTCGGCGCGTCATACGGCGGATACATGATGAACTGGATACAGGGACAGCCCCTTGGCCGTAAATTCAAGGCTCTCGTCACCCACGACGGTGTCTTCAGCATGGTCTCGCAACTGGCCAGCGAAGAACAGTACTTCCCTCTTGCAGATTTGACAGGACCCCTATGGAAAGTGCCTGAACAGTGGCAGAAATGGGATCCTTCTCGATTCACAGCAAACTGGGCAACACCACATCTCATTATCCACAACGAACTTGATTATCGATTGACAATAGCTGAGGGACTGGCAGCTTTCAACGTTTTGCAGATGAAGGGTATCGACAGTGCGTTTTTGACTTTTCCGGATGAGAACCACTGGGTCTTGAAGCCTGAAAACTCCCTTGTTTGGCACTATGCGGTCATCAACTGGATCAATAAATACGCAGGATTGCCGCAGATTTCGACAACTCATCACGAAGCTGTCTTTTCGGCCGACAAAGATTACAAGAGGGTCACCAACGTACCCCTGAGATAAACCTGCGTTGTGAAGGAAATCTGTATACACAGATCGACAGTTAGGTGTATGTACATAATCAGCGTGTTAGTTAGATTTCTGTTGCATATCTCCTTTTCTTTGGACTTGTCATCAATTTTGCCTATGAAAATAGTCTTGACGGATGGAAAACAATATCTGAGAATAAAGAAAAACTCCGACCACTGGCTGACTCCGTGGTTCGTCTCATCTATACCTGCACAAGTGAACCGACTCATTTCCCTTGGTTGGTTCATAAAGTTCTTTATAAGCAGGCTTCGTCCTGCATACGTACCGGAGAGTTACCTGAGTGACTCTTCGCTGCTGAAAGTTGTCATTTTCTCATAGATATTGAGTCATTTGCTTAGGATAACACATCACTTCCAGTATCTTTATGGCACATATATATGTATACTCCATTACAGTAAAGAATTTGATTTTCTTGTATACCACCAAGGGCAATCTTACAAGGTTTTCTGGTTATCTTACCAAAACTTATCCTCTGCAAGTTAACCTGGATTGCATATTATCATTCTTCGTCGGAAATGACCAAGAATCACAATTCCGGTAAAGATACGGTCCTCGGGCGCAAGGATTCTCCCAACTCGGCCACGGAGATACTAGACTATGCTCCCGAGCCAAAGGTGCATCCGGACTTCATGGCCACGATAACCCATCTCTCCGCGCGACTATACAAGTTGATATCTTTAACCAGTGCACTGGCGCACCCCGGTTTCCCGGACTCGCTGTTCCAATACCATCTTCTCACAAACAATCAACTCGACGACCTTGCTCGCTACTATGATCAGGTATGGCCACCAACACCGGAGTCTGCTCGATACCCAAAACCGATCCAAGCGTGGATCGGAACGCCGGATGAGCATACAATCGATATCGAGACGAAGCGTAGACGGATAGGTTGTTTTATAGGACTCAATCTAAGGTAGATACGTCTAGATACCCATCGACGGCTGAGAAAATGGACCTAGTCACTTGCCATGGAAACTGGATGCACAGGAAGTACAGGAAAAGGCCGTGCTCTGGCATAGTGTTATTACGGGACAAAACCAACCACAGTCGCGTGGTCACTGAAGTCAAGACCACATTTGCGTTCAATGCCGCCAACAATGCTGATCTGCCGGTTGAACGGATCTTCCAAAGATCCGAAGAGTATCAATCTACTGGGAGCTCGACGAGTACGAAGGCAATGTTCAGTTCCATGAGAACCTTTCCGAAATGAAAGGTGCATTCTTCATCGCCAATCCGTCAACAAATGTTCATGTCGCTGTTCACCAAGACAGACAGGCATGACGAAGGACACCTTTGTGAGGTTTTGATAGAGACGGGTGTTTCTGTTCTTGGTCATCAAAGCTGCGAACGGAAGGGACATATACGCTACAGTAAAATCTAGCAAGAGACCCTCGTGAACACGGAAGTAATCTTCCAACACTTTGACTTACTGTTGTGTGTACTGGCCACAGACCTCCTCTGAACCATGTATGGCAGCAAGCTTAGGCTTTGATTTTCATACAAATATGACTCAATGGCATGCCCGGTGAGTCACAAAACGGCCATGTTTCAAAACGTTGGGGAGGGAAAGAAACAACAGAAATCTCGTAGAGATAAAAAAGGTACCAAGAGGGGCCAAAAGTTCTAATTTGTTTGCGCATCCTCGGTCCGGTCAACTGTAATTCTCCGGAACATGCAAATAACGAGAAGTAACTGAAAATGTATGGATAACTTACTAACCTATGACGAGTGTGTGTGTGTGATAAATACGAATAAGTAATTTTCATACGAGTCTGAGTGCGGAGAAAGGAGTGCTGATCAAAATAGTCCGAAGATCGGGCGCTCTGTCGGTATACCGGTAACGTATGTATCGGTATTACGTTCGCCGCTTGCTTTGATCTACATCACTTCCATTCTCTGATATTCAAATGCAGCTTGTATGTCTGAAAGTTGCCTTCGCCAATTAAAATCTGTAACAGCCTGCAAATTAACGGAAGTCTAAGTATATGCTTGTTGATGATTGTTCTATTGATACGGAGCTTATATATTACTAGCTTAGACTATTTCTCCAGCTTTTTATATTATTTTTTACCTAAGCGTCAAACTCAATGCGTCCGAAACTTACTAATGGTAATACTAATACAACGATACGGTGAGCGTTTAAGCTTAGACGGGTGAAGGGAGGATGATCCCATCGTTTTTTTCAATCGAGAACCTAGGTTTAGCTGCGAGTATCTGCTAGGGTCTAGACTGCCGGTCTTCTCTCTTTATATATTCCCACGTTTCCCCTCTGTCTGTGATTTTTGGGACAGAAAAGTGAGAGAGAGAGAACATATCTTGCGCAATGAGCACCAACGACGCTCACGAGCCCCGCGCGGGCCACGCAGAAAATGATCGCGACGACGACAGCAGCTCTGAGATAACGCTTACACGATGGCAGAAAATCGAGAACATCATCTGGGATGGCGGCCATCGGACTCCCCAGGAACGAAGCCTTGTGCGAAGACTGGACATCTTTATCATGTTAGTGTTATTTAACGCAAAATGTTCTCCGCAAACACGAACTAACTCTATACAATGATAACAACAGGAGCTGGGCGACAATTGGGTACTTTGTCCGATTGCTCGATTGGGCCAATGTTAGTAAGTAATGACTGAAATCCAGAAGTTTCTGAAAGGCAGGACGTCAAAACCAACCAATCAAACCAGCAAATGCGTATGTCTCCGGCATGAAGGAAGACTTGCACTTCACTGGAGCAGACTATAATCTGCTCTCGACGTTCTTCATCATTGGCTATGTCATCGGCCAAGTGCCTTCACAATTGGTCCTGACACGCGGTATGTCTTTCTAACATCATGTACTCAGATGCAAAATTCTGACTGATGGATATCAAAAAAGTCCGCCCGTCAATATGGCTCCCGACGTGCGAATTGCTCTGGTCAATTATCACCTTTTGCTTCGCTGCAGTCCGTAATGTGCGAGATGTTTTTGCTCTCCGTATCATTATGGGTTTCTTGGAGAGTCCATTCGCCGTCGGCGTTTTGACTATTATGGGTAGTTGGTACACGCCGCGAGGTATGTACTTGCCCTCCTCCTTTTCTCTTTTGCTCGCTTGCTAACAGATTAATTAGAACTTTCCAAAAGAATAGCAATCTTCTACTCCGCCTGCTACGCCGCCAGCATGTTCAGCGGATATCTCCAAGCCGCCATCTACCATGGCATGGACGGCCACCTGGGACTTCCCGGATGGCGCTGGCTCTTCATTTTCTGCGGCGTCATCTCCATGCCGTTCAGTCTGTACGGCTACGTCGCCATCCCAGACAACCCCTACATCTGCAAAGCGCGCTGGATGCCCGCTGAGCAACTCGATTTCGCGCGCAGACGCATGGAAGCATACGATCGACGACCACCGGTGCTACTAACCTGGGCAAAAATGAAACGCATCGTGACTCATTGGCCGCTGTATGCGTTCACAGCAATCATGATCTTCCAATGCCTCGTAACCCAGCCTCTCAATTACTTCGCCGTGTGGCTGCAGGCGCTGAATCGGTTTTCCGTGTATGAGGTTAATGTTATCCCAACCTCAGGCCAAGCTCTGGGTCTTATTACAACGCTGTTGTATAGCTGGTTGTCTGATGCATGGGGCGGGAATAGACCCAAAGCCCTCCTTATCCCTGCCGTGATCAATCTGGTTGGTTTGATCATTGTTGCGATTGGACCGGGTTTTGGCGCGACCTTGTTTGGGTATTTGCTCAATGGGGCTAGTTGGGGATTCTGGCCTATTTGCTTTGTGCGTTCTCTCTCTTCTCCTCTCAAAATCTGTTTTCTGCTGACTCAAGTTAAACAGGCATGGACCAACGAAGTCTGCGCCAAAGACCCGGAGGAACGAGCAATAGTAATCGGTGTTGCACAGACACTTGGCCAAGCATTTGTGGCATGGTTACCTGGTTAGTCTTCTCACAGCAGTTAATGGACGGGAAAAGGAAAAAAATTCACTAATCTATTTTTTGATTCTCCCAGTCATCATTCTGAACACATCCAAATACGCACCCAAATTCACCATTGGGTGGAGTGTGCTGAGCGGCGTAAGCGGATTGCAATTAGCAATGGTATTTGTGATTCGATGGCTGGTAAAGCGCGAGAAAAGACAGGAAGCAGCGGCAGCAGAAGAAGAGTATTGCCGTGGCAATGTTAGCCATGGTATTGATGATGTTGATGCTGGCATTGAAGAAGTGAATACTGTCACCAAAATCGATGCTGCTAATGGTAGTGGCAGTGGCAATGGTGGTTTGGTCGTCGAGACAGTTCGAGAAGGGTCGAAGATGGCTTGATATGATATGACAATGAGTTCAGTCGTCGATGTTACGAGACGGTGATCTCTTACACAGACTGAAGGACATGCGAGGCGGGTCATAGGTTAATGCCGAGAATGAAGACGTGTGCCTTCAGCTTATAGCTAGTATTAGGAAAACCGAATCTGTTGAAGTAATGATACTCTGCTGCATTCTATGAACAATGCACATTTACGATTGCCTTACTCGAGCCGAAGGACGGTAAACAAGTTTTATTGCAGGCTGTAGAATACGTCACTTCGTGTAGCTTGCCTATTGCATCAACGACGTGCAATGATGGACACCATCAATAAGAATAGGAATAGAGCCAGCGAACACAATAAGAATAAAGAATCATCGTCTAGTCACGCACTCCTGCTATCAATTAGAACAGGCCAACAGACCATCGTGGCAATGCTTACTCAACAACCGTATGCCATGAAGCTCTGTCAGCCGCTAGAAGAAGCTCCTCGTCCTCACTCAACGTCTCGCCGTTCACAGCCATCCGCACAATCGTCGCTTCGGCAAGAGCTGGTTTTCTACCGTGTCCGAAAAGACGGTAAGGAGCAGACGTGATCAGTCCGTGATAATAGAAGTTGATAATTGTCGCACCTTTCAAAGGGGCTCTTGAACACACATATTTTCTGAAAAGCTTTTTGAGGCTAGGCATAACGCCAAGATCGGTGGCCAACGTCTCCAAGTAACCAAGTGTAGGCACCGCAATGGTGTGCCGGCGAGATTGAACAAACTACATACTTCTGGTTAGATATTGTGGACCGATATACACTTGACCGAAGGACACTTACCAGGTGACATTGCTCCTTATAAAACTTTTCAATGCTCTTCTGCATTTTCTCCACCGATGGTAACGAAATTCTTGCAGTCAATACACCGACAGCCCATCGTGCCTGTAGCTCAACCGTCGGATGAATGGGCCCCAGGAATTCGACTAATCCCATGAAGAAGAGATTGTTATGTTCCGGGGGATTGATGAGTCGATACAGACGCACGGAGTTTGGCTCATTCCCACGATATGTGTCCTCAGAGATTAACGGCATGGTAACATTATATCCAGTGCACAAGATCACTTCGTCAACTTCGAGGCTGGTATTATTACTGAGAATAATCTCCGTCTCAGAGAAGCTCTCAACTGAGGCACGATGTGCAGTAATACGACCAGAACGAACATGCTCTAGCAGACTGGTGGATACAACTGCATTAGCCTCGAGAATACCGTGGTTAGGCTTGAGAGTCTCTGGTGTTTCACCCATTACAGCGCGATGAACGCCTTCGTAGCTCCACATGAGCACCGATCGAGGCAGGGCATATTCCCAGAATCGACTCTGCAGAGATTCAACAGGCTTACCGTTGACGTATCTCGGTAAAACCCAGCCTCCTCGCTGAGTGATGAGGTGGCATGATTTAGCCCGGAGAGAAACTTCACTTGCAATGTCCACGGCTGATGGACCAAACCCTACTACAGCCACTCGTTTGTCTGCATACTCATCGGGCTGGCGGTAGACATGACTGTGGATAATACGGCCCTCGAAACGTTCAAAACCTTCGATTTCCGGGGTGTATGGAATGCTCTCTTTGCCGGTACAGATAAACAGTGCATCGTAAAGCTCCTCGCTTGTACCGGTTATGACCTTCCACTTCGTGTCATCATGCTTGACACAGGACAGCACTTCAGTGTTCAGAAGAATGTACTTTTCTAGACCGAAGTGGTTTGCATAGTCCATAATGTACGTCAGGTAATCTGTGTGGGTAGGATAATCGGGATATTTGGCAGGGTCCATAGGAAAGTCGCTGAAATGAGAGCGCAAGGAGCTAGTGTTTGAGACAACACCATTGTATACCGATGAGAATGTTTCGCCAGTGACTGGGTGAGGTTCTTCGTAGCGCCACTGGCCGCCAATACCGTCACGAGCCTCGTAGACGGTTGGGAGCAAGCCCTCTTCGAGGCACTCTTTTGCGGCGACGAGGCCAGAGATACCTGCGTTGACACGTTGTCAGAAGAGCCCGTAAACATAGGTGATATCCCGAACTTACCGGCACCAATGATGGCAACTCGCTGAGCCATATTGAGATGCGTGATAGAGTGGATGACAGAAAACAGATAGGACAATTCGAACTGATAGGATAACGTTGGGAATGAATGTATAGACAGAAGAGCTGAGTCTGCGAAAAGGAAGAGAAGGGTGGGAGAGAAGAGGAAGAAAGAAAGAGAAAGAGCACAAGACAAAAATGAGGGGATGGGAGGACTGGCAGAAGAGGAAGGAGGTCTGGTGTGCCTTCCCCGGCAGGAGCTCTCTTTCCATGCCTGCACCTTCCGAAAATGGGTATCTCCTGCCTCATCAGATCACCTCGCCTGCGTTATGTAAGCGAGAGCCATGGAGGCATCGAAGGACTTTTTTCTCACCTTGTCAGAACATGCCTTTTCTAATGATCGCTTTACATCAGTTAAGTACTGTTCCTCCGAAGCCCTGGCTATATCGATGCCCTGTACACAGGCGACTTTGGTCCGCTGTTTGCTCATAATACTAACATCTGATTTAGGCACGCCCAATGCCTAAAAAAAAGAGGCCGTTAGCATGCATAATCGTGCACACTGAAACTCGTTTCAAAAGGATAAGAACAAATCCCACCTCGGCCAGAACCTTAGCAACGGCGGCATTCGCTTCACCTTTTCTAGGCTCGCACACGACGTGAACATAGACTTGCTCGTTGCATATCCGTTTGATTCCTTCAACACTTCGAGAGGCAGGAGTAACATGGCAGCGGATCAGAAGATTGTATAAGGTGCTGGAGCGTGCTTTGCCGATCGAGCTTAATCGAAGAAGCTGTGGTGCCTCGATCATCATTGTTTTTTTTATACTTAATCGAAAGTAAACTGGCGTCGTGATATTGTGCGTGATCGCCGGAATCAGTTGATTTCCGTGCCTGGCTCAAACATTGTAATTTGCTGACATTTATAAAGATAGAAAGCCTAGACGTACGTACGTGTGTCGGCCGGAGCTAGGTTGATCCGAGGCCTGTTCATACAACTAGATAGACCAAGGGCAAAGTACTTGAGAATATTTACTACCTACCATTATATGCTGTGACCTCTTACAACAGGCTCAGACATGCCAATAAATATGCTGATGTAGTGTATACTTTATTCATAACAACGGAGCTATGTAGACCCGAGTTGCCGCCACGTCTCTTGGCCATCTACGACACTACAGCTTTTCGCTGGCTCACATACGCATTCCACCAACTGTGAAAAGTAGATTTATACGCCGCTATATGATCCGTATCTCGAAAGTTATGATTTAGATGCATATCCCCATGACAAGGGCCACCATTAGTGCCTGGCATGCGTCTCCAGATACCCGTATATGAAACGAAATTCCACGACCGTCCGCAGTTCAAATTGCAGCAACAGGATGTCCAATAGGCGAAGCGGGATAGAAATGCATGCCGTCGATCGTCGAATTCGGAAGGGGGGCTTTCATGCAATGTATGGAGGATATGTAGCATATAGAGCACTGCTAGTACGAGCCCCTGAGATAGAGGAGGTGTAGTACCCTCCTTGCGGTGTGCTTTTGGGATGACCCTGTTCCAGTACTCGCGTATAATGGCCTGGGACGGGCCTGTAGATTTGTCAAACTCTTTCAAAAATTCTTGGACTGATAAAGAACACAAGTCTGTTAGTAAGCCATATTCGGCTATTACGGCACTATATCTTGATTTAGATTCATACTCACATCGGACTTTTCTATCTTTCTCGTCATAGCACATTCGGTAAACTGACCGATAGACATTCCATGATTCGAGTGTCAAACGATTCCAGTAACCATTTGCCCGTGGTCTGAAGTGATGCTTCGTTAGAATGTAAAAAAGCCGAGGATGGACATCTGAGGTGGCTTTTGAAGTGTTCTGTTCGACAAGCGTCACTTGTGATAGCGTAACAGTCACCTCCTGGTTGCTCACCTCTTGGTTGCTCACTCTGTTGGATTCTCGTCCTCAGTCAGCACAGATCGCTAAGGCATGTGAAGATTTGACCGTGTGTAAGAGATTCGGGAATATCTCGAGCCTCACCTTGATGCTGACGGCATTGTCCAACCGATTGTCCCCATTGAGGCCTTTGTCCCTGAAGAGGATCCGAAGGAATCCACATCTCCAAAAATGCTCTGGTACAAGATGCTGCTGTGGCTGCGGCATACGCATGCCAAATATCATTCTTATGGCTGTTAGCGTAGTCAGAAACCCCCTTGATGATTACACAGGGCCTGTCATCCCACATCCCTGCACCTTCCATCTCAAATGCAATGATATTCTCGTCACATCGGTTTCTTTCCCTCCCAACGATATAGTCCCGATGTTCGCCGGACTTCATCACGGTGTTTGCCGAGGCGACCGTACCGAAGTGAATCAACGGTTCAGGGACGAAGGACGGATTATCCACATCAGCGTTCAAACGTGTTCTTTGAATCAAGTGTTCTGCGCATCCTGTGATGGAGCAAGGATCTTGCAATGAAGCAGGGCAAACTGGATCATCTTGTGTTTTGCAATAAACGCATTCACACGTGATGTGCTGCGCGTAGTGCTTGTGTCGGACTGATGCTTCGAAGAGTCTATCTTGTGAAACGTCTTTATATTCCCATTTCCCTTGATCCTGCTTCTGAATGAACCTCAAGTTATGCATCATTGTCTCATGGAGCGGTTCGGCCTCGGATCGCAAGTGGCTGAGCATATTCCTTATGTCAAGTGGAGGATTACCGAGAACTTCTCGTCTGCCAGTCCTTCTTTTATATTCGTTAGGCAACTGTTTTCCATTATCAGTCTGGACAATACTGTCACCGATAATCACATCACCGAAAATCGTCTCCGCTGTTTCTAGCTTTTCATCTTGTCCTCTTTCTCGGAAAGGGACACCAGCACATACCCCAACCAATAAATAGAGCTTGATACCTCGGTAGGTATGGCTAAGGTCTGTCACTGAGCGCGCAGAATATTGCGTCCCCTTTCCCGAAAGCTTCACCAGGACCACGTTGTGTCTTCCAATACGACCGAGTTTGTAGTAGTTCGCATCACCAATCAGCTTACCGAAATCTGCTGCGTTATATGTCTCGTCGAAAATTTTGTCGATGGCTTGCTTTTCCACGTCGAGGGTGCAAACAATTCCAATATGGACATCTTCGCGGGTTTGCTTCTGAGTAATGTTATATGTAGTCATGATATTATTGATGTTTCCTCCCTAATAGTAAGTTACGTCGCGCGTCGAAGTTTGTTTGAAGTAAAGTGATACTATATTGCAAATCTAGTAGTTGGCACTGTAGAAGAGAAAAATGCAGAGCTTCGACCAGCTATCTATACCTAGCCACTTGGCCGTGTTGAGGCTCTTTTGCTTTCAGCGCAAGGCATATATGAATGCCGTACAAGCCACTTGCTTAGCCAAGGCAATAATACTCATTTCATGCAGTGACTGAGGAGTAACTCAGGCACTTTTTCTGGGTATTCTAGGTTCTATCGACGTGCCTCGTACTTTGTAAGCCTTGTGATCCACGTCGGACGCTTCGTAAGGCCTTCACATCGCCACTTTTCTCAGAACTTGTTTGTAAAATGCAGGAAGTTCATTCGTTTTGCCATTCTCGTGCAACTCAGCTGACCTTAAGCTTTAGATGCCCGGGAGGATCGCTCAAGTGCGCATGCCAATCAAGTTGAAACAAGATACAAGTCCGAGGTGCCCAATGAAGTCCATTTGCTGCTCGGCAATGTTATACTGTTTTTATTCCTTTCGCCACTGCTCTAGCCTCAGCCCTTGCGGCATGTGTCTGTGCGGCTCTTGCGGGTCGAAGAAAGGCCCGAGATGACTCGGGCTCTTGTCTAAATGCTAGACAAGCTTATCTTGCTTTTATAGTCAGGGCATAAATGAACTGTATTGCTGAAGAGGTTGTGGCGTGACCGTGCAGGGAAAAAGGAACGAAAACTGACTCCGATCCGCGGTGCACAACTTTCAACCCTAACTCCAGATACATCGTCAATAAATAATATTTAGTTTTCTATGCAATAATTTTGTACCATCAATATCCGGAGAAGTTAATAGTAATCATCAAAAGTGATATCGAATGCATATTTGTCCCCAGTGCACTACTCGCGGGCATATTTAGCATCACGCGAATGCTCGAGAGTTGTTTTCTGCACCCAAGGCTTTCTCTGGTCTTTCTGGTCATCTTAATCTTGCATTTGCAATGCCAGGTTTCATCATAGCAGCCGCCTTGATAACAGCGGCGCCTGTATACAATGCCAACTTCCTTGGGAAAAGGGGGACCGATCAGACTTGTGGTTATATTAGTGGAAAATCCCAGTAAATCATTTCATATCCTCCAGAGGCATGGCGTCTATAATCTGACGAACATGGGGACAATGCAAGAATCATTCTAACCAGCGATCAGGTTCTCCTCTGGTCTGCCCAGGAACATCCACATGCAATCTCGACTCCTACTACTGGGGATGTTGTGACCATTTGACCTGTGATAGACCAGCAACGTGCGAGCTAGTCTCATCCCCTTATTGCGGGGGAGTGGCCAGCTCCAATTGCATTTATTCGCAAATTCGCCGGTGGTAAGCATTGTGAACCGGAGATATTGAGCAAATGTTTGGTGCCCTTAAGACTTTTGGTTTGATTGACCTTGCTTTTTCATTCTTTAGTTCCGACGCATGCGTGACCTACGTCCGTGAGACTCAAGCGACAGGATCGGATCCTATTACTTCTTGGTCCTGTGGTCCAACGGCGGAAGAGATTCTGGTGTTGGCCACGGCAACGACCGGAGACTCTACTTCGATTTCTGGTATGACCCCATATTTACGCTGAAAGGAAAGGTCGGGTAGATAATCATTCTGCTGTGGTGAGTTATGCAACGGTCAGTGCAACGGAGTCGGTATCGAGCACCATATCTACTGGCACCGAAGATGGCGCAAAACCAGTAACAGAAACAACAAGCAGCACAGTTGGGGGAGAAACAGGAATTGGTTCTAGTATTTTGAATACATCACCCTCAGGTACGTTGTGTTTTTGTCGGATTATTGGTCTTTCCTTCAGATTGCTTTTCATTGACATCTGACTAATTGGTGTCATACGAATGCTCATATTAGGAACCGGCACAGCCATGTACTTAACGACCAGCATTTCCGCCATTTCATCAAGCGAGACCGCAATCCCCAGTGCCATGCCCGCACACAGTGGTCTCAGTGGTAGCAAGATTGCAGGAATCGCCGTCGGTGCTGTGTTTGGGACTCTTATAATCTGCGCTAGCTCGTATATCATCTATAGACGCTGTTTCTGTGGCAGGTCAGGTGGAATGGAGCCACGAAAACAAAGCGACCAAATATGGGCCTTCAGAAGCTCGCCGTACCCAGACCTTTCATCGAAATGCAGGACAGGGCGTCGATTGGCAATGTTGTTGAGTTTGAAGACAATCGAACCTGGGACGGGCCAGCGGTGGAGATTAGGAGTCAAAGCTCAACTGCTTAGTCCGGGAAGGATAGGCGGTTGCAAAGAGCAATGTATCTGTACACTTGAGTGTGGTCATTGTAATCATATAGCGGAAATTGTCTGTTCAGCATTGTCCATATGCATTCGATGTCAACGAGCGAAATGTTTTGTTTTGACATTCTACAAAGCACATCGTTGGCTGAAGCTAGGTATATGCGCTAGACCATATTAGATAAAGCGCCGTTTGTAAACTAACCAATCGTATCTAAGGCCCACATTAACATCCAAGTCCAACCTCTCTTTTTTTAGGCTGTGCCTATCTTCATCCATTATTAATGGCAATCGCACCATGACCTCGCCAATTCAGCTGAAGAGCAACAATACACCACAGAAAAAGGTAAAAGGCGCCCCGGACTATGATGACGCGTCATACTGGGATACCAAATTCGTGACCGGCCAGGATGTGGGCGAGTGGCTCAACAAGGGAGATGTGCTTCTGGATGCTGCCTTGACTGAGCTTGAACGACGATACCCTTCGAGTCATACTACTGGTAATGATACACCTGGAAATGAAGGATATATTTCCGGCCCCCGTGCATTGCATTTAGGTCCTGGGATTTCAGCGCTGGGGAGTAAGCTGTGCGAGGGTTTTGTGCAGCGAGGCTGGAAGGGAAGTGATATAGTTGTATGCAATCCCCCTTGAAGCAAAAACGAATTTCTCGACATCTTGGATCTGCAACCCCAGTTTAGTATTTCGTTATATGTTTCATCGAAGCTTTAAATAACAACAACCACCATATTCAATCAATGGAAGCTAATGCGAAAGCCATCCGAATGGGCCCTTTTTCTTGTAAACAAAACAGAACGTGGATTTTTCTTTCGAAGCAGTCCGAATAGGCCGCGAGAATGAGCATGGAAAAGCTAGTCCGGATCATATAATGCATTGGATCCAAGCTGATCTGTGCTCATGGGAACAAGTCTCCCAATCGATTCTGCCATTTGCTCCCTTTGATGTGATCATCGACAAAAGTACCAGCGATGCCATTGCCACTTCTGTGCCGCGAACATTTCATCGTCCTTCGGCCTCTTCTAATGATAATGGTGATACCTGCAATGCCAGCGAGGGAAATAGGAGTGCCTCACATGAAACCGATTCCGCCATCTGCCCCTATTTACGAGACCCCCTATCGCTGAATCTAAATGGAGATAATAGCAAGGGTTGTGTAACTTTGTCCCCCGTTGAGATGTTGTCAATACATTTGGTGTCCCTCGCCAAAAAGGACGCAATTTGGTTGGTGCTTTCGTACTCGAGTGTGCGGTTTGATGGGTTGCCATATCTGAGGAAATATTGGGAAGTTGCTTCACGCACCCCTCTCAAAGCCCCAGCCGGTCAGGCCTCATCTGCTACTGCTATGGTTCCGGATGTTTTCCATTGGGTCTATGTTCTGCGAAAGAAATGATCAAGTTACCTACGGCTGATGGAGTGGAGGAATTATATAGAAAAATACCCGGCCTCAATACCTGTCTAAGTATTGAGAAATACTGCGTGCTTGAGATTTTTTCAATGCCCAGTCAATCCAATGTAATGTCTGATTCTCTAAGTACAACAAGACGCAACGCCTTGGAAGACAACAAACGAAAATTGAGATTCTGTGAACACTGTGAACTTTGCCTTGGCATCCTTATTGACCCAAGACCAATCATAGAAACTTTTTGTCCATTAAATGTATCATCCAATGTCTTTTTCCCCTCGCAGATAATGCCCCAATGTAAAGCGCGTTCATATATGAGTAGCGAAACTTCGTCCATCCTTCAACTCAATTGTTTTTTTGAAAGAAGGATGCAGAGCCCCGGGCTCCTCACTCTTGAGCCTCGACCCAAACTTGGTAGTTCTCGCCCATCCAATCGAAGATCTTCTGGTAGCCATCATTGTCTAGGCCATACTGCTTGCAGATCACAAGCCAGATAAGTAAATCTCGGGTCAGGTCGGTGGATTCGATAAGTGGCTTCATTATGTCCATTTTTAGTTGTTTAGTGAGGACAAGGGCAGCGAAACGACCACTGATTGTAGCGCGATCTGGAGATTTGGGAGGAAGGTCTGCGTAGGACTTGCTCACAGCTGACATGTTCTCTGAGTCATCGAAGAATTTCTGAATAACCTTACTCACGGCGATAGCGAGATCCGGGATTTGATACACTGATGCCAGCTGGTTAAGCTCAAAGTAGACGTTGATGGGACTTCCTGGGAGCGGTTCTTTGAGCTGGCCACGAGAATTGTAGAGCCACTCGTTGAACAGGCGAAAAGCTTCTTCAGAACAGTTCTTGATTTCCCAGACTGCTGGGGCGGCACCGATAGGATCGTCGTCTTCAACCTGGAACTTAGGTATGGCAGATGGTACTTTGACATAGAGTATCTTTTTCGGTAACTGCCACGCAAACTTTCCATTCACGTACACAGATACCACTCCATCTGCCTCAAGGCTATAGGTATGGATGTGTTAACTTCAACTTCTTTGCGAGAACATGTGTATAGGGGAATGGCTAACGTCTAGGATATGCATGGGATCACATACTCAAGGACGTTGGCGCTTCTGGGGTTTACTTTTGATTCAGAAGACCCTGGAGATTCAGACATGATTGTCTTCGAGCTAGTGCTGCCCACAAAGACGATGATGGAAGAGAAATTGTAGTTGCCAGAAGAGAGCTGACCTTGGCTGTCTGTGGGAGATAAGCGAGTAGGATGTGAGAGGTGAGTGAGTGAGACGAGGTCTGAAGGTGGTGGTTGTTGGTGTCAGGACAGCCACCTAGGCAACCATGTGACCTCCTTTGTCAATCTGTTTCAACTGCTCCCTCAACCTCCACTCCTCTTTCTGTGCTTATCCCCATCTTCGTCTCACTACTTTCTCATTCCTTTTTTGCTACATGGCAGTTAACAAGCATTGAAGAGCTACGAGCTTAGTCCTTCTAGCATCTGCTTTGAACTATCTTTGTGCTATCTCAAGGCTCGCTACAATGAGATGCTGAGGCCCCAGGCAAGACGTGGCATTGGTGTCAACTGACAAGCAAAGGCAAACATGTTGAAGAGACACAAAAGAAAGCCCCACATACTCAGCGTCAAAATCCTTCTTGTCAAACGCGCCCACTATTAACGTCATCCAATGTGTTCCAAATCAAAATTTTCCCTCTTATTAAAAGAAGTTAAAAGAAGAGAAAGCAAGGCTTAAATCAAACCTGGTACAACCGAGATCAAGAAGACGCCTGTCTCTGTGACGACCCCGATTTTCCCCTACACCTTGTACACCGCAGGCATATCGAACACTATAAAAGCGGAAAGTCGATCTTGCACGCTGCTGCAAATATAGGCTGCGTCCGGATGTCCGTGGTGAAAAGATTCATACACATACTGGGAACTTGTGATGAAGAAGACTCATTTGGTATGACGCCGCTAGCTCTGGCAGCAAAGCATTCTGATATTCAACTTTGTCAAATCTTCCTCGAAGCTGGTGCAAGGGTTGAGGCCACTATAGAATTCCCGCGTCCAGGGGGGCAAGATTCTTTCGATTCCCAAAGACGAGCCTCGCCTTTGTGGTATGCTGTTAGCAAGCCAGGGAATACTGATCTCGTATCGCTACTTATTTCATATGGAGCGGACGTCTCACTTCTTTGTTATGGAAAGGAACTGATTCGACAAGCCGTCCAGAATTCTGATGTGCATGTCGTGGAGTTGCTTTTGCGGGCTGGTGCAAATCCAAAGGCGGTTTCGACTACGGGGACACTGCTACACGCCGTGAAAGACCCTGAAATTGCTAAATTACTCCTTTTGCATGGGCTTGATGTCAATGAGGCAGTTGGTGAATTTCACCCACCCATAATTGCTGCTGTGATCATGAATCGTTCAGAAGTGGTTCAATGCTTCCCTGAGGCCGGAGCAAAGACTAACATTATTGCACCCTGCTGTGGGGAATCCCTACTATCCATGGCAATTCGGAAAGGATATTCGAACATAGTCCAGATGCTCATCAACGCGGGCTGTGATGTCAATAATCAAAATGATGAATTTGGTACTCCCCCTTTACACCTAGCTACTTTATACAACCAGGAAAGCATGTGCCGAATGCTCATAAAAGCAGGTGCAGATATTTCTCAAGAATACTCTGAAGATATCTTATTTACTGCAGCTCAATGGTCCAGTCCGTCTCTGTTTCAATTTCTCATCGATTCTGGGGCAGACATCGAGGCCGAGGACTCCAGGTTTCGCACACCTTTGTTCAGGGCGATCGAGTGTGGTCGAGAGGAAATAGTGCAATTATTGCTTGATGCCAATGCCTATGTCACCACAGGTTCACTTGATAGAATATACCTGCAGCCTGCTATCTACATAACTGCTGGGTTGGACGAGGGGTTGACCAAGATTTTCAGTTATCTTCGCAGTTACTCTCTCAAAGCGATCAGCACCGCATACCCCTCGATAAATACAGTGTCCGGAGATTTGGACACGCACATCTCGATGATTAAGATGTTTCTTGACCATGGGCTAGATTTTTCGGAAGCAAAATTTAGGGGTTTGGGAATCCTGCATTATGCTGTATGGAGGAACAATGCCGAGCTAGTCGAGACTCTATTAGAGGGACACGCTGACCCTAAATTTGAAGATCCTGATGGATACACTGCTGCCGATTGGGCTGTTGCGCTTGGATTTGTCAATATCGAAAGGATTCTTCGGGAAGAAATGTGGTCAGGTGAAGAATTCGATGATTGATGAACCAAAGAATATAGATAGCAATATCATTTTCTGATGACATACCAAAGCTATCTATCTGTTAGTGCATGTATTCGATATCTTCAACTTCTGCTTGCCATACTGTTCCATGAGTCGACCTGTGTTTACAAATGAGCTAGTACTCCGACGTGATGCCCTAGCCCTATCCGTGCAGCGCCAGTGAGCGATCGAAGACGTCTAATGTCACGTCAAGAGAAAAGCCTTACAGAAAACAAGATTCCCATATTCTGCCTACTGGTTTGGTAGCAGTCAAGGATAACACGATATGTGTCCAGGATACAGATCCTTCTTTGCCCATTTATCCGCCGGTACGCCCGACAGTTGGAAGAATTCCGAGTGTTCCGCTCGACTCGGCCGCGCTCCGGGCGGATACGTGGTTATGCACCGACTTGCTGATGATTCAGGGGTAACTAACCTGGCACTAAACGATGCAATGCACGCATTATGCATTGTGCATTATCCACAATATAAGTAGCCTAGGAGAAACATTCGAGGAAAATCATTGCCCGTGCGTGCAGACTCCCCTCCCACGATCATACCCAACTAGGACGCTAGCTGACTAGGCTGACTTTTAGCTGTGGATCATATCAGGCTTAACCACGCTTGATTGGATTGCACTGGGAGAATGCACAAGACATTGCTTTGCAGTGCAGGGTATACACATCACCATATTCTCCGTACGAAGGCGTTCGGTTATTGCACGGAGTAGCATCTGCAGGCTGAAAGTTTCCACTCCACATGATACCCCAAGAATTCGATCGATTGGCACGGAGACCTCCGAGAGGAAGCTCATCTCTCCTTGTCATCTTCGTCAGATGCCCCGTTATATAGTCTTAAGGCAAAATAAGCTTCAGCTGTTTGATGTGCAACCCTAAAGTTCCAACACATCCTCGGCATAATCCGATACAGCTCCGCGAAGACAGAAATAAGCTTATCATGAAACTCCGTTCTTGTTTATTCATTCACTCTTGTCTCGTGCCTACGGGGTGTTCTACCTCCGCATGCGTATCCACTGGAATCCTACAGATTGTGGACTACTCTGCATTTTGCTTAATCTGACCTCAAAAAATGGAACCGAGCCTCAATGCCGATCACAGCCGGGTCCACTTAAAGCCAGAATAAGTCATTGCGACCTACCGTTTGGAGCTTAGGATGGCGCATAGAAGCTAGAGTCGGGCTCTAGATTACTACGTCGCTCCGTAATTCGTGCAGCAGCTAAGCATACTCTGACCAACAGGAGATCTCTTCAAGCATCGGCACGATCGGTGGCTGAAAAGACGGTAGCAATGCAGGTATGGTTATTCGCGGCTCAAGATATGCTAGTCTAGTATGCCCTCACTATAGCCGGTTTTCATTCGAGATTCGACAAAAGGAGGCACGCCATGAAACACTATAATAACGAAACTCGAATGGCTTATCACTATGAATTCCGCGTTGCTGCCAATTATCAACATGGGGCCCCTCAATAAATCACACAAGCATCTACTACCTGCACCTCGGTCATGTTGCTTATCTCGGCGAGACTGTCAGGGATCGACATGAACGGTGGCAGTTAGTTTATCCATCCATGTCAGGCACGAAGTGAAGATGACAAGAGTCGTGATACGACATCGTTATCTCTGGAAATTATCACATCATGAACTTCTCTTAGCGACGACAGTACCAGGAAATGTATAAATTCAGTGCAAAGTCCACTCCTCATTGAACTTCTTTCCTATCCTGTTCAGTACCATCGTTTTCACTCTCATAATTATTTCGGTTCCTCAGTGTCCGTCAAAATGGTTGGCTCTAAGACTGTTATCTCTGCATTGGCCCTGTCAGCTCTCGCCGCTGCTGCCCCGGCTCCTACCAAGACAACTCAGTTCTCTATCAACCAGGTCGCGGTCAAGAAGCCTGCAGTTCACCCAGCTGCCAAATACGCTAAGGCTCTGGCCAAGTACGGTGCTACTGTCCCTGACTATGTTGCCTCAGCTGCTGCCTCCTCTCAGTCCGGCTCTGCCACCAACACCCCCATTGATGGTGATGAGGAATACGTTACCCCTGTCACCGCTGGTGACAGCACCCTGAACCTCGATTTCGACACTGGTTCTGCTGATCTGTACGGTTCCTTCATGGATTGACTTGTTTTTTGAAATGAGAACAAAGAAGATAATCTAACAGTATTGTGTTTTGGTAGATGGGTCTATACCTCTTCAACCGACGGAGCACCTTCGGACGCCAACTACTACACTCCCAGCGCTGACGCTAAGAAGCTGTCTGGTTACACTTGGAGCATCTCATACGGAGATGGCAGCTCCGCCAGCGGTGATGTCTACAAGGACACCGTTGTTGTTGGCGGTGTCACTGCGACTGCCCAAGCTGTTGAAGCTGCCGAGACTGTCAGCTCCGAATTCTCCGAGGACACTGGCAGCGACGGCCTTCTCGGTCTGGCTTACTCTTCTATCAACCAGGTTGAGCCTATTGCCCAGAAGACTTTCTACTTCAACGTCATCGACTCCTTGGAAACCCCAGTTTTCGCCGTCACCTTGAAGCACAACGAGCCTGGCACTTACGACTTTGGCTTCATTGACTCTTCCAAGTACACCGGCGACCTTACCTACGCTGACATCAACACTAGCGAGGGTTACTGGCTTTTCGATGTTGACGGTTACTCTGTTGAGGGCGGTTCTTCTTCTTCCGACTCCTTCGAGGCTATTGCCGACACTGGTACCACCCTTCTCATGCTTTCCGACGACGTTGTCAAGGCATACTACGACCAAGTCTCCAGCGCCAAGCACTCCATTCTCGAGGGAGGCTACGTCTTTGACTGCGATGCCACTCTTCCAGACCTCAGCCTCACCATCAACGGCTACACTGCTACCGTCCCTGCCGAGTACTTGAACTACGCCTCTGTCAGCGACAGTCTCTGCTACGGTGGTCTCCAGTCCGCTGGTCTTCTTGGCTTGAACATTCTTGGCGATGTTTTCCTCAAGAGCCAGTACGTCGTTTTCAACGGCGAGGACAACAAGATTGGCTTTGCCCCTCAGGCCTAAACGAGTTCGGAGTTGGAAAGTTCAATTCCCATCAAAAAGTAGTGAAGCTTTTTCAGTCGTTTCTGCTACGAAGAGATGATCTCAATTTATTTAGTCTTGATTCAGAGGGTGGGTGGATATGAAGTCAATGCACATATTCCTATAGCTACGTGTATATATTTATGCAAACAAATATAGACATTTTATGATAAACCAGGCAAATAACCCATCTAAGAGTATTCTATAGCAAATTCATCTATGTCCACTGTGGGATTTTAAAGCCCCCCTTTCTCTATGGGTTGAACTCTTGTCGTACCTACTTGAAAAGGGTAACTATGCCCTGCTGTGAACAGAAGAGGGGAAGAAAAGACAGATAGATTACGAGTCAGGCTATACTTCTACCTCGCCTTTCTTATCTGCTCTCCACAGCAACCAAGCTATAATAATAGAAGCCTTGAGAACGACCGCAGTCCACAACGAACCCATCATACCAACCGAACTTCGAGCCCATATACCTCCCAAAATCGTGCCTAACAACAAGAGGACAACTGCGAAAAACCGTCTTCTTTGTGGTAAAGACTTCATGAGGGTTACCGGCGAGAAAATTTCCACATGTGAAAACAGATCACAATAGGTATTAGTCAAGACAACACTCGACAAGCCCCCTAACCCCATAACATGACTAGTAACGGCCTGCCCACTACTCTGGAACGCGACCAATATGACAGGCACAATGACACGCCACGTCAGTTCAGACTCCCGTGAAGGCCGCTCAGTAGTGACAATGACAGCCGCACACACCATGAGAAGCATCTGAATCGTAAACGAGACACAAAGCACCCAGCGCCGAAGTCCCGGAAAGAGGCGATAAAATGCGCCAAAGAACATGGATCCGATACAGAAACTAGCAATTGACGCGCCGGATTTGATGGCACGGTCTCCACTGCCGGAGACCCCTGCGAGGCCTAGGCCTAGATATACTGTATTTCCGGTTTGCATGCTCACGAAGGAGCCCCAGATGAGTGTTGAGGAGCTGTCTAGGAAGCCTGTGATGAGGTAGCAGTATAGCATGATCAGGTCGCAGTGCCGAGGGTCGATTTCTTCTTTGAAATGGTGCCATAGCCTACTATGTTTTGGCTTTGTGTTTGCGAGGTGGCCATTGTTGTTGTGACCAATGAGTGCGTCGGTTTCATGAGGACTGGCGCCTGTCATCGTGGCTGACTGCATATAACGTGGTGTCACAGGGAGGAGGGCAATTGGACTCGTCGTCAATAAGCCATGGCGGCCAGGTATATATACAGAAGACCTGAGATAACTAGATCAATGTCGTAACCCTGGAATGTCAATGAGGACCTTGGAAGAGATGAGGTTATTCCATCCGTGGATGAAGCGTAAGAAACTTATCCGGCCTTCCGCCAAGATGACGTCACGTGGACGACTGGCTGCTCAAACAAGAAAATACTTTGGAATAAGTCAATGATACGTACCTCAATAATCGGAAATATTTAAGCCAAGAAATATTCGAGCAATTTCATCCATGTAGTGATCTTCTTTTTTCAATAAGACGAGCTATTATCAAGCTATATATTATAAAGATGGCTAGAACGGGAAGCTATGCATTAGGGCTACTATTCGCCCTCTTCATTGCCCTTGCAAATTCATATTCAGTGCCGGATGGCAACATTCAGAACCTTCTCAAAATCCCAGCTTCTTCATCTAAAGAACTCTTCATTGGTGATGCCACTGCAGATAACAGTAACAACAACAAACCCTTCACTCCGGGGCATCGCGACCCCTATGATCGCAAGGTAGACTCGGTCGGGGAAGGCCTCCAACCGCTACCATTCCGCAACGGTGATGGAACTACGATATTGGGCCCACGGAACAAGGATCGTGAGAGGCAGAATCCAGATCTTGTGCGGCCACCGAGCACTGACCATGGCACTGTCGCGAATATGAAGTGGAGTTTTGCGGACTCACATATGCGAATTGAGGTGGGGAAGATCTCCTATTCAACATGGAAACTCAACTGACAAGTATCAACAGGAAGGTGGATGGACACGGCAAACAACTCTTCGTGAATTGCCGAGCAGTAAAGAGCTAGCTGGTGTCAATATGCGTCTCGATGAAGGCGTCATCCGAGAACTGCATTGGCACAATGAAGCTGAGTGGGCGTACATGCTTGCTGGAAAAGCTCGCGTGACAGGACTGGACCTAGAGGGAGGCAGCTTCATTGACGATGTGGAAGAGGGCGATCTCTGGTACTGGCCTGCCGGCCATCCTCATTCGATTCAGGGATTGTCTCCGAATGGAACCGAGTTCTTGCTTATTTTCGATGATGGCAATTTCTCAGAGGAGTCGACATTTTTAGTCACGGATTGGTTGGGTATGTTTCGTCAATATTCTTTTCTTCCACGTTACTGACAGTATATTTAGCACACACTCCAAAATCAGTGCTTGCTGAAAATTTCCGGATACCTCCCAAGACATTTGAGTCCATTCCAAATAGCGAAAAGTACATCTTCCAAGGCAGCATGCCACGATCTATCGACCGGGAGAAGCCTACCAGGTTCAAAAAGTCGAAGAACCGATTTACTCACAAGATGCTCGCCCAAGAGCCAGAATCAACATCCGGCGGTGAGGTCCGCATCACCGATTCCAACAATTTCCCCATCTCAAAGAGAGTTGCTGCTGCACATCTCAAGATTGATCCCGGTGCCATTCGGGAAATGCATTGGCATCCAAATGCAGATGAATGGTCTTATTTCAAGAAGGGGCGCGCCAGAGTTACTGTCTTTGCTGCAGAAGGTAACGCACGCACTTTTGACTATGTGGCCGGGGATGTGTGTATTGTGCCCAAAAATATGGGTCATTTTATTGAAAATCTGAGCGATGAGGAGCCAATTGAAATGTTGGAGATTTTCCGAGCGGATGAGTTCCAGGACTTCTCCCTGTTCCAGTGGCTGGGAGAGACGCCGCAGCGCATGGTTGCCGACCATGTATTTGCGCAGGACAAGAAGGCTGCGGATGAATTTCTCAGGCAGATCGAGAGTGCAAACAAAGATCCGATTAAGAAGAAATACTACGAATACTAGAGGCTCTCAGGTATGCAGTATACATAGGTGACAGCCGAAATGAACCTTGGGAATTAGTTTGGACAAATCAATATTCTGCATGGACAAGGTACATAGATGCATCTACGGGTATATAGATATTGCTCCGAACAACCTTTCATATAGATCTCACCACGACAATCAAGTGTCAAGTTGACTTGTATACAGAAATAATAAAAGATATCCTTGATATATGTAAGTCCTCTCGTGTATGGCGAGTCAGGTTGATATTTGATACATGAAGTCATCGATCGATGATGATATGACGTACGTAGATCTCCTCTGTCACTGCTTTGATTGGCCGGGGAGATGAAAAACGTGCATCGGAAGATTTATGATTGATTGGCTGATCTCCATCAAAGTAATGTGTGGGACTCCGATTAGCTGCGTCATGCTTTATTTACCCGACAGAGATAGACTTCGTGATGGTGGTTATGGCTGGATGAAAACACTGGAAAAGAATGTATGAAGAAGAAGTATATTCGCCATAGGTATAATATATTCTGCCACCATGTGCCTAAGCGACATTGTCTTCACGCATGGCTAATTATCTCAATTTCACTGCTCAAGCGATACTATTTATTCGGCCTTCTCTCCAACGAATCATTAGATTAAACCTACCTACCCTTCATTAGACGATACTCGACCTTGAGTCGTAATCCTTCGTGTATTGATGCACCGTGCACCAACATTAACGCCACAGGATCGGCACAGCTTCTAGAATATCGCAAATTCATAAGACTGGCAGGTGGTAGGATTACGTCAAAGTAAACATTTATTGCCTCTAGCACTGGTACTGTGATCATCTTTTATCAGCTTGTATTTGTATACTCTAAGAAGACACGGTTTCACACAAGTTATAGTCTTATCGACTACAGGAGAGAGAAAGAGAACCATCTAATCCTACGGCAAAATTCTATTCGATGACAATGATTTATCCGTGACTTGAGCGACCTTCGTGTTTACAAGCAGAACTTGATAATACTTAGTAAAACGTACCATTAAGTACACACTATCATGCAGATAGCCTTTTCTAGACGCACCCTCGCCAACGACCGTCCAATAGACAGCGGTCGTCAGCCCGGAGAAATAAATAGATTAAACGTCATTTCCAGATCTCGCAACGGCCGCGGACCCACCACCATCCCCACATTCTCCGCTGGAAATGATATCAGCGAGCAAGGGTGTGGAGTATGATCCATGACTTCATCTTTTGCACCCGTATTCTGGAGGGGACGCAAATATGAGATGGAGAGAGCGCGAAGGTAGGTATGCGTTTGACTACGCTTCTGGACAATTGAAGACCTTGATGGATAAAAACCTTGGCTATAGCGTATGTGTAAACAGACAGACAGACAATAGAACCCGCAACAACCTACTATGGATATTTGACAAGGGGATATGTATCCCCATGTCGATCAAACAAGGCTTCCGGTCCCTTCACAACATCGCTACGAGGACCAAGACCATTGACGCAACAATGACCTGAAGGCTTGCGCCAAGCCTAGAGGCATACCACTTACAATCAGTCTACACATTTGACAGCAAGAATAACACACACCAGCCTCAGCATGATGAATCCACTTTGCCCACGTTCGTGGCTCAAATCGTGCTGATTTGCTGTCAACCAAAGGAAATGGAAAGTATATTCATTCCACCCGTCCATCTACGGGGCGCCGTTTGCTTTGCTCTTTCCAAATACGGCAAAGACTTAATGGTTGTAACTAGGTACTCGAGTCGAATTGTAGCGAGGTACCACATAGTTCAGAGGGAAATTACAGTACCAGACTAAAAATATCCATCTATTTGTCACTTTCTATTATACATGGCATCATCGTCAGATGCTTTGGAATAAACAATGACGTCGTTGTAGCCTTGTTCATAAGAACAAGACTTAATTTCTAGACATAAAGTTCATGGAGTTTTCGCTCTGAGATCTTTGATTTCAGCATTTATTTTTTTAAGATCATTCACACTTCTTAAGCAATACGACGCAATTGACGAATCATTTATTTCTATTTAAACACTGGTTGCAACTTTCCACCTCTACTTAACAAAAAACACGATCACGATATATAACGATTTCAATTGACTTGATCATCTTCAAACAAAGGAACAAGCTAGGTTTCTGTTATCGCCGACGCCGATCTTAAAACCACGCTTTGATATTAAACTTGTTTGACGACTAGCTTCGAAAACATTTCGAAAACATTTCGATATTTGACTCGCTTTTTATTCGACCAAACTAATCAATCTACTTAAAGGAAATTACGAAATACAAAAAAAGGAAACAAACACAAAAACATAAATATAGTTAACAATGGCAACACAAGCAACATCCAAAATCCCCACCGAAGGAGGTCCGAAAACGCCCACCAAAACCAAGAGCACTACCTCCTCTGCAAAAGGCTCACCCAAATCGACAACATCCCAAGCTCAGAAGAAGGCACCGACTAGAGGAGGAATTGCCGGTAAAGACAAGGCCTCAACACCACCACGAAAGCTAAAACGCAAAGTCGATGATACGATTACACCGACGGCCGCTGAAAAGACGTCTAAGTCCGGCGCAGGCCCTGCGAACGAAACACCCGAACGTCTAGCGTCTGCTGGCAGAAAGAATGTTCCCAACAAGAAGAGCTTGGAGCAGCGTGCCCCTGAACCGGAGCCGGAGCCGGAGGCTGAGTCTGGTACTGAAGAGGAGGGACAAGAAGAACAAGAACAACAACAAGAAGTCGAAGGCGAGGATGCTGGCATTCAGCTTGAGGAAAATGATGAAGCTGGTGGAAATGATGAAGTCCCGGAAGGAGATGAATATGACGAAGAAGCCGAGGAGCCCGCTGAAGAGGAGGAACAACCGGATGAGGTCTCCACAGCAGCTCCTACTGAGCAGCGTGGTGAGCCCCTTGATAACGAATCTCAAGCATCCGGCTCTACTACCGGTGGCTTCTTCAGTCGTACCGGAAATGGGCTCAACAGCTTTGCCCGCGGCTTGCATGGGGTTGCTGGTAGTCTGAGTCAAGGCAACGCCAAAGGTGCTGCTGGTGGCCTCACTGAGACCGCTGATGGCGTTAAGGGCACTACTGAAGGTGGAATTGGTGACATCGCTAACGCCCTCCCGCTTGACCTTTCGGCATTGAAGGGACTGGAAATTGGCGAGGGAGGTAAGGTTTTGGATAAATCGGGCAACCCTCTTGGTCAAGTTGTTGAGGGTGATCCTGATGATCTCGTTGGCCAAACTGTTGGTGACGACGGAGAGATCGTCGATGAAGATGGTGATCTCATTGGTCGTGTCGATCTACTTGGTGACGTCCAGAAAAAAGTCACTGAGACACTTGACCAGGTCAAAGATAACCTCCCATCTTTAGAAGACCTTGCTGGCTTGCCTGTCTCGGAGGGCGGGGAGATCAAGGACAAAGATGGTAATGTTATCGGCCGCATTGTCGAAGGCGAGCCCGAAGATCTCATTGGTCAGCCCTTAAATGAGGCTGGTGAGATTGTTGATGAAGATGGTGACTTGATTGGCCGAGCCGAGGTGATTTCCCCGGAAGAGGCCCTCAAGACTATCCAGGAGAATACTGGCAAGGTGCAGGAGGCCGCAGATGGTGCTGTCCCCGATGACATAGAGGGAAAGGTGGACGAAGTGAAGAGCAGCTTGCCTCAGCTCGCTGATCTCGACGGTCTACCTGTCTCCGAAGGTGGCCAAATCAAGGATAAAGCCGGAAAGGTCATCGGTAAAGTTGTTGAAGGTGACCCGGAAGATCTAGTCGGACAGACTATCAACGGCGCAGGAGAAATTGTCGACGAAGATGGTGACTTGATTGGACGTGTCGAGGTCCAGTCTCCGAACGAAGCTGCCGAGAAGGTCACCGAGCAAGTTGACGGTGCTAAGAATAAAGTTTCTGAAGCTGGGGAAGGGCTGGCTCCTCAAGTCCAGATTCTCCAAGGCCGAAAGATCAGCAAGAAAGGCAAAATCCTCGATGAAGAGGGCGACGTGATCGGCAAAATTGCCGAGGGCTTTGATCCCAAGGACCTTGCTGGCAAGAAGCCCAACGAGAAGGGTGAAATTCTAGACAAAGAAGGAAATGTTATCGGTAAGGTTGAAGTTGTCCCGGGTGAAGCTGCCGACTCTGCCTTCAAGTCTCTTCAGGACGAAGCTGAGGAAGCAGGATTCGCTGTGGAGGATGTCAGAGACAAAGCAGAGGAGACTGCTGATACTGTTACCAAACCTACACCTGATGCTCAAGGCTTAGCCGCCCTTGATGGTCTTGAGGTTAATGAAGACGGTAATGTTCTCGATTCCGACGGTAATGTGCTCGGCAAGCTTGAAAATGGCAACCTAGAAGAAATCGCGGGGAAGACCGTGAACGAGAAAGGTCTTGTTATTGATGATGACGGCAACATCCTTGGTCGCGTCTCGCTTGTAAATACCGACGACGCCAAAGATGCCGCTGGGGATACTGTCGATGACGTTCAGGATACTGTCGATGATGCCCAGGGAGCTGAGCCTGAGCTACCTTCTGTGTCCACATTGGAGGGCCTAAAGGTGAACAAATTCGGAAAAATCATCAACGACGCCGGTGTCCCTGTAGGCGAACTCACGGAAGGAGACGCCAAGAAACTTGCAAAAGTTGGTGCTACCTTGGACGATGAGGGCCGGTTCTGGGACAACCGTGGCAATGTCATCGGCAAAGCCCGGACGGTTCCTATTGAAGAGAATGACGCCGAGGGGCCTTTTGCAGGTCTCGAGGGACTCGTCGTTGCACAAGATGGTTGGGTGGAAGATGAAAATGGTAACCGCGTCGGAAAGATTGTAGAGGGAGACGCGAAGAAGCTCGTCGGGCGCGCGGTGGACGAAGACGGAGACATTCTCGACAAGAGAGGTAATGCCGTCGGACATGCCGAGCGCTACGAACAGCCAGAGGAGCCCGAGCCGGAGAAGCCTGAGAAGCCAGACTTCTCAAGTGTTGCTGGCCTATCACCAAACAAGACTGGTAATGTCATTGGATACGACGGTGTGCCCATTGCACGCGTGGCGGAGGGTAACTTGAAGGAAGTTGCAGGCCGAAAAGTTGACTCCGATGGTCAGATATGGAATGATTCCGGCAAGGTTATCGGTCGTGTTGAGCTTATCCCCGAGGATGAGCGTGAGACTAAGCCTGAAGGCGTCTTTGGCGGTCTCGAAGGTCTTATTGTCAACAAGGAAGGCCTTGTTGAAGACGAAGAGGGCAACGTTGTCGGCAAAATCGTCGAAGGGGATGCGAAGAAGTTGCGCGGTCGTGCAGTTGACGAAGACGGGGACATTCTCGACAAGTACGGCAACGTCAAAGGCCGCGCTGAGCCATACGAGGTACCCGAGGAGGAGGTTGAAGAAGATGACCTGTCCTCTCTCGAAGGAAAGAAGGTCAACAAGATGGGCAATGTAGTTGACGAGCATGGTACTGTCTTTGGCCGCATTAGCAATGGCGATCCTAAGAAGCTTGCTGGTAAACGTGTTGATGGGAAAGGCCAAATCTGGAGCGACAATGGCAAGGTCATTGGTCAGGCTGAACTCATCCCTGGCAACGAGCAAGGAAAGCCGGAGGGATTGTTCTTCGGATATGATGATGCCAAGGCTGGAAAAGATGGCGTTGTCGTTGATGGCTCTGGTAAAATCATAGGACGTTTGACAGAAGGAGATGCCAAGCGTCTTCAGGGCCGTGCTGTTGATGAGGATGGCGACATACTCGACAAGTCTGGTAATGTCATTGGCAAAGCAGAGCGATGGGAGCCTGAAGAGAAACCACGCGATGTAAACCCCATGTCCGGACGCAAGGTCAACAAGCAAGGCGAGGTGCGCGACGAGAATGGCGACCTCATCGGCAAGGTGACTGAGGGAAATCTCAAGAACCTTATCGGCAAGAGCATTGACGACAATGGATACGTTGTTGATAATGATGGCAACAAAATCGGCGAGGCCACGCTTATCGAGAACCTTTTAGAGGAAGAACCTCAGGAAGAACCGCAAGAAGAGGTCTCACCAGAGGAATTGGAGAAGCAGCAAAAAGCCGAAAATGACAGGAAACTCGCCGAGCGTATCTGCGCCATCTTGTCAGATACGTTGGGCAAGATCGAGCCTGTCTGTAAGCAAATCACAGAGGTATGTGTCTCCTCCCTATTAAGTCGAAGTCGCAAGCAGGTTACTAACGGTACTTACCCTATAGCTCATTGAGAAAGCCGATCGTACACCAAAGGACGAGCTTGACGAGGAGAAGCTTGTGCAAGACGTAAAGCCACTGCTCGAAGAGGGCGGCCGGATGCTCCAAGAGTGCAACGGTGCAATCCGTGCTCTGGACCCGGACGGACGCATTGCTGCAACGGCAAAAGCGCGCGCTCAAACTCACGAGGCTACTCCAGAAGAATACCGACTGGCAGATCTGCTCAAGGAACTCACGCAGACTGTTGTCAAGACAATTGATAATGGCCGCAAGCGTATCCAGGATATGCCTCATGCCAAGAAGAAACTCAACCCTCTCTGGTCTTTGCTCTCGGAGCCCCTGTTCCAGATTATTGCTGCGGTTGGCTTGTTGCTCAGTGGTGTGCTCGGGCTTGTTAGCCGTCTGCTTGATGGCCTTGGACTAGGTGGTCTAGTTCGAGGTCTGCTAGGTGGCCTCGGGGTCGACAAGCTGCTCGAGGGACTCGGACTGGGCTCTATCACGGAATCTCTGGGATTTGGCAAGAAGAAATAGGCAATCTACTTCTCTCTTCACTCTTAAAAACTCGATCATCTACGTTAAGTTATTCCGTTCATCGCCTTTTCTTGTTTTAACGTGTCTTTTTCTTCTGCCTCGTGATGAAAAAAAAATACCAGCGTTCTGATTGAAACTTGTCTTTTGATTGCTATGATGCTAGATTGAGCGTTCTGTTATTGTATCTCCTAATATGATCTGTAGTGATAATTAGCTAGTGCAACCAGTGTCATGTTCAAAATGCGCTCTTAGCTGTCAACGCGTAGGTAAAGCCCTAGCAAGCAAGCCAAAATACACAGCCGGACTTCCTCGGAATCAATGCGTCATCAGATATAAACAAATTCTCTGGCGCACAGAAAGCGATTGTTGCGGCGTTCTCGCCGTGTCGAGCGTGGAATGTCGGCTAATGAAAGTCAATTGCCTCGCGCTGAAACATGTGACGCGGACGGCGATTTATCGGGCGGTGATTGGCTGCGAAGCGTGGGGGAAGCCGCTGCTCGATTTTGCGGGGAACCCATCGGCTATTGCCTTCTTCCAATGCCGGCCCAGCGCTTATCCATGGACTGTCTCTCCAACAACAGCGATGATGCTGCTGTTGTCCACCGCTACTCATCGTACGTTCACCACTTCCGAGGTGTGGCCAGCCCAATTGCTTAAATTCCAGCCCGGTTCCCCCCCCAATTTGTCCTGCTCATAATTCTTGATTCTGACTTAAATCCTACCTTCATATATAGAGGCCACTCAACATGGCCGACTCAAAGATAGGAAATGATAACGCTCTACACGTAGAAACTGCCACGCCCCGTCATGTCGATCCCAAGGACGACTGTCTCTCAAAGGCCATCAAACATGCAGACCGCGCTGCCAATCTCGTGAACAGCGGTGAGCGCCCTCTCCTCACAGAAGCAGACTCGAAGCGAATATGCCGCAAGACCGACAGAAACATCCTTGTGGTCCTGATGTGGGTGTACTTTCTCCAGATCCTCGATAAATCGGCGCTGGGATATGGCGCCACGTTCGGCTTGCAGGAGGATAACAACCTCACGGGCGACCAGTATTCACTGGTTAGTTCGGTCTCTTCGATTGCACAACTGGCCTGGCAGCCCTTTTCATCTTATCTAATTGTGCGTGTTCCGCACCGCATTTTGATGCCCATTCTTTGCCTGGGATGGGGCATTGCGCAGGCGTGCATGGCGGCATGCCACAGTTTCAGTGGGTTGATGGCCACCCGCTTCTTTCTGGGCCTTTTTGAAGCAGGCTGTCTCCCGCTGTTTAGTTTGATTACTTCACAGTGGTATAGGAGAGCCGAGCAGCCCATGCGAGTGGCCGCGTGGTATGGCACAAATGGATTGGGCACCATTGTCGCTGCTGGTGCGAGTGTTGGGCTTGCGCATATTCAATCCGATATCCTGCGACCCTGGCAAATGTATGTTTTCAGCTTTTGTCTGGAAACCCCTCTGGCAGTAAATGTGCTAATTCTCGTCATATAGTATCTTTCTTTTCGTGGGACTTCTGACGATCGTCTCCGTGCCATTCATATTCCTGCTTCTAGAAAACGACATTCCTTCTGCACGCTTCCTGACCGAGGAGGAAAAGCCCATGGCGGTCGAGCGTCTACGTGCCAATCAAACCGGTACTGGATCACGCGAGTTCAAATGGGAGCACGTGCTAGAAGCCGTAATTGAGCCAAAGACATGGCTTTTTGTAGCCATGAGCCTCCTGCTCAACGTTGGTGCTAGCGTTACAAACACATTCGGTCCTTTGATTCTCTCTGGATTCGGATTTGACTCTTATACCACGAGTCTATTGAACATGCCGCTTGGTGTCATGCAAATCCTGGTGATCTTGCTGTCTTCCTATTTGGCGCAAAAAGCGCGTGTGAAGGGGGCCATCTGTGCGGGATTCATGCTGCCCGTTGTCGCAGGTCTGGCCATGCTCTACACCATTCCTCACCAGGGAAACGAAGCCCCTCTTTTGGTGGGTTATTATTTCCTTGCTTTCCTCTATGGAGGAAACCCGCTCATCATATCCTGGATCGTGGGAAACACCGCGGGTACGACCAAGAAGTCTTTCGTGGCTAGTGCATACAATGCCGCCAGCAGTGCTGGAAACATTATTGGTCCCCTCCTTTTCAACTCCAAGGACGCCCCAACATATCATCCCGGTCTTCGAGACTGCCTTGCCATCTTTGTTACTTTGGTAGCCGTCTTATTCATGCAGTGGGGAAATCTCGTGTTCCTAAACAAAATGCAAGAGAAGAAACGGGTCCAGAACGGGAAGCCGGCAAAGATGGTTGATCATTCCATGCAGCAACAATATCATGATTTCGAGGAGGATGTGGTTGAGGCAGAGGCTGGCCCGATGCAGGTACCGGAGGAGATTGGCGAAAATGCGTTTTTGGACTTGACCGATCGCAAGAATGATGAGTTTGTATATATCTATTGAGTGATGATAGAATCAATAGAACATAGTACGAATAAGAGAATTTTGTTCAAACAGAACTTAGTTACAAGTATTAGGGCAAGCACTGCATAGTGCGGGCCGGCACATGCAAATCAGTCAAGATCATCCCTCGCAACGCCACAAAGTCAGTCCTCGTAAACAACTGTTATTCTCTTCTTCTTTTCAAACAACTTCTCCTCTCGTGCCCTCATATTAGAACGCATTTCCTCTTAACAGACAACCTGCCAAAAAAAAAAAAAAATAACACGGCGATTGGGCGATGGCTGCCAGCAACGGCCATGACGTCACTCTCCCAGCACCTCGCGACAACCACAACAACACGGATAAAACACACCAGGACAATACCATCTCATTATCCATGAGAGATAGAGACAGCCAATCTGCGCGGACTATACAAGTAATCCTCAATATATTTCCCACTGAACATCTACAGTGACCAAAACATTGACATTGGCGAAACAATACAGAGATACTACCGCGGTTATCGCACACGACGAGAACTCAAAGGCTGGTCTCTATCCTCATCTACACGCTGGTTGGAGGCTGTCAAGGAAGCACAATGGCACAAGTCAATGGCAAACCAGTACTGCGCCGAACCCAATGGCGATGTTGATGTCGATGTCGACAGCGGCAACGGGAACAAGGACGACATCATCCAGCATGGCGGCGCCGAAAACAAGCAGCAGCAGCAAGTCAACGAAGAGGATAATGAGGTTGACTCAGTACGTCGCGAAAGCCAGACTGGCCACCTCTCGCCAGAGGTTCGCAGGAAGTGGAAATTGGCTAGGCAGGTTGCACTCCGGGCTGGAGGAGACGATAACATACATGACAAGATTCTTGAAGAAGAACGAGTTCAGAGGACATCTTCCATGGTGTCGGCTTCAGGTGGCCATAGCATTCATACTTTTCAACAATCTACATCGAGACAAAAGCGTGGTCAACCCTCGATCCCAACGACGACTGCCGCCGACGTGGAGAAGACCTCTAAGATGATGGATCTACAATACTTTCTGGAAATGGTAGACACAAAACACCGCTACGGAAGTAATTTGCGCGCATATCATAGCGTGTGGAAGAACAGTCCGTCCAAACAGAACTTCTTCTATTGGCTGGATTATGGCGAGGGCAAAGATGTCGAACTTGAGCGTGTTCCCCGAGAAAGGCTGGAGCGAGAACAAGTACGGTATCTTAGCAGGGAAGAAAGACAGGATTATCTCGTCGTTGTGGATGCAAATGGGCGTTTCAGATGGGCTAAAGACGGCCAGAGAGTGTGGACAGATAGCGACCACTTTAGAGACAGCATTCGAGGCGTGGTGCCTGTAGATAACAACACACCTTCGTTTCGACAATATTCAGAAGAGGGCGATGAGCTGATCGGTTCAAGTTCGAGCACGTCAAGTGATGACAGCGACGATGAGGCCTCTGATGACGAAGTACAGCGTTATGTGAATCCAGATTTTGAGAATGCAAAGGGGATCAAGAAGATTGAATATGTCAGTCCTGCCGTGATCTTCAACCAGTTGATGCAGAAATCGCTGAAGAAGAAAGATAAATGGATTTTTGTACGATCCTACCTCCTACCATTTCTTTTGGGCATACGAAAGCATAGCTAACCTTGTGTTTAGGTCGCTGGTAAGCATGTGGTAGCACAGAAACATGTAAATAAGCATGCTAATATAGCAAACCTACAGATACGTCTTTTCGAATATACATCGGCATCAAGGAATCCGGTGCTTTCCAGCACTCATCCTTCCTGCGCGGTGCACGCATCTCCGCTGCAGGTCTGATAAAGATCAAAAACGGACAGCTGCGCAGTTTGTCTCCTCTTAGCGGACACTATCGTCCACCAGCAGCCAATTTTCGTGCATTTGTTCATACCCTCCAGAATAATGGCGTGGACATGTCGCATGTCTCCATCAGTCGATCATATGCCATCCTCGTCGGCATTGAAGGGTATATGAAATTCAAGCAAAAGAAGAAAGTCGTCAAAGAGAAAATCGAAGAAGAGAAAAAATCAAAATATTTGAATCATTCACCATCTAGCAATGAGAAGACAGACGGCAATGGGGTGAGAGATGGGGACGATATCCCAGAGATCTCGAGAAGTCGACCAACACAGAAGAAAGTCGGCACGACCACGACTGTCAACCGAGTCTCGACAAGGGAGAGCACCGAGAAGCAACCGGATAACGGTAGTGGTAAAAAGAGAACCGGTCTTTTATCTGCAATTACAAGGAAATTGTCGAAGAGAGGTTCAACACAGGAAAGCAAACCAGTTGAGATACGTGGACGAGGCATACCGGGGACGGCGCCTGAGGAAGGCGTTCCTGCTCCGGAAGGGCACCGGTAGATTTGATTTACGAATGGAATGGTTTGATGCTTTCTTTTTACGTCTGCAATGGGTTTCCGGGTTGTTATACCAGTTATGTTGTAGTTGTCTTGTTTAAGCCTGCATACGCGACGGTATTGGCTTTATTACAATGAAGCATACCTAGAAGGTATTTAATATATTTGTATTGCATTCATAGCGTAGAAATGGGAAATATATTCGGAGAAAGAAAAGTATGTACAGTGGTAGTCCAAAACGCTAGAATGATAAAAGGTATCAGTTATGAAAGAAAACAACAAATTTTCTCTTTCGCGTAATCCATTGCTCAGTCACTGATTGTTCGAAGAAAAAGCATTCAAAATCAATTGACGTGCGAAAACAGAAAATCTTTCAACACCGGCGCTCCAGAAAATTCAGGATTAAGCAAGACGCAATTCAAAAAATATTGTAGTCCAACGCGTCTCGATTCTAGAAACTTTGGACGGAACTTGAAGAGCACACTCTTCGGAGGTAAGGGTGGCAATGCGTTGGTGGAGTGTGGGAACGCCCTAGCGAGGAGTTGACGGAGTTCGTCGAATTCGGAGTATCGCATTCGAATAATCATTGGGCCGCCCTGCAGTTATTTATCACATGTTAATCTCCCGTTTTTCTCTCCTATCGTTGATATGTTGATGGAGGCACATAGTTTACGCACATCAAGAGTCTGCACTAGACACATCCAAACCACATATGCACCGATGCCAGTCTTTCCGGACACGACGGCATAATCGTCTATAGTGACTTCTTTTGCCCACAGCCCCTTGGTTGAGGAGGCATTGGGATCCTCGCTATGATCCTCGAGTGTTATAGCAGGCTTTGAGCTTGCGACAGAAGCAAACGACGCTCGTGAAACGGCCCGTTGATGGCGCCAGTAGGGCGGCACGACGCCGGATATTGGTCGGTCCTTGCGTGCATCGTTGGCACTGGGGGAATCGCTGGCACTTTCTGCGATGGACGGTGACAACGATGCGTTATCGTTTGACTTGTCGGCTTCTTCCGAGGGCCCAGCTGGACCCCTCTCGTCACCGGTTGTATGCTCCATCCATCAGAAACCAGCGCGCGGCACTCGGGAGCAGAGACAGAAGCAACGATATTTGCGTCGATTCCTTGCCCCGAGTGGAACCAATGAACAGAGGTAATGGTAATGGTAATGGTAATGGTGCAGGCCGTTATTGGGGGTGGGACGCTGCGTCCAGAGCTGTCGCGGAGAAACGTCGTTCGTTACCTTTGGAGGAAGTGTGGAGGTTCGCCGCGGAACTGGCAGCCTCAGGCACTCCGCCCAGCCTGGTCTGTGCATGACAGCAACCGGAGAGCCGAGAATGGGATTGCGTCCGGCCAATCATAGCGGGCTCGGTGGAGCTTGCGGCTCTGGCTGCCTGAGGATGCAACATTTATTCAATTTGGCACAAACATTGTTTGGGGCTTGCTTGCGGGTATAAATACTATTTATCGTAGAATAGGCTCCTGAAACCAGAGGGCAGCGGCTTACTAAGAGTAGACGCATTAAATGCTGAAAGAGTGCTAGCAGCTACTGCAAGCCTGCAGTCGCCATGTCTCGAGTTGCATGCTTTGGACAACCTCCCTGCCCCTATCTATCCATCCCTTGTTGTGTGAGTAAATGGCCTTTTGTTCTTTGCCCTTGTGGATTAACCTCGAGTGTCGTCCCTCACCTCACATCAGACAGACACTAGACACTGTTCCCTAGGCAATGCACAATAAACACTCTGCCTACTCCGCAGACTATGGAGAATCATTGAGAGCGCCGCATGTCCGAGCTCTATAGGTTATTTCCCAAAACGGACGGCGGCGGCAATGCGTGTGCCCGCCGCGCTTTCCTGATTGGGAATGCCACCCCCTTTCACTTGTGTATGTCTCGCGCCAAGGTTGCTGCTCACAAAACGCCGCCTCTGCTTTCATCGTCTCGTCTTCCCTCTGTGTCCCTCGAACGTCCTTTGCTCCCTGCCTTGTTTCTGCAGACAACCTGACCGTTTAGTCGATGTCAGCAAACAGTGAGTGACTTTTGCTGCTTGCATTCCTCTTAGCAACCAGGAATGCTGTGTTTTCTGGTCTGATCTGCGTTGACATGCTTCCCCTCGACACCATCTTTTCTGCTTTTATGTCCTTCCTTCCCCCTTCATTGCAAAGAGAGTAATCTGACATGCACATCATCATTTGCCAGATACTCACTCTCCGTCAATCAACGTGTAACAATAGGATTCAGCAGCATGTTTGTCCCGGGACTTGTCGTCCTCGGTTGGGCTGTCAGTTGGGCCGCCAGCCAATCCATTGATCCCAGTACAATCCCATTGCCTACTCGTGGTAAGAGCGAACAATCCTCGAAGCGATCGAAGAACAAATGGGCTAATCTGTAGCAAAAATAGACCAATGGTGTAACCAGCAAAAAACCTCTTGCCCTCTGATCTGCCTGCAACTCCCCAACGGCACTTCTGCTACAGAAAGCAACAGTTGTGACCCAGTAAGACGGTTCTTCCATAGCAGTAACCAGCCGATTTTCTTTTCTAACAATAAGCCCTATAGGCAACCCTGGACTACTCGTGTGTTTGCAGTGACGGCCAATCCCCCAACTCGACCGAGTATTCCCAGACAATCCCATACTACATCTGCACCGCCTACAACTCCCAGTGCCAGACCAACTGCAACGGTAACTCAAACTGCCAGGCTGCCTGTGTTCAGGACCATCCATGCGGTGCCCAGGAACCCAAGCTGTACAATATCACATCAACTGCGGGTGCCACTGCCACGAAGACAGGCACAGCCACAAGCTCCGGTGGTGGTAATGTTGTCTACACAGGCTTTGGCACTGGCTCTGCTACAACTGAGACCAGTTCATCGGAAGGATCTGCTGCCATCGTTCGGCCATTGCTGAGTGAGTTTGGCCAAATATACGGTTTGTTCATGGTTATAGCTGGATTCGTTGGCGGATTCGCCGTCCTGCTATAACTTGATTTTTTTTTCTTTGTCCAAAAAAAACAAAAAAAAAGTTCATTAAGCAGGTGTGGTTGTTTTTTTACTTTGCATGCATGCATAAACTTGAATTCTTTTCCTCTCACAGCGCCAATCTTTCACAGGCGTGGTGGTGGCTGACAGCCGCCAGGCCATTCTTGTTATGACATGATGGCTGACGTGCTTGATCAAACCGTTTTAATATGTGCGTTATTTTTTTCTCTTTTAACACTTCAGCCAATAATTGTCGGCGCATTGGACAGTGGTAGCATCATTTGCATAGTCTTTTACTTTCAGAAACGAGAATATACGGACAAGGCTTCTCATATTCGAGTCTTCTACCTTAAAAAAGTTTCCCCACATATGTGAATATGTATATGATGATAGAGCAGAGTATAAAACTTGCCCCATTTCATACCGTAGCAAGAACCTTAGCGTTTTTGTACCAGGTTAACAGTGGGTTCTCGCCGCTTCGCGTCTCAGTATCGCCTATATAAGCCCATCGTTCCATAAATTCCTGGTGGCTGCTGACAAAAGTCAATTTCCCGGTGATGGCGCGGTAGAGGTCTTCGATGACGTTGAAATCGGTCGGGAAGAAGATATCAAAGTAGCCTTGGTGGACCTATGAGATTCCGAGTTAGTATGCTAGCTAGATATTGAGAGAGAGAGAAAGAGATGTTGCGTCTGTGTGCGCGACGTACGAATGGAGTTGAGACTGGCACCGTGCGACGTCTATAGCGAGTTTGCACTACTGGTGCGTTCAGTCCCGGCACGGCGTCTGGGAGACTGCTAAAATCACTTGTCAAAAGGCGATGGGCAGGGAAGTAGTCGCGCAGTATATCGAAGAACTGCATAAGTCGGGTTGGTATGTACTCTGGAAGAGTAAAGTCGCGTCTTCCAATCGGCAAGGTGCTGCGTATGTTTCGAGAGAGTTTCGACGGTAAAGGTGTCGGGAATGGTCGACGAGCCGCTGCCTGGCGGGCCCTCAGAAATCGGGCTGCGAGAGGATCAAGGTTGATGTTGTAGTATTCGCAAAACTCGCCATCGGTGTCAATCAACACGCCGCCCTGTTGCGGCATTTCGGTCTCGTAGTCGTAGCGAATAGCGTCGTGGGAGAAGTTGTCGAATACTTCCAACGCTAGGAAGAAGCAGGGGGAGTGGATGTATTCATTCCACTCAAAGATAGACTTGTTGATAATCTCAACATGCCCTGTGTGGCCCCTTTTGTCGACAGAAGCGAACAGGTTTTGCTTTTGTAATTTCGCGAGTGACGACGAGATCTCAATGATTTTGAACTTAGTGCGTTGATAGACTTCTGGGTCTGAATCGCGAATAAAATCCAGAATATTCAACATCAAAGTTCCGTTTCCAGCTCCCATCTCGTAGATTATCAGATCATGGTACGGATAGAGTGTCAATCGATAATTCGTCACAAGATAACGAGCAATGGCTTCTCCGTAGTACGGTCGGAACAGCTCTGTTGGCGTATGCCATAATTGGCGAGCAATGTCTGGGTTTATTTCGTCCAACTTATCTTCAAATTCGGTGTAGCGCTCTCCTAACAAGCGGTGGAAGTGAGGTCCGTCTTCGATATGACTGAAATCAAACGGTTCTCCGGGGTGAAAGATGGTAGCATGTTTCGAAAAGTATCCATAATGAGGATTGTATAAGCTGTCTATAGGCATGGATAAAAATGAGCGCACGATAATATCTTCAATATTCAATCCAACAGAAATATTCACCTTCGATAAACTCTCTCGTCAACATTTTCACCTGTCTAGGCCGCTCCCGCCGATTCCGCAATTCTTTCGCTGTAATCAGAGGAAACGTTCGCAATTGCTGGTCAATGTCTCTGGGATAATCGTCTCGTTTCGTCCACATGCTCCCATCGTTGGTGGCACTCTTCCTTGCGCCAGTTTGTCGTCTGCTGAGAAATGAGCGAGACTGTTGGTATTGTAATGACGCTGACCCGTGTCTCGTGCCATGGAGTCGCCGAAGAGACGACGTGGAGCGCGTAGACTGACATGTCCGATGGTTAAATAGCTGTCGAAACAGCTGGTTCAATAGGGGTGAGTCCATTGAGGAGAGCGTTGGGATTATGTATGGTGAAAGGTTTCCCATCCGGGTGTTCTTTTCGCCCAGAAGAATTTAAAGAGAGCTGCTGCGGTTGGTCCGAGCTTTCTCACCTGCCGATGTTCTCTCATCACTTGGTTGAGCTACGCACTTGCGAAATTCGTGAAGATAATCATTGCGAATCACCTGAAATTTGATCACAACTGATTTCCAATCTTGTTATATACGGTTATAAAGTTCTAAATAACTCAATGGGCGATTTTCATCGCGCATACCTCGGCTCAGCATTTGTTGCCGGCGTCTTGGTGACTGTAGCCTTGACAGAAATATATTACAGAAGCAAGCCACAATCTGCAGCTCCCACTACTGCAACCGAGGATGTCACTGCTGCGAACTCACAAGACGATAAAAAGTTATTGGGCTCTGTGCGACACGGGCCCCCAGCGATAGTAGAGGGCGTGGAAGGATGCATTGGAAACACGCCACTTTTCCGCATCAAGTCACTGTCAGATGAGACTGGTTGCGAGATACTTGCCAAGGCCGAAGTGAGTAGAAATATGTTGCGGCCAAATTATACTGCACTGGATTCTAACGCAGATGATTAGTTTTTAAATGGAGCAGGCGGCAGTCCGAAAGATAGAGTGGCGTTGAGCATGATTCAAACAGTAAGTGCCGTTTACGGCATTGAAAACATCTACTGATAGAAATTCCTAGGCCGAAAAGGAAGGTTCTTTGCGACCTCATTCTGGAGATGTCATCTATGAAGGCACATCTGGCTCTACAGGAATATCTCTTGCTACACTCGCCCGTGCTCGCGGTTATTTAGCCCATATGTGAGTTAATGCGACCCTATCTGATAATGCATTTTCTCATGTCAACACCTCTTTAGTTGCATGCCTTCCGACCAAGCAATGGAAAAATCGGATATGCTTCTCAAGCTCGGAGCAGTCGTAGACCGTGTTCCACCGGCGCCCATCGTTGAGCAAGGGAACTTTGTGAATAGGGCCCGAAACCTTGCTCAAGCTCGGACTGCATCCAACAATTCACCTGCGGACAAGTCCTCGGCTGCGAGTGCTAGTCAATTGACGAGCACAGATCCTACTTCAGAGGCCGGAGTTGTGACAGGCAGAGGCTTCTTCACGGACCAGTTCGAGAACGTTGCAAACTATGCAGCGCACTTTAATGGAACAGGACCAGAGATATATGCGCAATGTGGTGGTAAACTTGATGCATTTGTTGCCGGCGCTGGAACGGGAGGTACTATATCTGGTGTTGCGCTTTTCTTGAAGCCTAGACTCCCAGATATAAAAGTCGTCCTCGCAGATCCACAGGGGAGTGGCTTATTCAACCGGGTCCGCTACGGTGTTATGTTTGACATCAAGGAACGTGAAGGTACAAGACGACGGCCACAGGTTGATACAATCGTGGAAGGCATTGGAATCAATCGCCAGACGGCCAACTTCGAAGCCGGACGGGAATTCATTGACGATGCAATCAGGGTCACAGATGCACAAGCTATAGCTATGGCACGTTGGTTGGTGGAAAAGGACGGGATTTTCGTGGGAAGCAGCAGTGCAGTTAACTGTAAGTCTTGCTTCAATAAGATATGCATTCGTTTTACTATGGTCTAACAGCAGACAAGGCTTTGCGGCGGTAAAGACTGCCCTGGAACTCGGCCCAGGACACCGTGTGGTCACAATCTTAACTGACTCAGGCACGAGGCATCTTTCAAAGTTCTGGGCCATGGCTGGAGACGTAGGTGGCACAGTTGATACGAAGCTGGAGGATGTCCTCAATGTTAAATCCGACATTTAATTATCCAGTAAAATGCATCAAGTATGACAAAACTTGAAGACGGGTACAATTCTATGATGAATTCTATATTGATTTTTCCCACTGTTGCTCAAGTGATGACCGTGTCAATAATATTTGCGTGGAGATGCGGATCCTTTCCTTGGCGACACTCGAGGCGAATTGATGAACACTTCGGCTTTTCGAGCATTCGCATCAATAGCCGATATCTCTGACCAGTCGTTATCTGATCCCTCTTCCAGCAGATCGTCTAGGTCGTCATTGGTCATGATGTCGCCTGTCTTTAAGGCGGTATCATTCTCGTCCGAATATGGGATGCGGGACCGCTTTCGTTCAGTAAATCCCATTCTTGTTGTCTCTACCCCATCATCCTGCCATTTTTTAACCTGCCCCGAGTGGTTCTGAGCCCAAAGTCGTATCACCTGATCCTCTATCTCTCTTCTTTGTTGATGAGGAAATCGAGCCTGAAAATCTCGCCACCAGGTGCCCGATTTATCTGCCAATTCGCCAAGCTTGTTCAAGTCTCTTGGTGACCAGCTGCTACTTGTTAACGTCCCATCTAACAGATATGGACGATGGTTCACCCAATTCAGCAGATCATTCAACGTCCTCCCCGGAAGGTGCTCTACAATTTCTTCCCAGGATATATCCATATCTTCGAATTTCATTTGAATAATCAATTTGACCTCATCTGGAGTGAGGATGACTTCTTCTGGTTCTATGAATGTAGGCGATTCCAAAATTATCGCATAGCTTTTTTGCGTTGGTGTGTCATCCGCTGTCGTTGGACTCGAGGAATTCACTTCAGGTGTCTCGGGTATAGGTGTAGTTGCTTTTATTAGTTCATCGTAGTGTCTCTCTTCTGATTTAGCAGGTTTGCAATCACATGTCGGAATGACGTCGATTGCATTGTTCGACACTGAATTTACTGCTCGGGGCGTCAGGGGAACACTGCTACGAGCACGAATTTTGACGGAGCGATTGCTTGAAGGTGGTGCCTCTTCCTGAAGAGGATCATCTGAGTCACTGTCATCACTCTTTCGTTGGGCAAAACTCCAGTCAAGCTTGATCCGAGATCTGCGTTTTCGTTTCGACTGGCTGGCTAGGGGTTTGCTATTATTCAAAGGTGTCTGTCTTTTTGAGGTAGATCCTCGAGGCCGTCCGGGAGTGCGAATAGCCCAGACAGATGCTGCCGTCGGAGGAGAGCTGACTTGCTCTTTACGGGGACTCGCACTTGTTTCCTTGGGGGACTCCTTTTTCGGAGGCGTCCAAAATTCCGCATCTATCTCAGGAGGCTGCCATCGAGGGTCAATCGCTCGGCTTGGCTTGGGAGACTTTTTATTGGCGGGGATCGAAGAAGGCAAATTGTTACGGGGCAAAGAATCTAATTCTTTGTCGTCAGGCGTGTCGAGATTTTGCCGTTCGTCGCCTAAGAACTGCGATACTGCCCTCTTTGGCATTCTGAGCCCCGGCAAGTCTCCCGTGTCATCCTCATGCTCCATGTGCAACACATGTCCCTTGTTCACGACAATCTCGCCTGTCCGTAGGTCGATCTCATCGCCTATATCGCTGAAGTCTCTGCCATATTTTTCAAAGATGCCCTCGAAAAGCGATTTGAGTCTTTGGTCATTTCGTGCTCGAGCGGTCTCAAGGTCGAAATCGCCTGTTCGGTCCGCCGATTCTCCTAGAGAAAGACGCTGTCGCTTACTAGGACGCTCCATATCCGGACACTATGCGATAAGCTGAATTGGAGCAGTGCCAAAGAAAAAAGCATGCCTGCATTAGCCAGATTAATCCGATTGATGCCTTACAGCGATGGAAAGCTCAAGACACGAGGCGCGTGGTTGGCGCACGGCGCACGCGGCACGCGCAGTTAACAGCGCTAGTCCAGAACAGTCCTGATCTAAGCGCTTAGCGCGGACCCACAGGGGATAACGGAGATGACGTGGGTTTGGACTTTGGACTCTGGAATTTGAAAATCACCACCACCACTTCACAAAGTTTCAGCTATCACGATGACCAATACACCTATTAGTTAATACATGAATCTAGAAAGCTTCCCATTATGTATTGCCAGAAGTGTCGCACGCCTCTCAAGCTTGACGGCTCTCTCGAAGCTCTCAATCCTGCCGCCTTCGATTTGCTTGTTGGTATGCTGTTCCGAACGAAAACGCTTCGACTTTCAAAGCTCTAATTTTATGTCTACCTAGGCTCTACCGGAAAATCCCTCCCCGAGCACCCGGGCCATACTCCATCGCATCGACAACCCTATCCTGCCGAACACCGCGAACTGTATGAGCGTGCTTCCAGACATTCTAATGCTCCCATATACCGGCGATCAATCCCCCCGCCGCGCGATGGAGGCGCGCATTCAACACCTCCCAAGTTGGTCCATGCTGAAAGTAGTGGTGGAATGTCGTTTGTGATGCTTACCGAGTCTCAACTTGTCCCGCCTCAATTGTCCACTGGAGTGGGTGGTGACCTTTTTACATCTTCCTCGAATGGAAGTCCGGCATCAAAGACGGCCGGGCAAGAGCCAAAGAACCAATCATTATCAGACGAAGCTGAGAAAGCTGCTCGATTATTTGACATACTCTCTGCGCGCTCCGATATTGACCATCCTGTTTGTACCGAGTGCACGGATTTGCTCATAGAAGGACTACAGAAACGGTTAGCAAGTACTACAAAAGAGAGAGATGCTTATATCTCTTTCCTTAAAACAATCAATGCATCAATACCCACCGAAGCTGAAGTTGAAGCAGCTGAAAGTGCCCTAAAATCTACCTTGGAGGATGAAGAAGTTTCCTACCAGGAGCTGCTGGCTTTGGAAAGGGAAAAGGCCGATCTTGACCGGGAAATTGCTGATCTGGAAGAAGAATCACGACAATTAGATTTAGAAGAAGATAAATTTTGGAGAGAGCGAAACACATTTGCGCTATCTCTAGCTGAATTCCAAGATGAGCGCGACGCTTTGAACATGCGCTACGATCACGACTCAAGGCAACTCGAGAGGCTTCAAAGAACAAATGTCTACAATGACGCATTTTGCATTGGCCATGACGGCTTTTTTGGAACTATTAATGGTCTACGCCTAGGGCGTCTAGCAAACCCATCCGTCGATTGGGCGGAAATAAATGCAGCCTGGGGCCAAACGTGTCTGCTGTTGGCCACAATATCTGAAAAGCTAGGTTTTAGTTTTCGCGGTTACCGCCTGAAACCTATGGGCTCCAGTTCCAAGATTGAGAAGTTTGAAATTTCGGCACAAAGTTCAGCTCAGCCGTCTAGTCAATCAACTGCAAGTGCCGATACCACGTCCGCTTTACCTAAGTCGACCGTTTTGGACCTTTTTTCGTCTGGAGACATGCCTCTGAACTTGCCATGGGTTCATCGACGTTTCGATGCCGGAATGGTAGCATTCCTCGAGTGCCTCCGCCAGCTTGGCGAGTATGTCGAAAATACTCCTGTGCCGATGTCTACTCGGCGAGGGCAACCGGGTATCAACACAACCGGACTGAAGCTACCTTACGAAATCAGACGAGACAAAATAGGCGACGCTAGTATCAAACTGGGTTTCAACCAAAACGACGAAACTTGGACACGTGCTTGTAAGTACACACTTACGTGCTGCAAGTTCCTTTTAGCCCACGCCAGCAACGTAGCAAGTATAGCCGCTAGCAACTCATCTGCGCTAGCAGCAGCGGCCGGCTCATCTCCACATCAGAAGGACGCAAGAGGTCAATATCCTAAACAATAGCCCAATCTGAAGTGGTGATTATGCGAGGATGTCATTCTAGCAAGCTATCTGCCATTGTTTCACATGATTTTCTGGACGAAGTTTGAATTTGGCCACGATTACTGAGATGCAAGAGTCTCTGATTGCCTCTTTTAGCGGATGAGTAAGTATGGGTTCATGAGCCGCAAATCGTTGTGTAGAATACTTGGAATGAGGTATCCGGCACAGGATTAGCATTCCAAATACCTTGAATCATTCTCCCCTCGGGATAAGTCAACTTCTATGCAATCACGCTGTTTCACTTGACATAGGCCGTCACCGCGAAGACCCCCTCTGGGGAATCAACCGAAAGATGTGGGAACATTGTGTACATGCGGCGCCATATTCATAACCTGGCAGAGTCTAATGCCTGTGTTGCAATCGACAATGATGTGGATGATAATACTGTCTCGGAAATTAGTTGACCAGCATTTCTCCGTGCACTCTCCGTTGTTGGTGTCTTGATGTTAGCTCGTCTAAGCAATGAATAATCGGAGGACACCTGTGGTGGCCTTCCCTGTCCACATAGTGCTGAATTTCCGTTCTTTGTCTGTCATGAATAAAAGGTCCGCCAAAATAAAACGTTGTAAGCGTGAGTAGAAAAACATTCAGAAAACGTGGAGTAATACCAAGCGAGAAAATACTCGCCCAGTCGCAGTACTTCTGAAGACATGGATGGATAATGTGTAAGAATGAAGAATGTCGGAGACAGCTTGTACGAGTACTCCATAAGAAATCAAACTTTCTTATTTTTACGAAAACAGAAAGTAAAAATGAAGGACTCGCCTTGAAGTGATGCCGATAAGTTCAATTCTAGCTGGGTTCCCAGCACATTCGGTCTCACAAAATAGTACCGGAACACTCCCACGCGAGAGAGAGAAGTAGCAAATGCAAACAAGGTCAGCGCCTATACAGCTAACCAGGTAGTTAGAAGAACCTTTAGATGCGAAAGGCTTGGCCCAAATTGGAATATGAGCTAAACAACAGCCCAACAGAGCCAGCTAATTTGCCCCAGTCTGTTTGGCGAGTCCTAGCTCCTCACTCTCGACACGTGTTTGCAAGGCTTAAAGGACTGCTTCAAGCTATCTATTTTCTTGGGATATATCTCGCAGTTTCATATTTACGAATACTAATATACTCAAATTCCTGCAATCTTTCCTACCGGTCCTCCGCTTTACACAGTGACGTAATAAGACGAAGTCTAAAGAAAATAACAAAGCGACGGGCCGAGCCGGAATACTTATTTTTACTTTATGCTTACGTTGACGGCGCATTACTCCGTACATTGCAGTCCAATTCTATCTACAGTAATAGTAGTACAAGGCCTTGAATATCAGCTATACAAAAACCGGAAATACTATTTATGGTCGCCAAATTAATACCCATGCTTTCAACAATCCCGCCCGCAGTGCCCCCCTGATTGGATATTCTGCAAGATTGGTCATCGGGGGGACTCCACTCTTGAACAAGGATGGGCGTTGGGGGCCAACTTTACGGAGATTTTCTTGCATCCGTGCACTGCACGTAAGTGGGAAGTGGAGTGTACGAAGCACTTCAAACCGAGCTTGAGCACACGTGCGAAAGCATTGGATGCTTTACCCTTCAGATTTTGTGCACAGAGGCCTAGATGGGTGAAGTAGTGCATATTACGTGAAGAAGGATGTGGATCCTAGATATAAAACTCTTTTAATAGAAACTATAGACCTAACAAAACTCATGACAAAGGATTGTTATAAATTGGAGAGTGGTAAATAATCACTAAGCTAGAAAGCAAATTGAGCGACAATCCTGTAACTTTGGGAAATATACAAAGAACAAAGTATTTCCCGTTTGAACTGGTGAACTAGGGTAGTTCGATCGATTGACTGAAATCTAAATCCGTCTATTCATAGTGGTGTTGACGAGAAGTTTTTAACCCCTATTTAAAAGAGCACTCGGCTTCTCATTGTGGAGTTGTAGCTGCAGAAGTGAGCTTCAGATTTTCACGTTGACGGTCTTGCCAGATTGTAAAAACCTCTCTTAAGGGCTTCGAGACGGGCAGACATGTGATCATCCTTTTGCATCAACTCCAATTCGATCCCGATATTGTAAAGCATGCTTAACTCGTCTAAGGTATTGTGAATGCGATTCACTAACCGCGCTGCATGCCTGTTTTTATGACCGTTTGATAACAGAGGAGTGGAGTTTGTCGCACTAGACAAGACTTTTCGCGGTGTTGGATGCGTATCGTTTAGTTTGGCTAGGCCATGAAGTTGTCCAGAGTCTTCCATAAGAAGTAAATTCTTATCGGGCATATCAAGAGGCGAAGGCCCCTCACCTGATATATAATTGCTAGGAGAAGAGATCATTGTGTTCTCCCGATTTTGATGCCCATATTTTAGGAAAGAACTGTTCGATGTATGGTGCGAAGAACTGGAACTCGTAGAGTTCCACATCAATGATGGCGTCCGGTCTCGACCTGCTACACCTAACTGGTGCTGCTGACTTGGCAGCTGCGATAAATCGAGTTTTGAAAGCATGCTTTCAGCGTTGGTGGACGCTCTGGCCCTTGACGAAATGCTCATAATTTCAAGTTGTCGATCAGACGCTGATGAATAGGTTCTTATCTTGCGGCCTATCTGGCATTTTATGAATCAGTTATGAAAATCTGGGAGCTGAGGCAATGGCGACACTTTGGAATGCCCAGTTTTGGCACTTACGATATCTTCGTTGAGCCGCCATATTCTGCACCCGCCTCCGCTTAGCCTTGTCTTCTATTTGTGACCAGTCTTCATCTGAGGGGAGTACATCATAGTGGGCTTCCGGCGTTGAGTCACGGTGGTTAATGAATGAGTTCTCTGTCATTCCTGTTATTTTGAAGTCGTTCTTGGTCATTGGCTCGATTATGTACTCTTCTTAGGTATGAGGTAACTAGTTAGTCATTTGATGTGCGCTTTAGATGGTCGATAGCTGCAATCAACCATCATTCTATTTCGGATATTTCAATGGAAATTGGCCTGAATATTGACATGGTGACAATAAGTTAATCTTCTTATAATGTTACATCGACAATGCATGATGGAATCGAAAACATGGGCCACGCATAATTTCTTGAGTGAGACGTGTATCGAAATAATGGGTCTGTGAGTAGGTAAGAGGGCAATGGGGTCAGAAAGAGGTCCGAAGGGCAGAATGAAGATCATTGTGCGAGGACAACATAGGGCTAAAAGCTGGCTTTCCATCACTAATCCCATAATCACTAATCCCATAATATACTTAGGCACTCTAGACCATGTGTGATGACCTATTTTTTGCTAGCGCATAAGGCTCTGATATATCGACAGGCCGTCTTGTGGCAGCCTTCCCTACTTTTATACTCTGTGCTCGTATTCATTATATCAGCCTGTGAGCCAAAACCAATTACTTGCATAAATTACTAATAGCCATTAACTGTTGTAGATTGCATTTTAGTAGCCTGAATCGGGACTACGACGTTCTAGTCACAGTAACTTCCAAAATAGTGCGTGGTTACTTAGCTAGTTTATCAAATGGGTTTTATTCATTTAAGTATACAAGTGCAGGATACAGCCATACAGCAGCCTGGTGTTTCTGAAATTCTTGAAGTGTTAACGAAGTTAACCGCGTAACTTATTGTATTGCTCCCAGATTATCTAATTACCTACACGTCGACAGTCCGGCTGCAATCCAAGAACTCTAGGAATAAATCACTGCCAGGGTCAACTACCTATTATTTCAGGGCTGTCAACATTGTTTGACTTCAGAATCAGGAACTTTTTGCAACCAAAACTCGTACGCTATGTGCTGCCTCCATCTTTCTAGTCGCTTATATAAAGCTCTTTTTAGAAACTTGATATGCCTCAGATTCTAAAATTAAGTAGCGATTGTAGTAATCGTAGATTACATTTCATTTTTTGTTGTTTAATGTCTCACAAGGAGACGCTGAGGCTGTATGCCCGATGACTGGTTGATTTCATTGAAACAGAGTTAGAAATATACTTAGGTAGGTATGGATGAATCGTGGGTGGTCGGTTTCCGGATTAGCACGTGCGGCCCGCCGCTTTATGCCTTACCACCGCCGCTTCCGCTCCTCACCTGTGCCTCTCTCCACGTCGGCCTCACTCGCTGCCGTGTTGTCGAAAACGCAGAAATAGTCAACTTTACGCGATGGAGGGTACGGGATGGGCGAGCTGGCCGTTTCATCCTATAAAGCGAGGCCCATGTCCCCTTTCTGGTGGGTTCCTATGGTTTCCAACTCTAGGTATTTCTGCTTGCCTTCTCACGCGAGTCCTTGAGTGCGTGGTCTAGAATTGAACTTATTCTATAAGAAACACCTATCTGCGAAGCTGCTGAGAGCCCTGTTTGTTAAGACGGCTGCAGAACTGTGTTGTGATGGCATGAAAATTGACTGAAGAAGAGAAGTAGAAGTGTTGAGAGGTGAAGGGCCTTAACGACGACAAGAGGCTGCTGAGCTGTGCACCAGCCTATCGAAAGCTGGTGGATGCAACAACCAAGCGATACCACGATATGTGGGAGGAATGGCTGAGGTATGGCTTAGTAACTTGGCTGCTATTCTCTCAAGTGACTGCTCACATCGTAGCACTAGATACTGTTAAACCCATCCCGGGACTGAGGTGGATGATCTCAACGACCACCAGATGGCGAAGCATTATATTGAATGGGTCGCGCGAGCAATGCGACTGGCGTCCCTGACGGAGGAGTACGTGGTCGCTAGTTCTGTGGAGCTGGCGTGGAAGTGTACGTCGGCTCAGTACGTCCGCGAGCGGAATAGGAAGCTGCGGCCTGGGATGATTAAATTGATCAAACATGTAGGAGAACTGGAGAATATCGTCACTCTTGCGTGGTGCTGATAGATGGGTGCCTCTAGTATATTTGGGGAGTCCTGGCCGAGAAGGTGCCTCTTAATATGAATTGCCGCGAGAGAAAATACCTGATGGTGCAGTATTTCAAGGACTTACTGTCGCAGCTATGGGGGAATAATTGGTATGAGTTTGAGTATTTGATCTATTGGCTGTACCTTTCTGCGTTGCTGAAGCTACTCATGTTCTTCTTAGGACGTATTGGGGAGTACGTGGAGTCGAACGCGCGGGGGCATTCTGGGAGGGGCATGATGTGTGAGGTGAGTGACTGTTGCTGAGCAGGGTAAAGGGCAAGTCTGGTTATGGCTAGGGTTGGTTAACTCGACTTCGTCTAGGACATATTATTCCTTGTATCGCAGAACTAGAAGGGGCTCGTAGGCTCGCCAATCCAGACAGGGACTCGATAAAGTGAGAATACAGCGGGGACTTTGTTTCAATACTGGCGGGCTTTATCAGTCGTATTCTGAAAATTATCCCACAAGACATCACCTACTCTAGTAATCTCAGTTGTCGCGAGGTCCTCAAGTAAAATTTTTGGACTCCATACACGACGCCAACGAGAAACGACAGAGGTATTATCATGTACCAGACTGCAACCGAAGTGAGGATGACACCCCAAAGAGTGTTGATAAGCTCTGTGACGACAGTTAGCCCTTTCCCACAGTCATTGACATCGGGAGCCATACGAAAGGAAACAGATATCAGTGCGTTCGGCAATGTCATGTCAAGAAGCCGCATGTCTTGACTGAAGCTGTTCGCAGACATTAGCTCCATTAGAGCTCGTCATTTTGAATGATAGGAGGAATAGTCACGAACTGGTTAATGATTATTCCGATGTCGGTTTGTGTCAAATACGAGATCGGAGCACTATCATTTTCATCAGCAAGTCCACACCGTGATGGGCATCACTGTTTCCTTACCTCATTGACGCTTGCAGGACTAACCCATGAAGACGTAGTGAAGATCGCGGGACAATAGAAATCATAAAGTGACTAAACCTGTCAGCTAGAGTATGAAGCTAGAATTTGATCGACTACTCACAAGCAGGCGGTGATAAGCGCTAGAGCATTGCACAGCGCCAGAAGTCCATATATTGATAACCAGTAGTCCAACCGCGAAGTTGCATCTTCTGATTGAGACCACTTACTAAGCCATATGGCTGTTGTTCTTGGTCAGCTGGAGTTCACAAAACGCGAGAAGCAGTCTTACTTTGTAGGCCGGCAAATGTGCCACAGCAGAGGACATAAGCCCCATAAAATGCCAGTCTCAAATAGCCCATAGATGCGCCATAAAACCGATAGACGCTCCAATCACCTTCCTGGCGTCGAGTGTCTCTATTGACGGGTGTGATTTCCAAAGCTGTCTGCGGCATTACGCTTGCTGGTGCTGGCGGTGGACTCTCATCGTTTGTGTTGCTTAACCTGGCATGCAGGTATCTCCCACTTGAACGCAGTTGCTCAAACGTTCCTTGCTCACAGATGCAACCACTTGAAACAAAAACTATGATGTGATCTGCGAGTGATAGGCGGTTGACTACTCCCATTAGCCAGTTATAGAGCACGAGCCACGATGTACTGACCCGAGTGCGTTGCCAAAATAATAGAAGTTCCTAATGTGCGCAACAGGCCGTCCCGACTGAGTAAACGCGCGCAGACCTTTTCCTCCGTCAACGCGTCAAGTCCACTTAGAACATCGTCGAAGATCGCGAGTTGTTTTCTGGCATAGCTGGCCCGGGCCATTGACTGCACGCGCGTTAGCAGATATTCTCTCTGACACAGGTCATGGGTAAACTACCACTCGCTGTCTCTGTCCTCCGCTGAGCTTCATACCCTTGCTTCCGACGGTAGTCCTATCACCATCAGGCAGTTGCTGAAGTCTGTATCCAATGCACATGCATAGATAACTGAGTTGTACCAAACTTCGTCAAACTCCAGATGACCGATTATATTCTCTCGAATGGTCCCGTTCCTGATCCAGGGAATTTGGTCACAGAAGGCGAATTCGCGAGTCGACAGTTGCACAGATCCCTTGAAGCTGGTGGTTTCACCAAGAAGCCCTTTGAGAAATGTGGACTTGCCACAGCCCACAGGACCGACCACCATAGTCAACGACGGCTCAGGAAGGCGCAGATTGACTCCTTGAATGGCGGTCTGGCGATCTTCATGCCAGCCGAAAGAGCCGTCTCGAATGCTTAAGATATGTTTGTCAACACAAACCCCTACGTCTGATTCACGCGCTGGTCCTGGAAGTGGCTGTAGTTCCAGCAAATCAACGTCAACATAGGAACTCTCAAGATGCTTATCACCTTGGATGCGGTCAGACGGGGTAATCACTTGTCGTAAATCGTGTCGGGGTTCCTTTTGCAAGTATTCCTGGATTCGCTGGAAACAACCTAGCGACGAATACAATTGTGGAATAGCATATATCATATTGGCGATAGGGGACGTGATCAAGCTGAAAATCGACAGTGATAAAAACGCCTTGGTCACGTTGAGGCTGCTTTGTCCGGAAAGCGCAAAGGCAGCAAACGTGATGACCGGAATGATGATATTCGGGAGATTCGCTATGGCAATCAGTATAGTATCACTGACACTTCTTGGTGACTCGGTGGTTTGATGGATTACTTACTCAAGCAAGTGTTCGTTACAGAGAGTTTTCTGTAGCTCTTTGAAAGATCTAGTTCGGCTATCCGCATTGCTTGGACAGCACGAGAGAGCATCTTTGAGAACCCTAGCATTTTGACAGCTTTGATCGAACCGAAAAGCTCTGTGGTCAAATTGACTCGTTTTTGAGTGGCTTCCATCCATAATTTTTGGCGTCTCGCGACGTATCGTCCGACACAAAAGGACGATATGCTTGCCACTGTGAAAGGTTTCGACGTTAGATCGCTTGCAACCCTTATTTATGAATTCGAGACTACTCACCGACGGAGATAAGCACTGGGTAGACACAGACTATACCGAGTTGCTTCTCCAGCAACCATACGGCTATTAAAGCTTGTATCAGACTTGCCCATAACTCATTCACAAAGCTCCATATTTCAGCAATTCGTTCCACGTCCGTGCTCATCAGCGTCAAGGCTGCAGATTCTGGGGTGTTGCCAGTTGTTGACTCCAACATTGTCCTGAAGATGATACCAACGAATCCGCCACGCATCTTTGCCACCAGTCGGAATGTCAAATGCTGATACCAGCCAGTAAATATCTAAATTGAGGATCAGCTTTGAAGTTCGTGATAAACCTACCAGGGTTTCCATACCGCGATGCCGAGATACACCAAGCCGTACGCAGCTATGAGGCCGTATCCAGTATCGTTTGACGATGCCACTGCAGTACTGTTGATGAAATTAAGAGCGTCTTGGATCAAATAAGGCTGTGACAGCTTCAAAGCAACTACACAGATTCGTGGTATTACTGTACCGAGAAAGGGCCACTTGAAACTTAGGACCACGGCCGTTGCAAAGGCATTCTTGCCTCGCTGATTACCTGTCGCAGCTTTCATTAGCATCGGTGATTTCAAGCTTAAAGTGAGTAGCGTAGAGAGCCGTACTTGCTTGCCATCCTAGCTGGAGGTTTTCGGTCACTTCTATGGAGGATAGGTTTTCAGTGATTGGGAAGAGATTCTCAGCAGAGAGGACGCTGACATATCCTTTGAGCAGCAGTGGATTCAGCCAGCAGAATAAGGCGCGATTGAATAGTCCGCTCGTAGACTCTGTTTAGATATCTTTATACGCTGATAAAAGAATGTGTCTCTTTTCGATGGATTCAATGACCAGTATAGCAAGCTTCAGACCTACAATTGCAGTGAGAATAGCCGCTGTAGAGTCCTGTTGCCGCATCAGCCAATGAGTTCTTGTGCGTACGATGTCGAATATCAACGTGATCAGTAAGTATAAGGAGACCAGGAAAGAAGGCCTAACTGATCTTTTGTGCTCGAAGTGAGAAAGCAAGGCAATCGCCAAAGCGGAAGCCAAACCCAAGGCTGCAGAGGCGATGGAAATCGAAGGGGCGATGGTACTCTTAGAAAGGCACCACAGACAGAGAAGTGCTAGTTGTAGGCCTGCGTATGCAGCAATAGGAACGTGCCTGGGTTTAGCACATGTAGATGCCAAAGATGCAGTAGAGATGCACTTTACCAGCTTGAGGGTATGGAGTATAGCAGCAGGTCGAAGCTTTACGTTCTGGCTGTACAATTGCACCAACCTGATCGGTGCAATTATCAGTATTAGGGCTGCTGGAGCAATCGACATCATGCTCTCCTCGAATAGGACTGCATCGCATCGACTCCCATTAGCTAGCCCAAGTATGATCGACATCAAGAATGCCAGGAGGTTTGCTTGCCTGTAAAGTCAAATCCGCCGCGACATTTTGGAGACCAGACTTGAGGTCCGAAGGAGTCATCATGGCAGAAGTCCTCGGGTATTTTCATGTTGAATTGGCGAAAACCTCTGAAAGCGTGTACCGTCGAAAGACTTTTCAACCTTCGCGGGGAAGGGGGAAAACAAGCGTGCACAGCTTGATTACGACAGAGTGGTTCAAGTTTTGAACCTCACACTGTACTTAGGTTCCAGTCAGTAATCGGTGATCGTGGGAAGAAGAAAACGAGATGTTGAATAAGACTGAAGCGATTACAAGGCGCCTATAGCAATACCGCAATTGGTCACTGCCCGGGAATAAACAGGGGTCTTAATTCCGGGGCCATTCATGCCTCTACAGTATGTGAAAGCATATTGCAGCATGTATCTTAGCTAGTAGGCTAGGTGCATATTGAACTACAAGTCTATACACGTATTATTGATTCGCTCAGTATAATAATTTAGGGACAGCGGCAAAAACCATTATTCGAACCAACATGAGCGGCAGTCTAACCTAATTGGTCATTAGTTTGAGTCACTTTGACCCTAGATCACTATGATTGTATTTCACGGCCCAACATGGTCTGTACTACGGTTGACCCCGGTGATTTCGGCAAGGCCTGTGGACTAGAAATCAATTCTTAGTAAAAATTGTGCTAGGAATTATGCTGGGAATTGTGCTAGGAATTGTGCTAGGAATTAATGCTGTGGGCATGAAAGGGTTCGCGGGGATGCCAAGAGATAGAACTATGTCCATAGGGTCATACAGCGACATGCTAGGAATCTAGGCCTTAGACACACGCTGAAGTAAGGCGTGAGATAATATTCCTAGCAAAATTTATACTGGAATCGTTGTGCCCTAGATTATGTAATCTATATACTAATAAAATCAATATGTGTAGGGAAAAAAAAGAAAAAAGGGAAAAGGAAACTTGAAAACTGGTTTTGGCGGGCATGTTAATTTAGTCCGCCGTAAATACGAGTGTAGCCACTGACTGGGTAGTGAGTTTACTTGTCGGTCTTTGTATTTTTCAAAAATTCCTGGGTCTTAGACTTTTCTCACCAAGGCTTGATTCTTCATTAACAGAATTACTCAATTATGTCTGAAATGTCTCCAGATATCTTCAAAAAGCAGCAGAAGTCTAATGAGGAGGAACTGAGCCTAATGTTATCATCCGAGGAATTGAGAATATCGCATGGAAATGACGATCTCTCTTAATCTAAGCACATTCTCGTTTCGCCATGGAAACTATCAACCGCCTTCTTTGCAGTGGTAATCATCCTTTTGTTGTTCGAGACACAGTCCAGCAAGAGAGCACAAGGCTGGTCCTATGAGACGGGCTTCGCAACTGATTTGAGTATGTCAACTTCGATTGACCTAAAGCCTTGAAACTGACCACTTGCAGGACCAGCAAGAGAAGAAATTGAAATAGTTCCTATTCAATTTACAGGTGGATTGAAGTTCAACGCCAGCGGAGACTTAATCAGAGAAGTCCAAGAGGGTCAGTTGGACTGGGCGGGTACGCCGACGTATGAGATAGATGCGGCCTGGCAAAGCATCGAAGACGGTATTTACACTAATGGGTCCTGACTTTGGAGTATGAAGAATGACAATAATGGCAGCAACTGGCGTCTTCCTGGAGGGTGAAGCAGCCGACACGGTGAGAAACAGTACCCGTTTCAAGGACGGATACTGGGTCTCGGGATTGGATGTGTTCCACCAGATTCACTGTCTTGTCGGCTATATTATCTGCTAAATATGATTATAGAATGATACATGCTGAAAGTTTTTCAGAACCGTCTCCGAAAACATATATATGGCGACCGTTATTCGGATCCAGATCCACCCCGAAACCAACAACTTCATATAGGTGGGTTGGGAAGTTCTTATCATTTAGACTTGTTCACTATACATTGTATCTTTGTTTCATATCCAGACTGTACATAAATTGGATATTCAATTTCATTGCAAACACAATTAAGGCTAGAACAGGCTTCGGGGACTATATGTTTGATTTTTGATTAAGATGTTGCAGCAACTTCCCTAACATTGTATTAGCTAGAAATTACCGGATGCATGTCTTTATTTCTGTGTATGTATACCTTGATTCTTGTTACATGTCGCTAAGTTATTAGTCTATTTTTTCGTACTGCAATTCCAGGGGTAAAATCTCGTAATTTGTAAGGTCTGTTACTAAGAGCGGGGTTTTGTTAGATCCTGCAAGGCCCCTTGTAGGGGTCTTTCTTACGATCCTTGGGTGTCTCTGTGCTATCTTTCTGAGCTCGGCCGAAATGAAATGGATTTAAAATAAGCAATCTTCGCCAATAATATGTGCACAGAGAGCGAATGGCGAATATCTCGGATGATGTGATGGAGTCTTGTGCTTAAGATTGGTGTGGGTGCACCATTCATGAAGCTGCTAGTTGTAGTAGAAAATGTACGGCCATGAATGCTTGGTGTGCTCACGTTGCATTTTGCTTTGACATAAACCAGGGAACTGTTCTATTCTAGGAGAAGGATGTTTGACTGTCATGCCAACCCACAATTCCAGGCATACGCAATACTCCATGACTCATTTGAAGTATTCCAAGGACTTGCACCATAACATGTGAAAGCCCTACTTCCACCTGGGTATTCATTACTACTTGTTGGGGGTGATAAATTCGTTTATAGTTTTACAAATATGAAACTTGGAGTCTTGGCTAATCAGTCATAAGATTCATTTTCTCTGTCAACAATATGGTCAACTTTCTCTCGGAGTATACGTCGTCCGACGGAAAATACTCTCAACTAACCTAAGATGAAGATTCTACTTCTTTACCAGAAACTTTCACCAAGGAAGAGTGCGCATTCGACCCATAATACGCATAGGATCTGTCGTGGACCACGTTGGTACCGGAAAGCTATGTGGGCCATAGTGCTTCTCTCGTTTACGGTCGTTATCATCGTATTATCATTCTACCTGGGAACAGTCTATGAACCGGCGAGTGATGACTTCGTGCCACAGAGCAAGAGATTCTTCATTATACTGATACAAGCGTCATCTGATACCATAATCCGTAGTGGGAAGGAAAACTGTGGGGTTCGAAGAGACGTCAATATTCAGCGAGCCCCCTTCCGCCCAATCTGACCTCGCTTGCGACTCGTTATTACCTCATATAATCCATTCACATTCAGAATATGAGAGTGACATGTATCTGACTGGCAATAAAGCTGGCCGCGGATTTATCTCAGTGGAAAACCCGGAACCGTACGGCCTCCGCCCGGGGATCGAAACGGACTCTGGAGTAGATCGCTACTCAGTGAGCTTGTTCCACCAACTACATTGCTTGGTATGCCAATATATTACAGTGCACTATATCTTTGTGTGTCGAATATCTGATCAATTCATAGGGAATGATACGGAAAACTTTCTTTGAATTGCTATCCAGTAAGCCTCAACAATGCCAAACGGATTCCGGACTGGAAGCCCCGCCGAATTCAACATACGTTCATCATGAGATGAGCCATGTTAATCACTGTTATGACTATCTCCGGCAATCCATCATGTGCTCCGGCGATATGACTTTAGAATGGGCGATCGAGGAAAGTGATGGAAGTAGACGACAGGTCGATGGCTGGGGCATTCCACATCGTCAGTGCAAAGATTGGGCCATGATTTGGGATTACATGGTTGAGCACCATGCAGCAAACAACAACACGAATATCGCTTGATCCGAGTCCTAAGTGTTCTGATTGTGAGATTTGAAATTTTTACTTGAATACGGGTTTTGTAACCAGAGTTGTAATTGTGACACTTTTTTACGGATATAATTCTAACATTTCTAGAGAGTAGATTAGGTTAGGATCAGGACCATATGCAGGACTTACGGTTGAAACATCCTAGCTTCCCTTCTATATAGAATATTAAGTTTAATTTAAAACTACCCTGTTGCGAACCAAATTCCTATGCTCGACACCGCGAAAATCCCTGCAGCGACAAGAAACGCTAGTCCAGCTCCAGCCCCTACCAAGTTTAGTCCAGCAGAGAAAGTGAATGCAAGCAGAGGCGCCTCGGTCAATCCGCCCACAGAGCCCACCAGAGATATGGTACTATACAAAACAGCAATCTGCGCAATTTCGACACGAGA